GAATCAGAAATAGCAGGTCAATTCGGGGGACTGGATATTCGTACTGATGTAGCTAAAGGTTTTTGTTAGGACCCATAGGAAGGGGGTGGGGCTTGGTATCTGCTTACTTATACCAAAACAAAATACCCATAGCAAATCCCAGCTCTGGAGAATTGAAACGACTAGCGAGAGCAAACTGGCCTCCCGCCATGGGAAATTGGGACACCATTTCACCAAGAGCGACCTAACAACGCGTGTTAGGCTAGTTGAATACGCGACTGCGAGGAGGTTACTGCAAGTCTTACCATTACCGAAAACAAAAGCGAAGCCATGATGCAGTAGCCAAGAAGTAAACCTGCAGGACCACCATGTTGCAAATCACTGCCCGTTCCCAAGAAGAGACCAGTGCCCTGACTAGTGTAAGAATAGGTGAAATCAGGTGGTAGCTTGAATCACTCACAATGACACCTCCAATTGCAATCATTTGTCTGGTATTATCAGATATTGGACAAGTCTTCGGTCGAAACAGTTTAACACTCACAGATGACGCGGCTGAATGCGATCAGTTAGCTTCACGAAAACCGAGGGCTGGGAGTTAAATGGTACCTTGAGCTTCCGCTGAAGACCATGATTGAGGTCTTGGTTCTCTGCTGTTCCATTCTCAACGGAGACTTCATTGGCAGCGAAGCCCATATCTTGCTTTTTCTACAAAGTTGTGACTTGATTAGTACAAAAAGGTTTCGCCGTACTCGCCCTGATTGACAGTTCGCCTGCAGATTGGTACATACCTCGTCCTGGATCATGTCGATATTGATGTAATCGAATGACAAAGTGAGCGTAGAATCAAGGGAAAATGAGGCATCGATGGGTTTATTTAGCTTTCGACGCAACCAATAGCCCTAAAGCTTAAGCCTGGTCCAATCGCTTCTCCTGAAGGCCGACTGATAACGGCGCGGGTCCATCGGAGCCTTCCCGCAATTGCTTATCAGGCTCCATCGGGCTGGATGCCGAGGGGGCCGACTGATAAGTAGAGGAGGCATTCCTATGCGAACAGAGGCAAATCCAGAGAAAGGCTAAGGTGGAATACGATATCACTCACGACGAAACGGTGTTTTCTTTCGACGATAATTTGTGACCATGGCCGATTCGTTCCAGACACGGGTGCTGCGACCCGGAGTCTATGCGCCGCTGCCCACCTTTTTCGACGACAACCAGGAAATCGACTATGATTGCTACAAGAAACATCTTCTCAGTATGCTCCATCGTCAATCTTAATACTGAACAAAATCATCTAATGCCGATGTTCGCAGACTTGGCCACCAAGGGCATGGGTAAGTTGTCGCAGGTGGAATGCAAAGCCAACTACTAATAAATCTCCACTCCCAAAAGTCCCAATATGTGCCGGTTCGCTGGGAGAGGCAGTTCACTTGGTAAGCCACCCTGTCAAGTAGTCAGCATTGCAGTGCTTAATGGAAATAGAGCTTCGCTGAGCGAACAGCTCTCATTCGCTTCATTCGGGGTACTTTAGATGAAGCTGGGCTCCGGTCAACGCCAATAGTGGCCGGAGTGGGCGGCTCGAGCACGAGAGAGACAATTCAACTGGCACAGGCAGCAGCAGAAGCTGGAGCGTAAGTCCTACTAAGGTTGTATTGTTTGAATCTCGTTCTAACTCAGTGCAGAGATGCCGGGATGGTGATACTACCTGCTTATTACGCCGCAAGTCTCAATACCGACCAAGAACAAGTTCTTCAATACTTTATTGATATCTGTCAAGGCTCACCAGTGAGTTATCAAGCGAAAATAAATGCGACCTCTCTCACAGTATCATTGACTTAGTCGTAGATACCAATTTTGCTGTACAATTTCCCAGCGAATGCCGGTGGCCAGGATATTTCGTCGGAAGTTATTCGTGCAGTCATGAAGCAGGCGCCCAATCTGTGTGGTGTCAAACTGACGTGAGTAGAACTGGGGTGGTTCGGTTGGCCTTGTTCTGCTCTTCGCTAACTTGCAGACAGATGCGGTGGCAGCATTGCCAAGTTGCTTCGTCTGAATGCCGCTATTTCCGAGGACCCGTCTATGTCGAGCGATAGAAAGTTTCCCTTCCTTATGCTTGACGGACTCATTGCGGATCTTACGCCGTGGATGAAATGTGGAGGCCATGGGACTGTGAGTGGCATACCGAATTTTGCTCCGGTAGCCTCCATGAGACTTTGGGTGTTGCTCAACACTCCTTCTCCGACCGAGGAGGAGGCCAGAGAAACCAAAGAGATACAGGCAATCCTCTCTCGAGCTGATGTAGCTGCTGTTCCTGGTGGCATCCGCGCGATGAGTCAGTTACTTCTCCAGGCTGTTTGTGATCATCTACTGACCCTGTGCTCAGAATACGCTTTAAATAAAATGCATGGATATGGGATTGCACCACGAAGACCTCTTCTTCCACTGAAGAATGCCGAAGGAGAGCAGTTCATGAATGCTTTGGAAGAAATGCTTCAGCTCGAGCGAAAGTTGATGGAAGCGTAGATGATTCGCAAAAGATGTACTGTTTCGATCGCTACTTTACGAACGTGGATAATCCATGGCACATTAGCATGCTGAATACGAGATCAAGGCTCCAAATAAATTTTGGCACCGGCCACATAAAATATGCTGAACATGACCATATCGATGGCACTCAAATCAATTACCACTGCTCTGGTCCTGCATATTTTGGTGCAGTTACACAGCACGGTACGAATAACTAACCCCTTGCATGTGCTCTTCTGTCGAAACACAGGCAAATATGGAGAAACTGATGTGCCTGGTAGGTTGGAGATGAAGCCACGACCAACCCTAGATTTTCCCTCTCAATATTCTCCACCTCCATCTTTCCACATGTGATTCCGTATTTCTAACTCTAAGTTATCCCTCGCTGTTGATGACTGGACACCGATGCTTTGAGATGAGCTTCACCGGGAGAGGGAGAGACACCAAAAGACCCAAGAGGAACTTTCTCAGCAAAGAGAAATGCATTTATTAGGCTGCAAGATCTGCTACATGCAGCCAGATCGCTGGGTGACGATTCTGTGGGCACATGGTCTGCGAGTTATGCGCAGGAAATCTTGAAACAACGGAGAGGTGTCCCATCTGCCGAGCACTAATAACGGGACATTTCGAATGCTACCCCTTTGCAGGATAAAGCATGTATGTCTAGTTCAATCACTCCAGCCAAGCACGGAAGCCGTTTTCCCATGTTGCTCTCTCCACCCGTCTACTTTCGCGCCACACCTCTTCCCGTTGAATAGCTTCGAGTGTGAACATGGTGATTTTAGTTGTTGAGACATGAAGCGGTAACTTACTGCCCAGGCGGGTTTTATATTGAGTGACCCACTTTCCTTTGTGGTTTGTACATACTGTGGTGGGGGATCCATTGACATTATTTGGCTTAGTGGTTTTTGCCTTGCGGCTTGTTTGTTTGGTTTGTCCTGGTGGATTTGAGCAAAAATCGTGTGCTTTAGACGCAGACATAGACATCAAGGGACATACAGTACACGAAGGCCGATGGACACGCACTAGACGAAGTTTTCCTCGAAGCTATTTGACTCTATCGTTTTTCTGATTCTTGCTGTCGAGCCTGACGTTCCCTCGATTCTTCTGAGGTGACAGCAGGATCTACTGTTGGTGGTTTGTTTGTTTCTCTCTCGTGCCTGGACCTGTCCGTACCGACCGGACTGCCTTGCGCTTTCCAATTTAATACATATACAAGTAAAACTTTGTATGCCAGTGACAGGTATCGGGGGAGGACGAACTAACAAGCCAATACCGACACACACCTGGCCTTTCTTGATCATGTATATCCATCCATGAACTTATGCTGAAACTGGTGACACGCCTACTTCCAACATTTGCATCCAAATTGGGAGACTTTCGCGCGACACCAATGGACTCAGCCAATTGTATGCTTTTTATTTATTTCTCACTTATCGAAGAAGAATCAACTTACAGGAACGAGAATGAGGTATCACTTGCTGAGCATCAGAGAGGTTATTCACAATACCCTCCTGTATTACGTTAGAGGTATGGACTTTCGTACATGAAAGGACGTGAAATCTTCCATAATCGTGGCACTAAGATTAGTGTGCACGAACGATTTCTTCTACGGTTTTATGCACCAGACGCAATTCCAACATTAGCTATTCTATAAATTAGTAGTTATAGCTAGGTAGATACTTATTATAGATTTTATCCTCCTCCTACTTAGATTCCTAGAGCTATAGGATAGCCTTTAGAAGTAGTTAGCTTATAGGATTAGGATTATTATTATATAAGGGACTTAGACTAACTATAGTTAGACTATATAGTATAGGGGTTCCGGAAATATCTCTAGGTAGGAGGGAATATTAAGAACCCTATTCCTATAGCTTAGGATCTTAAGGCTAGGAGATATAGTTAGTGGATTATAGGCTATCGATTATATTTTTATACGATCGACGTAAGTTAAACTATATACTAAGAAGGAATAAAAGCGGTAGTAGAGAGCGGGAACTATAGGTAATATAAAAGAAACCTATAATAGCCTAATAGGTTACTCCTCTATAGTAGTAGTATAGCCTTTGTTGGCAAAAACAATGCGTCTGGTGCATTAAACCGTATAAGAACAATCGTTCGTGCGCACTAGTCAAAGTGCCACGATTATGGAAGAGAGACGAATCAGGATAGAACACAATCGGCAGATCAGACAGAAGAATCAAGCAGTGGAAGGTTGATTCGGATGGTCTACTATGCCCGGTAATTCTACCCGTGATAAAAGAGATGTTCTCTACACCCTATGGTCGTATGTACTGGATATACTATTATGTAGAACTATATAGTGTATGTTCATGGGAACGTCATGGGAATGTGAGCGCACAATATTGTGGAACGACTTAAAGGCTAAGGTATTGTTCCGTGAGACACGGCGGAACAGATTCATAAGCACATCATGCGTTAGGTTTCCAGGGCTGTTGGATATCATTTCCAAGCCCCATCATCTTTTCAAACCATTATCAGAATACTCGGTTCAACCAAGCCGCCATAGCCTGAAACTGAGAGCCAGGGGGAAGCTTCAAGCCAAAGTCCGTGATAGGCTCGACATGAATCTCGCGAGCGATACGACTAATCAAAACGTCGGGATGTTCGGACTTTTTATTCAAAGAGAAATGGTGAGATAAGAATCAATATCGAATAAGGTAAGCCATACCTTGATCCTGTGTGCCAGGGTCATTATTGAATCCAAAAGGACCTCATCTCCTCCAACTCCGATAAAGATCTTTTCAACGGGAAGGGGTTTCCACCATCCCGCAGATGCCTCAGCCGGATGGCTATATTCATCACACTGGGAATCACCAAAAAGCGCCTGGGCCCATAAACTCAGAGACTTAGCCGAAATAGCGTCTCGGTCCGCATTCTTGTGGAAACTTTCATGATTAGTTCGGAAATCAATCCACGGCGATAACAGAAGTGCACCGCGGAGATTTGCATTCAGTGCCAGAGTTGATACACTGCTGTGCGGATGGGGGTGAGCGAGATGCGATAGCACTGAAAGTACAAGATGGGCACCGGACGAGTCGCCTCGGAGTATAATATCCGAGGGGCGTTTACCCAGGATTTCGATCGCGTACCGAAGAAGAGATACAGCCTGCTCGAGTTGCCGGGGCCATCGGCCATACGGAGCTAGATCATAGGCCAGAAATAATATCCCTGTGTCTTGGCCGTGTTTCTTAAGATCTTTGGCAAGTGCGTCAACGAGATCGAAATGCCCTGGTAATGCGGGGATGCAGTATCCTCCGCCGGGGAAGTAGATTATCAGTTTCTCGCCCTTGGGATTGCCGATCCAAAAAGCCGCAGCGCCATCGGAGAGCGTGACAATACTGGGTGTGATGTTTTGACGTTGCATGAGGGTTTCATAGGCATTTTGAGCTGACTCAGGTGGGAGGATATATCTATAGTCAGGTTCGTTGCAAGGTTAGCGCCTGCTGTATATGCATGACAATAAGACTTATTATAGAAGCGGAAGGTGTCATTACTTACTGGATCTGCTCTATGGAAGCAGTTCCAAAGAAAGAACGTGCAAATGACAGAGCGATATGCTTGTATGCTGTAGCCCATCCCGCTTCGCCGCGAAAGGGCGCGGTGATAGCAGACCAAACTGCAACGGCGACTTCAAAAACATGCGTGGATGTGTCAGACGGAAACCTCATTGATCAACAAGGGGAAAATCCAATCACTTACGGGATTTGCCAGCTGCAAACCCCAGGCCTAGCCATATACTCACCATCGGCGGTGGGTACTGTTTGAGAGATTCTTATACTGAACACGTAGAATAAGTAGGGAATGAAATGCCAGCAACGTGATTCAGAAGGCAGTCAAGCTTTAGCATTAAATTCAAAAGTAAAACACAGTTGTGAACGGGGGCTGTTCTTGGCCCGAACTCTCGGCGGAGAAGATAGATTAACCCAAGGTACATAGTCTGTTCCCATCCCCCGTTTAGCCCATAATGCACGACTCCAGATTTACTGGGGCGTAGTGCAAGTCAAACGTTTGATTAATCGTCTCCCCCCATTAATTAACCTCGGCGATACTTCCTTGTTAGAAAAATGGCCCCAAGCCCCCCGAGCCCGCATTGCAAGAATCGAGGGTCCCTTTGGAATGCATTAGACGGCCCCAACGGAGTTTGCCTAATAATAATTCGCAACCCCCCTCTTTTCTGTAAAAAGTGGCATTCTTCACATCCTGACGGAATTAATGAATTTGGTCAATTAACTGATCACATGGCATTTGGAGGCAACAAAGGTCCCGGAATGACGGCGGCTTCAATAGCCTTGACTGTCATTGCCGTGGTTGTGTTTGCATTACGGGCCTACTCGCAGCGTCTCGTCACTAAATCGTTTCATCTCGATGAAATATTTCTGTTCGTCGGACTGGTAAGAGACTGGTCGACGCCGTTAATGGAGTAACAGGTCTAACAAAATTTAGATACTCACCATCGGTCTCTGCATTGAGACATGTCTTTGTAAGTATATGCCTAACCAATGTCCAGGAGTTTCTCTGACAATCAAGTCAGGCTTTCACTGGGGAGGTGGCCGTCATATTGAGGAAATATTGGCCACAGACCCCCATCCTCTGATAAACCAACGAAAGTATTGGATTGTGAGCTTGATTAATCATTAGCAAGGAAATATTGAGCCTGAAACTCACACTATTTCTATTTAGGCCGGTTACGTCTCGGTCGTTAACTGGGCAGTTGCCATGTTTGCCATCAGACTGTCACTTCTCTGGCTATACAAGCGAATATTCCTTGTTAGCAACACGATGCGACTTTGGTTTCGTATCATGATCTACGCGGTCATGTTCTACGTGATATCCACATCGACTGCGATTATTTTGGCTTATATATTTATCTGCACTCCTATATCGCATTGGTGGGCACAAGCTAATGAAATTGTGGGTGCGCCTGTGCCAAAAGGAGACTGTCCAAACCTAGTTGCAAGGGGCATTGCCTGTGCAGCGTTGAATATTCTATCAGACTGTCTCATTTTATCACTGGGAATATCCGGACTGTGGACATTACAGATGGACCGGCGACGCAAGTTCATGGTTGGGGGCATTCTTGCTCTGGGCTCAGTGTAAGCAAAACATTCTACCGGATTAATGAGGCCTAAGGCAGCTAACATAAAATTGATAACAAGCTGCTGCATCGTGAGCATTGTGCGACTGCCACTACTCCTACAAGCTACGTTTAGTAATGATCCTACATGTACGTATAGAGCTACTGTAACTTGCCGGCCTCGCGCTGATATTCTCAGGGTCAAATGCAAACTCTCTACTGATCGGAGTACTAGGTAGGGCTAGATACATCTTGCATCCACTTCAAGAGACTGATACCCTTTCAGAAGCAACGATCGGCGTCATCAGTGCCTCATTGCCCAGTCTCGCACCCCTGGTGCGACGGTGGAACCGGAGCGTCGGAAGTCGAAAAGAGAGTAGCAACGGAAAATCTGGTCCATCATTCGAGTACTCAAATGGACCCAACATATACTCACACAAAGGTTCCGCAAGTAGTGACATCCAGGGGATGCATGGTTCATACATTCCCATGGATGACATGAGTTCCTACCCTCAAGGATCTGCGCATCATGACACAACACCACTGTCGCCAACTCGAAACAAAAGTGACATAATCTAATCGAAGTTGGGCAATCGTCATTTCTACAATAAAGAAGGAAGCCTGTTAGCCGGGGGTCATCGGGGTAACTGTATAGCACGTAGTCTATCCTTCAATGAGATGGTTTCAGAGACGAAGTGGTGAGTGGAATCGAATTATCTACATAAGTAGAAAGAGTCAAATCAATTTGGCGACTCTCGCAATAAATTTTTCACAAATTGCCTGTGTCTTTCAGCTAAATAAAGTTGAAAAACTAAGTTGAATTCTTCTCTTCAAGGGACATCGCGACTGGATGTGGTTACATTCCAAGGTTATGTACAGCCTTGCTCATTCTTCACAGCGACTGAAGGTTGTGGGACCGCGTGCCGGGGAAGATCTGCCCATCCTCATCAATAAAATACGCAACTGCTAAGCTACACGTGCATGCTGCATTGTAGTTCATGACCAAAAAATTTTGACCTTGCCAAACTTTGTGGGTCTTCTTGTATTCCGCCGATCCGGCGGAACGGCCCGAACGGGTGTGAACGCCTTCTCCCGTGCGGGCGTTCGTTTATCCCTCACCCTTCTAACTACTTCTAATTATACTACGTAATGCAATTCGCAAGCCACTTGACTAGCTTCGAAATGATGAAACACGGGTTTCTTGTTAAGTTTTTCGGCGCTTTTGAAATTAGACTAGCGCCATTATGAATTACGTATCCTCTCCCATCCAAAGTTCAATATGCACGCTAGTCTTATCTGGCCGTACTCTGGGGCCATATCTGACTACTCCAAAGCTGGGTATCTTCTGTTTTCCAACTTGATTCGAGATGGACATATTGTAAGACATTTTATGAAACACTATTCAATGAATTCAACCGGCGAAACAAATGAACAAATACTGAATCTGACGACAATACCTAAGTAGGAATGGTGAGAAGACAAATCAAAAGTGGTAACGTGGCGTAGATTCACTCCATCGCTCGTTTCCACTCATCTGATACTCCAGTCCATGGATATAATCTAATAGATCCCCTTTACATCCGATCTCCTCCCTCTCCCTCACGAGTTCTCGATGAACTGACTCCCACTCACGACACATGGTCCACAGTACCCGTTGAGCAGCGGCATGATTCAGGGCAGTTTCCTCTGATAGTACCTGTACAGATGAACAGATAGCGGCACCCTCATGGTGAAGGGTCTCCGACGCTAGTAGCTCCTTGTTCCAGCTATAAATATCGTTAAGCACTGCAATATGCTTTGCGCAGTTGCGCTCAACAGGGGCCGCAATGCGAAGATCTTCCTCCGTAAGATGTATTTTCATGGTATAGCGCTGGAGAGCAGAAAGGAGACTGTGTAACCATAATAGTCAATTTAAGAGCATCTTCAACTTGAAGATCACGCGTGCGGGGAATATATATAGAACATACGCTTGCCCGACATCTTTCTCCCGGTATTCAAGATATTCTCCCAGCTGATGGATGGCAAGCCGGCTCTTGTCTGTCTGTGCTCTCATGAATGTAAACACGGGCTCCATGATTTGCTCCCCGAGAACCGCGTCACAGGCTTTCACATCCTCCCACAGGTCATGCATAATCCACTCAACAGGGATGTTTCGGTCAGGGGGAATTTCTCCCCGGGAAATTGAGATAAGCTTCTCGTTATATTCGGATCCTTCATCAAGGCCCATTTCCTCAAGCAAATCTTTGGAACGAGGATTAGAGACAATGACAACAATCAAGTTCCAAGGTTGAATTAGATGGTACCTACCATCAATGAGAAATAGAACGGTCAACAACCGGCAGGCGAACCCGATACGGTCATCCATCGCGAGTGGGAAGTACAAGCATGTCACGCGAGAAAATCCCGCGGCACGGAACTTGGCTCGCTCTTTCTCAGAGCGGAACGGCCAGTTTCGAAGGAAATAATCGTCTACCTCGGCCGCAACAGAGTCGACGTGGGGGTGGATACTAGGATGAAATTTGGAAGGTGGAAGAAGGTCTTTTGCGAGAGTAGGCATGCGTTTCTTGTCCTGCTCAATGGGGAGTACCCTGGCAGCACCGAGAGAGTGAGGGAAAAAGGCAACTTAACAGCTGAAGCTGTGAAAGAAATAAGATACCGGAGCATACTGGTGAAATGTGTCTTGGGTTGAAACAGAGGGCAGGTATTCAATGTTGGGACTTTTCGACTTCCATGGATCGCAACAAGACGCTATTTATTACTTGACTCTAGATCTGATGACGGTACGTGATGTTAAAAGCACGCCCAAAGCGCTATTTTACCTTTAGATCTCGCGCCGAAGAAGCATACACTGAAACGGTGATTCTTAACCCCTGATCGGCGACATACCCATACGGATAAACCAAAAACACTTGTATATAACGTGGGCAAGTTCGCCGTTTCCCGAATTGGACGTCAACCGAGAGATTTAAAATCCTGGTGAATGTATTCCAGGCGCGAAAATTCTCCCGAATACATAAATATCCACTTTCACGCCACTGAAGCTCTGAAGTCTGTTGCCTTCTGTTGCATTCTCGTCAATGCAGTGTTCTCCTCGCCAAACCATTGTGGCCTGAGGTCTGAAATCGTTTGCTCTAGCTCAGTGTACCTGTCACCCAATGTGAGAATTGTCCGACCGTTCCAACGACCCTCCTTGTCCACAACGGCTGTATCAGAGTCTTTGCCATACAGCTCGACCTGACGTGTCTCGTGGGCGACTGCCGAATACGCGACCGCAAGACCAACAAATTCAGCAGAGCTGGTTGGAAGACCCATAGCGATAATGGGCGCAACAAGCTCAGGCGGAATAAGTCCTGTCAGCGTTGCAGCTGGGGCAACGGTATTGATTGTGATGTTGTCGCGGGGAAGTGTTGCCCGTAGGGCACGCATGAGTCCAATCAGCTAGGAAGAGCCATGGTTAACGGAATTCCAAAAGTTCTAACTGATGCATAGAAAGAACCAGACTCACACCTAGCTTAGTTGCACTGTATACGGGCAAAGAATGCTCTGGAGAATATGCCGTCGCGCTACTCGTGATCACAATACTGCCGGCGACCTTGTTTCGCCGCATCAAGCTGAGTCCAACTTTGACGACATTCAAAGTACCGCGGAGATTCACTTCAATGACACCATATTTGGGCTCCACAAGCTTGCCTTCGTGGTCGACAACATCTTGAAAATAGTCGGTTTCTTCAGAAACGCCTGCGTTGGCAACGAGGATGTCGACCACATTTCCGACTCGCTCAAAAGCCGCCAGAATACTTGCCCAGTTGGTGATGTCACATTCGATATATTGAGTGTTTGCCAAAAGCTCATCCTTGGGCGGTCGTTGATCCAGTAAAAAGACACAAGCACCATGAGAAGCGAAAATATTTCCAGTCGCCAAGCCAATGCCCGAGCTCCCCCCTGAGAATTTTCCTTAATTTATATTCATAACATTTCATGGTTGCCAGAAGGGGAATTTTCAGTTATCTACCAGTGATCAGCACTGTTTTGCCGGAGCAGTTGGGGATATCGGCGTCTGTCAATTGCATCGATGCCATGATTGTAGTGATATTATCTCGATACGATAATCCACACAAGAAATTTCAAATGATGCGAATTTTTTCCAATGGATTGGATCGTTGTATAGTACATATAGGCTGCGGTCGGGCTTTCCTAATTGAGAACATCGCCGATATGCACGCTCGCCCAGTGTACAGGGGTTCCACAGAATATGTACAATTTCAACCTCACCGATTGGATGGAACTTTCTTGTTCAGGCAGCGGCTATCTCTTAACCAAAAAGGCCCCTGCCTAAGTAGATCTATAAAGATGGGCAAGTTCCTCAGTTGTGATCACTGAAAGGAAGATTACGCTTCTCAATTTTCATTTCACCATGAATCTAGTATTGCTAGCCATTCTTCCGCTGAGCCTTTGGGCTATTAGCCGAATTTTGGTGATACTGTATCGTTTGACATGGCATCCCCTGGCCAAGTTCCCTGGGCCAAAATGGGCGGCTCTCACCAGTGCATACGAATTCTACTTCGACGCGATCAAAGGGGGCCAATGCACCTTTGAAATCGGTCGCATGCATAAGAAATATGGTGGGAACTTACATCTATACCTAGTACTTCTTATACTTACTATTTATGCCAAGGCCCCATCGTGCGCATCAGTCCCAGTGAGCTTCATGTAAGCGAGCCCGGATTTATCGACGAGTTATACCCAGGGCCCGGAAAGGTACGCGATAAATACAGCTATGCTACCGGGCAATTTGGGTGAGACTCTCTCGATCTTTATATTATTTGAAAAAAGTTGCTGATATCGGGCTGTGCTCGACAGTATTCCGGATGTGGGTCTCCTCATTTAAGCCCCTTACTGTATTCCATTTTAAAGCCGGTCCTAATTGTCTTCTCTATATAGAGTGTGTTCTGTGCAGTGTCGCATAATCTTCATCGCATGCGGCGAGGAGCGTTGAATCCATACTTTTCCAAAGCAGCTGTGGCGAAACTCGAACCTGTTATTTACGCAACTGTCGACAAACTTTGTCGTCGCCTCGAACAGGTCGCCAATTCTACAGACTCCGTCGACTTGGTAATGGCCTTCAGTTGCATGACTACCGATATAGTGACACAGTACGCATTTGCAGAGTCATCCAACTTCTTGGATTCCACCACGTTCGCTCCGAACTTCCATGAGGCAATTCTAGCAGGGACTCGTATGGGTGCGTGGGCAAGGCATTTTCCAATCTTGTTTCCAATCCTGAGAAGTATTCCCATGTATGCCTCTAATAGCAAATTGATTTTTGTGTACTTACTAATCACCATTTATGAGATTAGAGGACTTTTGTCCCAATTGTCACCAGAAATAGGGATATTTCTTCGATGGCAAGAGGTAAGCGGCATTCAGTCTCGAAATATAAAGAGGCGCCGGGACTAACACAGCATCTTGTAATCAACAAGAGCATGAAGAAAAAGGTTTCTGACATTTGGCATGAGGAAAGCGCCTTCACAGCAAAGAAGAATGATGCTATCCAGCATCGGTCTACCATCTTTCATGAACTCTTCCATGCTAATATACCAGACTCTGAGAAAGGCCCTGATCGAATGTGGCAAGAGGGTCAGATAGTGATTGGGGCAGGCACTGAAACCACGGCTTGGAGTATGTGAAAAGATTTGACCCCTTAACTCATGATCGAATGAATCGAGTCTAATAAATTCCTGATATTAGCGCTCACGGCAACGATGTTCTTCATTTTGAACAATCCAGGAGTATTGGCAAAACTGACCAAGGAGCTGGAAACGGCCATTCCGGCCTGCTATGATCAACCTTCATGCCGTAAATTGGAGGGACTACCGTATCTGATAAGTTTCCATCATCTATCGCCGTCCTCGAGCTTTTCAACTGATGAAATCAAAGCGTATACAACGCGGTAATTCAAGAAGGGCTGCGGCTATCTCACGGGGTTGCTACTCGCCTTCAACGAATCAACCCGCAGGGTCCTATGACATTTCGACAGAGTGCCGCGGATGTTCCAACGGGAGAAAAAGTCTGGAAGATCCCAACTGGAACCCCAGTCGGTATGACTGCTGTACTAGTTCATCTTAACGAGGACCTGTTCCCCGAACCACTTGAGTTTCGACCTGAACGTTGGCTTGACGAGGATGGAAAGCGGGATCCGCGCCTTGAAAAAATATATATTGTCGTTCTCCAGAGGTAGTCGACAGTGCCTTGGCATTAAGTAAGTTTCTTGCCTAATATTCTAGACAAGTGCACACCACTAACGTTCAACTCACACCTTGGGTAGTCTGGCATACTCTGAGTTGGACATGGGAATTGGAATTTTGATACGACGACTGGGAGGCCGACTACAGCTTTTCGAAACAGATTGGACTGATGTGGACATGGTTGAGGATTGCTTCGTTCCAGTCCCCAAAAGAGACTAAAGGGGTGTTCGCGTAAGACTGAGCAGATAGATTAGGATGCATAATTATCGATGCGTTGAATGCAGTTGTACGATTATCCGCGTGTTTACTTCTACTTTTTCTCCCACCCCATGATTCAACTCAGCTTCCACTCCTTCATATTCGTACGCTTGATTATACACAACGGAAGGCCAGCATATTTGTATTAAGTCATCAAAACTGGGTACTGGGGTACTCCTAGCCCTTGAGATCGCAGTCCCTGTATTCATTGCCTATCTTCGCTATTTACTCCGAATGCTTAATTCTAGATTATGCTCCAATTATCGAGAGCCAAACCACTCCGCAGACGGCAATGGTAATTATGACCCATTATGAGAATTATGAGACCGGAAAGTGCATAAAGTACGAGGAAACGATAATTGGGAAAGAATGTAAAAGGGCCAAGCATTGAACAATTTTACCTTGCTATCTAGAAGCTTGACATAGAATTCATAAATACAATATTTCTGCCTATATACAGTTCCTAGCTCTGAAGAGCACTGGACCAGTAGGATGTGGCAGATGCTGCGTTTCAAACGTAATGCTCGGCGGCCTCGGTTGTCCATCTGGCAGTTTCATCTCAAAACGGCTTAAAATCTCACCAATGATAGCTTTGATTTCCATCATAGCAAAGAATCTGCCCGGACAAGCATGTTGACCATAGCCAAATGCCATTGAGCCTGGGTGAGCGGATGTGTAATTGGTCTTGGCACCTGCTGCTAATTTGCTTTTCTCATCTGCGCCGGGGACAAACTTGAGACCATCAAATGTATCTGGATTAGAATAGAGATTTGTATCCATTCCAATGGCTTGTGCTGCACAACCAATCCAGGTATTGGCAGGAATAATGATGCCATCAGAAAGGTGAAAGTCGCGTTTGATGATGCGTTCAAACGTAACTGGGTCAAGTATAAGCAGCCATAAATCAATGTCATGGCAGGAGCTACGTACGTAGAAGCAAAGGATTGAATCGTTGGCTTTCCTTCATGATACTATCCGTTTTTTTCATCTGCGCAAAGCCTTTGACGGTGATGTTTTGGTTGTGATCCCTAGACACCGAGCCATATTCTTCAAGAAGTGGGGCAATATACTCTGGCATTGCGGCAATATCAAAAAGAAGTTGCGTTGGTGCTGCAGCGCTCGTGTGATACGCTGCGAAGCTGACTTTGAGCAAGGTCCCAGCAATGAACTTGTTGTTTTTCTCGGTCCCCTGTGCTTGGTCGTACATCCAGGTAAGAAGGTCATGCGTTTTTGTGTTCGTGTCAACTTCCCGTTCGTCAAGAAGGGGAACTAACGCCCTTTCTGCAACCTGGTATGTGTTTTTGATGGAGCGGATTTCGGGTATAAAATGTTGTCCAATCGGCTTAAGGAATCTGGGCCACGCTTTCAGCTTTTGGGCTGCGTTGAAGCCGTCATGTGCAAAAAGAAGAGATGCTTGAATCCATTCACGGTTTTGACTAAGCTTGGGGCCACCAAACATGCGACTTGACACTCGTGCAATAATCACGGCCATTATTTCTGTGACATTGATTTCGGTCCAGTCTGATTGTGTGGGATTGTGTGAGTTCATCTGTTCCTGAATGAGGGTGGGGTTTCGAGGCGTTTTCGGCTCTAACCTTTACAGGGAGGAAGTAGCTCTGTCAGTGAATCTCTGATTTCGGCTTGGATTTCTGGGAGAACGTCGGCTATGACCAGTCAGCGCCACATGTTTCGAGAAAGGCACAAAGAAAAAGAAGAGAAAGAATTAAAAAACCATACGAAGGTACTGGTTCAATTGAGCACGGACTACCTGGGGTAGCAATCGAGAATGAGTTCCTAAGGTCGTATAGGCGCCTTCAAACATCTATAACCTCCATTCATTAGCAAGAAGATCGCGGGCTATTTGCGGGGAGGTAGTAATACCTCAAGAAAGGTTCCTTGGAAGTCCACAATGCGCATATTTGCCGATTTCATCTCTTCGAGGTACCGTCCAGGCAGAATCAAGCGTTCTCCGATAGCAGTGGGAACATAGAATAGCTCGCCATTGTTCTATCCACTCCACTTAGCAAAAATATCTTTCCGGGAAGTCTCGCTTGTTTGCTCACCTCTTCGTAGCCTTTTCTGAGAATTTGCAAGCTCTGTGTCGCAAACAACTTTCGATTCTTTTTTATGTTGCTCTTTCCACCAATGATAGGAACCCCTGGGATATACCGTTGTTGGCGCTTATAGTGCCGAATTATCCCCCAGATGATAAGGGCGACGAAAGCACCGAGTATGGATTTATTGGCTAGGAATGTCATTGTATGATTGACTTTGTATCTCCGGAATTTTCCTCGCTAGAGGTCTCGCAACCAATGCGTCAAGTCCGACGTTCATTCTTTTATGGCGCATCTGAATGAGAGTACTTCGGCCGAGTACCTTTGGGGATCCGCCGCTCCGGGGATTTTGGTCCCGTGGGAATTTTGTGGCCACCTTTGAGAACACGCTTACCTTTCGAGGACTCTCGGGCAATCAAATACGATGTGGAGTCGGTCCGAGCCGAAAGTGCAAAAATACAAAGGTACCACACGGCGATTGCAAGGCGAGTTGAATTGATCGACGTGACTTGAAAGGACTCCAGGTTCCGGAACTCGGCTGAGACACGGGGGCCGCAGAAAAGTGACAGTATATGCACCTTGATCCAAGAATGGTATCTGCAAGGATCAGTAGCGCAATGCGATTTGGTTAGGACAGGGGGCTGTTCCGCCGAGACGGCGGAATGAGACGCCTGCTTGTCTGTTAATCTCCAGCCCCATCAGCAAAACATGTGTCATACCTAGTGCATTGATTTTCTATTTGATAATGACAATGGAGTTTAGATCAAGAGTAATAGATAATGAAATATCTCACTCGTTCTTCGATTCTTTTTTATCCTTTTGCTTTCACCTATCTTTATTTTGGTTGCTTTTTGGCCCCATGATACCTCGAGCCTGACCACGTGGGACCTTTCTCACTCTTGCCCCCACGAGAATACGAGAATCGATGCATTAAGGCGGAGACACTAATGCCTCAGTGAGCGATGTAACTGACGTAGCCGCGGCCTATAGTGACCATCAGGATGCATCCTCAGGCTTTGGACAGATGTTTTTGCTCTTGGCAACAGAATAGGGCGCAATGGCGAATCCTTTTGTTTCTTACCAATTGAATCCCAACATTGGAGGATGGAAAATTGCGGGGCATTGCGGGGCATGGCGAGTATCGAGTTGGGAATACAAGAAAGGCAGATTCCCCTGCAATCGTCTGAATCGACCTATCCGATAGAAGTTGCCGCCATGTTCGCAACATTGCATCCTGACTCTGAGGGCCATGATATGGTAGCCGTAGAGGCATCGACTCAGCCCCCGGTTTCCAATCGACCACCGCATGTCGTCTGTCAGCTCTGTCGCAGCAAAAAGGTACCGGTTCCAAGGAGGATTATTGAACGCCTGGGACTGATAAGAGCTTCGAACTAGTTGAAATGTTCCGGGTATAGCCCAAATGGCTGTGCACGGTGCCGAGAGTCGGCTGTGAAGTGTCTCCCAGTCGAACGGTCACGCAGAGAAAGCCGGTCAAGTCACAAAGTTACGAAAACCAGATCCGAAGCACCGACAAGGAACACAAGCAGTCAAAACATGAATCCCACAATGAACAGTGTCGGGTGTTCTTTCGCCAATATCGATATTCCGGATTTTGATCTGTCACGGAATATCCCCATGTCGGAGTCTCCAGAGATCCTAAGCGCCTTTTCGCCGAATACACTATGTGAGGAATTATCTGGATCTTCATCATTCCCCCACGAAAACCCATCTCCCAGTCTATGTATGGGGGACACGTTGGAAGCCAAGGATGACATAGACACTAGTGATGTCCCGCTGCTTCCCGCAATTGGGATAGATATTGCACCAAGTGGGATCCCCATCCAAAATCCAGCAAATCTCAAATTTGGAACAGGATATGTGGAACCTAGGCTGCCATGTCATAAGAATGAGCAATGCTCGTCAAGTGATCTACGATGGCAAGAAATGTTTGATATGATGATACAAAGCTCAGGCTCAGCACCGAAGGCCTGTCAGTGCTTGGATCGAGCGCTCGAGCTGCTCGACGGGCTCTTTATACAGGACGGCATCTTAACCAATCCACTCTCAACTTCCGAATCAAATTACCCTAATACTACAGCTGCAATGCAAAGGCTTTCAGTTTTGCGCATGGAACTAAATGGTCTGGAAAGCATTGCAACATGCGCTCAATGCAAAGGGGCCCCATGTTTGATGAGCTTGTTGGTCTCCCTCTCTGAACGCTTATCAGCTAAATTTCGAAAAATCGTTGAGATGGTGCCTGTCGATCCTTTAGAAACCGGGATTCATTTTGAAATCACTTCCACTCCAATGTCATTGAAAGGGGACCAATCGAAAACGGGAGAAAATGACATGCAGTCACGGGAATATAATACTGGCTCGCAATTTGAAACGCAGGCGGAAGAAAGGAATATTAAGATGGTATTATCCTGCGGTGCTTTTACTTTGGATATGTCGATGGAGACGGAAGCACTTCTTCTAACCTTGGCTCTTCTCGCTATGCAACAATTGCGGAAGGTCGTAGCAACACTTTGGGGTCGTGCTCAAGACGAACAACGAAAAGTCCTTTCAGAAAACCTGACACGATGCGGACAGAGACTACATAGTATGAATGCTGTATTGAAGGCAAAGTTGACGAAGGAATATGCCTGATGGATTCATTGAATAGACTTCACCACGTACGAATCGGGACTGTTTTATGTTATTGTTTCTTTTTGTTTTACTGTACGTTATCAATATATATTTTGTAGAAAGAATAGTCATGGATCCAATTCCCTTTGTAATGCAACTGCCATACTGATCAAACTAAGTCTCACGTTTTACCGGGAAAAATCTCACTGGCAAATTCGGTTTCCACCACATAACGTGCAGTCGACTCTCAGATTCCCACCCCTGTTTCGGGTCTACAAGCTCGGCATCGAATTGAAAATGCAGCTTGCACAGTATGATGGAAATTTCGACCATTGCGAAGCTACTTAGTAATTAGTTCTGAATATGATGATGATGTGCTCGGGTGGAGTATAATTAGCACAAGGAGTCATGAAAAATACATACTTCCGCCCGAGGCAGCCTCTTGGTCCCAGCGAAAAGGGCTGACTAGCCTCTTTATTATCAGTGCACTCAGGGTCCAGCCAGCGCTGAGGTTTGAATTCAAAAGGCTGATGGAAGTAACGGGAGTCATGCGTGAGTGTCCATGCAGATGTATAAACCTCGGTCTAGGGAAGTGTGAATCAGTCGTGTCGCCTTCGCCAAGGGTGAGCGAATAGGAATTGATTACATTTCCAGGTACATATCTCTCGTCCACCCAAATTCCTTCCTTGGGCGGAGTAACGCGGGGAAACCCCTGAGAGCCTGGGGGGTAGATACGCAGCCCCTCGGATATGACGGCCTGAAGATAAGGCAGTTGTAATGCGGACGTCGAGTTGATCTCTGAAATATCCATGTACTTGCCCCGAATCTCATCACGTAATTTTTTGTAAGCCTCCGGAGTGGAAAGCAAATGATAGGTAACGGCAGCTAGAAACGTGGCTACGGTTTCACCCCCAGCGATGCTATTTCGATCCAACGTCAGTCACCACAGTGTGCTATATGCTGTCAAATTTGGATATTCAATACGTACACAAGTGTTGAAGCGTGCGCTGTCAGCTCTTCCATATCCATTTCCTGACTTTGGACCTTTGCAATCAACCGTGAAATGAAATCTGCCCGGGGGAATGAACTATTAAGCCGGCGTGCAACCTTTTGGCGACTATAGTTGGTATGTTTGTTGCGAACACCAGTTGTCAAACGCGGCAAGATAAGTTTTCCAATTGCTGCGATCAATGGGTATCGTCGTAAGTTATCAAGTATGGTGATGAAGTAAAGATGCTCCTCAATCATGTCAGACCAAAAATGGGATTTGCCTATCATGCCATCAGTCAGGATCCACCACTCATTAACGGTGAGAAAATGAAAGAAAATCGCTCTGACCATTTTCAGCGCAATGAAATGACTCCCCAAAAGCCATTTCTCCCAGGATATCAAAAGCAAGCATCTCAAACCACTTGGTCATGTTAATTCCCTTGGTGTCTTTGACCCGAGCTCGAATCCCTTCAATAAAGGCATCCACAGATCCCTGGATGATTTCTTCCTGCTCTAGCAGGGCCTTTGTAGAGAATGCAGCCGCAAGTGACTTTCTCATCCGACTGTGTTTTTTCGGATCGCGTTCACTTCCGATACACAACGAATTGAAACCCGATCCATAGATTTCGTAAAATTCGCTCTTGACTAACGGTGACTTCTTTGGTTGATATATAGCCTTCCAAGACTCAACTGATGCAAAGGATAGCTCATTGGGAGATATTCGTACAATATCGCCTACTTATGTCAGCTTTTCCGTTGGGACCTCAGGTGCGCTCATACCATAAAGCTTGTGTTGATCATCAATGGCATGATGAATCCGACCGGTGGTGGTATGCCAGATCCGCCATGCCTTGGACTTGGATTTTAGCTTTGGGTCCGATAGAAGGCAGTATAGATAAGGGTTTCCATTCTTACAAATGAGGCTCTCGCCCAAAAAGGGCCGGGAAAGGCATACAGTGGATGAAAAAAGATGTTGTAGATAATCATAACAATCCAATAAGACACAACCTGTCAAAAAAATTCAATTGAGCGTTAGCAAATTACCAGTTTTTCGAAAAGTGAACAAGAGCTCTTATTCATTACCGTGGATCCTAGGCTAAGACAAACTATCAAGTTGATAGGCAATGATACCAGGCGTTGGTAAATGGGGCTCAAAATTGGGACTTCCATGCTGAACACTGATCAAAAATCAACCATAAAGTGTGGAATCGAATCTCCTGGTCACTAATCTATATACTCGGTGAATTTATTCTTGCGATTCCAAGGCTTTTCAGAAGAGGCAAAGCCAGGATGTTCGGCGGCTTCCCCATTAGGGCCTCACCGAGTGACATAGCATGGCTTGCAGGACCTCGGAATTTTCGGGCGGGGATTTGAAAAAAAGGGGCAATTGTTGAAAGTACGATCCAAATTCGCCCCTGCATGTTTTTTTGTCCTCGGGTATTTGTTTGTCTTCCTGCGGTGCATCAGTAGATCCCGTTAGGTGTTCCTCCGCCGAGTCGGCGGAAGAAAACATAATCATTCGATTTTACAACACTTTCTTTATTTCAAGTGCGCCATGGTGTACTGCAAAAGCTATGTTATCACCCATCAATCTTCTGTTTGTTATCCGATTTATCAAAGGTTGTGATTTTTTTAAATTTTTTTTTTTTTCAGAATTCTTGTCTACCAAAACACAGCCGTCGCAAACCGGCGACATGGCGCCGTCGACAACTTCAACAACTTCAACCCTTAAAAACCTCGAGACCAATCCTCAAAACTCGCACAATACCCAGGGGATGGAGGAAAACAAGGAAACTCCTGATTCTGGGGGTGGCGATGAACTCCCCGGTGACACTAGCCCCAGCGGCTTCACTTTGTTGATGACCGTCGCAGCTCTAGCCATGAGCATGTTCCTGGTAAGATCCTACCATTGAATTCCTTCAATCCTTGTGCAAAACTAACTTTTCACGATGATGGCTAGGTTTCCTTGGATATGGTGAGCAGCTTCATCGAATTCTCGACTTCTGGGATAACAACATTCCATCGAAAAGAAGCTAACAAGTATGATTACCACAGACAATTGTCGCAACGGCGATTCCAAAGATTACGGATGAATTCGGCGGAATTAAGGACGAGGGATGGTATGGCTCCGCGTTCTTTATAACTCTGGGGAGCTTCCAAGCTGCATGGGGAAAGGCATACAAGTACTTTCCACTGAAGATATCGTTCTTGGTCTCCATTTTCATTTTCGAAGTCGGAAGTCTGATCTGCGGTAAGTTTCCACTCATCGTGTACTCTGTTGGTTGACTTCCTGACATTTTTGCTGTTAGGTGTCGCACCTAGCAGCCTTGCACTGATCATTGGGCGGGCTATTACGGGCGTTGGAGGCGCTGGCATTTCCTCGGGCGCATTTACCATCATCGCTTTATCTGCGCCACCGAAGCAGCGTCCGGCATACATTGGAATCCTAGGTGCCTCTTACGGGATTGCCGCAGCTATCGGTCCTCTAGTTGGAGGTGCCTTTACTAGCAATGTTACCTGGCGATGGTGTTTCTATATCAATCTCCCTATTGGCGGACTAGCAGCCGGTATTATTTTACTGTTCTACCGCGCCCCTCCGCCCCTGCCATTCCTGGGTGCATCATTCAAGGAGAAGCTACTCCAAATGGACCTAGGTGGTACCTTATTGCTGGTTTCGGCTATGGTCTGCTACGTTCTCGCTCTGCAGTGGGGTGGAATTTCACTGCCATGGAGTGACTCCAAGGTTGTTGGCACTTTGGTTGGATTCGGAATACTGTTGATCGTCTACGGTATTGTACAATGGCTACAGAAGGAGCGGGCAGCAATGATTGGACGTCTTTTCCGGCGAAACGTGGTTATCACCATGATTTATATCGACTTACTGGCAGGAACCTTTTTCCTGCTAGTGTACTATCTACCCATCTATTTCCAGGTTGTGTCTGGTGTATCTGCTGCTCAAAGTGGAATCAGGAACTTGCCTTTGATCCTTGCTCAGAGTGTTGCCACTGTGGTGTCAGGTGTGACCCTCAGCAAATATGCATACCCACAACCCTTCCTCCTAGCTGGGGCGGCACTCACAGCGATCGGCTCAGGCTTGCTTTACACACTAGAGATCAATACCGGATCTGGCAAGTGGATTGGGTATCAGCTACTGGCTGGTATTGGTATTGGATGGTGCTTCCAGGTTCCTGTGGTGACTGCACAGGCATCCGTTAACCCGGAAGACTTACCGTCCGTGACGGCCATGGTGTTGAGTATGTTCCCCCATTCTTCTATATCTATATCAAGGTTATCATATGGCTAATTGCTCCCAGCCGTACAAACACTCGGAGGGTCGGTCTTTGTCAGCGCTGGTCAATCGGCCATGGTCAATGTTCTTCTCAATGTTCTCCGTGGAGAGACTTCGACCGTTGGTGCCTCCAAAGTTGCGATGACAGGTGCAACTGAGCTGCGTCAAGTGTTCTCTTCTGAGCAAATGAACTTTATACTAAGCGCATACATGCAAGGTCTTCAGGCAGCATTCCTTGTGGCCGTTGTCGCATCTTGTTTGGCTACCGTGGTATGTATGGGGGCACGATGGGCGAAGCTTTCGGGGGCGGCTACTGTTGCATCAGTAGCTTGATCGACAAGAGAGGGATTCAAAATGATCTATTTCAATCGGGACTAAAAATCAGACGACCTGAACCTGGGTGACCTTCGTTGTGATACCCCTTATGTGGTGAAGCTACATACTACCGAAGTCTTTGACTCGGTTGGAAAGCTTCTTTTAATCAGGTGCAGATTTTTCAAGTGTTTTTCTTTTTTCTTTTTCAGGATTTCTTTTCTCCCCTATTATTTAATCTTCAAATTCCAACATCCCAAGATCAACACACACACACACACACACACGAACTATGTATATCCATACGTCCCGGAGTATATAGTTGCCTTGTACGTCCTCTATGCTTCATGATATGAATGTCGGAGGCATTGAATGCGTGATTGAAGAATTTTTGATTCGTTCATAACGAGTGATATGCCACATTAATGCGTCCTTGGTGGAAAGCTGCACTGAGAGGACATTTGTCACTTCCTGTACGAATGGAGGTACGGAAGAAGGGACGGAGAGATTGTGAACGAAGTCGTACGGAGAGGGACAACCCCATGAGGGACAGAAATGGTGTTATATCCATATATACTTTTGTCGTGCACTTCTAGCGAAAATTTCAATACGAACTGCCCATTAGGTGTGTTATGGACTAATAAACATGGATGCCTGAGGTTGGGAAGAGATAACTGGCCCTCTAAAGGTGATTGGCCAATGGATATGCAGGCGGTGACCAAAGCTGTTCGTATGCCCCCTTGATTTATCTTATTCTCCCTTGTTCCTTTTTCTCCCCCATGTTAGGTCAGTGAGTCGCATTTCACGACGAGTGAGATTATGCTTGGCAATCCGCATTCACCACCGCCCCCACCCGAGGACCAGCAGCCGCCTCGGAAGAAAATCCGAAAGGGGACCCGCAGCTGTTGGGAATGTATGTACTCATCGAGTGATTTGATGTAGTGGCATTAAACTGATTTCAATCAGGTAAGCACCGCAAGGTTCGCTGTCATTATGTCTCCGATGGCGACCGCAGCTGTCGCGAATGTCTGGTCAAGGGGACGGTTTGTCGCAGCCAGGATTTCCCAGAACCTGAAAATCTGCGCGAATCAGATCGCGCGTCACTCAATGACCGGCTAGGCCGGGTAGAGTCCCTCCTGGAGAGAGTTTTGCGGCGGCTGGACACTCTTGGTGATACAGGAGAGCCGCCAGTGTTACCGCCAATAGGGACCGCTGATAGCAACCCTAGCTCCAGTACAGCTGTTACACCTGCGAATGAAAACGCCCCAGTTTTATCTCTTTTCGATAATGGGGTGGTATGGATCACATATGGTATTTCACGTAGAAGTTTGATGCTGACACTCAGATAGTTGGGCTTTCGACGATCGGACGCCTCTCCGCCGAACATCACCCTATATGGCACAACGAATCGGGATTGGGAGAAGCTCCGTCACGAGCTCTTAGCCCTCCTACCGTCACAGAGCACTCTGAAAAGACTCGAGGAAGCTAACAGCTGCTGGTGGCTGGTCCGAGCCCAATGCTTCCAAGACCACGAGGAATCGCTTCTTTCATGTTCGCCAGCTTCCTTTTCAAACCACCACCCGGTTATCATCGCCAAGGCTCTCTTGTGGGTGGTGATTTGTCTTCAACAACTCCCACGGGGCTTCGCCATTGATTCATTGGAGCTTCCTTGCCCTCCAGCGGAACTCATCGCAAAATGTGTCAACATTGTTGCACATTCTATCAGTTCCGATGAGACATTAGTAAGTAGCATTGACGGACTGGAGTGCTTAGTCCTCCAGGGAATATTCTACAACAATGATGGGAAATTACGAAGCGCCTGGTTGTCTTATCGACGTGCCCTTAACGTGGGTCAAATCATCGGACTACATCGTCTTGCCCCAAAGGGGGAACAAGACTCTGAATCTATATCACGGGCAAGGCATATCTGGAATCATATAATATATGCAGATCGATATCTTTCGTTAATGCTGGGAATGTATCATGGCATTACCGATGGGGCGTTAGATTCACAGCGCGCGCCTAGCGAGACCCCAAATTCCTCTATGGATCTCCTTTGTCGCATCGCTGGATCTATCATCGAACGGAATCAAAGGTTTACCACCGTCACTCCCCTGATGGCGAGAATGACACAGACTATCGATTCAGAGCTTATGTCGGTCGACCCTCGAGAGGTAACCGAAGAAACCGGTATTCCATCCTCAGGAAAGTCTATCCAACGGGCTTGGGGCTATAATAAACTCATGACGAGGCTATGGTATTATCAGCTTCTGGCATGGCTGCATTTGCCATTTCTTCTCGAGTCTGGCACCCACAGACGCTACGACTACAGCAGGCAGAGTTGCCTCGAAGCGTCCCGGCACATGATTACGTGTTATACGTCAATGCGCCGGCTGACTGCAGAAAGCTTCTGCTGTAAATCGCTTGATTTCCAGGCTTTTACTGCTGCTGTCACCCTTATGATCAATATCATAGGACCGAGTGGTCGACCCCAGTCCAGCCCAAATGACTGGCGCGCCGTTGAAAGCGTCATCGAAACTCTGGAGAAATTGGCAGAGGGACAACCACCTGACAAGGTGGCAACTCGAGGACTTAGTGTGCTACGCACATTGAAAGATGTTGCCAAGGGCGAGAAACCATCACAATTTGCCACCTCCGCAGGGCTCTCGACTGAGGATTGCCAGTCCAACCGCATAAAAGTTGACATCCCGTACTTCGGTACTATTTTCCTTGACTGCGGTATTCACGGCGATTCCTCAGAGAAACAGTATCCTGATCCCGTTCCAGCACAACCGCCACAGCCATCATTTGATAAGGGCCTTGATGAAAGTTCCATTCCTGACCCGAGCACTAGACAGGGTCCGTTCACGGATGTAGCTCCTTGGCCGGAGATTCGCTTGGAAATGGAACCCGCTGATATTTGGACATTTGACCCGGAATTGGCCGTACTGCCTCCGTTCTTATCCGACTTTGGAGATAACTGGGACCTAGGTCTGTAAAAGGAATCATACTCGAATGTTTATATTGCGAGTGATCAGCCGTTAGCCAAAAAAGGATTCGAATCAAAGCACGTCTTAGTGGACCAAGCCACTAAGCAGTGACAGAAATGTAAATAGAGAATAAAACAATAATAGAGATCTTACGTTCCCGTTTGTCCTACTCAATATGGCGAAAATGGTATAACATCGAAACCCTAAAGATCTTTAGCTAAGTAGTAGGTAACCGTAGAAGGGAATATACACTTTCACAGAGAGGTCTGCAAAGCGGCTAGTAAAAACGAAGTAAATTTCCTAGTCCGTCTAGAAAATATACTCCATCACATCCGCCTCCGTTGTTCTCCTAGATCTAGCTAATATAATGTAACGGGCCAGAGCCCGATGTTGATCACGTGTATCACGTGAAGCTCTATACATGGCCCCTTGAGAGGCCCCATGTTTACTCCTTTCCTTAAGCTTTCGATAGACAGATTGTCGGCCACACCCAATTGAATCAATTCGGCCTCAGCCCTTCACACCAAGCACATATATCTCTAGAATAGCCAATAACAGAGTATAGCGTATATCCTTAAGGGGATACCACAATCACCTCGCCGCTATAGTATTCTAGAGTCTGCTTAGGAGACAGTGGGGCTGGTAGTTGAAATGTTCCTGGGAGTATATTAGCCTGAAGTGAAAAGTGATTGGTTTATTACAAAATCACACCGTATATTATCGCCTTGGTGCAGACAGCTTCGTTGGTTATGTGTGTACTTTGGCGGCTAGTAGCTCTTACTGCGTGCAGCTATCAACAGCTACTTCTTCCAGTGAGTCTTTTGACCAGGTATATAGTTGGCCCTTTAGCATGCTGACCACCTCAACAGGTGACAGTAGCGCGGTGGTGACGCCCTCTCCTCGTGCTATTGGTGAAATTGCCAACTGCACAATGTGGATTGCCCCAGTCAGTGACTATGATACGTGCTTCAGTATCATCCATACTTATCACCTGTCCATGGATGAGTTCTACGCAATGAACCCATCAGTGAAAAGCGACTGCAGTGGCCTCGCTCGTGGTACCAATTACTGCATTTCAACCTATCCAGGTGGAGCACCCGCTGGTTTCCCTGGCTGGAACCCAGGTTCTAGCAGCCCAATAAGCAGCACGCCTGTGGCGACCTCCACAACCCCAGGCAATGGTATCTCCACACCATACCATATCCTATTCAGACTGACATGGTTTCAACATGTGATGAATTCTACAAGGTTATACCAAATGATTCATGTTTTGACATTGCCAATAATCACAGCATTCCTCTATCGTCATTCTACAATTGGAATCCTGCAGTCAAAAATAGTCGACTGCTCAGGCCTTCAGGCAGACGAATACGTTTGTGTGGGTATCAAAACAGCAACAACTGGCACTGGGGTCACCACCCCATATCCTATCCAGACTAGCATGGTCTCAAATTGCGACGCATTTTATAAAGTTGTCGCAGGCGACTCATGCGTTGACATTGCAAACAGCCACGCCATCCCCGTATCATCCTTTTACAGCTGGAATCCCGCGGTGAACACGGATTGCTCAGGCCTCCAGGCAAATGTGTACGTATGTGTCGGTATCACGTCAACGGCTACAGTCACTGGAATTACGACTCCCGCTCCCATTCAGACGGGCATGGTACCCAACTGCAACGACTTCTACAAGGTCGTTACAAATGACCAGTGTGGTCAAATTGCGAGCGCTTACACTATCCCACTATCTTAATTCTATAGCTGGAACCCTGCGGTCCATACCGATTGCTCTGGGCTACAGGCCAGTGAATACGTCTGTGTTGGTGTGGCTGGAGCGGCATCTGCTACGACGACCGGGAGCACATAGAAGGAGCGTGCAAGATTGGCCGATTTGGGACTGCCAATGACCAAGTCGAATTGAGTGTGAATAAGAGTGGTTTGCTTAGATTCTCATAGATCTCTTTGTCTACTCTATGGCCACCGGATGATGCCTAGTTCTGAAAGTTGCCGAAGTTCCAAGTTGGGCCGTGTAAACTCTGGCTCGAACAGGTCACGTAGTGTTCCCATCCCAAACTTGGGGTTTTTGAAATCCCGTCCCTGCATAGGATTTTCACCAGAGCCGTACAGAAAGTCATTTAACTCGTCTTCCAGCCAGACGCCCCTTCCGATCATGATCTCATATCCCGGCATAACAATCCGAACACTTGGTTTGATGGTTTCATCGGACCAGCGAAGCTCTGTGCGTATAGCCTCGAGAAGGTGATTCAAGCAGTCCCCTCCAATTTGAAAATAATGAAGACCAAACTCAAGAGAGCGCAGCGTTCTCGGGAGGAGCTTTAGTAGATCAAGAATGTCTGACTTGGAGGCATCGAAACACCAGAGACCAAAGTGGCGAAGGACTGGCCAGTGTTCAACAGGAAACACATTCTTTAAGAGAATCGGTGGGTCCATAGGGCCAGACCCGATTGTGGTTGATAAACTGATATATTCGAGGTCCTTCGCTTCCCTGAGAGCGCGATAAAGGTATCCACTGCTTTGTTGGGCCCAGTAATGAGTTCCATTTCCGCCAACGAACAAGGGCAGGTTCAAATGGCTGAATCCCGGGCGCTTCATGATAGCCAAGAAGTGATTGTATTCATCGCTTGGTTGATCTAACATGGAGTAATTGATGCCGGTGACGAGCAAAAATGGATCAAAGCTTAGCTCTGATATATTGTGCTCGTGTTGAGCGAGAATGCGGAGAGCAATTCTGACCCCGTGCCATTGCTCTTTATAGGCCTCTGGTGCCCGAGACCATGCAACCGGGATTGTTGGATTCTCGCCGAATGCGGCTGTTGGCCATCCTCGCGGGATGGGGTAGTTGAACCCGTAAGGCAGCGACCTAATCATAGGCGTTTCATACAACGGCGAGAAAAGCCACCCATAGACCGCGGGTGTAACAGTGAGTCTTTTCAGGGCTGGAAATCGGTCGAGGCCGTAGATAAAAGCATTCTCGTCGCGCCCAGAAGATATCACCTCATCCTGTTGCTCTATGCAATTTTGATAGAGCTCCCAGCAATCATGCAGGGACATCTGCGCGTCAACCTGTTTCTGTCGTGCGATGTGGTGGGGAAGATCCCGGTCCCAGCACTTCCTATGGTCGATGAACTGGATATTATTCTCGCACTCTTTCCTGAACCAACGGGGTAAGTTGGGTTCAGAGTCAGAGTCAGAATCAGAGTCAGAGTCAGAATCAGAGTCCATTTCGGGGAGCTGAGGCGAGCTTTGGATTCCACCCTCTATCACCTCCCACCAGTAGTCATCTGACAGGGGCGGCGTTGAAACAAAGCGCGCATCATCCCAGATTATCTCTTTGATTTGATGCCGAAACTGAGGATGGTCTGCGATAGCATGAAACACCTCGATATCGAGGGGATTGGCGGAGAGAAACACCCTTGAGAGACATAACGGCGTCACGTCGCTGAGGACTTTGCATGTGAGTCGCAGGCGCTTTCGATCGCGGTTGGTCAGGAAAGATAAAATCAGTAACCGAATCTCGGGCGAAATGGCAGCGAGCCAGGGGACCCGGCCTTGCGCTGAGGCGTGGGGCATTTGAGGCCTGAGACGGCATAAGATATGAATTGGATATTGTGTTGAAAGAGTTTTTTGGATGGTTCTTGATATGGCAGATGTGGGAAGCTTGGAGGGCGCGATTCTCGTGGGCTGCAACCAGGATGCACTAGGGGACACGTAACAAGCGCTCGTAATACGCAGGAAATCCGATCTCCACAATACTGGGTTTCTGGTCCTGCATGTGAGGCTAGGCACGCACCAGCTTACCAGGGTGTGGATTGCAGAAGGGATTTCAAATTTTAGGATGAAGAAGCAGGAGGCCGAATGAAGTAAGATTTAGAGAATTTCGTAGAACGCCAGGATCAACCTAAGAAATCATAAGTCTAAGTAGGAATACACACCAGGGCAGTGAAACTACTTTAAGCATTTCTGGCGAAAAAATCAGGGAGAACCAGAGCAAAAACATACAACAGCCAGGATTCGCATGTGGTCACCCACCATACTACTAACTGGCCGGCGTGTGGCTTAAGTACGGCTGAGCGGACGGGAAGCCCTGTTCTCCACACCCTATGGTCGTATGTACTGAGATGTGCCTTAAAACAGTATATATGGGTTAAGGTTTGTATATTCGATTCTTGAATGAGCCCATACCCATAACACATACTAGATAAAAAGGAACTGAGATGTATTGCGAAAGCAATACGCATCAGCTTGAGGACGTCATTAAAAGTGTCTTCAACGAGGAGCCGAGGCGACGCTGGAAGTGCGAAAGGCCGGAATCAATCACAGACAAGCTATTTCTGTCCCAGAGTTATCCATGATTTGATACACGGTTACCATGGTGCTATATGTTGTGCAGATTATCCCGCTAGTTTCGTATAGCGAAACGCTATACCGACATGGAATCCTGTTCGGGCTACTCTCCCTCAGGCTGGGGTGACCCCAAGGCGTATGGTTGACCAACCTGGATAGCTATATTCTCTCTGTAGTTTGAATAAGGTATATGCTCATATTCCGAGTGCTTTTGGTGCTGCAGATGCGTCAGTGCATGTCCCCTAGGTTACGCTTTCTTGGGTTGGTCGAGCACTTTCTGTCGTATCCTGGACATTGAACACCACGCTTGAGACATCGAGTGCATGCCGGATCTTTGCGATCGCACTTCGGTAAGTAGCTGAGTCTTTATTATCGCTAATTGGCCAAATATGTCGCGAAACCAGTACCAACCTTAATCTTGCGCCTTTTACATATCTCACAGCCCCTAAATGAATAAGGAATGCCGCCCCTTTAATCATTTCGCCCTGTCGAGTATCTTGTAATATCTTGGAACGATTTTAATGCTCGTAACACGGTAATCAAGGATTGATCTCAGCCATTGATAGGTTAGGAGTGTTCTTTTACGTTCAGTTTTTCGCGTCCTCTTCCATGACCAACACGTGACTCCTACCAGCTCCTGAGTAGAACCCTGAGACGACTGACGGAGCAGTTCTGGGCAATGTGCGCAGCCACCAGTGCACTTCCGAGTTGGGATGTATCGTTGTAATGTCAATTCTACTAGCTACCCACTTGCCTATTTACAATCAAATCCATATATACACGGTTGTGAAAATTCCGCATATAGTATCTTTTTCGACTGCCTATTATGTTACTATCCGGCTAGAATCGTGGATATAGAGTGATGGAATGTATCGAGTGACTGGCCTGGCCATATACCATGACAGATGGTTGTTTGTTCTGTCTTTCCCGGTTTATGGCGCTTATATAGTCAGCTATAAATGTTCTAACAGGAATGGTCTGTATAGCTATTAGAATACATTGGAGTTACTGGTTAATGAGAACAACGAATTAAAAGGGTAATGCAAAGTTAAAGAGGGTGTTGATTCAAACGAACCAAACTCCTAAGCTTCATGGGGGTTGAAATACCCATAAGAATACCAGTGACTCGAAGGTTAAAAATCCGAGGTGCTATACAGCGAAAATACACGTAAATCAAAGAAGGGGATATTGTAAGGCCGTAGTCCTCCGGATACGATATGGGTAATTGACGAGTTAATATAGTGCCCATATCCATTTCCCTGACATATTCCATCCCCAACGAGATTTTCGCCTCAACTTCCTACAGTTGAAATAGATCAGATACTTGCGCAGCACGTACCTGTGCACGTGTGAATGCTCTTGTACGATATGTAATGTCAGAAAGAACATCCTCAATAGGCCCTTGGCCTGAAATACCGTGATTCTGGCCATCTGAAAGTGCACTGGACGACTTTTGAAGAAGGCTTTGCAAAACGGATTTTCCGGAATGATCACTAGGCAAGAGTTCCACCAACCGAGTGGCCTTTTCAAGGCGAGTGATTGCCTCTTTCTCCGCAGTTTCCATTAACTGGCGTGGTGTGCTGGCAACGCATATCTTCCAAAACGCATTCGTCTCATCATAATAGTAATATCCGTGACTTGGCTCGCGTACATGCAGAAAGCGCGAAGCGGGGCCGATACAGGCCTAGTAAGAGCCTGGTGTTTCTGGAGCTGGCGACGGTTCGATCAATGCGGTGAATGCGTTTCCTCGATGAGCAGCCGATGAATTCCATTGCTTTCCTTCTTTCCACGCTTCGACTATTTTCTCATACGTGCCTTCGGGGAGGGTTCCCGATTGACGGTAGATGGCTTGCATGTGATCCACCGAGATTTGGCCGTATTTAGCCAGCATCACCCGATGGAAGAATTCATTTCGAGCGGCACTGTTTTTTGTCGACATTATCGCCTTCAAAATGGATGGATTATCTGTACAGGCGTCTTCAGGGCCCAAGATGCGCCAGCCGCCCTCGAGGGTGTACCGGTAATTCACTTCAGAGGGTGCACCAGTTGAATTGATATCGGGGCTGAGGGCATTATTGTTCGCATAAAGGAAGTCGTATGATTTGCCTTCCTGATCATAAGTGAACTCGCGTGTGATAGGGGCAGGCTGCTCTAGGCTGCCTTTTCTTTTCTCCAAAACGATTCCATATGTCGCATCGGCCCACATGCCACCTGCTGACCCGAGAACAGCTCCAGGATCGCCGATAGGCAGATTCAGCATCATGTCCTTTGCTTCTTGGGCTGAGTTTGCGAACTGTAGAGCATGAAAGGTGGCAGCACCTCGGCGGACGCCGTAACACCATTCCTCAAGTGGACCACCCCCGGAGCAAGAACCATCCAAGATTGCCCCTCCATGATGGACGTAAGCCACTCCCTTGCTATTCAAACCCGGATGTCCAGCCATATACTGCCGGCCTAGTATTGGAATAGAGCCGTTCACTGAGAAGGGCGTGTAAATGAAAACGTTGCCCTTCTCAGGATAGGCCACAATGGTAGCCTGAAAGCTGCAGTCATGGTCAGTTGATACCCCAGCAACAAGCTGGCTTTTTGTTGTCGCACTTCCCCAGCGCAAACACCGCTGCATCGATCGGCGACCTCCCCAGTAGCCAATAAGCGACCACTTTCACTTCCACCAAGGTAAGATCGGACTCCCATATCCGATGTATTCTCGAGATCTTCACCAAACATCATGACATGGTCCGAAGGAGGTCTGTATCCTGTCCAGATAGCAGTATCCTGTTCTACGCCCAGGGGAACACCACACTCCTTTGCTCCGGTGGACCAATTGTTGCGAGTTTTTCCCTCGCCATAATATTCCTTATTGGCTTGTATTTCTATTATACGGCAGAAAATAGACGTCTTGATCAACAATACGGCCTACCGTCACATTTGGCGCCACTTGATGATATTGCCGAGGACACCTTTAACCAAACTGATCGACAAATGTCTAACTTCAGGTACTTGAAGTAAAAACTAGACAGATTCTTTTTGTCCATTTGACACCCATAATGTTTTACATGAAATACGATGGAGTTCTTATTTAACGAAGAGCTTATCAAAAAATTGTGGAATAACTCTGTTGTCTCTATAAGGCTATAAGATCCCAAACAGGTGATGAAAATATTGACTATAACAAAAGCTGAAAGGGGAAGTGACTAAGTGGGCAAAGTAATCTAACGTTGATCCCAAACGAGGTGCGCGCATACCGAAACATGTAATCCAATGATGTTGAAGAAATGGAGCGGTAACTTATCCGTACCCTTCGCGTACCCACAAGCAAATGTCCTAACCCCAAGTACTAGACCCTAGGGCATCTTCTATTCTAAATTAACCCAACCCTCTTATTCATCTGGTGCTGATTCCGTTTGATCTCATTTGCCAATATGCATACTAACCTCTTGAGAGCTTATCCCTTGTTACTCTAAAGCTCTTAGGACACAGAGCTACCACATAGGATAAATCAGGGCTAGTCCCTGGTGGGTTCGTGGCTTGACTAGTGTAGTGGTAACAGGGCTGCGCCTTGAGAGCAAGAAGGAGCCTGGCGCATTTTGGAAACTAGACAGCACTGAAAGAGAAGAAGTCCGATATCCTTCCTGGGGAGTCTCAAATAAATTGCTTTGATATCTCCGATCTCAACACGGTCAACTCAATAAAGCTAACATCGATGCTTGTACGATAAAAGAGATTGGCTACTTCCCCGATACAGGCACGCTTAGTCTTGGCGTAAGCAGTCAAAATATTATGTCGACCCACTCTTTCCCTGAACATGCGAGCGAATACTATAAATACCTGCATTTACATTACAGTCTTGGATTTCATAAACGTTACTTGGAAACCGGTCCAAATATAGGCAGCGGTCTAACGTAATGTAGTAGTAGCGCTTGGGCTTGCTAAACCGGAATCGAATGCGAAGAAGGGGAGAGAGAGAGAGAGAGAATAAAGATGTTCTGGAATGGATGTGGGAGTTCGGGTAGACATCGCATATACTCAGAGAGAAAGGAAGCTTCGAAACTAGAGTACTATATCCGTTTACGGTCTTCTTACCGCGTGTGTACCCGCTTAGGGAACCCCAGTCCGGAGTGAAAATCATAGCAGACTGCCAGACAGAGCGATCAAAGCCAGAAAAAGAAAGACCCGAATTAAACTAAGAGGGAAAGCAGCTAGTGTGGTCAACTGCTATTCCAATTTAAGAATGACTGTGAATCTGGCCAGCGGCATTCGCCCCTGAAAAAACCTTGTTTAAAGTTCTTGGCATGTCAGTTATGTCGACTCCATCCCACTCTGTTCTGAATGGCCCAATCACGGAGGCCTGATGTGGACCCTCGTGGAAGATCAGCAAGGATGGCAGGCTAACCTGCAGAATACAAATTAAACTATTGACGATCGTTCGGGGACTGCTGCTTGAAACGAGCTAGACTCGAGCTTTCTGCGGGTGGACCTCTCCACAAGTCCACGAGCAACAGTCTCCCCACAACCGCGGCATAACCAACTTCGACGGATTTCAATGGTCTTCAACGGCCTTAGCGAGGGCGGAGAGAGTGTGTCAAAATGGACGATCGGAACTTTGTTGTTTTAGGGGGCAAACCAAATTCTGCTGTGATATAAAAGCTTGGTTGGGATCCCGACACGTTGAATTCACCACTTACCACAGTCGTTCCTTATTTTGAACATGATTGTCACTCGTTTGTTTGGCCTACTGGCCGCCACGGCTGGCGTCGCCAAGGCCGTCAATCTTACCGGATACGAATATGTTGTCGTTGGTTCCGGTGCTGGAGGTGGCCCCTTGGCAGCTCGCCTTGCGATGGCTGGCCACAAGACCCTCCTTCTCGAAGCTGGTCAGGACGAGGGCGAAACCTTCAACTACACCATTCCCGCCTATTCGGCCAGAGCCTCCGAGGACGAGAAGCTCTCTTGGAACTTCTTCGTTCACCACTATGCCGATGATGAGCGCCAAGCTCGCGATTTCAAGACCAGCTACGAAACCCCCACTGGCGAACTATACACTGGCTTGAACCCTCCTGAGGGCTCAAAGCTGATGGGAACCCTCTATCCTCGTACAGGTATGTATCGTGCTTTTAGTCTGAGAAAATTTGTTCAAAGATTCTTATCTTGAGTTATCCTAGGCACTCTCGGTGGATGTACTGCCCACAATGCCTTAATTGCTGTCTACCCCCACCAGTCCGACTTTGAATACATCTCAACCCTGACTGGCGACAGCTCTTGGTCGCCCGAGAACATGCGCAAGTACTTTGCCAAGCTGGAAAGGAACCACTACTTGCTCCCCGCCATGGAGGGTCACGGTTACAATGGCTGGCTCCAGACCGAGACCGCTCCCCTGAGCATCGTCCTAGAGGACCCCCAGCTGCTTAGCATGCTTACCGGTGGTGCTTTCGCTCTTGGTAACTTGACCGACAATGTCTACAATATTGCCACCCTGCTGGCCGGTGATGCCAATGCTGATACGACTATCCGTGATACCGTCCCTGGCTACTATCAAATCCCTATCTCGACTGACGATGCGCACCGCAACGGTGCTCGTGAATTCATTATCGCTGTGCGGGATGCTACGAACGCTGACGGCAGCAAGAAGTACCCTCTTGATGTTCGCATGAACACTCACGTTACCAAGGTGACCTTCGATGAGACCGTCGACCCGCCCCGTGCTACAGGTGTCGAGTTCCTCGATGGCCAGTATCTCTACAAGGCTAGCCCTCTGTCAAAGACTGCTTCTGCCGGTATCCCTGGTTCCGCCACAGCTTCCCGTGAGGTCATCGTTGCCGGTGGTGTCTACAACTCGCCCCAGATTCTCAAACTAAGTGGTGTTGGTCCCGCCGACGAGCTAAACAAGTTCGGCATTAAGGTCATCAAGGATCTCCCCGGTGTCGGCACCAACCTCCAGGACCACTACGAGATCTCCGTCCAGGGCACTGTCGAGGAGGACTTCTCCTGCTTGAACGGCTGCACCTTCAGCATCCACGACGAGGCCGACCCCTGCATTAACCGATGGGAGACTCCCATCCTCGGTGACCACGGTATTTACTCGTCTCCCGGTCTCGCTGCTACCATGCTGTACAAGAGCTCCGTTACTGCCGATGATAGCTTCGATATCTTCTGTTTCGGTGGCCCAGTTAACTTCCGCGGCTACTTCCCCGACTACAGCATCAACGCCACTGATGAACACAACTGGTTCACCTGGGCCATCCTGAAGGCTCACCCCCGCAACACTGCCGGTACCGTTGCCCTGCAGTCTGCTGACCCTCTGGAAGTTCCTAAGATTACCTTCAACTACTTTGACACCGGTGTCGGCGACTACGACGCCGATCTCACTGCTCTCTACGAAGCCATCGAGCTCGCTCGTGACGCCTTCAAACGCCAGCTCGTCAACGTCACCGAGGTCCTACCCGGTGCCGCCGTCACTTCCAAGGAAGACATCGAGACCTACGTCAAGGACGCTGCCTGGGGTCACCACGCTTCGTGTACCTGCCCCATCGGTGCTGACGGTGACCCCATGGCCGTGTTGGACTCTAAGTTCCGTGTCCGTGGTGTCTCTGGTCTCCGTGTCGTTGATGCTTCCGTGTACCCCAAGATTCCGGGTACTTTCACGGCTGTGTCTACCTACATGGTTGCCGAAAAGGCGGCTGATGAGATTCTGAGTGAGCTCGCTGCTAGCTCTTGATTTTGTAGATGAGATTTTGGAGTTGTGTAAGTTTTAAGGGGTGAATGTATATACGCGCGGGGTGTTATCAGGAGGTAATTTTCTTACTGTGTACTTCTAATAGAGAATTCAATATCAAGCAAGACTATGAATTGAATGAAATGCATCATTATGGCAGCCATGACGGATCTGAGCCCGTTTCATACGAAAACCAAGCTCTGATCCAATTCTCAATATAGGAACCGGGCGAGACGATAGTTCCAGCGCTTTCAGCGAGCTGCTTCTTCTTCTTCTTCGTCTTCTGCAACCCAGTAAGCCTCGACTTCATCGGTGCACGTCCTTGCTGGAATCTATTATCCTTCTTCGCAGTGACCAAAGGATGGGTACTAGAAGAGTAGAAGAGATTGCTGTCAACTACGATAGCGTTAGTCCTGCGGCAGGCATTGCTCAATCCAGGCACACGAAAAGTCTATTGGGTATTCGCTCATTGAGCGTATATAGCTTGAGGTCCGGGTGATAATCAGAAGATGACACGAGTCTCTGTCAGATCTATTTTGCCTTGTTAGATGAAATGGAAAGAAAAGGCAAAATTCAGTGCATTTCGTCATCATAATCGTTAAGGAACTACTCTGTGTACCATAGACAGTACTGAAAATGCAGGTATTGGCGAAAATTCTATCTCATATCACATAAACCATAAAAGCAGGTAAAGAATGCACTCAAGCAAGGAAAGCCTCTAGCTTTGCCTTATTCAAGATCTCTGCCTCAATCAACCGCGCAGTCTCGGAGACCTCTCCGTTGATGCGCTGATAGCGCACCAGCGCTGGGACGTTGTTGACATTCCACTGTGTGCGGTAGATGTTCTTAGGATCTTTCCACCTGTAAAAAGAGTTAGCCAACGTAGCACTATAAGACTGAACAAAGTTTCAGACACGTACACTGGTTTCTCTCCCACGGAAACAAGAGCTACAGTCGGGGCATCGGGCGCAGTGAACGCAGCATCGATGTGTGGCAGCGCGGCACGAACGTCAGGGCACCATGGCTGCTTGGTGATGACATCGTCGCCGGAGATGAACGCGAGGAAGAGTTTTGCGTTGGGAGCATCGGGAACTTCCAGGAGCCTTGCAGAGGCCGGCAGGGTGAAGTTTTTGATGATGGGCATTTTGTTGGGGGCGTTTGGAGATAAGGGATAGGTTGTTGATGTTGTTTTCGGGTAAGAGTGGTGCCAGGTGTCCTCCACTGTTCACTGGAGTCATGAAAATTGAGATTCTATGCGGTGAGAGTTCTCAGAGAAAATGATGCCATTTGGGTGCTTTGTTGGTTGATCGGCGATTCGGAGGTTTTGGTGGAACGTGGAAATTCTGCAACAATCCACATGTACAGCGAATAATAGTGGGCATTACGTAAAATGCATAAAGTTTCATGTACAACCCAGCCACATTAACACATAATCTTTCAATGCATAGGGGTAAGTGATTATGGCTCTTTAATCCTTGTGCGCTAGCAAGATATTTTTCATGTCAGACAAGAAGGACGTAGGTAAGATGCTGCATTTTAGGTGCTTGACAATGTTCTCTCACCGTATTTCAGGCACACTAATTATGTGCACAAAATGGCCCTTGTATTACTGAGTTCGAGAATTGAATTACGAAAGAGGTTTAGCGTGGAAGTGCCAAGTCTCGATGGTGGGTCCTCCAAGTCTCGATGCCAGCTATGCACTCATAAACAACCCTTTTAGATAGCTGAGTTCGAGAATTGAATTACGAAAGAGGTTTAGCGTGGAAGTGCCAAGTCTCGATGGTGGGTCCTCCAAGTCTCGATGCCAGCTATGCACTCATAAACAACCCTTTTAGATAGCTGAGTTCGAGAATTGAATTACGAAAGAGGTTTAGCGTGGAAGTGCCAAGTCTCGATGGTGGGTCCTTTAAGTCTCGATGCCAGCTATCTAAAAGGGTTGTTCATTAAGTGACCGCTACAATCCACCTTAGGTGGGCCTGCTCAGCAGAATGGGGCTTGTGTATGCACTTAGTATCAACGCAAGGAACATGATCGCCTATAGAGTCGGCACTGAGAAATAAGCACTTCAGAGCTTAGAAAAGACTATGTTTCTACTTGTATATTGGGATTCCCTAGGTTTGAAAACTTCGACTGGATTTCAAAGTCAGCCATACCTTGAAAGAAATCCCAAAAGATATTACCCAGGCTGTTTAGGAAGACATCAAAACACATCTAGGGGACCTGTGAAAGACTGCAATTCAAAGTGTATCTGGCTCGATTCTCTTCGCTGTCGCTAGATTCGATTTTCTGAACTGCCAATGGAGCTTAGCCTGTGAGGGACTGTTGAAGCGCGTGACATTATAAACGCTTAGCTGTTAGGGCTTGCGACCATAACGTTATGTGCGCTACTGATACGTCCTTGTCATGTCAGAACATAGCATCCCGCTATATTTGGTCTTTTGGCCTGTTCGATTAGCGGGTCCGGGCGCATGTCGTAACCTTAGCACTCAAAATTCACCCTCTAGACTCGATCACTTTTAACGTCCCAGGCAGCTCGAAATTTTCGTCCACTCTATCTAAACTGATTCTTAACAGTATTTTATACTGGGCTCAAGATCTAACGATTTACATGAGTCGACTATTTAGACCCTACCTACAAGCTACTACAGGTAGACAGAGCGCGTATGGATGGCAGATGATATTGGCAAAATAAGCCCTCATATGCTCTTCAAAGGCTGGAGCGGACATTATGTATAGTGTCTAGTTTAAATACGAGAAGACCTTGTAGCATCATTCGAGAGGGTCGTCTGCCGCTTTGACCTTCATTTCGTTCTTAAGAATGGATTATGAGATATGTACAGTACAATACAGTAGTGGGCTCCTTGACTTCTGAGCCTGTGCGCCCTGTAGAGGGTCTTGCAAAATTTCAGGTGATATCTTACCCTGAAGATGTCAAGCCTGTATACGCTCAAAACTGCCCGGCTAAGTGTTGTGGTTCAACTGCTTCCTGACCGGCGCATTTTTTTTTTTACGCTGCAGTCATTCCAATTACGTGTCAGATTGCAAACATCTCCATTTTCAAGGCGCTTGGCGGGATTGACCCGGCTTTCTTGGCGTCTTGGCAATCCTTAATATAGAGGTAGCGGGTTAGATCCGTTTACAATTTACCGCTGGGTTTGTGGCATTACCAAGGTGTTATCATGTCTTCGCCGCTTGATCCTGTTCGGCACGGCCCTAACCATGTGCCTGAGAGCTCCTGCCATTATTATTGTCCCGCTAGTTCCCCTCTTTCTTTCCTTCAAGCATTTGATGCACAATTCGTGGCTTAATTGAACCGAATGCAGCCTTGCTTATGGCCTCTGCGACTAATTTCTCGTATAAATACGACATCATCCATCGGCCCGAGACGTATGGCGGCCCTGCCAAGCAGTTTGAAGAAGTATCAGCGGGCGAACCCGCCTTGTGCATTTGGCATAGCCATCTTGATGATCAAAGCTTTGCTCTCTAAACTCCTCGGATATCTCAGAGCTTTCTCGCCTCATCCATCCCACCCTGCCTACACAAGCTAGCTATGTCCGCAATGTAACCTCGTATACTGGTCTCTGCCATGATGCTTTACGGTGCTGTGACTTACCGTTGACTGCAAGAGCTTGCATCTTGATTGGAGGAACCCCCATTTTCTTTCGGAAATTCGAGCCTTGAAGCAGTCAAAGGGAATATGTACTGGCTATAATTTTCGACCAATTTATCCATCTTACTATCAACTTGTCATTCTAGAGATGTATATAAGGAGCTCAAAATCCAGTAAATTCTCGTATATTCTCTTTCCTCGGAATAATACTCAACTTCTTTACATTATATCAATATGAAGACCATTTCTACCATCCTCTGTCTCACCCCTCCCCTTGCTGGCAAGTGCTGCCCCAGGTCTTGAAAAGAGGGAATCGTGCAACGTCTTCAATTACGATGGTCCGGTGCACTGCAGAAGCAGCCCGTCCTTCAAAGCTAATTCAGTCACCACTATCGGTGATGGGGATGCGTGGGACTTTTCTTGCTATAAGTCAGGAGACTGCTATGAGGGCGTCTGGTAAGTATACGTTCTAAATAGATGATATTGACGGTAGATGCTAACGATACTTAGCTCTTGGGATTATAACTGGGAGTTGAAGTGCTATATCAACGGATATTATACTTCGGATCAGTGCAATTCCAGTAAGTTCGCGTTCTTGACTGCTCAGAATGTTGAAACTGACAAGCATGCTTCATCATTACAGAGAATCTTCCCAAGTGTTAAAGTAGGCAGTGACCCAATATTGTGGGTGAAGGATCTTTTCGCTGCGTGGAAGGAAAGACTCCTCTTGACCCAGAAGAATGACCACGATGACCACGAGGTTATAAGCATTGAAAACTTCATGGCAGTAGGAGATGTCAAATACCACAAAATTATTTGATCTATCCTCTATTCGTTCTTCGGTAGGATTTCATAGCCAGAATCTTGTCTTTCCAACTTGATTCGAGTTAACAAGTCAATGCTAAGCAATTGAATGTCAATGTTAGCGTCTGAGTTTACGTTCTGAGACGTCTAGTTAACAGTAACTTCTTGAATAATTTCTTAGTCACTCATGTAAATCTGCTCTCTATCTGGACTAGCCCTTCTATATAGTCCGCGATCCGACGGGATCCTCTCCAGTCAATCAGCCACAAGCTGCGCCAAATTTAATGCGCACGCCATATCCAGAAAGTTCGTACGGATACTTCTGCACAGCTGCACAGAACATAACTAAAAGGCTAGAGTATACTCTGGAGTCTCGTATTCAGGAACACGAGATAAAATGGGAGAGAATATCGTGATTCGTGCAATCCTCAAGCTAAAGCTCGTATTATTTTAGCGTGACGCCTCACACGGGCAAAAGGACAAGATTCAGCTAACTCAGCAAGAGAAGAGGCTACAACAATTCAAGATATAAATCAACATAGCTGTGCTCCTTGATTCCGTTTCTCTTTAATCTACCTCTCCTCTTCAATTCAATACCAGTCATCGAACAAAGTCGCAAACTCAAAATGTCTTCGTCCGGCCTTGTCCCTGTTATCATCAACCTAGCAGGTCAAACTAGAATCAATGAAGTAGTTCTAGCTGATGAAAACGCTGAGTCATTCGAGGTTCTCGCTACCAGCTTCTACCAGAGCCTGCGCCCCAGTATCCCCGAGTTCTACTTGGAACAGGGAGAGCGAACTATCACCAAAATGTGGGTGGAATGGAACCAGGGAGGCGGCAACTTTCTCCCCATGGAGACGGAGATTACCGAGGCCAACCTCCGTGCCGTCCTTCGACTGCTTGCTGTGCGACGGGGTGTTGATATGATCCGCGTTTGGCTCAATGAGATTGATTAAGAGGTCGAGTGAGTATTTGACAATTCATGCGCCGTCATGAAGTAATCTCTGACTTCTCGAGAACCTAGTCTTCGCCTGGCTGTGTTTTGAGAATTCCCTTTACAGCATTTTTAGGTTAAATTCATGCTCAGAGGTGGTATAATTTGCTTGCAGTCGATGTGACAGGCGGTGTTTTATCAGATAGACATATTCAGCCTCTTAGCAATTCATGCAGGGTTTACTGTGAATTAAAACAATTAGAACCCTCATGTTACGGAGATTCAAATAGTCGCACTGAGCTGTCAAGGGTACCAAATTTAAGGAAAAGTGCCACCTCATCGGGTGGCTGAACTCCACGCTGGAAGTCCTGCCTAAATAGGAAGCATAGTACGGCTAAATGCTGGCGTTATCTCAGACATCTCAGCAGGTCCAATCTTGCCCGTTGACATTCTGATAAGATTGAACATGTCTCCATGAACAATTGTATCGTGCATGTCACATTCGGCTTGGCTTGGTTACGTTTCCCTTGCATGCTGTCTCTGGCTTATTTCTAGAATTGAGACGAATATACGACAGCCTCCCTGGCTACACGGAATGATACCATCCCATCCGGCGAATTTAAAGCCTGGATGCTGGAGAACTACGGTTCGAGTGAGGTATCTATCTCTGGGAGCTCAGGTTTTCAGACAATATACATTCTCAAATATCGTAAAACTCTCCTCCTACTCTCCACCCCCGTCATTCAATATCCATTACTAGCCACGTTCATTACTCCAAACGTGAACTCAGCGGCAGATCCCGACTCGACCGTCCAACATACACCCTCTTATGCGTGTCCGTAACACGCCAATTCTGCTCCTTTACATCCCAGTTACTCAAATCACGACGCGTCAATGTAGCTCGGAAAGTCGAGCTTTGCCCAGGCAGCAGGTAAATTCGGTCAAAGTTCCTTAGCTGGCGAGGTGGGTTATCACCGCCGAGATCCACATAGAGCTGGACGACTTCGTCACCGGCTACCTTGCCGGCGTTCGTGATCTGTGCGGTGACCTCGTATAGCTCGTCGTAAAGCATGTGGTTGCCACCACTCGACACCTGATCTCCAGCTGGGTTGAGTGACTGGGGGGAGCCGTCGCGTGCGTGTGGTGGGATGAAGTCTGTACGGCCGTATTCAGGATCTTTAGATGCGACACGCAGTGAGACTGTGCTGTTGAGGTATAGGTAGATAAAGGACCTGATGTACTTGAATGCGGCAGGGAACTTGTAGTCTTTCAGGTTGTGGCTAGGCGGTTGTCCGATCGAAGGTGCTTGAGCCGTGGTGCCAGTCGTCGGGCTGTATGGCTGAACGTGCTTCTTCACGACGCGGAGATCGGAGTATTTAAAGGTGGTGTAGGAAAGGCCATATCCAAATTCGTAAATTGGCTGGATGCCAGCTTTGTCGAAATGGCGGTAGTCAAGGTAAATGCCCTCAGTGAAATCCTGCTGAGGTGCTCGCTGGCCGTTATTGGGCTCGTACAGGATGTCGGTGCCATAATCCTTTCGGGCCTTAGCCCAGGTGAATGGAGAACGACCGGCGGGATTGACTTCACCCCAGAGTATGTCGACGAGGGCGTTTCCAGATTCTTCACCTGGCATGCCTGCCCAGACAATAGCTGTGATATTTGGGTGCTCATAGAAATCATTCAACAACACGGGACCGACAGAGTGTAGAACAACGATGGTGTTGTTACAAAGCGAGCTGACAGTGCGAATGACTTCGTCCGCATTCTGCCAGAGTGTCAGGTTGTTGCGGTCGCCCCAATTGTTGTCGACAGTGATGTACCCTTCACCGGAATCGGCATTCCCAAATACGATACAGGTTGCATCTGGCTGCGAGACAAGCGAGGAGATAGCATTACCGTCGTAGTTATCAAAGATGCTTTCGTAACGGCCATCATATTCAAGAACCTTGGACTGGATAGCGGAGTCCGGAGTGACTAGGTAAGGGAATTCGGTAGACCCAGATCCCCATCCCATGGCGAGAGTGCCTCGATCGCATCCACGATCCGCACAGCCGTTTGGACCCTTGGGGTTTGGTCCGGCATCCTCGCCGACAACAGCAACAAACTTAGGCTGCTTCAGTGGCAGAACGCCAAAGTTATTCTTGAGAAGGACAGTACCCTTAGCAGCAGTCTCGCGAATGAGCTTCTTATGGTCTCCCCGGACATCAATATGCCAGTTCACCTGCTCGTAATCCTCCTTGCTATAAGCGTACTTGAAACCGTACGTGTTATGGGTCCAGGCATTAAAATTGACGTCTGGTTGATCCTCAATTGTAAGGCCAACCTTGAAATATGCAGCCATGATACGCATCACCATATCATCCAAGCGCCATTCGGGAACGGTGCCGTTCAGCGTTGCAATAGTGAGGTTGGAGCCCCAGAAGCTCAAGCCGGAGTCAAATTCAGTATCACCCGGCATACTCATATCGAGTCCAGCTAGAGCAGATGAAACACCAGAGTGGTGGGCTCCCCAATCACTCATGACAAAGCCCTGGAAGCCCAATTCACTCTTGAGAATCTTGTTGAGAGTCTGACTGTTCTGGCATCCGTAGGAATTGTTGATCTGAGAGTAAGAACACATGAAAGAGCCCACACCAGCGCGAACAGCATCAGCAAATGGCCACAGGTATAGCTCATGCATGGCACGATCGTCAATATTGGAGGAAATAGTGTCAGAAATGGTATATCCATGACCTGCAGCTTCACCCACTTGACGGAAGTGCTCTTGCTCGTTACCAATGTAGTGTTTGGCACAAGCAATAACTCCAGTATCCTGTATGCCTTTAATTGTCTCAGCCATGGCGATACCAGTCAAGACGGGATCTGGGGAGAATCCCTCCCAGTTCCGGCCACCCTCAGGAGTACGGCCGAGGGGACCAGCAACAGGGCCCAATTGAATCGTGACTCCTTTTCCTTTGTGCTCCTGTGCCATGGCACGGCCTCTTTGGTAAAGGATCGACTTGTCGAATGTTGCGGCAGCCATTTGGCTAGATGTGAAAGCGGAGACATAGTCTGCGAACCGGACACCTTGTGGAGAATCCTGGGCGCAAAAGCCCTTGAATCCAAGACGAGGAATTGATCCAGTATTTCCTACACATGGTCCATTTTCCCAGCTTCATGGAGTCAGTAGCTAATCGCACGTAGATCGGAAGAAGTCAAGGAGCCTTACCCAACACCCGTAGTCAGGTTGATTTTCTCCAATAAAGTGAGCTGCGAGACAAAGGCATGGGCTTTCTGGTACGCAGTTTCCCAGCCTTCAGCGTGAGGATTCATCCATGGTGAAGGGTAGAAAGGTTCTGAGAAAGATTCCTTGGCTTGCGTCCCGTGGAGAAACCCGGGCTGCAGTGCAAAGAGTTAGCATGGGAAAAGTCAACTGAAACGCGTCAATTGACTTGTGGACAAACCTCATGCTCTTGCATGGGCTGCGCAGTCGCAACAACCTGGCTCGCCCATGACGCGAAGGCGAGAAGAATAGTAGAGCCCTGCATGGTTCAGGCACTGGGCGATTGTTGACCGAGAGTAACAAGCCGCCTTCAGGTCCGCCTTGCGCCGGTCTTGTATGATGAGAACCGACGAGAGGGGGCGCGTTCAATGCGGCCGCTGAGATCTCATCACATTCTTATATCGCGTCGAGCATTTTCGAGTCCTGGGTCACGTTGCCAAAGGGTGGGATAGCGTGCACCCGCGTGTCTCGAACTGCTTTTGACCCTTGGAAGGCACCCTATTGGCTTACATTCTGCTGTTTTGAAGGAGCTCGGGGCTTTCCATAACTAGTGGCGGCGGTCGTTATTTGCGATACTCCACAACAGCAGAGTAGTCTCGGCAGTCAGTCGATGATAATCTGGACAAGCTTGGGACTGGTTGTGATCTTCGCCTGATGGAGCAGGCATAACACCAATTAGTTATATTTGGATGGTTGTTCACACCCAGTTAGCAAAACTGATATTATTCTGGTATGATGGGTCAGCCATATGTACAATAGACGGCGCAAGGTATGCAGTGTAGCCATCCCTTGTGTATCCCTGCCAAGAGTGGTACCTCGCGGCATTGCCAGATACAATCACCAGGACCATCAGCTAGTCGTGCATATTCTGACGTTAGGAGACAATTGCTGGAACTTTGGGTAAACTTTGAAAGTGGTAGGGATGCCTGCCAACAGGCAAGTCGAAATGTCCTGAAGAGGGAGATTTCTTGCAGGCGATGAGATAACGGCAGATGCAGCTTTCGAGGATTGCTGCATTGTTCTCAATCCGAGCTATCCTAGCAAGATTTTTTCAATCTCCTTCATTCGGCTTGCAACCAAATAGTGCAATTCCATTGATTGAACCTTGAATTCTTGATGCTCGAGGGGTAGTACTCGAGTGTCAACAGAGGAGGCTTGGTTCTGTCGATGTTCATTGGTTGTCGTTCCTTGAAGGTGGAGACAGCCCCGGATGCAAACGAGTCAAACAAGGCCTCTGTGTATGGATGGTTCGAGGGTACAAAATGATACAACGGCAGGATAGGAGATCACTGATGGAAACCAGGGTTACAGGAGTTGGACTTGGTCAATTTCAAAATGAGTTGCTGCTCGGTGGCCGCCATCGGCCGGCGTACTTCTCACAAGGCGTTTATCAGCAGCTGCATCCGACGGGCGTAGAACAGCTACAATTGGCTGCCATCCCATCTACACCGTATGGTAGCCCGCACTTCAACCCAGTAATATCCCCTCATCCTCACCAAAGATGAGCCAAACCAACCTCAAGCCTGACTTACCGACGCACGTATCTGCAGGGCAGCCGTGTGGCTTCCTCAGCAAGGAATCAGCGAGAATCGATAGGCGCTCGGGCTTGGTGGCGCGGGGCTCACGGTCAGCTGCACGGTGATATGTGCGAAGAACGCTCTGCGCCCGGGTTGTCTATCGGCAACGATCGGCCATGCACGAGAAGCGAGCAAACTGGGGGCCGATGACGGTGTCCTTGTTCTTTTGTTTTCCTAGTGGTTCCAGCTGAGCCTCAAAGCACTCGGTCGGATCGACTCGAGAAGGTCAATCGATGTCGATGTCAGCCACGATGGCTAGTTCATCCTCCCGTTTGAACACCATTCGATGAAAGCTTTCACTCTGGGCTTCAATAACTCCTGATGGACGAGGGGAAAGCCGATCTTGCCGTCGCTTCCTGCCTCAGGTCCAACCGAGATCGATCGCATGGCAGACCCGCCTACCCCTCCCCACACCCCCGCCAGCTCGTCCAAAGGCACGCCGAATGTCATCCAGGGGGATGTGAATTACACTGGTCTCCAGAATGATGGAGGAGTAATCACTGGAAATGTCGCTGGATTCAACACTATAGTCGGTAATTTTTGATCCCCAATGAGTCATGCTTCACATAGTTACTGACCAGTTCAGGGACTCTGAATTTGACCGTTGATTCTGCCGCTGATCTAACGAATAACATTCAAAGTTTCACTGCTCGTGTTGCGACGGCTGCTGAGAGATTGAGAGACGCTGAGACCAGGATTCGCGCAACGTCTCAACTTTTGAGTAGTATTCGCGATTTAGTGATTGCGCGAGCAGCAAAGGAAGGTATCAATATCGGCAGAGATTTCAAACTTCAGGATGGTGAACAGACTGAAACTGGAAGCGTAAATTCACCTAACGATGGAGGAAATGCAACCGGCGAGGGTGAAAGAGGGGGCGTCGATCCTAGTCAACCTAGAGGGACCGGTGGAACAGTTCCAGGACCGACCATCTTGGAGAAGCCCTGTTTTCGCGACTTGGTAAATGCGAGTCAAAGCGCTGCAGATCGATTTGAGCGCATCAACATCAAAATTCACGAGGCATTCAGCAGTATCGAGCCTATGCAACGAGGACGGCCCAAGGTTGAGCTCAGCGAGGACGACCGGATGAAGTTCTTTTTGACGGAGAGGGATATCGATGACATGGAGAGGCATATTGAATCTCACAAATTAGAGGTTCACATCGCGTTGACTGCGTTTGAAGCGACGATGTAAGGATTCTCGTGATCAAGCACATTCATCGTCAAGAGCAAAGTCATCAATTAACATATCACCCGCACAGGGGCGACAAGCGTTCCGAGGCTATCCAATTAGTGATTCTGGAGATGTTCAAAGAGATCCAAAGAATTGGAGAGTACTTCTTCAATCGCAATCGTACATCTCCACAACCACCTCAAGATCCACATCGTTCAAACCCGATTTTCGACCCATACTCCTGGCAAAGGACGTATCATCATGCACGACCTTTCATCTTTCCCGACCTTTCCAGATTAACTTCCCTATACTTGGGCTGGACATTTACCAAAGGACGGCCACCGTATGTACAAATAAATACCAGCACCACGCAGTCCTCGTGGCGATGGGCTATCTGCAGTCAAATGGCCCTCTCAACTGAAGAGCTCTTCCTCAAAGTTCTTGCCCAGACTACCAAGCGCTCAAAGCTTCGTCGTACCATCCAGGATGATTGCAAAGACCTGTTGAAGACGAGTACCCAGAGGATGCTTGTGGACAATTTGCTGCGTGAACAAAATGAGAACTTGTCGATACACTATCCGTTTTTGGCGTTGAAGTTGGCAGGTTTGTCATGTAAAACGCGGAGAATTGGCTTTTTCACTCACGAGACGAAGAGTATCAATGTCATTTTGAAAACAGAATGGGATCCTGATCATCCGCGACATGGTCCCATACCACCAGGGGGTGGTGGTGGACCACCGCCACCACCTCCTGGGTTTGGTGGTCCTCCTTACGGCCCTGGCAGGCGTCTTGGAGGAGGAGGTGGTGGTAACGGCCCTGGGTATCCCCCAGGTGGAGGCCATTCGGACACAATTCATCCCCATGGCCCAGGCCATACCAGCCAAGGTCCACAACACACTCCTCAACATACTCCTGGTCAAGCCAAGCCATTTTCCAAGAGCCACTCACAACCAGAAGTCCATCATTCTCATCCACACGTTACTCCAACAATCTCCGACCCAGAAATCGTCTCGCGCGAGCCGCGAATGTACATTGTCAGAAAGAAAGACAAGAGTAAAACCACAGAACCAGACAACGAGAGCACTCGCCGTGTCTTCGTCCGAGATAGACATGGACATCGGAAGATTGAAATCGAAAATCGCCGTCCGACAAGCTCTCATACTGATTATATCGATGGACCTTCGACATCAGCTCGACCAGATCATGCTCCTCCTCCTCCACCCCCGCCTGGTCCATATAACCACTTCTACAAATCCCACGCGCAGGAGCAATACATACCAGCGCATTCTCGTACTCGCGTACCTGTACCTCCACCTCCACCTCCACCTCGCCCTTTCTTCGAAACGGTATACTCCTCCGACACCGAGCCTCGAGAATTCTTCCAAAGGCCCTCCAGACCTGCCCCCGAAAGCATGCATCCTCCGACCCAAGAAATGACACACGAACAAGAAAAGAAAGTCATCGACGAAATCTTCGCCGAATGGGAAGACGGCGTGCACGGCACACCAACGAGTCCAAGTAACACTAACGCCACCCGCAAGGAAAAAGAGAAAATGGAGCGAGAAGATCGCGCTAATAAGAACCGCACTTCCTCAGCGCATGTACCACGCATCGGACCGACCCGCCGGATGATGCTGGAAGTTGAGCATGAAGCTCAGACGCAGGAGAAGATTGAGAAGATGATCCGTGAGACGCATGTACTTGAGGAACCTGACTATCAACGCTCGCACTCGTTTGAAAAGGAGCGGCGGTATAGGTCCGGGGTGGACGTTTCTACAGATAGCGACGTGGACAGTGAAAAAGATAAGAGGTATTCTGAGACGGAGAGGTATTACCAGAATCCACCTGGTCATCCTGAGGTGATTATACCCGGACCTTCGAGGCGTCACGAATCATCAGCGCCGGAGATACATGTCAGAGAGAGGCAGTATGTTCGTGTGGACGGGGCTGATCCCTCGGGCCGTCTGAGAGACGGAATGAGTACTTTGGAATCCCCATTGTAGATCACCTCCCGGATGATCCTGAAAGCCATGGGAGGGTTAGGCTAGTTCCACCACGTATGAGGGAGAGAGAACGTGAACGGCCTCGTGTGGTCATGACGCAGGGACTTGAACCCGAACGGCCATCCACGGAGCGTGTAAGGAGGATTATTGAGACGAGAAGTCCGAGGGCAATGTATGAGTCTGTTTCTGAGGAATCTTCGTTTGAAGAAAGCGAATAATTAATGGTCGAAGATGGGCCGGGCTGGTTGGAGCCCTGCTTGGTTCCATGTGATACCCCGAAATATTATGTATGTTTATGGTTCGGAGGTGTTCTGAGAGAAGTAAACGCAGTTGAAATGTATAATTCCTATATATGCGGCTATATACACCAGATTTTGTCCGCCGGGTGGGGCTTTCCTGTCTACGCTCAGGCTCAGGCTCAGGCTCAGGCTCAGTGATCTCGTCAGTCCAGTCATATGATCGCTCAGTGACCAAGCATGGATGCTCAGTGATCACACAGTCACTGCTTACTCGCCAGCACTCATTGTCCAGTCAGCGAGCCGTACTTCTATTCTTCCAGCCCAAGTCAGACTACACCTCAAGGACATGCCCCACAGGGCCATCTATTCTGTGAACACTAGCGCGTAATATTACGTGTGAGGTCCACCCATCCTGGAGGTCTCCATTCAGTCAAAAACTGCGCTATTAACCCCCGACCAAAACAAAATTGAGGTGGCCTGTCCTGTTCAAGATTATGCTGTTTAAACCGGCTTTGCACTATCGTGTATCATGTCATGTAATCTAAAATGTAAAAGGAGACTTTGTCCCCTCCACTGTCTCATTAAACATAACATCCATTCATGGCTTGCAGCCGCTCCTCAAAGACTGCCTCTTCACCTTTGAGCTCATAATCAATATCCGGTCATATGTCGAAAAGCCTTTTTCTCCGAGTGTGATGAGAAGGCTAAAGAAAGGCCCCGTCTCTTACGGCAGAGGAACGGCTATATCCCTAGCGCCCATAAGGAGGAAGATGCTATTCGAAATAAAGATAGAAAGCTTCTAGGACTAAACGATTACACTAACAAACCTTGAATCTCTAGCTTGAGTGAGGTTGAAATTCGGACAGAATGTGACGAATTATAAGCTATCTGAGCTACGGGAGAAACTAGATATGAAATTCGAACACTCTCGTGGCAAATCGAGTACTTCAGAGTTACGAAATCCTCTCATACCCCACTAGCCCTTTATTCAACAAACAATGAGGTGATCCGTATTTTCCACGGCTTCCTCTCATTCACTATACACCCATTCTAGCAGAACCATCCCATGTCCAGGGGCCGTTGTGATACCACAGAATTTGAAACCCGGCTCAGCCCGAGCAACAATCCGTTGGTAATCCTCTACAGTCCTTTCCTTAGAATTCAATAAGGCAAACATTTGCACATCGCGCTCACTGGTAACAGCTATCAGTAATGAATCCCTGAACGACGGGCAAATTAAACCATACCGATAGATCTTATCCTCCATCGAGGCAGTGGCAGCATCAGCATTAGACACATATTCATTAACCAGTAGCGTACTACCGTTCTCCAGCCTCGGCTTCAAATTCTGAATGATTCGCACCACATCATCTTCGGCCCAGTTGTGCAGGATGTACCGGAAGAAATAAGCGTCTGCGGCGGTATCCTGTGGGGTGAAAAAATCATGGCCTTGGAATGTGAGCCGGCCATTTAGGTCTGTCGGTATATCCGACTTGACCCTGTCGATTGTATCGGGGAGGTCCTGGACGATGAAGTGGAGGTTGGGGTATAATCTGGCAATGGCCTTACTGACGTGGCCAGAACTACCGCCCACCTTTAAATTTTCATGAAAGTTAACATCAATTCGGGATTGGGCCATTTCACACCCATGGTTCAGACACTCACATCGATAACGGTGCCAGACCCCAGTTTGTCCCAGGAATAGCCCATGGTAAGGTGCTCCGGGCTCATCTCCGCACTTCCAAATTCAGTGGCTACATTGGCACTAAACAGAGCCTCCAAGTGCTTGTCTTTGGCATGGTAGTCCCACATGCCCAGAGGCGTGTCGTATGCAATGTTGAACGGCACTTTGGGGATGGCCGAAGAAGGCCTTGAGGGATCCATGGCTTCGTACAGCCGAAGGTCAGACTGTACTTGGATATCAGCACACCATTTGACCACATTGGCCAATGCCTCTTCCGTAAGGGCTTTGGAGGTCGCTGTGTGGCGCACATAGCCCACTGGAGACTCGGAGAAGATGCCGATTGACACGCTGTACCGTAAGATGCGGGTTAATAGATCCTCGTCGATTTTGGTCTCTCGGGCCAGGTCCGAGAATGAGATAGATTCCTCCTTCGGCACAGCGTGTTGGATGTTGAGATTGACGACGGCGCGGAGAGCACCGATGTCCAAAGGCTGTTGGTGCTGTCAGGTATTTGTCGTGAAACATATGTAATGATGTAGTATATTGAGTGGAATGTTGCGTTATTAGCGACTCACTGAATGGTTGAGCAATGTCTTGATATATTCGAACGGGCCAAGGATGATGCGCTGCAGTTCCATCAAGCTGTCGAGTATGGCGTATCGAGACTTTTGGATCTCGGGATTCTGCGATTTAAACTCGGGGAGCTGGAATGTTGAGGTCGCACCGTGTGTAGGGAGCTTGCTTCCATCTTTTTTCAGTTGAGCCACGAGCTCAGTGACCCTGTTGGATAGATCAGTAGAGAGGTGTTGTAAAGTGTTCTGATCAGAGCTGCTGGGCCCCATTGTGGTTGGTGGGTGATGGTGCAGGTAATAATTGAATGAGACAAGGGAGGCCACTTGAAAATCCACGACACCTAAGTATGTCTAAACTAGACTGAGCGTTTTGAGCCTTTTATTTTCAACACGCCTTGGGGGGAGGGCTGAATCCGCCTATTTTCACGTTTCGTCTTGCACTAAAACGTACTCTGGCTTGGCATCTCACTCGCAATGATACTGTTGAGGTCCAGTATGTATTGCACGCCACAAAAGAGCCTACATTGTACGAGTCCAGGGTGACTAGTAGCGTAGCCGAGAGCAAAACCCTCCGATCGTGTTGTGTGGCGGATCACGGAGATCGACACTCGATACAGCCAACCAAGGAAACATTGAGTACGACCCTCTCAGAACTCGGCGGAGGCTGGACCCCGGACCCCACAGGCTCTTGAAGCCCGATTCCACAATTCGTAGAACCCGAACCGTGGATGAGGGCTGTCATTTCTGTGTAATTCGTTTTGCTTCTGGTTTACTCCACGTTGGGTGAGTCCTTTGCTGAACATGATCCTTGCAGGAGTGGGGCTGAGTTCGGTTGGAGCTGAAGAAAAACAAAGACAGAAAAGAGGTCTCCACTTCGTCCCTATGTGGGTCAAGAAATAGGCAGATCGACATAGCTATTGCAGATTAAATTTCGTCCGACATGGCGCGCTAGTCAGTGTTTATGGCGCATCTAAGGACCGTACCGTACATACAGCGGAACAGTGCCTTCTACACCGCAACTCATCTTTCTTCCGGCCTGCCCAGATCGTGTCACGCTTCGGGGATCCTCCTTTTCAGTACAGTACAGCGTAAGGTCTACATTACCGTGTGGATGCAATAAATTACTCCGAGGCACTAGTATTGTTTTGGAAAAACAGGCGCAGCCAGGCGAAATTGAGTACTGGAATCGAGAGAAGCCATAGCAAAGGAGCCGATTCAGGAAGTTTCTTCATATCTCTGGAGCTGGACTGAAAGAAGCCATTTGGGCGGTTGGCGCATCACTCGTGGTGTCTCTCGTTTACTAGTATATATAAATATACATGCGAACCAAACATGTTAAATGTAATAAAGTTTAGCTGGTTCATACGTGGACGGACATCAACATTTAATTTTTGTATTTGATCACCTTGCAAAACCAAGACCGCATAGCTTCAAGCAATGAGGACATGTATTTTCATCTTTTATCTAAAGGGGCACAACGAAGCACTCTATATCTTGCACATTCCGGCATTGCCGCACCTGTATATTGGATCCTGGAGGGCGGAAAAGCAGCGAAGCAGGCCAGAAGCCCTTGAAGCTGTGAAAAAGCAATTATCCATTATAACTATTCTGGCTGTGTCTCAAAGACATAAAGTGTCGATTGGATATCACAGCCCATCTCCGGAAAGGACCAAGCAAATGCAGCATTGGTCTTCACCAGTTTCCAGCCCCGGGGAGGCGGGTGACAGAAGGTCTTCTGCATCTCGGTGCTGTGGTTGAATCCCTTCATTGACGAGAAAGGAGACCCCATCTCTTCTAAACGCCGGTTATGCCCCTCGGTGATCTCATCGATGGTGATGGCAATTGATTTGCGTGCCAACTGGAATGATCGCGCCATGACCATCGAGAAGATTTCCGGAGACAGATGGAAAAGCGTGAAGAAACTGACGATGTGATCGCAGGCATCTATAGGTGGTAGGATCTCCTCAACAGGCCCTTGATGAAGCTCAGAGTATGCGTTTGTTTGTTGACAGAGCTGGATCATGCCCGGCGATAGCTCGATACCGGCGAGTGTACCGAGGGTTTCTGATGATTGCTTTCTGTGTTTCAGAAGTCGACCAAATTTGCCTGTTCCTGAGCCCAGTTCGAGCACGGCTCCGGGCAGATCTAGCGACGAGATAACCTCTTCATAAAAAGGATCCATAGCGTGGCGACAATCGGAACTGTCCTTATATTTGTGGCTATATGCTGTATAGGCTTCAGCAATTTCAGCCTGGCGGGGCTTTGCATGGCCAAGCTGGATCAATTGACTTGAAATTGCGCTGTTGATGAACGCGCGATGACCTCCTGGGAAACTTTCCTCCACAGCAATATCCTCGGTTTTGTGGTTGCCTGTGCAAAACAGGTTCCCCATGGGATTTGCGTCGATGACAGCGGGCTCTGAACTTTCAGGAACCCGAATATCGATTTGCGCCCAGGTCTGGCCCCTCATATTGTTGGCTTTGAATGCCTGCACGGCCATCTCTTGCAGGGTCCGGAATAACACTGGATTCTCCTTTTCTGTGAGCACCCTGATGCCCGTTTCGGGATGGAATCTCATATCGGCATGCAAGAAGTCTCGGCCAGGGCGGAAATGCTTCGGGTAGACATATTTCTCTGGAGATAACGCAACAGGATAGTCACCCATTTCAATCACCTCGACAATATAGTCCCATCCCTGGATGAACTCTTGGACCACTATATCGTCAGGGATGGGAATGCCATCTACCACAGTTGAGGGAGACAGCGACTCTGCTGCACCGTCAGTACTCTTGCGTGTTGGTTGGAGTGCCTCATTGAGTATCTCCAAACAGTTCAACAGCTCGTCTCGATCCTGACACAGACACTTCTCTGTGATCAACGCGCTGCCAAATCCCAAGGCTGGCTTGACGAAGAGGGGGTAATTCGAAGTTCCAGGAACGCGAGGGTAGCCAAGTGCCTGAGCGTTTTTGTAGAACTCAATCTTGGAGTCCAGCAGGGCCTTGCTGTTTGCACCGACCACAGGCAGTCCTAAACTCTCCACGTAACGGCAGGCCTCAACGCCCGCAAACTCATCATCCTCTTGTCCCCACATGAAGTTGAAGTAAAAGTCAAATTTCTCCGCTACAGCAGCATCAATTTGCTCTTTCGCCGAGTCCTTCTGAATCCATCGGTCTTCAAAAGTGTGCTGATCGGTATAAAGAGCCGGATCCATGCCATTACCGCTCTTGCTATATGCATGGTCTTCGGGAAATGCGGATTGCAAGATACAGATCCTCATGTTGAAGAATAGTAACAGTGGAAATAAAAAAAAAATTGAAGAAACGCGCTCACACTGGATACTACAACGTATAGCTTGCAACAGCAAGAGGTGAAGGACCTATACGATGAGTTATCGGCTGTGTGCGGTTTTCAAAGGCCAAGAGGGAAGGGAGGGATGGGCACCCGACGATGCGGGGGCTGAACACTGCAGAATCAACTAGCAGGACTTGCAAGCCCAAAGCCAATGGGCGATAGGTGCGTATCTCAATGCGCCCATCTCGTGTCTCAAGGCGTTACGGTGGATCGCGATTTTCAGTACAATACCGTTGTTGGTACTCAAAACTTGACATACAGAACCATGGAATTATTCAAGTATTACACAGTAACATCAAAATTACATAGTATACATGAGGACTCACTCCAGCTTTTTTTTCGTTTGTCCCTGGAATTTCCTCATTCTCTTCCTGGCCTCAGTCTACACACCTCGCATGCTTTCAATCACCGCCGGATTTCATCATGTCGAAACTATTTTCACCCCTTCAGGTGGGCTCATGCCAGCTTCAACACCGAGTGATCATGGCTCCCCTGACTCGCTTCCGGTCCAATGAAGATTATGTTCCAATCCCGGCAGCGAAAGAATATTACACCCAGCGAGCGTCCGTCCCAGGAACTTTGATCATTGCCGAAGCAACCTATATCAGCCCAAAGGCCGCCGGGTATCCCAATGCGCCAGGCATCTGGAGCGCGGACCAGATAAATAGATGGAAAGAGATCACCGACTCTGTCCATGCCAAGGATCCTTTGTATTTCTTCAGATATGGGCTCTCGGGCGATCTTCAGACCCGGAAAATTTGAAAGCAAATGGGTTCGACTTTGTCTCCAGCAGTCCGGTACCAATCCAAAAAGGCGATCCCGTTCCGAGGGAGCTGTCCGAGACTGAGATCCACGAATATATTGTGGACTTCGCTCAAGCTGGACGCAACGCGATCGCCGCGGGCTTCGATGGTGTGGAGTTGCACGGTGCCAACGGCTTTTTGATCGATCAGTTTACCCAGGATACCTGCAATCAGCGGACCGACTCGTGGGGCGGGAACATCGAAAATAGAACGAGGTTCGCGGTGGAGGTCACACGCGCAGTGGTTAATGCTATCGGCGCAGACAGAGTGGCCATCAAACTCAGTCCTTGGAGCGCGAGTCAGGGAATGAGAATGAACAGGGTAACGGAGCAGTTTACGCATCTGATTAGCCAACTCAAAGACCTGAAGCTGGCATATCTCCATCTTACGAACCCCAGGGTTTCAGTCGAAGATGAGCCACTCGTTCCAGCAGAGGAAACTGCAACAGACGAAAATGCGCCGTTCATTCAAGCTTGGGGAAACATGAGCCCTGTGCTGTTGGGAGGTGGATATTCAGCAGAGTCTGCCAAGAGGGCGGTTGATGTTGAGTACCGAGATCACGAGATTGGAACGGTGTTTGGGCGATTCTTCATTTCCAACCCAGACTTGCCTCTTCGGGTCAAGGAGGACATCCCGTTTACACGTTATGATCGAGATACGTTCTATACTCCGTTATTAGAGAAGGGGTACGTGGATTACCCCTCTCATGAACCGGTTCAGGCACAGACCTGAATCCTATAGAATTGTCAAAACTAGAGGCGAATCTTTCCCCCTCTTACTCCAAGTAATTAATTTTAGGAGAAAAAGGATTTTCAAACCACCTGTTGGTTGAGATGCTGCAAAATCAAAAAATACGAAGGAAATTTGTGCGGCCACAGACGATCAAGGAATTTTATATGTAAGAATAAAACACAACATCAAGATTGTGGAGATCAGGGTTGGCCGAAGTCCCATCGATCATCGATCGTCAAGCTGACATGAAATCATTGGAGGCTTGGTGATCTATCAGTTGTCTCTTACGCCCCATTTCGGGCTCTGTGCATAAGATGGTCCACTTAGTGGTCCAGTGAAATGAATGGACCATCCAAATGGACCATTGCCTCCAGACTTGAATCAGCGTGCACGAACTGCGGGTCTCGCTGCATCTTTGCATCCTATCATATCACTTGATGAGAGAGGTAAGGAGTCCCCGATGGAAATCTAAGTCTCCCATGCAAGGACGATCTCTGTGAGGCGGGGGCTTCTCTGAGATAAGGAGGTCGTCATGAATCATCTATCCCCAAACTGTTTCTCGACCCAGATCACCAACTCCTTCAGCAATTTACACAACAATCGAGATAGCATGGGGGATCTCAATTCAAACCGCATAGGCTACAAATGGCGCTCCTCAAAATGGTTCATTGTCGCTACTGTGACGATTGCCTTATTTATTGGTTTGTCTCTCTTCTCTCTTCCATGTTTCTCTGCCACTTGCCTTCTGGACAATCGCTAACCTATCTAGAATCCTTTCTTTATGGATTTTTGGTGCCTATTTTACCTTACATGTTTAGGAATCGTCTGAATCTAGATATATCTCAAACACAGCGTCTTACCTCTGCCGTTCTCTCTCTGCACGGTTTCATCTCCGCTGTGTCTGGCCCCGTCATCGGGCATTTCGCCGACAAAACACTCGACCGCAAAACACCGCTTCTACTGTCGCTCGCAGGATGCATTGCAGGAACTATCATGGTTGCCTGCTCTCGCTTGCTTCCATTCCTCTTCCTTGGCCGTATCCTACAGGGCGTCGCCGGATCAACCGCGTGGATAGTTGGCCTCGCTACCGTGGCCGACACGCTGGGCCAAGATAACATGGGCACAGTGATGGGCGTGATCATGTCCTTTGTCAACGCCGGCATGATCAGCGGACCGATGGTCTCTGGAATAATGCTCGAAGTAGCCGGGTACTGGCTGACGTGGTGTGTGCCTCTGCTGGTTCTGGTCGTGGACGTCATCGCACGACTATTGATGATTGAAGCCCCGGAAGAATCCAGCTCGGATTCGTCTTCAGAGGTGGCGGAAGCAACAAGCCTTCTCCCTCAGCAAGAGCGCAGTAATTCGCATGATGCATCCACTACCATTGGCTTCTGGCGCTTCATGCTGAGCGATATTCGAGTGGTGACCACTTTGATTGTTGCCATTTCGTGTACAGGCATGAACACAAGCTTCCATACAACGCTTGCTCTGCACACCCAGGAGGCCTTTGGGTGGGGAACAAGCCGCGTTGGGTTCATGTTTTTCCTCCTCGCTATGCCCGCTATTATTCTTGGACCTTTTGCTGGGATGCTCCGCGACCGTATAGGAGTCAAGATCCCTGCTACTATCAGTCTCATTCTCCAAGCGATGATGATGGGCCTGCTAGGGGCTGCTGGTAACCCTAACTTGCCCTGGGCTAGCTTCCAGAATCGAGGCCCTGCGCTCTTCATAGCTGGTATCATTGCCATGGGTACCTTGCGACCCTTTGTGTCTGGCATTGGACCTGTCGAACTCACTGGTGAGTGTCGCTATTTCCAGATGAACCCTGCTAAGGCGATGACTGATGTTGTTTCCCAGCCGTCGTTAAGACACATGAAAAACAGGAGCCTGGTATCTTCGGGCCTCGAGGTGGCTACTCCCGCGTTTTTTCCATGACTGATGTCGCCGCCCATGCCGGCTTGACCATTGGCCCGGTTGTCTCCGGCGCTCTTTCTGAAAAATTCGGCTACGCTACCATGAGTTGGACCTTGGGTAAGTAGTTCGGCCTGGTTGATCTGATTAATCAACACTGACGTCAACAGGCTCTCTATATCTCTCCCTCGCTATTCTGGTGCTCATTTTCCTAGGATCAGGATCCAGAAGCAAGGGCGGGAAGGCCAAGACTGAACAAGAAGATCTTGATTCGCAGTCCGTATAGTCCTACAAATTAGGATAGATGTCCTTTTATCCCCACACCTATTGATGTAATTTTTTATTTGACAGTGATCTATTGTAATGATTGGGTGCTTGGGTTGAACCACTTTATTTTGTACCATATACTCCGTACTGAGGTGGATAATATAAGACTACACGATACACGCAGATATCTCAAATGATGAGTAGCATTGACATCTGGTGTGAGTACAATGGCTGTTAAATACAGTGTAATGTTGATTTGTTCCATGGTCGTTTCTCCCCGTATTTCTCGTAACTCCAGCATCACCAACGGTGTCTATAAGATCTCCTCTGTGAACCTTTTTCTTTTCGCCTAGACCCTTTTCTTATACAACCTCCTCACAAACATCATGGCAGTCGATCAAATTTTCAAATTTAGTGTCAATCTCAATGACGTGGCCAAGGCATGATTCTCGAAATGAAGGTTGCAACTTGCGCTAACAAAAAGCCAGGTCACTCAAATGGTAAAGGATATCTGTGTCAAGGTCCGCGAAAATGAACCCGGTGCATTGGTGTACTATGTCTACAAGGTCGAGAACAAAAATGAGTTTGTTGCTGTTGAGAGGTCAAACAGATGTATACCATGATTTTTTCGACGTTTTCTGACATTCGCGGTAGATATCAAGATCAAGCTGCATTTGAGAGACACATGTCTATGCCATATTTTGTCAAATTTGCCGAGGAAATCACACCCTTGATCTTAGAGGAGCAGGAGCTTGGATCTGGGCAGACAATTGGGGGGTTTACGTCTCGGTAATTGGGTAATTTGCGATCCGGTTCCGCCTGGGACACGTATTTCGGATTCATGCCATATCCAAGAATGCAATCACGGAATTATTCGCCCCATTTTGTTTTTCCAAAATTTGTTATTTTAGCTACATATGTAGGTAGCTTAATAGGTACCTACACAAGAAACCAGGTAATTTATGCAGTCCTAGATGTTACCGTCTAGGTTGTACATATTTCAGTACCAGATACAGTACAGTAATTCCACTTTTCGTGGATATCTTACCAGGGGACTACGTATTTCATTTCCCGCCACAGCATCCTGCAGAAGTGGGGACTCGATCTTCGTACATTGTTGTCGATGAGAAGGTCTCCACCAGCTAAAAGGACTCGATGAATCGGAAATCTCTTTTTGAGCGGCATGAGTGGCGTCGATAATGTGGGTACGATCCATTAAGGCTGTATTCTCTTTACTTATTCCGCAGATATTCTTGTCTATCAGCTAGGAACTCCACTCTATATTGAGACTAAATCAGCTACATGGGCGGTACTCACATGGGTTCTATCTACCTCTTCAGCTCCAAAGGTGCTGTAGCTCATGCGGGGCCTGTTACCTGATATCATCAAGCCCTGCAGCTGAAATGTCTCACGTCCAACTCGGTATGTAATTCCACCATTCTCCACTTTATACTATCGATCGATACAGATCCATTATGACCCATTCTCGTGAAGAGCTCCATCTGGTTGACCGCAACTTCAGAGCTAGTTGAATACAACTCTGTACAGTCCCATGTTTATGAGGTAGCTGGAGTTGTCTTGCAAGGATTCACTACTCTTTTAATCAAACATGACAAATTCACAATCTCTCGCTGGAAAGTCCGCCATCGTCACGGGTGCATCCCGTGGCCTTGGAGCTGCAATCGCCACCGAGCTGGCTAAACGTGGGGCCAGCATCCTGATCACCTACAACTCTGCCCGCGATGACGCGCAAAAGATTGCCGAGAAGATCCAACAACTTGGAAACCAGGCGGTCATTGTGCAAGCCGGCAGCTCCGACAGAGAGACACCTAGTCGAGTTGTAAAGGCAGCAGTGGAGAACTTTGGCAAAATAGACATCATGGTCAACAATGCCGGCCTAGCCACCGATTGTGCGCTCCAGGACATAACACAAGAGTTCTGGGACGAGATCTACGATGTCAACGTGCGCCTTCCAACATTCCTGATGCAAGCCGCTTTGCCTCACCTCGGACCTGCGCCGCGCATTGTCAACATCTCCAGCATTGCAGCACGTGCTGGATACAATTCGACTTCTGTGTACTCTTCATCTAAGGCAGCGCTGGAGGGCTTGACTCGGGCCTGGGCTGCGGAGCTTGGTCAGAAGTATAACGCGACAGTGAATTGTGTCAACCCGGGTGTCATTGCAACAAAGGAGAATTGGGTTGATGAAGTTGGAGACCCGGGAGATGTGCAGTACTGGGAGGCTTTGATTAAGGGGACGCCAGCTGCTCCGAGAATTGGCACTACTGACGATGTTGCCCAGATTGTTGCTTTTCTCTGCGAGGAACGAAGTCGATGGTGCACGGGAAGTGTGGTCAATGCCAATGGAGGGCTGGTTCCTGTTTGATTCTATACGATATGCAGACTGTTTGGGTAAACTGTGGAATAGAAATAAGCGACAGGTTCAAATCGAGTTTCCAAAACACTATGAATTATATCTCATTCAGTGAGATTTTGTCGAAAAGTATGCATGGTGAAAGACAGCTGGGTATGAATAGAAGGCAAGCCAAAACGAACAGTAATCACGGCTGAATGTATTTTGGTGTCAATGATACCGCGAGTTTTGACACATGACGTGATTATGACTTCGGAGGCCAGACCCATCTTCGAGTGGATATTGACTTCCGTGGGGACAAACGCTATCGAGTGATACAGGCGCTAGAGACAGGAAGCTAAGCCAAGGAAATGGAACGGGACGCCCCGTTGTTGATGAAAGTGATATAGCAAGATGTTCACGCGTATGCAGTGGAGCCCGGTATTCGCCGGGTGGCCCGCTATTTTACCAATTACGTGAACTACCCTGGTAACCATCAAATGGGGGAGACCTGAGCATGGCCAGCGGTTACTAGCTAAGATTGAAGTTAGCCAATTTTGCACAAGATCCTGGACCGTTCGAACACTAGGGAGGACAGTGGCGGCGAGTACGATAAACAAGGCCTTGGAATTATTCTTCTTGTAGCAAGGTAGGGATCCATATCATAGAACTTCTGCGTACTTGCCGCTACACCTCCACAAACCTGTATAGAACCCCAGGCAAACTGGTATGGTGTGTGAATCACTCCACTAATGAGCTATGGTCCTTTCATCTTGTCTACTAAAATATATCAGAGTTGAAGTCAAGAGAAAAATCAAACTCCAATTCAGTAGTTTATGCTGCGTGGTTCACACTGGTTAATTTAATGTTCAAAGGGTGATGCTCCCACAAACCAAACTCTTTGAAGTCGTGTGGATCAATATTGTCTGGCTGGGACTCCAAGTCAAAGTTCCAGAGTAGACGGGTAATCGCAAGGCGAACATTTGAGTTTGCAAGGCTTTTGCCGGACATTAGCTATTGGGTCAATTGCGGTGCAGGACGGGGGGGAAAACAAACTTCATGCCAATGCAATTCCTCACTCCAATAGAGAACGGGTGAAAGACATCCCGATTATCTGAGTCAAAACGGGAATCGCCCAACCAGCGCTCAGGATGGAATTTTTCAGGTTCCCGGAAGTATCTTGGCGATCGGTATGCGGATAATTGGGTGACTGAAACCCACGTCTGCGATGAGAAAGTTTAGCATGCAGGACGAGGACGGCCCGTGCCTCACACTTGGAAATTGATACTCACCCCTCCTGGCACAAACTCGCCATCAATGAATCTTCCTCCCTTCGGGACGATACGTGGCAGACCCACGGGAACACTAGGATGTATCCGCATAGTCTCGTCAATCACAGCTTTGAGGTAATTCAACTTTGCGACTTCTGCGAACGTGATGTCCTCCTCTTTGCTGAAAGCTTCCCGAATCTCTTTGATCAGTGCCTCGTAAACATGGGGGTTGTGAGTGATATAGTAAACAACTGAAGTCATTGTCGTAGCGGTCGCATCACCGCCAGCAGTGACAATGATATTGACATTGTCCAGCAAGTCGTCATAAGGTAGCTCATCCAAAATATACGACAAAATATCCTTCCGTTCGTGATCAGGGTTCTTCATTCGGACGCCGACCGTGCTTGCACAGTTCTTCAGGTGCATTATGTACTGACTTTCCATATCCTGTGGGATAAACCGTTCCAGAATCTTGTGGTATGGTTTGAGCCTCCAGGCTGCTTGAACAAATGTCGAGTGCTTGATCGCGCCGTAGATCACTGAGATCCAAGGATGGTACTCGCCTGACTCCAGAGACCCAATGGGCGCCCCGAAAGCCAGAGAGCTCAGTACATCAAACGTTTCGAAGTTGAACCAAGCCGCCATATCTACGACACCCTTTTCACTTGGAAAATAAGCTTTTCCGGTCCGTTTTCTCAGCGAGCTCATGAACTGATCAACATGTGCCTGGACCAGATACTCCTGGTCACGCACTGCACGTTCAGAGAAGGCCGGGGCCAACAGCTTGCGCACGCGGGCGTGTCGCCGACTGGGCGCAAAGAAGATGTTGGAGTTTTCTTGGTTCCCCTGCAGGTAAACCACCTCGTTCTTCTCGTAGACATTGTCCCAGCCAACTTTGTTGCCGTATATCTCCTTCCAAGCAGAAGCGGTTGTATAGGATAGTTCATTCGATGCGGTGCGCACGACCTCGCCATATTTTTCGTGAAGTTCGGAGATGTACTTGGCGGAATCACCTTTGACGAGGTGGTAGGACCAGACCAGCTGAGAGATAATGTCCAACTTTGGTCCAGGGAATTTTCGGAGTGGGTTGAGGAAAAGGTGATAGAAGAAAAGCGAAAGATGCACGGCAAACAGCTAATAATCACAAATTAGATAAGACACACTTCAAGTCCACGTATTACACATTAAGACTCACCGAACCAACGCCCGCAATAAGCCACTCTGACAGTGACAACATCCTCACTTGATTTGGGAGATATAAAGAGGTGGACAGTAAGAGGCGAGCAGAGGACGTGAATCATTCCATGGGGAAGGTCCTAAATTGATGAGTCCAGTGGAACGTGGGCTGAAACTGATTACAGAGTTGGTGATGTCTTCACGGGACTAGCAGATTGTGATGAGTGCTATGAGTGATCAATACGGAGTACTCTACCATCTATTATTGGATACCAAGACTTACAGATCCCCGGGGGGGGGGGGAAGAAAATCCCATTCAAAAATTTGAAGTGTTTTGAAGTGTCTTAGGGCTATATGACGATGTATTACATTCATTACACAAAAACTGTACCTTGATACACCTGGGTTATCGTCAGTGTGTTTGATCGGTGATCCACTTGACTCCACCTCTAGCACCCCTACAGTGGCGCCGTAAAAGCGAGTGTATATGTGATGGCATCAATTAAGCCTAATCGGGAAGGGAAAAGTGCCAAGAGTCGATGGTGGATCATGAAATTGCTCAGCTCAACTATCTCCTGCGTAACACTATCTCCTGCGTAAAAGCCTGCGACTACCCCCTGATTGACCGCTTTTTTCTGTCATTCATTCTGCCGTGCAAAAGCCTCAAAAACCTTCCCTCATATTCAATATCTGATGTTTAATATACCGGCCATTTAAGTCAATGATTGCCTGCGCCCGCGGTTAGGGTGGTTAGAGTGGTTAAGAAATGATAATAATAATATGGAACGCGACTCCGCGACTACTCGACTACTCGACTACCTTCACTACGCCAGGGTAGGAAGGCGGAGGTGCTGGCAGTCAACTGGATGGTCGCAGACTTTTGCGGCGCCACTGTGTGTGTACGGTACCACCTGGGTACCTCCAGTGGATACTATGAGCAATAGGGAAATTCAATTGTGATCTCAATGAATTGATCGGCAGTGGCGGGGCTGAATGTGACTGGTATAAAGGCACGCGCATGAAAAAGAAATGCCAAAGTGGCCTGTTCTAGCGGGAAAAGAGGAGTAGGTCGAGCAAAGGATACTGGAGGTACTGCTTCCCTTTCTTTGAAGTTCTCACTGCGATACTTTTTCTCAACAGTTTGTTGTTTTCCTTGGGTGCCACAACCTCATAAACTTCAATAATGACGGTCGAAGAACAAAGTAAGCTTCCCCTAATATACGCAAACACAATTGACAAGCAATAACACATTTCTTGGGTCAGAGCCGTTTGTTATGCGAGACGTAAGCACCTGTTCATTTAGATATTTTGCTCCACTGTGTAACAGCTAATCTATCTCTCTTCAGGATGAGATGGGACGACTCGGTGGGTGTTTTGTCCAGTTACTGTATATAGATGTATTTGACTGACATGTGAAGATAGATGGCCTTCATACACTGTGTATGATGATGGGCAACGATCAACTCCATTGGGCCCCACTAAGCGCTCCGCGGAGGGTTCTGGACCTCGGGTGCGGTACTGGTAGTGATATCCTTGGGAATTTGATATTGACAACAAGTTGCTGATACAACGACTCCAGGAAAATGGATGCAAGATTTTGGTATGTTGTCTGTTCAAAGAGAGTTCATATATTACATTTTTAACATTCCATTAGCACGTTTGAACCCAGAAACTAAGGTGAGAATCACTAAGCAAGTGGCATAGAATGGCTAGCTGAGTGTGATTCCAGATTACTGGACTAGACCTTGAGCCTTCCATTTCAGGCCCGTAAGTTCTTACATCCATTGAGTAAATTGCAAATTGCTTCCATGCATTGATCCCCCCAGAAACATTGAGACAGTCATCGGCGATCTGGAGAAGCCTTGGCCAGTGCAGCCTGGTTTCGACTATATTCACACACGGTGGCTGATTGGCTGTCTTTCTGATTGGAAGAAGTTTTTCAAGCAATGCTATGACAATCTTGACTCCGGTGGTTGGTTTGAGATTCTTGACATCGGCTTCCCCTGCCAGTCAGCGGACGGGACTCTCAAGGGTGACAGCCATTTGGAGAAATGGAACAACCTACTTATCGAAGCTGCGAATCTCTCTGGCCGCAGCCTGACTGCAGCAAAGGACTTTGGACGAATCCTGGAAGAAGTGGGATTTTCTAATGTGTCAGTGGAGAGGAGTAGACTACCAATGAATCCGTGGGCAAAGAATCCGAACGAGCGCGCTATGGGAGAGATTGCTTTGCCTATTCACAAGGCGTGTTATGAGCGGCTGGGACACGACTTTTTCTGTACGAATCTGAAAATGGCGCCAAAGGATGTCGATGCAGATCTCCCGTTCGTGTGGAAAGAGATGGAGGATACTGAAATTCACGCTTGGTGGCCCATGTAGGTATAATCTTCCCCGTGGTATGCAAAAGTTGCTGACGTATTTAGCTATGTCGTTTACGGTCAGAAGCTGTGAGCCTTATCTTGATCATTGATTAGACCTGTTACTTGAAATGTACATAAGCGAAGTCAGTGAATAAAATCCCAACGAGATCCTTTTATACATCTAGAAGGAAAGAATAATGACATTATGCAATAAAATCAAAAATCGTGACCTAACATTCATTCCTATCATACTGATCTATGTCAATTTGAATCTGGGCTTACGGAAATTTGGCCAGGAAAAAGTTCTTCGCTGTGAGCAAAGCATGCTGCTCTCTGGGCCGTCCCAATGCCTCCGCGGTAATCTTCTTCAGTTCAGCAGCAGTGCTGTTCTCGCTAGGCTCTTCACCGAAGTAACGACCCCCAGTGTTCTGGGTGAAACCAAACATGAGCTTGACATCCTCCAACTCAGGAATCCCATGGGTGTCAAATGCTTCCCACGTAGGTAGGATTGGGTCGAACCGGGACTTCTTTCCAGTAACTGAGAGAAGTTTTATCAGATTAGATCATAATGCATAATGGCTTTCTAGGTGTTATGGGGAGCATACCAGCTTCGAAACTGGCCGTTAACTCGTCAAACCCAAGGATATCGCTCGCGCCGTGCAGGACAAGGCCATTCCACCGAGTCGGGTCCAGGAAAACACCGTGAATGATATCTCCATAATCTTCACTGATGCTCAGGAACGGGACTTTGTTGTCTCCGCCCCAGTTTGGCACACGGAAAGTCAAAAAGCCCTCGTTGTCGGGGAAGTGTGGGAATCCTCCAAAGACTGGAGCCACCTCCTTGACAAGGAAATTCTCGAAATACCACGCAGGGTTAACAACAACAAGTGACTGGAACTTGCCCAGCTCTCTGGCGTACTGTTCAACCCGATACTTCACTATGAATAGTCAGAGAGAAGAGCGTCGTAGGGGACTGCCATTCAACTTACTATCCATTGCCTTCATGCTGACTTTACCTCCAGTCATCTGCGTGCATGGGGGACCCCCACTGTAGACCAGATTCTTAACACCTGCTTCGACTGCCGCATCGACAATTGCCTTCCCCAAATCGAACTCGGTTGGGCTATTAGGGTCTTTCCATGCCTTATCGTCCGAGTTGATGTTGACATACAACGCCGAAGCACCTTTCAAGGCAGTCACCATCTCTTGGTGGTTGAAGCCGCTTGCTTCAACCACTTCGGCTCCAGCCGAGGCCAGCGCCTTAGCAGCCTCAGAGCTGGCATTGCGTGTGACGACACGAACCTTGAAGTGGGTGTTCTGGAGCAAGGAACGGGCCACGGCGCCCCCTTGATTACCCGTGGCACCGATAACAGCAATAACAGTATTCATTTTGATGGGGGAGAGATTGAGCTTCACAACGACACTGTGGGTATGGAAAGGCGATGTCCGAATATCGGCAATAGTGAGCGGGAGCTGGAAAATACACGGACTTGGTGACTGAATCTTGAAACTAACAGCCTGTTCTCTTCTGTGGAAATGATGCTCCACTTGTTTCTTCAACCTGCAGCGGTGTGACGATCCACTTTGCGAGCGTCAATATTCTGGCCCGCGCGCAACTATCAGCGCCACAAAGAATTCGCATTCGCCCCGAAGTGGTACCTGCTAAATACTCGTATTACAAAAATGGTATCACCAATACGTTTGGACGTGATGTTCACTAATTATGTATTATATTGCGAACAGGCGTGACCGAGAACGACATATAGTATGTATTCATTTTCATTCTTTGATCCTCGGGTACGAGAACTTCTAAAACACCATTGAGGCTACCACTGCAAACCTGATATTAAGCTTAGGAATCAGGTTTAATAAACAATATGGGCCAATGCATGATGTCCTTTTCTTGAAGTTCATGTGTCTGTTGACGCAAACCATAACTCTCTAATGTAGGTTGAGGTACGGAGTACAGTGGGACCCTTGAAGTATGAGCTGAAATATTGGGCGTCCTTTTTAACCCCCATAGTCCCAATTTTACGACCCACTAAGTGTTCTTTATGGCTTGTACTGGTCTGATACGGAGATGCATGCAGAGACTTACAGATAACCTTCTGAAGAAACCTATCATTCTCGTGGCGACCTGAGTCTTGCGATCGCTTACCCCTTTTGGCCCGGGGCTAAAGTTACTGGTGGATTCTGTTCGATGTTGATCAATCTATACCCGTACGAATGACAGCACAAAACCCATCACGTATGGAAACCCACCGACCCATGCACTGTGTAATTGCCTTGGTACACTGTTCGGCAGTTCAAGTTCCATATACGGGTTGCCATGGCTGGGACGAGAAGTCTTTTTAAGCCGTGGCTGGGGTCCAAAGTTCTGTTCCCGATTGTCAAGGCTTTGAGTTCTCTCATATCTTATTCTTCCTTGACAACCCTAATTCCAAGTTCAACGTTAAAATTGGCCTTTTCATTGCTACTTTCTGTATCATTATCATTGTCGTCTACTTTCTCCTCTCTTCTTTCTTTCCCAAAATGCCTTCCATTGCTGTCAATCCTGCCGAGGAATACGACATCATAGTTGGCCGCAACCAAGGTCTCGCACAACTCTTCTACAACGAAGTCCAACGGAATCCTTGCTCTCTCGCAGTTGTTGACAGCCATGTCTCCATCACCTACGAACAAGTACACTTCGCAGCCTCTCAAGTAGCCCACAAGTTATCCGAACAATCTTTGAACATCCAAGAGCCTGTCGGAATCATCGTGAAACATGGATTCTCTGATGTTGTCGCCCAAATGGCCGTCCTATATGCCGGCGGCACCTGTGCCCCAATGGACCCAACCTTGCCAGATCAACAAATCCAAGGCCGGTTACAACGGCTAAACGCAAAGCACATTCTGGTGGATTCGGATAACTTGAAACGGGATCTTCCGTTCACGCAGTTCGTGGTGGATGAACCAGACTTGCTGGGCAGCAAAGGATCATGGGCGGCCGGCTCATATCCCATTGCCACTGATCTGTCTCACCGGACTCATCTTATCCACACCTCCGGCACGACCAGCGAACCCAAGGCCGTACAGATTGCCGCTCAGTCAATCCTGCAGGTGGTCTTCCATGCTCCCTTCGAGCCAGTTCATGAAAATGACGTTGTTGCCCACGTCAACAACAGCAGTTTCGATGTATCTCTGTTCGATATCTGGGCGCCTTTGCTTCGTGGCGCGCAAATCGCTGTCCTGAGCAAAACCGTCCTTCTTGATCTTCCTGTGATGGCCGATCACATTGAGCGTATGGGCATTACCGTTATGGCCACGACCACGGCGTTGCTCAATCTTGCCGCTTCCACCTACCCTCGTGCTTTTGCTAACCTTAGTATCTGCTTCATTGGAGGCGAGGCCGCCAACGTGGCTGCCCTGGAGACCATCCTCAAAGAAGGGCCTCCGGATATGCTCATCAACGCATACGGCCCGACAGAGTGTTGTATCTTCTGTCTTGCTCACCGTGTCACCTACAAAGATGTTCAAGATAAGTCCGTGAGCATCGGCATGCCTATTGGTCGTACCGTTGCCTATATTGCCGACGAATCTGGGAAAGAATGCGAGGAGGGCGAGCTCTGGATTGGAGGTGCCGGCGTCTCGCCAGGATACGTCAATCAAGAGGAAAAGAACGCCCAGTCCTTCACGACCGTTGAGGGATTGCTCACTACCTTTGGTGAGCCTATGCGCCTGTATCGCACTGGAGACATTGTCCGCCGCCGCTCGGATGGTCAGATCGACTATGTCGGCCGCCGTGACCACCAGGTGAAGGTCCGGGGATTTCGAATTGAGCTCGAGGCCGTTGAAACTGGCTTGCTGAACACTGGCCTTGTTTCAGAAGCAGTGGCGATAAAGATTGAGGTACCGCAGGAAGGTGCTGGCTCAATGCTAGTGGCCTATGCAACACCAATAGATCCATCCAACCCACCTGGTGTTGCGAGTGTGTTGGATATGCTAAAGGGGACCCTGCCAGACTATATGATCCCACATCTGGAGATAATATCGAAGATGCCTTTGAACAACCATGCCAAGGTGGATCGCAAGCACTTAACGCAGCTCTTCTGCCAGCGATGGCAGTCTCAGAATTCTACTCTCAGGAACATTTGCAAAGATACTCGTTCAATTCTGGCCAGCCTCTGGGCCAACATCTTGGCCTCGCCTATGCCTTCTTATCGGGACGATGACGACTTCTTCTACCTTGGTGGTACCTCGCTGCAGGCCTCTCTGCTCATCAGCCAGATTCGCCGCACCTTCGACACAGAAGTATCTCTTCTGACACTGTACGACAACTCTAGCCTTGGAGCCCTCACAGCCACCATCGAAGAACATCGAGGTGGTAAGTTTGAGACAGTGCGCAATGAGAGTGAGATCTGGGTGGCCGATACCAAGTTGGCAGACGACTTGCCTATGCCAAGCGGAACCCCAGTGGACTGGTGCCGCGATGTCGAAGGCCGTATCTTATTTACTGGCGCGACGGGCTTCGTTGGGGCATTTATGCTGGCAGACCTTCTGCGCATGCCACACGTTCACCAGATTGGCTGCCTCGTCCGTGCGAAATCCGCGCCCTTGGGCAAAGCGCGTCTCCGCACAGCCATGGCCAAGTATGGCCTTTGGGAAGATCGATTTGCAGACAAGCTACTCGCATTCCCGGGTCTTCTAGAGGATAAATATCTCGGACTAGGTCTTGCTCGGTTCAACGAACTTGCCAACTGGGCTAGCGTGGTCTTTCACCTCGGCGCTCGCGTCAACTATACTCAGCCCTACTCCCTACACCGTCCGGCAAATACCCTTGGCACGGTGAACGTGGTACGCTTCGCGTGCGCCGGCCGAACTAAGGCTATGCACTACGTCTCTAGCATCTCATGCTTTGGTCCCACTGGTTTTGTGACCGGCGCCACGACCGTCGACGAAGACGAGCCTCTCATGCCTCACCTAGAAGCCCTGCCTTATGACCACGGCTACGCTCAAAGCCAATGGGTAGCAGAACAGCTTCTGCGGCGTCTGATGGATCGCGGGTTCCCGATTGCTGTCTACCGCCCGGGCTTTATCACCGGCCACAGTCAGACCGGTGCCTGCAATCCAGATGATTTCTTTAGTCGGCTGATTCTTGCCTGTCGCACTATGGGTTGCTATCCTGCCCTACCAAACCAGCGGAAAGAATTTGTGCCGGTCGATTATGTCAACTCGACAATCTTGCATGCTGCCTCCTCCTCTGATTCGCTTGGCCACGCCTTCCACATTGTTCCGCCCAGTCGTGAGGTTTCTATTGACATGGACGACTCGATGGATCTCATTGGCGACGTTGATGGCACCCCGATCAAGCGTGTCTCTTACCAGGAGTGGATTGATAAGCTGGCTGCCGACCCACCTGAGCGGTTGCAGCCCCTACAACCTATGCTGGCTGAAAAGGTGCAAGACGGAATGACGCGGTGGGAATTGTATGAGAATATGCCCATTTACCAGACCGTCAACACTATGAAGGCGCTTGAGAGCTACACTGGTGGATTGGAGTTCCCTGCTCTCGACAAGAATTTGATGAAGAGATATATGGACTATCTCAATGAGCACTACTCGTGAATTTGGGTGGGAGTACTTGGATAAAATAACACCTTTCTGTTACTTTCGATATTACCGTTTGTTCTCTATCTTTGTGGCATTGATAAATATTAGGAGCAGTAGTTTGCGCAGACCTGTCCCCGATCGCCCTCTATGCCGAAGCCTTTGCGTGCACCCATTGCAAAGGGTTTATAAGGGAAAAGTCTTATTCCGAGTTTTTTGTTGAATGGCAGGTATATTCTCCGCGAGGACAGCCACTGTAAGTGTCTTACGCAACTAAAGTGACAAGCTCAGACATGGTCACAAGACATGGCGCAATTGTCACCGGTGCTTACCCTCGATCCTCTCTGTGTCCCAATTCCTACTGTGTTGCAGGGGTTTGTAGTTATCCTATGTGAGACTATTTCTTATGAAAGATTGGCACAGCACCCGTGACTGATTTTGGTGCTATCCTATCTCTATGGCGATAATTTACTCAGATGCAGGTCAATGCGAACGACTGTTACTGTGCATTAGCACCGCCTATGGTAAAGTAAATCGATACGAGCGATAGCATTTCTGTGCACAGATAGAATTGAGCTCACCGTAAATATATTAGTTGTTTTGTTGACAGTGGGAACATCCTGAATGGCTTTCTACCCTCCCAGCGTCGTACGAGGGACCGCTACTTAATTTCTCGTCTTGAGAGATAACTTCGTGCCTAAGAAATCGTCTATTGTTCTCAAACTTGGTCGACAGATTCGATTCCTTCAATCTGTCAGCTGCCCATTTCAGGATCTCCAATGCCGATCGGATTGACTGATCAACTGATCCGCAGAAAGCGGCCATCCCTTTGAATTTGATGTCAAGATGTATATTTGACCTGTTTTTCTCATTCTTAAAACCAGCTGGATGTCTGCATTGCATTGTATCCTATATTCGAAGGCTTTTTACGTTCCCGTTCATATCTACTCAATATGACGAAAATGGCATGACGTCAAAACCCTAAATGATCGTTAGCTAAGTAGTAGGTGACTATAGAAAGGCATGTAAATTTACAGAGAGATCTGTAAAGTGGCTAGTAAAAATTCGTAGTCCATCTAGGAAATACACTCCATCACATTTGCCTCCGTAGTTCTCCTAAATCTGGCTAATTTATCGGGAAAAATGGAGAATGCTCCTAGGAGCGTCAAATCTAAGATAAGGCAAATTGTCCAATTAAACAATGTTCACGATGTATATCCTGCTTGCAAAGGGAAAGATCGCTAAATTAGTGGCAAATTTACGACGCCAACTCTTTGTTGGTGGGATAGGAGATGTTAACTTAAGGAAAAAGTTGTACAGGGATCGAGCTAGCGTGTCGCGTTTTATTGAGCCTACTTACTCATGTCAGGGTCAGTGAGTGGATCAGTTTGATCAGGGGCGTGCTCAATTGTACTCAGTGAGCAAAACCGGCGAGAGGGTGAGCACTCGAACGGAAAGGGAGCGCCAAGCGTTGCCGGACATTATCCGGTATATATGCAATTTGCATTTCCATGCAAAGTATTAAAGTGGGAAATGAAATGACCCAAGCCAAGCTGTCGTGTAGGCTGAATATCTGAGACAAGTGTCGAGGGAGAATCACACTGATCAAGAAAGAAGCAGAAAATGCAAAGTGGACAAAGCGAAGAAAAAAAAAAAAAAGGAAGAGGAAGAAGATGGTGAGAAAGACATGTCCAGATATGCAGAATGCAAGAATACACGCAACGTTGCACCCATCACTCAAACCACAACTTCACTTCCCCTCCGGCTGCCCACCTTCGAACCAACCTTAACAGACCCAACAGCCTTCACAGTCCGCTGCGACGACCTGGACACCTGACTCACACTATCCGCTGGTCTAACAGGGTCGTCAAACCTCGACTTAGACGAATGCCTGGAAGTCTTAGAATGCGAACGCGAATGCTTCGAGTGTCTCGAATGATGCGAATGGTGCGAATGACTCGATCGCCCCGAACGACTCCCACCAACCTGGCTAATCGAGTCATCGGGTGTAACGTTCGAGTCAACATCGACATCAATCACGCTCTCGGGGAGGAGTACGTGGCGCGCGGAGGCGTGCGATTTGGGTGCGTGGCTGGGCGCGGGACTGTAGAAGGAGTTTGCGGAGGATCCGGCTGGGAGAGGGATGTTGCGTGCTGAGAGGCCGGATTTCTCGGTTTGGCTGGGCATGGCGCTGTAGAAGGTGCCGGATGAGCCTGCGGGTAGGGGGATGTTGCGTGCTGAGCGGGTTGATGAGGCTGTGCTGCCTGCGCTGGCGTCGATCTTGGATGAAGAGTGGGATTTCACTGTGTGGACGCTGTGTGAGGATGATGCGCGGTGCACGGCGCGGGTGTGCTCCGAGAATCCGTCGTCGGTACTATGGCGGCGCTGTGGAGCTGATGCCTTGATGGTTGATGCGGAATGCACACTACCGGCGCGGGGCTTGTCGGCTGCATAGCTGCTGATAAAGGTGCTGGGATTGCATGGGTAGCGTTGCTGCGCTGCGCTGCTGGCGGGTGGATACTCGATTGCGCGAAGTGGCAGGTCCTCGGGGATGGAAAAGACGCTGCCGCCGTCGGAGGCGCGGCGACCGTGATCGTCTTGGTAAAATTCGGTAGCTTCGTAGATGGTGCTAGCCCACGGATTCTTGGACACCGTGCTCCTTGACTTCGTGGATCGTGCAGCGGAAGCAGAGGTGTAGACGCTGCGGGGTGGAGGAGCTTCGATGGCACGGAGAATGGGTTGTCCTTGCGATCTTGCCTCTGAAACTTGCGAGGGCGGGGCCATCAATTGTGGAAGGTCGGCTGCGTATTGTTGCGGGTACTGTTGTGGCTGATATTGAGGTGGTGGTGCCTCTTTAGACTCGGAGGTCGTCGATTGCGAGTCACCCTTAACCATGGCATAAGCAACGGCCGCACCGGCGGCAGCGCCGATGAGCGTGCCAATAATGGTTTTGGCGGCTTTGCTGCCATCGTCGACCTTCTGGGCTGGCGGTGGCCCATACGCGAGAGCCGACCCTGTTGACTTTTGAGAGATCACAGTCGGCGCCGGTGCGGCCCTTTCAATGGCGGTTGGCGCTTTTGATATTGCACGCGATTTGGCTTCTGATACAGCACTGCTAGCCTTGGCTGTGCTGACCTTTGATACCACAGAGCGATTTTCGAGCAGGGCTATTGTCGGGCCTCCGGATTCTGATGCCACGACGGATTTGCCAGGTCGGTAGACTGCCTCAATACTGTTTCCGTCAAAGTCTATCACAGCGGCACTGTGGTAGCCCGACACTGAGTCGCGGGTTCGTGGTTCGCCATGGAACTTCCCGCCAGCTTGGATAGCCTGGTGGAAGAATGCGGTGACGGCATCTTTGGAAGGCGCTGGGAATGCTACATGTGCTGCGCTTGGGAGAACACTGTAAGATTTATGTTAGCAACCTATACTCTATATAGACATCCCCAGGGGCTCCTCGCAGTCCCTTATCAACTGCTCACATACCCAGGCTTCTGTTCCGTGATCCAGAAATCCGCGGGCTCCCCCTGCTTCTGCCCAAAGCCAATATAGTCATCATGGCGGCCGATAAACTGGTATCCCAGGGGCTGGAGGCAGGAAAGGAAGAACGAAGTTGAAGTGGGGAGATGCGCGACGGTCAGGGTCAGATGGGAGACGGGCATATCGAGAAGTTGGAAGAAGTCAAGCCAACGTGCTGAGCAAATAGCACGTAGAAGAGGCTAGACCGTGAGATAGAAACAGAATAGACGTTTGCAATATACGAAGGATCTGTGTAGAAGAAAGAAGAAAAGGGAACCCTGCAATTCAAGCAGGGAGTGAATATATACGGGGAACAGAGGAGTATCAGAAACCGCAACTATGACACACCACCAGTCGCAAAGGCCAGTCTAGCCAGGAACCAGTCACGACACCGTAAATAATAGTAAAGAGGGAAAAGAGAGTCTCCAGTTCCAGAAAAGACTCCAATTAGAGCAGTTGACAAAAGACTGCTTGACTAGCCAACTCGTAGGCTAGTAGCTTGTTGGTCTGGTTGGAACTTGTCAGTAAATCGTGGAATCCACCCTTCTGCCCAAAGAGGTTGCCACTAATCGCCCGAATCGCCAGTGCCCGCGCTGGCCACCGCAGTCGTCCGAGAAAGGCAAGCCACCAGCCTAACCGGGCTCCAGCAGGTAGTCACTGGTCAGTGGGGACCCTGGCCTGGCCCTGGACCAGGTCCCTCGAGCGGTCATGCACGAGGAAAGCCTGTGGAGGGCAGAAAAGTGGACGGTGGATCAGGATCAGGATCATTGGTTTCAGAAGAGCCAAACCAAGACCCGGCTTCTCGTTTCCGCCAGGGCAGACAATACAGTACCTACTGGACTGACTACTGCTGTGGTTAGTGTTAGTGGTTGGTGGTTACAGAAGCTTGTGAACAACAAAGATCACTAGGCCTTCTGCCCGATCGAGCGATCTGCACCGGGAAAGCTAGTGGTGAAACGCCTGCCCCGCGCGCGGACTGGCTGTCAGGACATCGCGGCGTGAGGCGAGGCGGCCGCCAGGCTCGGGCCTTGCTGTCGAGAAGAAAGTCAGTGTCCTGTAGATCCTCATCCCAGATCCTGCAAGATGCTCATCCAGGAGATGGTCCAGTAGCACAGCTCTTCATAGGCTAGGCGACATACTGTAGTTAGTCATGTACTGCAAGCTCAACCAACCACGCCGACGAGGCAAACCAGAACACTCAATTCAATCAAATCACATACCAAGGCCCTGCGAGCTTTTCCCTCCTCTTTTTGCCAACGGGTTCGCCATTCCGACACACCAGCGGGTCCTCGCTCGGAGCCCAGGGTGGCCAGGTCAGCGCGGGGACGGTGGACACACAACACTGAACACTCTTGTAGGAGTGGAGCTTGGCCAAGGCAAGAGGGGCGGGGAGGCACCAGAAAATGCGTGGATGAGTACGAGTGGGCAAGCTACAATGTGGACAGAGCACACTGGGCGTGTTCTCACAAATGATACAGAAGACAGAGTTGGCGGGTGGGTATTGCTGGTGGAGACGGTGGAAATGCGCATTAGCCATAGAGGGAGGGACTTGGGTGCGGAATTGGGTCGACGGGCTTGACCGCTACTGTACGACTAGAGAGACCACAGTGTAATTTGGGGGCTGGTGAGGTGTTTAGGAATGGGAGTTGGAGTTGGAGTTTGAAGAACACTTAGAAGGGAACAATTGTTATTTTCCAGTTCATACTATGGGCCCGATAGCATACAAGTGTACGGAGTACACGGTTCATGGGTCTATCAGAGTTGACTGTGCCTCTACACATTCACGTACGACTCGCTTATACTGGAATATGGATTCATCAATTCCCCCCAATTTGTAGACCACTAACTATTCAATACTCCGTACTTGATAATAATCGCCCGGCTAAATACCAACACAGTCAGAGCAGACGCACGCCCCGGGCAGATATGCAGAAAACTAGCACGAGGCTGGTTTCTTGATTCCATGCTTACTATACTCCGTCCACTAATTTACACACCCCGTGGGCTATACATACATATTAATAGAGTCGATGGGAAAGGGGTAATTCGTCCGGGCAGAACATGCATCTTTCCGATTAGCTGCTGTGTTAGTGTGTTCTGTATCGGTGGTTGGCTTTGAGCTTTAGGTACGCTTTCAAGTTTCTAGTAGATTTTAGTTAGTAGGTAACTCGAGTGGGCTTTGTGCAGGGCAGGGTCAAAGTGAGGCGGGCACTAAATCGATGCCACGTCGAGGAGAGCGTGCTGCTAGCCGCCGGCCAAATTCTATCTATCCATTCCTTGTAGGTCTAATGCTCTTGGTGGTGTACGTACAAAGGTCTAGAGCAGGGCAGTAGATCCTGCCAGAGACGATATCCAGCTCAACAGAGCGCTTCAATCTCCCGCGGAGCTCAAACTACAAGTACGTAGACACGAAATAGCTTCCAATCCCAGGCTCTGGATGCATGCAACAAGTACAAGGATATCAAAATGTCACTGTATTCAAACACAATATGTGCCTAATCTCAGAAGCCTTGTCAAGCAACAGGCTCCCGATCTAATATGCTGTTCACTTTTCTGGTCTCATCGCCACAGTCGAAGGGAAACGCTGCGCTGCGGAAAAAGAGGCTTTGAAAGCTAGGGCTCTGGAATCAGGACTGGATCGGGCGAAAAGGAACCAAATGCCATCCAGTCCGAGTGTCTCTATTTTTCGTTGGTTTTTTTCTTTTCTGGATCTTTGTCGTGAAATCTTCGTCCCAGTGTCAATGTCACAGTACAGAACAATGACAGCGGCGATCCCAAGCAAAGAATCCTCCCCGAAACTCAATTCCAGGGCAAAGGGGGATCCCGATCCAGAGGGACAATTCGATATCATGTGATGCGTCATGGCTGGCTGGGCCGTCCCGTCAAGATGTATTCCTTCACGTAATCAATAGGTCGGTCAAAAACACAAGTAGGAAATACAAAATATGTCGAGAGAAAAGAGAGAGGGGGACGATAGCCAACAAATACAGAGGGAATCAACACAAAAGAAGCGTATTGTTTCTGATCCCGCATTGTCGAATTGCTCCCCCAGATTCGGGACTCCCCGTTGGCCAGTCGGTCCAAGTCAAGACAAAATCACGAAACACTCGACTCAACAGAACCCGCCCGTGGTCCAGTCCCCATCGCAAGGAAATTCGTGGCGGTCATGGGCACGCGGAGATGATGCCGGAAATCTGCGAACGACAGGCTCGAGGGACGCGCGCGTAGCGCTGCGCGATTTAGTTCTCCCCCGGAGCCGCGCTCACAGAATATCCCACACCTCCTCGGCGGCATGGCAGAACTTGCTGCACGCCACACTGGCACTGAGACTGTAGTTGCTGATTGAGATGGTATCGTCCTTGAAGGAGTCGGCAAAGTCATCGTGGCCCTTGGCCATGGCGCCGACGAAGATGGCAACACTCTCGTTCGGGCCCAGGGACTCGATATAGTCCTTTGTGCGGACGACGGGAGCCTCGAAACTCATAGTCACCTTGCGGCAGTTCGGGGGTAGATGGTCGGTAATGGGGTTCTTGATGACCTTGAGCAGCTTCTCTTGCGAGTTGGTCGAGCGAATGGACAGGCGGTGTAGCAGTTGGACCATCAGACCGGCGAAACGCTTGAATGTGCGGGGAATGCGGACGGAGGGGTTGACCTCGATCAGGACACCCTTGGCGGTGTGGATGAAAATTTGCAGGCGGCCAGCCTTGTTGACGGGAGAGTCGAGGAGGGTGAGAAGGCACTATAATAGAGAGAAATGATATATTAGAATAGATCCAAGAGAAATAATTGACCAAGATCATCTCCACGTCACGCGACACTCGAAGAAGGGGTGAATCCATACCTGATGGGTGATATCCGGACGAGCCTCGCTGATGTCACGGTTCATCTTACGCATGATACCAATGTGCTCGTCGCTGTTCAGGAGGGAATATTTCTCATCCTTGGCTCCAGCACGCCCGCTAGAGGCCCGATAAGTCTCCAGACTGGCATTTGACAGAATCACGATCAACCGCTGAGTGTCCTTGTCGTGCGACGGAATAGGCGCATGCTGCTCGGCCACGAGTTGCGGCAGCTCGGGCGGCGGGCACGACTGGGTCCCTGGCGAGTGTAGGTCGTTAGCGGGTTGCACACTTGCGCCTGCGGGCTGGGCCTTCTGGGCATGAGGAGGAGAAGGAGGAGATGACTGCTGCGGCCGCTGGTAGTGGTGGTGCTGTTGCTGGCCGGGCTGGAATGGAATGGCCGCGGCAAAGAGTTTGGACGGGCTCAGTTGCACAGACTCGGCCTGATCTTCCTTCAAAGCTGGCTTGTGCGAGTCTGCAGAGTCTGCGTGGAGAGTCTCTTGGCTGCCAGAGTCCATGGTGCAGAATTCCTCGTCGCGGGGGAGCAGTATTGGGGGAAGAGGGCAGAAGCGGAAGAGAATTTGTTGCAGGGAGGTTGGGGGAAAATTATTTCAAAAGGCACGAAAGGAGGGTTCACTAACTCGCACGCTTTCGCTTTCCTGCCACTTGTGCGGTGTCCGACATTGTTTTTTGAGGGGGGAGGGATGTTGGGATGAAGGTTGGAGAAACTGTCGAAGAGATTTTTGGAGGGTCCGCGCTGTCGAAGGTTCCGCGGGTCAAGAGCGGGACCGAAACGACTGGGAGCAACTTGGCGGACGACGTTGGAACTGATGAACCGATGAACTGGTGAACTTTGATCTGGCCTCTTATTTTTTTGGGACTCGTTCAGTTCGTTGTGACTTTGGTTATTTACTGATCATTGGAGTGATCATGGATGGACGGCGCAGCCAACAGCCAAGATAATAAGCCCCTCTTTTCTTTAAATACGTCGAGGCTAAAGTCCCATAATCCCCGATCGGAGACTTAGCCACGCTGCAGGATTATTATGGATCTCTTAATAGCTTGTCGTCTTACTCTCGGGGACTCCACCGGACCGACTTCGGTGAAGATCTCCTCCTCACCAAGACTCAGTCGGACTCCGGTCACCGAGCATATTCCTGCACGCTACTGCAACAAACTGACACGGACTAGCCTGAGTCGGTGGTGTCAGAAAGTGACACGGAGAAAGAGAGAGAGAGGGACAGGAGGAGTGGAGATACTCCAGCGGCCCCCAGTTCAGCTACATATATAGTCCGTCATACTCCCTTCATGCTCGAGTACTTGCCATTCTTCAGCTTCACACTAGCAGATCAGCCCTCAGCCTTGGTATTATGCAGCATAAGCGATGCGGCATGTGTAACCAATAATCTGCATCAAAGTCGAGTAGGTCGAGGTCGAGTTGTCGCTGAAACATAGAAAAGCCGTCCTATTCAGCTTGCACACTCAGCCTGCCCTACACATCTCTCGTCCTTGATGCAACCAGGAGGCCTAGCGAACACGATTGGATCGAAGTTTCGGACATACCCCAATGAGATTCGGGCGGAGTTTCTCGTTCTGAGGTGATACGGGCGAACATTCATCCTTGTTGATCACCATAGTCATACCCGTTCTCAAGGTTCAAAGGAACAGCGATATTCACGCCGTAGTGCTGACACCTGGATCGTCATCCTCCTGAGCCGATCTCAATCCCCACTCCCGCAGCTGGTGCCTGTCCTTGCTCCTACTTCTTCAATGGGGCGATCACACTCGTCATCATCCTGTCTGGACGAAGCAATGGGACCCCGGCACTTCGACTAGGATGGCAGCATGGGAATTGCATTCTCTTCTCTGGCCCATTGACGAGTCGAATCCATAGCTCCACGGCATGTGCTGGAGGTGCATAAATTCGCCACCCGAGTACCCCCCGTGCTTCTGAAACTTTATGCTGTGCAAGCATACCCCCGGCCACCACGGAGATCCGGGGGTGAAAGGGGGAGGCGCAGACCATATTCAGATGGAGGGCACTGCCAGCCTCTGGTAATCTCGTTTTCTGCCCCCTCTTCGTCACAAAGGCTCCAGCAGAGACAAGAAGACAGATTTGACAGGGAGAGTTTCGTAACGAGTTCGACCAACGGCCAGGTTGAAACCAATCAGTGTGCTGGATCGGTGATCTTGCTCAGAGCTGTTTGGCCCAGACCCAATCAGCAGTGACGGGCATGAGACGCCTCCGCGAATAAACCTCCGGTTTCTTCCTGAGGACAAATACAGGGGTACGAAGGAAATAATGACGGTTTGGTACATGCCCCACTATGTTTCTGCCAGTTTTTATAATACTAATAAACCGCCTGATCAACCATATGATCTCATCAATTCAATCTGCCATACAATCTGCCTGCCAATCTGCCCAGTAATCAGTACCTGCACCCTCTCGCTCAATAACCTGTTTGTATACGCTTGGGCATAGATCTTGCTAGATTTTCTAGCATGTCCTCTAGGACCGCCTGCCATGCGTCCTTAATCACTGGTTTCAACCTCTCTAGCGATATCTCTTGTTCACTGTACCTCTGCGAGATATACTCCCTAATCTAAGACTAAACGTTCTCAATCGGATTTAGATCAGGCGAATATAGTGGATGATCAGTACATTTGACGCCGTCCAGAGCGTGTGTTACGAGGGCCTCGAGATAATACGATTAGAGATCAGGCATCAACCCAAGACTCCAGGCTTTTTGAATTAGATTGGAGAGTTGTCGAGGTGATCATGGCGACGTTGGTTGTTTTGGGGGGACTGCCATTGGTTGGCTGGGGATGCAACGGTGCTTCCTTGCACGACGCAACGCGGGAACAGCTCAACACCAACTGGCTGGGCTGAGGCGCCCTGGGGACTCCTTGGGCCTCTAGTTGGGTTAGTCTTAGTCTTTCTGTCAGTTTGCCAGGCTTCTGTCAATCCTGTTGTGGAAAACAGTCAGACTGTACAGCCCTGTCTAGCCTAGCCTTAGCCGCTGAGCCGTCAAACTGTCGAATCGCGGTTAAGTATGGCCACGATGAGAGACAGGAAACTGGGGCCAAATCTTCTTGATCAGCTTTGCGGCGCGCTTGCCCATGTACGGAGTAGTGTCGGCCGTATAAACATAGATTATTGTCGCAAGACTCCTTCGTATTTTGGAGTGAGTAGGCGATGCTCCAGCTACTCGTTGCCCCGTTGGTTGGGGGGGGGGGCCCATCCTCAAGGCTGGGATGACTCTCCCCAGAGCTCGCTGATTGCTCGAGCGAAACGAACCAAATGGAATAAATGAACAAATTAGCGACTTGGACAAATCAGCGTCCAGGGTGGATGGTTCCTGGGCAGGAAAGGGGGGGCGAAAGGAGGTCCCACCGAACATACCAGAGTGACGGGAATTTACAGCCATATACAGAGTGACGGGAATGGGGGGAAGGAAGGATAATCATGACAACTCTCCCATCCACAACTCCAACTCTGAGCAATAACAGGTCTTTACAACATACAGTCTGGTGGAGGAAGATAGAAAGGAGACGAACGACGACAGGCAGCAGTTGGGGCTCCAACATTTGCTTCACGAAAAAGTATTTCAAAGAATCCATCAGCCCCAGTACGAAGACCTTTTTCATCATCTTGCATATACTCATCCTCATTTTTGATTACTACGACTCCTGTATCACGCTTAAATCTCTCATGCTGGGGAGTTCGTGATCCTCTCATCCTTCGCCGGTGGCGACTCTTCTGTCTCATTAAACTTATTAAACGCCCCCATCGCAGCTCGTGTGGGCTCCCTGTTGATCGCCCCGATTATTAAACTATCGCGTCCCCGATTCTTCCATATCTTTTGTGCATTCCCTTCCCGTCAGACCTGGACTATCCTGCCCTCCTCTCCGACCGGGTCTTTTCTTGGTTGGTTTTGTATACCTCCATTGCTCCCAGCAAGGGATACTCTGTCCGAGTAAGTGGCTGACAGGTGGAAACTCATGAACCTGACCTAAACAATATGACCTAAACCAGTTAGCGCCACGCGTGCAGTGGAACCGGACGATCCGCCTATGTAAACTGGCAAAAAACCCCCGTTGGAAAATAAACACCTTCTCTTTTCCCCTCCAACAAAAGATCAGACTTCCAGATGCCGTGGACAGTCACAAATTCTTTTAAGCGGTACGCGATACCCACCCCAACCCTCGCGATCCCGTCCATGCACTAACATCCCTCCCCCCCTTTCTCCAGAGGCCTGATGAAAACATACGGAAGACCGACATGGCGCGTCTATGACGATGAACGGGCCGCGAAAAAAGACGCGTACAAGATGAGTCGGACGAGGCGGAAACCAACCTTCAATATGCGATTCGCGAGTCCTCCGCGGCCGTCTTGTCCAGTCCCTCGCGCCGTAATTCGGTCGTCCTGTCCGAAGGGACCCTCGACGATATCGACGATCTCACCACTCCTCCTTCATCGCCACCGCCGCGGTTGACTCCTCCCCCGCCAACACGCGCAAACCGACCTTTGCCTTTCTCAAGCGCAAACATAAGGAGGCCGCCGGGTCTCCTCTGACGGAAGTGAACTCCAACAGTGTGCGCTCCTCAGTAGACCCGCCCAAGCAGCAGCAACAGCAGCAGCAACAGCAGCAGCAAATCAATTCGTACCCCCCGCCTCCCCCGCAACCACAAAAAGCAACGCCGAAGCAGCCCGCGCTGCACCAGATGCAGATTGATCTAGGCAGCGAGGTTCGCAAGACTTGTGCGACATGCGGCATGGAGTATATTCCGTCAAATCCGGAGGACGCGGCTTTGCATAAAAAGTTCCACGAAATGAATTCAACGGGCGTCGACTTGGGCAAGGCTTTCATGCGCGCCAATGCTTCGCGCTGGGTCTACGAGGCCACGCGTTTCGACGAGGGCTACGTGGTTATTGTCGATCGCAAGGCCACGCCCAGCGCCAAGAACCAGGCGAAAAAAGTGCTCGAGGTGGTTAATAAGGAGCTGTCGTCGCCAGAAATCGAGGACGAGCTACTCTGGAGCCAGACCGAACCCCCCAAACACCTACACAGCGATAATACGGAAGAAAAGGTCGATCGATACCGAGTGTTTTTACATATGAAGGACAGTCGGTGCGTCGGACTATGTCTAACGGAGCGCATCTGGGAGGCGCGTCCGGTGGTGCAAGGCGAGAGCAATGGCCATGTGAATGGTTCGTCAGTGTCTGTCAAGGACGAGTTGCATCCGGCGATTGTCGGGGTCTCGCGGATCTGGACATCGGGAGCGTCGCGAAGAAAGGGTATCGCATTGGATCTGCTGGACTGCGTGGTCAGCAATTTCATCTACGGCATGGAAATCCCCAAGAATAAGATTGCGTTTAGCCAGCCCACGGAGAGTGGGAAGAGGCTGGCTCATAAATTTTTCGAGGAAGAAGAGACGTGGCATGTGTATAACGAACGGTGATGAGACTTGAGCAAACCCTCCGAAGGAGATCTCAAGAAGACTTGGGGTGAATGGGAGGAAGGATGGCATCTATTGTATGGGGCCATTTGTGGAGGTTGAGGGGTCTTTCTTTTTTTTTTTCTTCTTCTTCTGATCTTTTCAACCTGATCTTTATATTCTTACTGGGATTATTCATATGGCACACGGTGGGAGGGGATCTTTCTTTCTGGTCTTCTGGTTGGACTGGGGCTTGTTTGTTTTCTGGTTGTTCTTCTCCGTCTCTCTGCGTTTCTCTAGCATTGTACCATACTATACTATACGCCCCTGGTTGTCTCAGTCAACCCAAGAAGTCATTTCATTTCGATTTTCCATGACCTAATTTTCCATTTCCACTTTCGCCTCAGATGTCCTAGTCCATTCGAGGAGTCGCCGTCAGCCCTGTGAGAAATGTGAGAATTGGATTCGCGACTGCAGCCTCTCGGGGCTCCCGGACGCCTTCGGAGAGGGGGCGGATGGATAAGAAGCGCGGGGATCCTTCTCCCCTCCTCCCAACCTTCACTCCCACGAGGCTGACAGAGAGTCGAGTCGCCCTCTCTGTCGCAATGTCTGGTTTCAATCCTTTTCGCGCTAGAAATCCTGACGGTAAGTCGAAGTCCCCATCTCCTTTCACCCTCCGCCGATCCGCCACTTCCCGATAAGGCACAAACATGACACTCCCCATTCCAGTCATCATGCTTCTCTTTGAACATGGTACTATCTAGCCACCATCGACAGGGCGAAATACTGATGGATTCATCGAAATAGGCAGCTCCGCTGGTGCCACGGCAGCACTCCCAATCTCTGACAATGCGTCGCTAGAGCTATTCTCCAAACCGGCTCCCTCGGTGCCTACCCAGCTGCCCAACGGTTACCCCAAAGATCCCGCAATGTCGCTAGAGCTCGAAACCGATGACTCGACCTCATCCGACGAACAGACCGCAAATCCATTCAGTGCCGACTCTTCCGTGAGCGACAATGACAACGATCCCGGCCACGATGAAAATCCCCAGCGGGGAAGCTCCACGAGCTCGGCGCTCCATGATCGCCCGCGAGAATTCTTTGGGTCATCTCCACACCCAGCTCCATCCGCCGATGGGTCGACGGCCACGCCATCATCCAATTTGCCATTTGTACCTGCGACACACACGATGCGGTCAGAATCAGACACTGGACTGGGTTCGGGCACAAGCACACCGCAAGAAATCGTCCCACTGCCGGTGACTCGGGATGCGCTCCAGTCACACACATCTCGATCTCCACCGGAGCTAGGCATCAGTACATCGCCGTCAAGTCGGTCCAACAAAGAAAAGAAGCCACCACCTCCCCCGCGAAGCCACCACGGCAAACGAATTAATACAACTACGAATACTACGGCCAATGTCGCGTCTTCGTCTTCCCATACCTCACCACCACGATCTACTAACCGGCTCTCACACCATGCCTCCTCTCCAGAGAGCCAGATATCTGCTCACCGGTCCGGCATTCCCAATGCCAACTCTGCAAACCAGGCTCCAGGATCAGACTACTTCTCAGTCTCTTCCGAAGACCAACAGCGCTCACGTGCACCAAACTTGGCTTATCCAACCGAGTCCATCCACCGCAGTGCTTCTCAACACTCCCAGCATAAACGTCCACCTACGCCTCCTCTCAGCCGTCGACATAGTCAGATGCGACGGTCCAAGTCCACACAGTCCAAGTCAAGCGTCAGCCGTCTGACCACGTCCTCGCGTGATTCCGAGAGCACCGACAGCTCCGAACCCCCCAGCCCAGGCCCCTCTACCCGTTCCATGGCCTCGTCTATCTCAGATCGCAAGCGTCTCAGTATGCCGCCGCCTTCCTCTAGGTCTAGGGAGAGCGAAGTAGAGCCACGCGCTGCTCCAGGGTCATCACTCTCGCCAGAGTCTCTCTCACCACCCCCAACAACCACCCGATCAAATCCACCTCCGCCAGGTCGCCGCGCCTCTTCGCACGGCAGTGTATTGACCGTCAGTTCACTCTCCTCTGCTGCACCTCCTCCTCCGCCACCTCCGCGCCGCGCGCGAGACTCTAGCTCCCGTAGCAGCGAAGGACGGCCGGTGTCGCAGGTAATAGGGGTGGAGGAAGTACCCTTGCCACAGCCGTCTAACGCTCAAGATATCTTGGCTGATCTGTCGCGGCTGCAGAAGGAGGTGGATGATCTGCGTGGTCATTATGAAGGCCGCAAAGTTAGTCAATGATTGGGGGGCTTGGGCTTGTCTGGGCCTGGGCCTGCGGGAGTCTGGATTTTGGAGTGTAGTCACTTGTATGAATGAACGAATTTATATTGAACTGGCTATATTACATGGGCCGTCTCTATATTCTGTTTCCTAGGGGTTGAGTATCCTCTATATCTCGTAGTAAATGTCTTCTTAACAATCGTCTCTCGAATGGAGCTCAGATTCCCCCGTCAACCCAAACAGTCCCGCCAGCTCTGCGCTGACTGGCTCAGCGCCCGGCCCGACATGACGTCGCCGCAAAAGGCCCTTTGCTCCCCGCAATTTCCTTCGTCCTTTGACTTTGGTCACTTTTTTAAATCCTCCTCACATCATCTCTACCCTCTACAAGCTTCCTTGAACCACATCATTAGCTCTGCTATAATCCTTCTTGGTCCCAATCCTGGTGGTCAGATTTGACTCCATCTCAAACACAGTTGAAGATCCATTAAACAGAAAACACGATCGAGTCAACCACCACGATGACTACGCCTACTCTGATCAACCTCCCCCTCCTCCCTCTGACCCCGTCACTCCCTCGGACATGGGCCCGTAAGAACGATTCCCTCCATCATCTCCCACCAATTTCTCTTCACTCTCCCCTTATACTACACACCCCGCACTTCTACCAAAGCTAACCACCCATCCAGCGGCACCCCCAATTCCGGCACAACCTCTCTCTCAGCCCTCTCCACAACCGCCATCAAAGACGGCCACCAAGGCACACCCTTCCCCCACCACCGCGGCCACGCCCACCAATCCTCAACCTCCTCCGCAACCACCCTCGAAGCCGAACGCGCAGACCGCATCTCCCGCCTCGCCGGCCTCGGGCGCGTCGCAACCGCCCGCGCCAGCGGTAACTCCCCCGCCAGCCATATCCCACCCTCCCACATCCCGGGCTACTTCGACAGCCACGCGCTTAAGGAGCGCAGCACCGTCGGCAGCGCCAGCGCAACCGGCAGCATCGGCCACGCAACCTGGGCATCAGGCAGCGAGGCCTTCTCCGCAGACAAAATGAGCGAAGACGTCGATGTGGATGACCGCGATAGCGTGGGGAATGTTAGTGATGAGGGCAATGCGAGTCTTGTTGGGTTCGGCGAGGGCGCGAATAGCACTATCTCCGGACCGACGAGCCGTCCTCCTGCTCTGAATCGCATGTCCTCTGGTGGTGCCCGCCCGACTAGTATGGGGAGCGCCGGTGTGAACCCGAATGCCGGTCGGGGTAATCCGTTGGCTAGTTATATCCAGCAACAGCAGCAGCAGCAGCAGCAGTATGGTGCTGGATCTGGGGTTGGGGTTGGTCCTGGGGACAGTTCGATGGCGTCGTCTAGTTTGGCGGGCTCCGTTACGCCCGAGCCTGTTACTGAGGATGCGCGGATGGTTAATGGGATGACTTTTGATGAAAATGTGGTTGATACTACGGTTCGCACACCGCGGTTGGCTACACCGAATCGCGAGTCTGGTGAATAAGACACAGGGCATGATTAGGGGCTTATGCTTCATGTCTGGATGGCAGTTGTCTCGTACGAGAATGGCCAGAAACTGGGGGAATGGGGGTGGACGAAGCCGAGGACGCTCGGGCGGCGATTTTCTTTGTTCATTTCGATCATGTTCCGAAAATGCCATGTGGTGGGACACTGAGATTTCTTCGTCATTTCTTTGTCTCATCTCTACTGTTCTTTTTGATAGTCTCGATTGGATAGGGAACCTGGTGGGATGTATTTCTATGGGAGGAGCTGGGTGGGGGATTGAGTGGCGTGGCACTTGGGGCTGGATATGACTTATGTGTATTTGATATGATATGTTCAGCGTAGTTTAGCAATGATCTTGGTTTTGTTTCTGAATTTACCTGTGTAAATGGCTTGGAGGACGTACGTCTGGTACATGGATAGGGAGATTCAGTGTGGCGTAGCCTGGACACTCACGTGTCAAGTTTAGAAGGACAACATACAAGAGATTTTTGTCAGTAGAATCATTCAATACGACCGAATTAATATGCCACATCAGTAATGAAAATCATCTCATATCTTCTAGCTATATAAACACCACCGTGAACCGATCCCCATATCATCCTATGCCTAGGCCCTTCGGCCCAGCCCGCAACGGCCAGCATGACGGCATGCCGCCTCCGAAAGGCCCACGCCCGCCGCGCCAACACCCGAATTTTCATCTCTTTCATCCTTTTCCATCTTCCCATCCCCCACTCCTCCAAACCACCTTAACCCCCTCCCTCCACACTCCTCCCCCCTTCTCCTCCCCTCTTCGGACTCCGCCCCGCCCCCTGCTGGCATTGACTTGTCTAGCAATCCGAGAGACGAGACTCCGACACCCCCGTCTTTTCCCACCAAACGTGAAACTCCGCCACTTGCCTCGCTTCGCTCCGCGCAATTGAGTTTCGCAACCTCGATTCTGCACGCCCCGTTTGGATTGCCTCCCATACACACCCCGTCGCCGTATCTCGCTGGTTTCTATTGTGCTGTAAAGCCGGTAGCATTTTTTTTGTCCCCTACCACCTTGCTTTGAGTCACACGGGAGCAAGTTTCTCGTGAGGGACCGAACACATACGCCGACACCGCTGCCTGGGTGATTCAAGCCAGATTGTTCCATTTCTACCGCTCTCCGCTGCGTACACGGGTGCCTGCTCGGATACCAGATCTGTGAGCTGGGTATTTGCTTCCTGAGTGGAACGAACTAAGACTTTTCTTATCTTTGCGTGATTCAAACCCGATCCTGCAAGTCGACTTCAAGATGGCGGCTCCTACACAGCTTGCTTGTACGTTTACCCTCTTTGTCCCTGGCCCGTTTTCTATTCCATTTGATATTGTCCGTGTCTCTGTGGTCGATGGACTGGTTGAATGGATTGGTGACATGGCAGCTTGGAATTTTTGGTTGGGCATTGGACTGATTGGGCGCTAGACCGAACTCTCAAGGGGATTGGCATCATGGATGCCGCCCCCGTCTATCAGCCTCTGTCTGGGTTTATGCGGTAAGAATTTGCATTGAATAAAGGATATGATAGATGACCTGGCTGACTCTTGTTTTTGCTTTGTTTAGACCTGAGGGAAACCTCCGCTGCGGTGCTTACTCGCCGTGCGGCCGTTACTATGCATGGGCCTCGCCTGAAAAGTAAGCATGCCCTATCCAGTCACATTCCTACTTTGATCTGAAAGTCTAACCAATCGCCTGCCTGATAATAGGGTCACCATTGTGGACCCCTCGGTTGGCTACATTGTCTCGACTATTCCCGCCGACAATGTGTTTGAGCTGGGCTTCTCGCCGCTTGGCACCTACGTGATTACCTGGCAACGGCCTACCAAGGACGCCAACGGCGATGCTACGAAGAATCTCAAGGTCTGGCGCGCGGTCGAGACCGGAGATGAGCACTCGGTTGTGGGTCAGTTCGTTCAGAAGTCGCAGACTGGCTGGAACTTGCAATACACCCCCGATGAGAAGCTGTGTGCCCGCGTCGTGACCAACGAGGTCCAGTTCTACCAGAGTGATAACTTGTCGTCGGTGTGGAATAAGCTGCGTGTGGAGGGAGTGGCGGACTTTGCCCTCTCGCCGGGTCAGACCCAATCCATTGCGGTCTTTATCCCCGAGCGTAAGGGTCAGCCCGCTGCCGTCAAGGTGTTTATTGTGCCGCAGTTTGGCGCTCCCGTCTCGCAGAAGAGCTTCTTCAAGGGCGATAAGGTCCAGTTGAAGTGGAACGCCTCCGGTACTACTTTGATTGTGCTTGCGCAGACTGAGGTCGATAAGACTGGCAAGAGCTATTACGGTGAGACCACGCTGTATTTGCTCAGTGCCAGCGGTGCCTTTGATTCTCGAGTTGATCTCGGTATGTACTCCTTGAACATTGTTGAATCCTAGAGAACAGACTGTCTAACCCGAACGCTTTTACCCCACAGACAAAGAAGGTCCCATTCACGATGTGAGTTGGAACCCCAACTCCAAGGAATTTGGTGTTGTCTATGGCTACATGCCCGCCAAGACCACCATCTTCAACGTGCGTGGCAAGCCCACGCACACTTTCCCTCTGAGCCCGCGGAATACCATCCTGTTTTCGCCTCACGGGCGTTTCGTCCTGGTTGCCGGATTCGGTAACCTGGCAGGTCAGATGGACATCTACGATATGGAGAGAAACTTCCACAAGATTGCCACTGTGGAGGCCTCTAACGCCAGCGTGTGCAGCTGGTCCCCCGACGGCCAGTACATCCTGACTGCGACCACCAGCCCTCGCCTGCGTGTCGACAACGGCATCCGTGTCTGGCACGTCAGCGGTAGTCTCGTGTATAACGAGGAAATGACTGAGCTTTACGACATCAACTGGCGCCCCCAGAGCATCGACCAGCACCAGCTGGGTGACCCCTTCACCAAGCTGCCCGTGCCGCACCCCTCTGCCACCGCGTACCTGGCTACTCGCAAAGCCCCCGTCAAGCCCGCTGGTGCCTATCGCCCCCCCGGTGCCCGTGGCCAATTGACCCCACTTGCCTTCAAGCGCGAAGACCAGGGCGGTGCCGCCTTCGTCCGCGAGGGTGTCCCCGGCGCTGGAGCCGCCAGCGTCAACGGCTTCGGCAAGCCCCGTCGCCGTGAGATTCCGGGTGCCGAGCCCGTGGAGGAGTACCTGCCCCCAGGTGCCGCGCCTGGCGGCGGTGTCGCACTCCCTCCCGGCGCAGAGAACGAGAAGCTCTCCAAATCCGCCGCCAAAAACAAGAAGAAGCGCGAGGCCGCCAAGAAGGCTCGCGAGGAGGGCGACAACGCACCCCCCGCCAATGCTCCCACCGGTCCGAACCGTAGCCGTGGTAAGAACAACGGCTCCCCAGTGAACGGCTCGAACAAGGCTGCTCCCGCTCCTGCACCTGCTGCTGCGCCTGCTGCGCCTGCTGCTCCAGTTGAGCCCGCTGTGGATCAATCCGCGCAGGATAAGAAGATCCGCGGCCTGCTAAAGAAGATTCGCGCCATCGACGAGCTGAAGATGCGTCTTGCTGGTGGTGAGAAGCTGGAGGATACGCAGATGAAGAAGATCCAGACCGAGGATGCTGTTCGCAAGGAGCTCGAGGCCGTTGGGTATAACGGTTAAGAGATGACTTGCTGTTCGCACTTCGGATTTGGTTTTGAGTAGGGAGTTAGCGAGGCTGGGTATGGTGCTGGTGCTGGTGCTGGGTGTCTGGGTTGTGCATTTGCGTGGGCTGTGTTATACGCCTTGTGTATACTGCTTTTTTCATCTTCTTTTGCATACACCCTGTCGTCCGGGCCTGTATAGGTGCCTTAAAATAGAAAATTTACGTTCAGATTGATTTGAATATCATGTGCTTTGTAGGCATAAGATCAGGTTGTCTGGTCTCTGTAGAGTGTACACCAAGCTTGACGTGTGGTGTCCGAGGTCTACCGATTATATGCATCTTCCTTGAGAAGAGGACCCAACGTTAGTAGAAAACTCGAGCAGCAAGTAGTCAAGTCTTACTATCATCAAAGACGAGTCGATGATCAAGGACTCTCAAACCAGGAGCCCCTAAACCAAGCATCAATATTAAAGAAAATAAATCACCATCAAAACAAACCCAGGAGAGGGTATACCGCAGTTGAAGTCCCTCCCAGTAACCCTCCCCCCCCAATAGCCTAGTGGTATTCCCACTGGACGTCTCATCGGGGTCCGATGTCCACGAGGCGTCGGTAAATCCCCGGGGAAACGAATCGGGGTCCTCTAAGTTGGAGGGTTATTTCTTTTTTATGCCCCTCCCTGATATAGGGGTTACCACCGCGGCTGGATTTTTGTATTATTTTAATATACTTATACTATATTAATTCTGAGATTTAGGAGGATATAATATTATTTTTATATAGCTTTTGAATGTTGTTGGTAGTTGTATAAAGGTGGCAGCTGTTGGGTGTCAGCATTGTGGCAAAGTACATGAGCATCGCCGAGTGTCACGAAATTATTTGTACGGTGACGAGAAAGTCCGGGCCTCAATTCACGGAGATAGCATTATTTTCCATTTTGAATTCTAAAGTACATTTAATACTGTAATGTCCCATCGCTGCCAATTCACGCACTACATTCAACACCCGGCCCGTCCCTCCGCATCTACCTACCACGCCCACCGATGTGAGGAATCGTCCGAGGACAGATCAACGGGTCATGGAGATAGTCAGAGGAAAGCAGGTGAGCCCGGAAATCAAATGCAGGCGCCGCAACATATCGTGTATATCGCGGGGACGAAGAAACGCCCCAAGGCATGAAGCACGAAGCTTCGTTGACGATGGTTGTAATTTTTGATATATCGCATCCGATACAGAGCTTATTCACTTCCGTAGAAGGAATTTCAAGGCATGGACCTCGCCTTGCGCTCCACCTTACAGCGCGAATGGTGTTTTTTGCTAGCTTTGTGGCTGGTTCCTATTAAAAGAAAAAAGTGCTGTGAGTTGGAATGAATGGTGAAACTGGTTAATATAGTAATTTTCCTTCGTTGGAGCGTGGGTATCATCTATGGTGGTGGTCCGATGCCCTCGCCAAATTAAGTGAAGATACGAGCTCGCTTCACCGGGCTGGTTCCCACGCGCAGCGACCCAGTGCCGCTCGCCATTCCGTTCAAGAGACGACCCATGCCCTCCACGTCCAATTCGCCTCGGCGTAACATCATCTGGTCTGCTTCTGCCTCTACTTCTGGCTTCGTGGCTGTAGCGATCTCGTCAGACTCGACCAGCCGGGGTGCAAGAATCACAATTTGATGCTCAGCGGCCACGAGAATGTCGAATTTCTGTGGCTCGGCACCTCGAGACCGGCGAGCTGGTGCGGGTAGATGGCCAAGTGCTTGGAAGTTCTCTCCCATCAGGTTCACAACCTGGAATGGGGTCACGCGGCATCGGTTTGAGGCATCAAAGGTACCGGTTGCCTTGACTGCGTTGCGCCAGAGAGAAAGCAAGCTTGGAATCACGGCGCTGTGCTGGCCATGGCGTAACAGGATTGACTCATCGGGCAGCTCATGAGAGACATTGGTTTGACAAACCGAAATCTGACCACGGAGAGAGGGACTGGCGGCAGTCATCGATCCCTTGAGAAGCGTATCTTCACGGACCCGTCTCGTGGACGGAGTCATCGGGGCAAATCGTGATCGTTGCTCCACGTCGGACTGAGTGTTGGTCAAGGGAGCCACAATACGACCACTAACCGCATACGTAGTCAAGGAGCCTCCGGTCACGCCTTGTACGTTTGACTGACGGTGTAGGGGGCCCTTCGTCGTTCCCGGACCAGCGCCCTCAATATCCCAGACCCCCCATTCGCCATCTGCCAGAAGAACCATCACGGCTCGTCCACCCAGGACCCAGTCGGCATCGATGATAGTCTTGCGTCGAATAAGGCCAGTCGACCCCTGCTCGAATCCTGGGTACAGACTGATCAACCATCGTCCTTCCATGTCGATGGTCTCATATTCATCCTGGGCATTTGATCCCCGCCGCCCACTCTTAGGAGCGGATTTTCGAACTGAAAAGCACGAGTAGACTTTCACACAGCCACTGTGGAACGCCACCAAGAGACTCGAATGGCGAGCGGAAGGGTATGAAGATGGGTTGAAAGCAATTGTCTGAGCAGGTGATGGCAAGGTCCGCCGTTGCGAGACAAGCTCCTCTTCGACCAGTCGGTAGAGCACAGTCTTACCAGAAGACTCTTCCGAGAGAGGAATCCGATGGACCAGGAGGGCACCTGATCCCTCTGCCGAGTGTGTGGCAACTAGAACGTCCCATTTCCCAGAACCTTCAGCTCTGCCTCGTGACTTTCGACGGTCTTCCTCATCTCCAGATTCCTGGCAAGTGAATGTGAGAGATACGCCCCTCGGGATATCCTGGTGAGTCACGCCCGCATTGAGTGTGACTTTTTGAATTTTCCAGCTCTTGGGATCCTTTTGAGCTGGGTGAGGTGGGACCAGTGGCAAAGTTACAACCCGAGTTGAAAGATCTGAGCATACCGCTGCCACGAAAATGGTATCCTTCGCAATGACTGGGAAAGGGTCGAGAGCAGAGCGCGCTTCGTCGGGGAGGGCACGGGGAACTGCCACGTCGAGAACCCGGCTTCCCAGAGGGATGTCCACCTGGCGCAAGATCGGTTCGAACGGGAATGCAGGGTTGACTTCGGATTCCTCTGTAGAGAAATCATAGCTAGGCTCTTCTTGGGATGTAGGTGCCCCGGGTGCGTCTTCTTCGTCGGAGTCGATGATCATTACAGTATCATCGCCATCGTTCTTTGCGCTTTTGGCCTGTGTTGACGGTGCGGCCTCCTTCAGTGCTGAAAACTCCCTTCCTCCTCTCCAAATGATCTTCAACCCAGTCTCGTAGCCATAAACGATAATCGAAGAGCCGTTGGGTGACCGCAAGGGGTAGGCTTGGGCTGCATGAACGCGATGAGGGAGTCGATAGCTAAATTTTTGTCGGGATCACATTAGTCTTGAAAGGGATGCCACGGTGGAAGAAGCTCGGGAATAGTCGTTACCAAAGTTGCAATCCATCTTCTCTGGGCCGCACCAGCGGATCGACAGGAAACGACGGCATCGCGCAAAGGGTCTAACGTCGTGCGAGCGAGACCTTTGAGCACAAGCGCGCCAGACGGCACGACGAGATTAACTGGAAAGCTCGATCTCGGTGACTCGACCTAGTTAGTCAAGACTCGTCAAAGAAATTCTTGGTAGTGAAGCAGAAGTTGCGCCGGAAGATTGTAGAGGTGGCGGTGGTGGTTGAGTGGAGAAGTGAAAGTTAAGTTGTTTTGGTCCGCAGCAAAAGAAAGTCGGCCGGTTCGATCTCTCCGCGCTCCCTGCGCGTCTTCCCGATTTCCAACACCGCAACCATTCGACATGCTGCACTGGCAGCGCGCCTTGGATTAAAATTGAGTTCGACCATGGGTACAGCTTTCTCCACAGCTTGTGCCGTCGGAAGTCTATCTGTGAAGGCGCATTACGACCGCAATCTTAGCTGCTAAGCTGCTATTTAGCCCACCATGGCTACAACTCGCTCGCTCGGCTTGCACGAGCCTTCGGCCGTCTCATACCTCGTCACGGAAGGACTCCTACCGCCGGACCCCTCCGAAGATCAATACAAATGGACAACATGTGTGGACGAAAATGCTACGACTGGCCCGGTCGATGACGAGCTGGTTTGGACAAAGCATTGCGCGGTCTGGTCTCGTGCGGGCGTGGTAAAACGAGTATTCCGACTCGACCCCGAGAAGGAGGATATTCGACATGCGCTGTTCACTCAGTTTGCTGCCGGACATGTCAAGCGCTCTGTACATGACGGGACGGGCGCCAAGGCTTCAAATCGATATCGCACGGCCACCACAGCGACGACTGCGCGGGCAGGAGGACAAGGCAAGCGAAATGGAGGCAGCTCGAATCTGGCAAGCTCGGTATCAACATTGGATTTGCATGGAGATGGCCGAGTCGCAGTAGTTGCTCCGCAGCAGCCCAATGAGAAGCTGTCTCGAGCTCTGGTTGTGGTCCTCAAGTCCCAGGCACATATCTTCTTTGTCGCAGGGAACAGCCATACAATCCCCCTACCATTTGAAGTAGAATCAGTGTTTGCAACTCCCCGTGGTCTACTTTTCCAGCGAAAGATACCCGACGAGCCTCCTAAATCCCAGAATTTAACCGCGCCTCCCAATTCCTTCATGACCGCTTCTTCGTTATTCGACCCAGGGGCCTCGCAATCTTCTGGGACACCACGGCCACCTCCCAGCAAAGGAAAAAGCATCTTCTTGAAGTTTTCGTCGCTCCAGAACTCCACATGGGGTCCGGATTCCAACGCAAACTCAGATCTTCCACGAGTCTTTTCGCTCATCGACCCTCATTCTGAAATGGGCCTGGTAGTCACCTCGCCTGCGTCGCAGGGCTTCCAGAGCAGTATCAGCAGCGCCACGCGGCGTCGACCATCCGGCTTGGATGTACTAGACCCTGCCGATGAGATTGTGTACATCTCTCCCAAAGACGAGCTGTCAAGTCCGGGGCAACGAGAGACTGGACGTCCGTTGATATTAGTTCTTACTACGAATACAAACACCGGACTTTACACTGTTTGGACCGCAAGATACAGAGATGACGAAATTCAAGGCTCGATTCAGGAAAAGACTCGCCGGCACACTGAAGGCACTCGTTCCAAAAGACGAAGCTCACACTTTGGAATGACCACTGGTGCAACCACGCCAGCTGCTCGTCCACCTGCGGGCCGCGAGAGCTTCGGACCGTGGCCCGAAAACTGGGCTTCATCACAGCAGCATGAGAACAAAAACGACGTTGAGGACGACTTGGTCTCAAGAGTTGCACAGGATTTTGGAGACGTGGGTGTGCCTCTCAAGACATCTAGACGGGTCAGCTCCTTGCTTGCGCGAACGGATCTGGCAACCAGTCAAGATCGCATTACCTTCTCGGACCTCGCTACAGGGAGTCAGTCAAACACTGCGCCTCATCACGGGGGACTCAGACAGTCTATCGGAGCAGCTAGTGCCCGCGGTAGCTTTGGTTTCAATCCTCGTACCTCTCTTCCTCCAGCCACAGGGTCTGTCTACAGCGCTGCAGGAAGTTTTGTGGATGCCCCGGTGGACAGGCTGCTGGAAGAGCTCAACAATGGTGGTTTAAGCGAAGGATTTGAGAACATTGCCCTTCGTGAATCCGCCTCGGGCTTGCCGGAAGAACTTCTATTGTCAAAGGTAGAGAGTTTCTCTCCTATGTTTTCTGGCAGTTTCCGCGGATCCATTCAACCCGTGTCGTCCCGCCGTCTCAGAGTCTGTACGCTATCTTCGTCAGATTACACCAGCACGCAGAATGGCAATGTCAGATCTGTAGCGATCTGCATTGTGGATCAAAACTCGCAGAATATGACCATTGTGAATTTGAGAGCAGAGAGAGTTGCCACGTCCAAAAGTCGAAAAATGGCTCAAAGGGCCAAAACAGCAGAAAGGCGTCCACTACTGGTTCATGCAACTGGTGTTCAGCACATCCCCAACATCTGGGATGCATGCAGTGTCACTGATGGTGAAATTTCGCGGATTCTCACATTGACTGTTTTGGAGGACGGCCAGCGGGAGCTGTCTCTGCAGACTCTCTGGGGTAGTCCAACCAAGATCGATATTCCTCGCCCACTGCAGCTGTATGAACCTCACGGGGTCTCTGCTAACAAGCTTGTTAATCGACCGAGAGAAAGCGGTGTCAATCGAGTCATGGCAGATCCCGATCTCGTTTTCAATGGATTTGACCATAGTTGCTCGCGAGGAAAGGTTGACTTGATCGACACGGAAAAGCAGCGTCATAGACTTCAAATCCGGATGGAACCACGCAATGAACTTGTTAAGAAAATACTGAGGATCTGCAAGTTCGTTCTTCGTGATACTGCGAAAGCCGGAGATGGCATGCTCGTGGCCTGGTGGGAGGTCATCAAGTGGCTTCAAGGGGGAGGAGGAAGTCGAGAATGATATTGAGTGGACTGCTATGGTTATCGTTCTATTCGCCCTAGCTGTCCCCTTCATCAAACAATCTCAACCTCAGACTCCAGCCAGACGGACGCGCCGAAAGAAGGGACTCCTACGGTCGAGCAGTGGCAGCTATATTGACTTGGAAAGCTGGGAAGCCATGCTTGACCTGGAGTCAGGAGCATCTGGGGTTGTCGCACCATGGATGAACAGCAGTGCATGGGGCTGGATTGTTGAACAAGATGCCATCGCAGACCTAGCGGCTCGTGAAGCAAGCCGTGCGCCAAAGAACGAGCAGCCAAATGCAAGCCGATCAACTTATCGCCACAACTCTTACGTACTTCGATGTATGTCTCTGAGTCGCGAGTTCTTACAAAGTCCCTTGGGTGCAAGAGCCACTGGTCGTGATGGTTATTTGCCCATTTCTGGGGCGTTTGCCGAGAACACAAGGTGCACAGCACTAGGTACCATTCTCGTCGGCCTTCATCTCCTACGAGAGGAGCAGAAGCTTTCCGCATCCGACACCGAAGAGTCTCAACAGCCGTTGGGCCTGCTTGCTCCAATCCTTGCACAACTGGGTGGTTGGTTGGGCTGGCAGTCCTGGAAATGGAGTGAAGATTCCTACTTTGGCACAGAGATGGCCAGTATGGAACGCTGGCAGTTTGAGGATACCCGTATCACTCAGCTCAATGTTCCTGCTGAACCATTTCCGCCTCCATCAATTTTTGCTTTCCTCATCGAAGCTACATGCCAAACACCGCCGCCATTCCTCACTCTCCTTGATATTGTCAACGCCTCGGATCGGACCCCTAGAAAAGGTCGACTGTGGAAAGAGTGTTTCAATGTCACACCCAGATCGCTGGCCTTGACTGGCTTCCTTTCTGATGTTCATCGTGCTTCGACACCCTTGGAAAAGATTCAACTCCTTTACCGCTGGGGATTGACTAAGAGTATCATCGACACTTTCCCGGAAGGCGTGAGCGCCCCGTTGTATGAGGCTGTGATGCAATGCCAAAATGAGGCGTCTACATCTTGGAATGCCACGCTTTTGGAGCTCATTGACCGAGAAGATCTGTACATGTCGATGAACCCCGTGCAGGCCAAATCATTTGCCCCGCCTCAACAACCTGTAGTCTCTCATGACGCCCTTCGTGATTTCCACCATATCAGCAGTTCCGCATTGGAAATCGATGCTACCAACGCCTTTGAGGCTTCCGCAGAGGCTGACCGCTTCTCTGTGACTAAACTCGTCTTCCGCGAGGACAAGCGCTACCTAGAGGCAACCCGACTTTTAAATCAGTCTAAAGCGCCCGTGGCAGATTGTATTCCTCAACCCGAGTGGACAGACTCCGAACTCCTCGAAGCCCAGAAAGAACTCGTGCAGCTCGTCTCCTTCCGCACATTGTCCACACCTGCAGGCCGTGGCATGCTCTTGTTCAGCGGTCGCCTACCGTTGCTGACTGAGAAGCTTCCCATCCCATCCTTTTCCTTACAGTGCGTGATGAAACCCTCGAATGTCACCGTGAGTGCCGAACGGAGCGCATTCACCGAAGAAAAGGTCTGCTGGGCCTTTTTCCATAACGGCGTCTCTACTGGATTGGCTATTTCCAAAGCATCCAAGGGAATTGATACTTCCTGGATCCTGTTCAACAAGCCTCAAGAGCTCACCAATCGACATGCCGGGTTCTTGCTCGCTCTTGGTTTGAATGGCCACCTCAAGAATCTGGCCAAATGGGTAGCTTTCAAGTATTTGACTCCCAAACATACCATGACCTCCATCGGTCTCCTGCTCGGTCTTTCTGCCTCATACTTGGGCACCATGGACACTTTGATCACTCGGCTTCTTTCGGTTCATGTCTCCAGGATGCTACCGATGGGTGCTGCGGAGCTTAATTTGTCCTCTCTCACGCAAACTGCGGGTATAATGGGAATCGGCTTGCTGTACTGCGGCTCTCAGCACCGGCGTATGAGTGAGGTGATGCTGTCGGAGATCGAGAGCGCTGAAGAGGATGAGCAGTCCGGATCTCAGGAAGACTTGCGAGATGAAGGATACCGCCTGGCTGCAGGATTTGCGCTAGGAATTATCAATCTCGCCAAGGGCAAGGATTTACGAGGCATGCGGGACATGCACATTGTTGAACGCTTGCTATCAATCGCTGTGGGCACCAAGCATGTCGATCTCGCCCATGTGCTGGATCGCGCCACTGCTGGTGCAACAATCGCGCTGGCGATCATTTTCATGAAGACCAATGATCAAGTCCTGGCTCAGAAGATTGATATTCCCGATACTACCGTTCGTTTTGATTATGTTCGCCCGGATCTCTTCCTTTTACGAACTCTGGCCCGCCATCTCATCATGTGGGATAGCATCAAGCCGGAGAGCAAGTGGATCCATGCCAGTCTGCCAAAGGTGTATCAACGACGGGCCCGTCTTGGAGGTGTGTCCCAACTACGGAGTGAGGACATGCCTTTCTTCAATATCATTGCCGGTCTCTGCTTTGCTCTGGGTCTTCGCTATGCCGGCTCGGGCAACTCTCGAGCTCGTGATCTCCTGCTCTTCTACTTGGACCAGTTCATTCGCATCTCTCGTCTACCGGTACTCAACTATGATGCCAAGCTTGCACGTAATTCAGTCAGGAACTGTCAGGATATTGTGTCCTTGTCTGCAGCAGCCGTCATGGCTGGCACCGGTGATCTGGCATTATTCCGGCGGCTGCGGGCTCTCCATGGGAGAGTCGACGCCGATACACCCTACGGCAGCCACATGGCCGCGCATATGGCCATCGGTATGCTCTTCCTCGGCGGCGGTAGCTATACACTGGGAACCTCCGACTTGGGCGTGGCAGCCCTCCTTTGCGCCTTTTATCCCATCTTCCCCACCACCGTCCTCGACAACAAATGCCACCTCCAAGCCTTCCGTCACCTCTGGGTGCTCGCCGCAGAGCCACGCTGCCTTGTACCTCGAGATCTCGATACCCGCCGCCCCATCTCTATCCCCATCGCCATCACCTCGGACGACGGATCCACACGAACCGTCACGGCTCCCTGCCTTCTCCCTGATCCAAGTGAAATATCGCGTATTGAAGTCCGCGGTCCAGACCATTGGCCGCTTGTCCTGGACTTCAGCCAAGACGATACCCTCCGCAATAAATTCCGCCACGGCGACCCATCCGTCTACCTGCGCCGCAAGGCTACCTATAGTCCATCAGGTGGCTCAACCTCCATCTTCGCCTCGACACTCACCGGTCTCAGCGAAGCACAGGATATTCTCGCGACATCTGCCGCCGGCGCCGTCAATCCTGCCAAGGGCCTCCCGCCCTCGACATGGCCCAACCACACTGCCCTACTCTCCGGCTCGCTTGCCGCCGCCGCAACACCCTCCCAGTCTCCCTGGGACTGGATCTTCGCACTCCCATCTCTCCAAGGACTGGACATCCGCGAGCGCTCCCTCGTGTTGCCGTCATCCTTCCCAGCGCCGTCCACCTGTATCAACACACAGCTCATCACCACGCCTCCCTGGCTCCGCACATCGGCCGTCGACACTCGGCTCGCGCTGTCCCACACCGTCCGCAATATTGTCCAAGCTGCGCGCGGCCGTGGCGCGGACCCTGATGAAGTACGCGACCGGGTCTGGCAACTTCGTCTCCTGTTCGATTGGCTGGATCGTGTGCAGGCTGGTGATGAACGGGAGACACTGGCTGCGGGGGTCCAACCGCAAGCCCAGAATCAGACGTCTGGGTTGTGGTTGAGGAGGGATTTCGTCGAAGAGGCGAAGTGGCAGATTTGGGGTGTGCAAAATGAAGATACCGGGGGGGGAGGAAGTGACCGGTGCTGCATGAGTACTGTAGACTTGATGTGTTGTGATGACGAGTGGTGGTTATTTTTCAGCTGCTGAAACTGGACTTTGTTATGCTCTGCTCTGGCCTGGTCTGCGTCGGACGTGTTTTTGTATGATATGATAACCATGATAATGCATGCACCTTTACCCTATTGCTTATATTTGTCTGTCGTGTTGGTTCCTTGTACATTTTTCTGAGAGCGTGGCTTCGAAAGAGAACCTCGGGATAGTGTGATACCAGACAAGACTCTGCTATCTCCAAATACTCAGACACAGACCCTCAGACCAGAACAATCAAGATAGAAAAAACACTTCCACCCCCGCGAATCGAACCCCCGCCTTCCGTGTCACCATACAAATCATTTCGCGACACTCGACGATACTCGAATACTTGATCGCGATGCTCACACCAAACAAATACCACTCATATCCAACCACCAACACTATTAAACCGCATTTTAAAAGAGACTATCATATTCTCCTAAATCCAAGGATCATTCTAATATCAAAAAAAATACCTATAAGTTTAATATTTCTTAGGGTAGAACTCCCCCCCAATATTAGGGCGAGCGTAAAAAAGGAGTAACGCTCCACCTTAAAGGACCCCATTCGTTTCCCCGGGGATTTACCGACGCCTCATGGACGTCGAACCCCGATGAGACGTCCAGTGGGAATACCACTAGGCTATTAGGGGGGGGAGGGTTACTGGGAGGGACTCCAACTGGGTTATAACCTGTAAAAGGACTTGGGTTTACTATGTTGGGATTTTTGGTATTTCTTTTTGTTTTGTTGCAGAGGATACTGGATGAAACTTATTCTATAGAACTGCGGTCAATAGTACTGAAGATGATATTGGTGATACTCGTTTCGTGGATCGTGATCGTGATCTTATTGAATCGTATATACGAAAGTTGTTCAGGTTCGTGTACTACCGCGGTCGAGTCTGGCCCTGTTTTAATAGTCCTCGATCTCCTCCTCCGCCCTTCTGCCATAACCATACGCTTTCCATTGCCCAGGCCGCTGCACTCGCGTGTCGTCCAATACCCGACGCAACAGGCAGTGACGGGCGGTCCTGTCCACCCTCTTTCTTCTCTTCTTTGTCCTTCTCATCTTCATCCTTCGGTTCAGTGTCTGTCTTTCCGCGGATACGCTCTTGTCCGGATACACCCTCCGCTTCAGCCAACATGCCCCCGACAACCCCCTCCTTCTCAATCACAAACCACAAGCCCTCGGATAACTGGCCACCACGTTCTCCGAATTCTCCCTTGCCCAGTCGGAACAGGATTCGGCCCAGGACCTGCCATGCAACGCACCGTTGTGCGGCGAATGTAGACCGCGACAGGATCGCAAGCTCGGGAATCGTATAACCTGCCGCCTGTGGATCATTGCCGTGGTGGTGCAACCCCAGCGTAGTGGGCAGTGCCAACGAAGTCGAAGGTCCGAGAATCGTTCCGCGGAGCGAGAATCTGATCTCAGAGGGTGCCATCGACATCGCGCTGCTGGCAGGGTGATAAGGCGAGATCGAGTCAGGATCTTCGGGGTCGCTGGATGGTGGGCGTAGCCAGGAGAGGGCTGCGGGGTCGGTGGTCATTTCGGGGAAGTAGTGGGATTGAAGGTCCGTGAGGAAATCTGGAGATGATGGGTCCAGGACTGGCATGGGTTGTTTTGGGCGCGGAAAGTGGAAGGTTTCGATGACGGAGGGGTCCATGATGGGGGGTTTTTCGGAGGCGGGTCGGAGGTCTTTTGGAGGGTGGAGAGGTGAACGGTCGTCGTTGACTGCTGGTTTAGGTGTAGTGGAGGGTTTCTGAGAGGTTTTTCGTGTAGAAGCTGCAGGCTCTAGTGGAATGTCGAAGGAGACGGATTTCCGGGGCTTTGATGCTGCTGGTTCTTCCTCTGTCGGTGCTGTTGCCGGTGTAGGTGTAGCTTCGGGTTTCTCAGAGCTGGTCTTTTCATCCTCATCAATTTGAGCTCGTCGCAAGAATCGCTCCAGCAGTTTCGGGTCCATCGACTCCATCAGCTCTTCCCGCTCCCGCTGAATCTGCGTCTCCGACATGGACGCCAGATGGCGACGGTTCTCCTCCCCGATAGCGCGCTTGTCATCTTGGAGGGTCGGTGGGGAGTTCAGTGTATCAGGAGGTACAGTCGCTGCAGCTTTCTGCTCGGCTCTTCGCTCTTTAAAGGAGGGCGTCTTGCGACGGCGGTGCGCGGGGAATCCAGTCGAGGAGGCGGACGAAGGCAGCGCCGGAGCAGGCGGTGTGGCGGCGGTGGGCTCTCGTTCACGAATCTCACCGATCAGGGAGAAGGGCGATGGGATGGGATCGCTCGGGATCGTGACAGTGTCATCATCTAGATCGACGACGAACCGCTCGCCTCGAAACGCCATGGTTCTTTGTTGGAGGCGGGTCGTGAAAAAGAGAAAGTTATGTCAGCGCGGGGGCCTGCGGCTCAAAAGGCTAAAACGGGGTTGCAGAGACTAACCGAACGCGGTTAGTGGCAGGTGGACGGGAGTGCTAGTCCCAAACGGGAAGTGGTTTACTGCCGAAGTGGATTTGTATATTTCGAGAGGCACAGTACTGGAGATGATTACAGTATGATTATTATTAGGGGAGGAGAAAGAAGAGAAATTGGTCATTTGTGTGACATACTCGGTCCGACTGATGCGGGGGAGCAAGACTACTGGACCAGGAATGTGTTTGGACCTCGTTATGGCCACGGCACAGATGTTTCCGATCTTCTCGTCAGCAGACATGATACAAGAGGGGCAGGGCACATAATTTGCTGACATGTAGGATAGATAGTTTAAAAGAGATAGTTAATCTGGAGATCAAGGACTACCTAATTAATTATAACATTGGCCAGGGCGGGCTCGATGAAGCTCGTCGGTGCTTGCCTCCATTGGACTTGTCGGGACTGGTCTGCAGGAGCAAATTCAAATGCGCCAGGGACACTCCACTAACGCCAGATCCGCGCGCATCGGAGACATGGCCGCTGCATCAGATTCCCGTCTTTGTCCAGAATGATGGGATGGGTGGACGAGGGAGAGGAGATAGGGTCGGGCATCCATCGATCGAGACTCACGAATCGTGCTCCCGATGGTCTCGCTCTCTCTCCCCAGTCCATAGGTCGATCCAGTCTCCGCATAATATCTCCGATGTATCCAGTTCCTGTGCATATCAACCTGGAATGACTGCCAGCAAATCCAAATCGAACTGGGACTCTCGCAACACTCCAACACCCGCACGCTCTCCTGGTTCGTTTTTTCCCCTTTCCTTTCCTGGGGCCCTTCTTTTTTCCTTGTCCTTGTCCTTGTCCTTTTCCTCTTCCTCAATCCCCTTCTTCCTCTTTTCCTTCTTCTTTCCTCCTCCTCTTCTGCTCTCCTCCTGCTTATCCCCCTCTCCCTTCCTTTTTTCCATCATCACGTCCTATTTTCTCGGCCCGAAATTCTCTCGCCATCTCGACGGGTTCCATTTTCGTGTTCCTATCTCCGCATCCACAACCGTTCATCCTCCTCCCCGGCTGATCTTGATTTTCCCAATTTCTTGATTCCCCCCGACATATTCGGGTTCTTGTGGTCTTACCAACTTGGCAACCCCGGCCAACCCGTCCACCCACCGCGAGGTCCATCCAACTGGACCTCGATACGAACGCTCGAACTGAGGAATTAAATTCCCAACTCAGTTCTATATCGGTCCTTCCAATTGTTGGTGATCACCACCATGTCCACAGAGCAATCGGGAATGCCCAAAGACGAAGCGCCCGTGGAGGTGGTTGGGTCTAGACGTGCCTCTGCCGCCAGACGGTCGCGTCGGAAGAAGGACGACGACAATAATACCACCACCTCCACCACTAATACTCCCGACACGCGAGCCAAGAAGAAGGAGGACAAGGAGAAGGAGAAAGAAAAGGAAAAACCTACTCGTGCGCCTCGTCGTCCCCGCGAAAAGTCCTCCGCAACAGCTGCTTCTCGGAAGAAGCCCAAGTTGGAGCAATCGGGCGACGAGGCCGCGGCCCTTGCTACTAGTACTCCTGCTGCTGCTGCTGCTTCCACACCTACGCCCACGCCCGCAGCTGCTCCTCCTTCAGCTCCCACTCCTCCGGCACCAACTCCTCCAGCTCCTCCGGCCGATCCCACTCCTCCTCCGCAGGCAGCTCCTACCCCTCCGGCACCAACTCCTCCAGCTCCTCCGGCCGATCCCACTCCTCCTCCGCAGGCAGCTCCTACCCCTCCTCAGCCGACACCCACTCCATCATACAAACAAAGTCCGCGCCCTTCACCCCCGGACCCGCGATATACAATTACACAAGACTACCCGTCGCGTCCACAGTCGCAGCCTCCCCCCTCCAGCCGACCCAGGCACCACCTGCGCCAGCACCAGCTCCAGCGCCCGCTCCTCCACGAACAAGTGGCCGCAATTTCGACCCTATTCGCTCCGCGTTTGATAATCCCTCGCCAGCGCCCGTTTATAGTCCTCCGCCGACTCTTTCGCCGCGAAACAGCTATCGCGCGAGTGCTTCGCCGGCGATCTCCAGCATCATCGACCCGCCTGGTCAAACACAACCCTCATATGCCCCGCTGCCGCGATCTTCCTCTGCCCATGTCTCGGCCGTCTCCTCACCGGCGCCGCCTCCTATGGCGCATACGCCGACGCATCATACCCTAGCTCCCTCGCCAATCCCCGCCTCTCCCTCCCACGGAGCTGTTCACACGCCCCAACAACAGCTACATACCACCTCCCACTATACTCCGTATAGCGAGCAGCGGCCAAATCATTCTCAACCACCTCAGCTCGAGCTTTCGCCGCCGGCCCTACAACAACCGCAACCGCAATCTAATGCCCAACCTCAACGGCCCGCGGAACCTCCAGCTCAAGCTGCCACACCTCAGCGCCTGCTCCAGCAACCAGACGCTATGGACATTGACTCGAAGGAACCAACGGCATCAACGAAGAAAGAAAAAGGCACAACCACCGCCCCTTCTTCGAAAGCTCCCTCTCCCAAGCCCGCTCGTGCAGCCAAAGAAGCACCCAAGATCCCACAAGGATCAGGGCTTATCACAAATGCGCTCTTCGGCGGTGTTGATGAATCGTCCAAGTCCGATGCGCGCAGTGTGCCGAATATCATCGTTCATGTGCCCCTGCAAAAAGGGGAACCAGATCGTGAATTTTGCGCAGCTGGCGGAAGAGCAGTACGGTTTCGCAGCACTGCACCCACGCTTGGCCGCGCACAAGGACCGTCTTGCGCGCGTCGCCGCTGCCGGTGCAGCACTCGAGCGAAACGATAAAGGCCTTAAGGGCATCTCGGCCGGCGAAAGCGCAGACGAGGATCTGAGTCTTGATGTCGATCGTGACAGCGATTTAGATGGCGATGTCTCCATGGGCGGTGCGGGCACCGGCACCAACGGCGTTCAGTCGGAGGCTAGTGAGGGGAAGAAGAAGCGCCGAAAGAAGGTTGAGGAGTATGATCGTGACGACCCATTCGTCGATGACAGCGAGATGGCATGGCAGGAGCAGGCGGCCGCCAGTAAAGACGGATTCTTTGTGTATAGTGGTCCACTCGTGCCGGAGGGCGAGAAGGTTCAGGTAGAGCGGTACGTACTTTATTTCTCGTATGCGATCTTGAGCGTGTATACTAATATCTCCTCCAGTGCTGACGGTACAATCAAACGCGGTCGTGGCCGTGGCCGAGGAACAGGCCGAGCTCGCTCCCTCGCTTCCCACCCCCACGTCCCAATCGCCGCTGCAGTCCCCATCTCTCAGGAAACCGGTCTCCCTTTGCGCGGCCCTGGCTCACGAGGCGGAGTTTCACGCCGCGGTCGCGGGGCAAAGAAAGCAGACGCCTCGGATAAACACACCGATCGCGCTGGCACATCGGCCTCCACATCCCATGAAGGCCGTGGTGGACGTGGCGGTGGCTCTGCAGGTCGAGGCGGTTCGTCCTCGCGTGGCGGGAAGAGCTCCATGATGTCGGTGCTGGACATCGCACCTGCTCCGGGGCCACAGGGCCATGCGGGGAATCTTGCACCAGCACCAGGTCCGAGTCCGCTTGCCGGGCCGGACCTAGTTATGAAATGAGCTGAGTACGTGTGTGGAGTGTTAATGAGTTGATTCGTGTTATTTTCGTGGTTTGGTTGGGGTTATAAGGTGTCGGGCGTGTATCATGTTACTTTTCACTTCTATTATTGCCATCTGGTGTCTCACTTCCTTTGCTACTTTACTTTGTTGTACTGGCTGGTTGGGCGTACCCTGTGATGATATACTTTTGTCTTGCTTCGAATTATTTTTTTTTTGGTCTCTGAGATGGTCTGATTACCCTGGTGAAGAGTGATGGGTGATGGGTGATGGGTGAAGGGGCTATTGGGTTGCATTTTATTTGCGGTTGTATCTATATGAGGATTTTCTCATACTTGCATTCAATGTCTTATGCTTGATGATTTGGTGGAACCTTTGTAGATGGACCTACGTATCTGGATAAGGCTAGGGTGGACCTGTGTAGACGTAGCTCGCAGTATCTTCCAGCTTCGTTTCTAGGGAAAAGCTACTGACTGTTATACGACAACCAGCCTACTACACAGAGCAAGCATGCTAATTAAACTCTGGGTATCAAATGTGATCTGTTCAACCGCGCACAGTCATGACAGACCAACTAAACTGAATCGTGTAATCTCCAGTGATTCCGAGTAATAGAATAATCGAGCACGTTTATGGCACATCTCCAAGTCTTCACCCACAGGTCTGTGATAGTGCAGCATAATCAAAATCAAAAATAAGCACTCGTCCTGAAGCGGAACTAATACACACAGTTGATTCCGAGACAAGATGTGAGCTCCTCGGAGCTGCTCGATACTCTGGCGGCAACCATAGCAGGCATTCCGAGTTCCAAGTGATGCATCTACCATCATCACTGATGCGAAGGCCTTGAGAATTGGAGATCGTGTACCAAGCTGGCCTATCAATATAAAATGAACTTGAAACGGAAGTGCCATCAGCAAATCTGAGATTTGGATTGCCGAATAAGAAACCTCTCACTCCGACTCTCCGGGGAGTCGTGAAAGTCTGTATGCATTTTCCGCTGCCGATATCCCATATTTGCATAGTACAATCGATAGTACCATCGCCTGAACCTGCTGCGAAGAGTCTGAGATCATTTGAGAACATAAAGGAGGATGGATTGCTTTTCAGGCTATGGACGGTCTGAATACATCGTCCATTTCGAGTGTCCCATATCATTATGTCGTAAGGCCTTTTCCTTTTAGCTGCGGCTAGGAGCCTGGAATCATGAGAAAGATACAGATCGCTCCTGTCACCATGGGTGTCAAATTCACGTGAGCGTTGTCTGCTAGTAGCATCCCATATCCTGATGGTTTTATCATCTGAAGCAGAGGCAAGGAATTTGGAATCGTGTGAGAAGGCCACCGATTGCACGGTAGATTGATGGCCTTTGAAAGTCTGGAGGCACTGGCCGCTGCGAACGTCCCATAACTTGACAGTACTATCAGCTGAGCCTGAGGCAAGAAGCTTTGAATCATGGGAAAAGGTGACGGAAAGGGCATCGCTGCTTAGATTCTTGACGCATGTCCAGCTGCTAGTCTCCCACAGCTTGACGCTACCGTCCAAAGAGCCTGAGGCGAGGAGCTGGGAATCATGGGAGAAGGAGAGTGAGGAGGCATTATCCAGACGCATGTCAATAGTCCAAAGGCATCTTCCACTATTCACGTCCCAGATCTTCATGGTTTCGTCGTTTGAAGTCGATACCAGAAGCCGAGAATCGTGAGATAAGGTGACTGCCCGGACTATAGCTTGATGTCCTTCTAGACTCCTTATACATTGTCCATTGTTAATATTCCAAAGCTTTATAATGCCCGTGGCTGAGCCAGACGCAAGGAGATCGGAATCGTGAACGAAGGTAACGGAGGTAAACCAGCTATTATCACCTTCGATCGTCATGACAGGCTGTCCATTACTCGTATCCCACAACCTGATGGTAGAAAACGAAGGCGAGGCGAGCAGCTTTGAATTTTGCAAAAAACTGACAGAATCGACAGGACCTCTATGCTCGTCAATGGTAGTTAGGCATTGCCCACTACTAGCATCCCATATCTTGACGGTGCGATCGCTGGAAGCCGACGCAAGGAGCTTTGAATCATGAGAGAAACAAACCGAGTGAACATCATCCCCGTGTCCTTCGAGGGTCTGTAAGCATGGACTCCACTGATCTTCCATTTGTGACTTGAAAGTTACCCAGGTTGGTTGCTGTTCTTCATATTGGATTCTTGTTATGCTCTCCACAGGGCTGAATATCAACGCGGATGCATACACTTGGAGTGGCCAATCCCTAATTGCTGGTTGGTGGTATAGAGCAAATCGGCAGGCATCTTGAATCCTATCGACCAATTTTGCATGTTGTATCTCGAACTAAGCATTACACGCAATATACTTTAGCGAATTCGAAATAGACAATGCTCGTCTTCACGTTAGTGGGTGTATGTACGTACCTTGATCCAATGCTCGAGTCTTAACATTGAAGCTAACCCCTCTGATAAGCTTCTCAATAAGCTGATAGCTTCAAGCCAATAAAGGTAGTTCTTGCGAAAGAATGTATCGACTAGGCCGCCTTCCTCAAGGTCGTCTGGTACATTCGCGCCAACTTGACGAGAGCCCATCTGAAGATGGTCGACCCAGTAAAGACAGGCATACTGAATTGCGGCTAGTGGTTCAGGATCCGGGGGCTTGACTCGCTCGATGGGGTATCCGGGATATACTAGCCCATAAATGTCACGCCGAAGCGTCCTATTCATGGCTTCTAACGACTTTGAGAAAATTGAATGATGCACGAATACCTCTCCGTGGGGAAAGATCTCGCGGACTGCTTCTCGACGAAGAAAGTCTTTGGCAGACTGATGAACTAAAAAGATTGTAGATCCACGAAGCGTAAGAAAGGAGCCACAGAGCCGTATGATCTCTTCAAGGTCCGAAAGCTCGATGTCGTCCGGAAAGTCGATGTAAGAACCTAGCTCGTCCAATGTAATAGGACGATAGACTGTCGTGCTGACGCCAAGTATGGACTTGCAGAGTTCCGCATCCTCGCTTTCGCCTATCTGATCCAACATTCGCTGATAGAGCTGATCAAGGCCAGCAGGAAATTCTTTCAACTTCCTTTGAACAGCTCTCCTTGAAACGTTGAATTTGGCGAGTTCCTCGCAGACCAGGGCTACCCAGAGGAAAGTACCATGTGCATTCGCTAATAAATGCTCTGTAACAGCGTCTCGGATATCATCAGAGTAATTCTTTTTGCTCTTCAAGGTCTGAACTTTGTAGTGGATAAAGGAAGCAACGGCCTTGGAGACGGAAGCTTCATTGAGCTCGAGCCAGAGCCTCTCTTTTCGCGGTGCTGTCTCAAGGGTCTGTTCGATGGATGGCCAGTTGCGGCTTGAGACGAGCCATTTGACATGTGGATAAAACGATGATTTCTCAACAATGAAATCAAGAAGACGACTCAACCCTGCAGTGCATTCATCAAGGGCGTCGATTATCAAGTAGGTCGTCTGGAGCAATGGGTCCTGGAGGATACTTGTCAGGATCCCTAGGAGTGCCTCCCAGGCATTCGCATCCTTAAACACCTTTTCCCCGGCCTTGTCATACTCGCGCCGCACATGGGAGACCAGAGCCGGGTGTTGATCAACCAACATGAAGATTAAACCGCGAAGAACAGCTGTGGCATGATTAATCCGAGCGTCTGTTGCCTGGCAGAAGAAGAAGATGACAGTGGTGTCCGAAGTCGGGGCAGACTTGGTTAGTTCGTTGATAAGCCCACACAGGAGCATAGTTTTGCCCTTCCCAGGATCACCTTTGATCCAAAGAAGTTGACTTTCTTGATCATGGCACCACCGTTTGAATTCTGCATTGTCGAAGACCCAGTTATATGCGTCTTCTAACAATCCGCCCTTAGCTGTCTCGATCCGGCTTTTATCACGGCGAGGATCAGTCGCATGTAAGGCCTGAAGACATTTTCGATTTTCTGATGCCTCAGAATGATCTAAAATAACTTTAGTGAGCCCATATACAGAGGGGTGGCTTGCGCAGGCTTACCGGCTTGGGGATGGAAGTTGATAGTGCCAGTGTTTTTCGTTATCTGGAGTCCCGAGTTGAAGTCACCAAAGGATGAGACGAGTGCTCGATCCACCGGGCTATTTTCGAGTGGCCTATTTTTGTGGATAGCATCCATTAGGTCATGCGTCCTTCACTGAGTCACACACTGGGTGATTCTCTTTCAATCTCGAATCGATTTCGTGCTGCTAAATTTTGTTCGAGACAACGACTCTATCAAAGGGCTGGAAGGCTGATGGACAGCATGACCCCCACCCACCCCCGCCATCAGGTGACTGCTGCGGAGGTATACATAGCGACCTGGGTCAGATGCATCAATGACCCCTGATTTTATAGTAGCAGAACTGATAAATATGCCAGAGATACCTATACGGACCATCCAAGTCACCAGCCGCTTATCAATCCAGGCATCTGACATAAAAGCGTGGACATAGGAATTCATAGGGTAAGAGTAAGCTCAGTTTGATCAACCATGGAAAGCTGTACGATTGGAATAGCTCTAATGCCTGTAAATCAGTTAATATAGAAATTCCGTAATTGTTGACGAATAGTGCATACGACCCAAGCTGCCATACACCTTCACAGATTGTCTTGCAATCTCTAGAAGAGCGGTGTAATGATAGCGTGTGGATAGCCAGCCTATACAACGCGTACGTAAGATTCGCGATGATTAGATTTTAGTTGAACAAAGCTCAAACAGGCGTCTAAGGTAGCCATTTTCGGCAGCCGATTTACCATCAATTAGCGTTATGGTGTAATATCATCAACAACTTGCATTTATGTACGCCGGTTCATGCAGAAACATATCTGAGCAAGATAGGAGCAGAAAGAAATGAAGTAGAGTAGTAAGAAAGGGAAATGGAAAGAGAGCACAGTTATGGTTGGAGTTTCCAGAAAAGGAATCAAATCAAATCGATGAGAAAGGAAAAATGTCCATGTGAGGGGGAATAGAAACGAAACAGGCAATGAAATTTGCAGGAAAGAAAATGAGATGAGGTCCAAAGTTGGAGGTTGGGAATCGGAATGTGTTGAGCCTGCGCCTGTCCGTACTTTCCAAGCAAAGTCCTGGCTGGGATAGGCAGAGATGGAGAAACCAAGGTGGGTAAAGTCAGAACAGAAAAAATCTTATCTTGAGACAAATCAAAGGGGGAGATAGCCTAGATAGGGCCACCGACGCAAAAAAATCATGTGCATATGCAAACCACATCTGATCAGATCATCGCCATAAGAATTTCGTTTCGAAGGATGACATGTCGGCATCATCATGTTGAGGTTGACTTCGGTCCCGTCTCAAGACGAAGGCGTTTGACCGGGGTAGCTGCGCCAGCTTCCACCAGCAGGTACAGGTGGAGGGGGAGGGGCTTGAGAGGGGGAGGGGGAGGGGCGTGTGAAGGTGGAGGCGCGGCTCGGATAGGCAAGGTAGTTGAGGTCAGGTTAGTGCGAGACTTGGTATTGTGCGAGCTCACGGAGCGCGGACTCATGAATGGACGCGATGGAGCCTCGATGGCGGAAACGGGATCGCCAAGATGGCGCATTGGGCGACGGCCGTATCGGGACTCGTCGTCCTTGGTTTCGAGGGAGAGGTGCTCCAGAGATGGTGGTGGAGGGACTGCGTGGAGCGGGAGTTGGAATTGGAGTAATAGTAGTGAGCCTGAGGCTGGGAGCCGTAGTGGCGGTTTGGCGTAGGGAAGTCGTTGGCGATATTCAGTGGGATTTCGCCAGAGGAGGGATGGTATGGCGATTGCGCTTGCGGGGTGCGCGAAGATTTGCTGATCGGTGCGGGTTTGGGGGCCGGTGCAGGAGGTGCCGCCATAGGCGCTGGTGATGAGGAATTTGATACTGAATTGGTGGTGTCTTTGAGTGACTTGGGAGCTGGAGGTGCCAGGTAGGACTTGCGGTTATGTCGCTCCATCATGCTGATGGCCCATTCTTGCAGGTCCACGGGTGTGCGTTTGGCTGCTTGCAAGAACGCATCCTTGTCCTGTATTAAGTGGAAGATGTTAGTACGAGAATCTTTTTGAGGGCGTGTTGCATGCACGTACGTAGAGCTCCCGTGGTGTCGGCCGTTCCTCGGGCTTCTTGAGCAGACATTTGCCGACAAAGTCATGTAGAATAGGCGGGAAAGCGTCGCTCTTAGGCAGCTTGGGAGCGGATTCGTGGACGATCTGCTGAAGAAGATCCAAAATTCCCATAGGACCAGCACTAGCCCGGTCTCCTGCAGCAGAGTCGGAAGTGTCGAATGGGAACCGTCCCACAGCCAACTCCATAACCGTCAAACCCACACTCCACACATCCGAACGGACCGTATAGGCACCTCCCTGGATTCGCTCAGGGGCCATGTATGTGGAGGTACCGACAAAGGTATCAGCGATGGAGTTGACCGTCTCGCTTGCGACACCGAAATCGCAAAGTTTGATTTGACCGCGCGAGTTGACCACGACGTTTGACGGCTTGATATCGCGGTGCATAATGCGATGGGTTTCATAGAGGTAGCAAAGACCAGCAAGCACCGACTCGGTGATCTTTCCTAAGACGTCCACTCGGATGGGGCCAAAGTCCTTGGATATGCGATCCAGAGATCTAAACGAGTGTATATCGTGTCAGTCACTCAAGTTCCCACCCTCGTTCACTTTCTCCGACCTACCCGCAATCCATGTATTCCATGCACAAGACAATGTCTCCAGCCTCGTTCTGAAAGGCACCGTAGAATGTGACAATATTTGGCGAATTGCATTCGTGTCCTACTCGGAGCTCTCGTAGGATCTGTTTCCGCACGTTCTCTTTGGCGTCGACGCGGATGACCTGTATCGGATTAGTACCAGGCCTTCAACAGGGACTCATATTGGAAGAAGATTGATAATACGCACCTTTCGAGCCATCACAACTTTTGTCGATGCGTGCATCACTTTGGAAACTGTGCCGCCATTACCAGCGCCGAGCTCCTTCAGTGTCACCAGGTCCTCACTCCGCAGATCCAACCGGAATTCCAGCCCAATCTCCAAGGTATCGGTGCGGTTGCCGTCGACATTTCCAATGGCGCCTGGGACCTGAGCATCGCCATCGGAAGGGTTGGCAGACGCTTTGGGGGCCGCATTGAGGGCAAGGCCTTTGACGTTCTTTCGTTTCAACGTCCGAGCCTTGAACTGATCCGCCATGGCGCTGAGACGGGGGGAAAGATGCCGCGGGGTTTCAGGAATCTGGGACAGGACGGAGGTCGGAGGAGAGTATCAAGTAACAAAGAAAGGGGGAAAGAAGCGACAAAGCAGCCGACAAGACGCAAGACCAGGGCCGGGCGAGCACGCTGATGGGAGAAGAAAGAAGCGCGAAGCTAAGCGGCGGGGAACCCGATATCACCTTGCGATGTGTGCTTGGCGGCGCTGATTGGGCCTTGCGGGCGCATCGACTGGACCAACAACAACCGAAGGATGCCGGTCGGCGGCAAAAGGAAAGCGATTAAGGGGGTGGTGAAGAGATGTTGGGCATGAAGATTCAGGGGGTGGTGAATGATCAGAAGAAGTAAAAAGATGGGAATGGTTGTTGGTGTCTCTACTCTTACTGAAACACAGGTGTTGCTGCTTCTCCACTACTCTTTACCGCATAGGACTCTGGAGGAAAATCCCTCGCCAGAGAATCTGCTTTATCTGGATTTTCTTGGGTGAATTTAGGTTGTTCGGGGATATCATGAGTTTGATTCTGTCAATATCATGAAAGGTTTACTTCTTGGGAAATGACCAGTCGAGGATGGTGAAGTGAGCCTTTTCTGTGAGGCCATAGTTGATGTCATCACGTGATCTTTATTCACCAGCCACATCATTCATCAGCCACCCAAGGCAGCTCCCACCAGCCAATCACCGCCACCGCGTCCTCCCTCGCCGACAGTCGTGGTCCGGTCCTTTCTTCTCTTGCTCGACTCTCTGTCCTCCCAAAATTCAACCTTTTCTCTATCTCACTGAGTCGGGCACTGCCGGGTGTTAGATCTGCCATCCATTGCAAATCTCTCCCTTCCCTCCCCGCAGGCCCAGTTCTTTACACTCCGCCGAGCTGAAGGACCTTTCCGATCAGCCACGATGAGTCTCCGCGACCTGGTCGAGGGTGAGGCCATGCTGGATGATGAGGAGAATGAGGGGGAGGTCTCCGAGAACTATGACGAGGATCGCCGCGACGGACCCAGCGCTGAACGCCACTATGACGATTCGAGCGAAGAAGATGAGGACGAGGACGACGATGAAGACGCCGCGCGCGCAGTAAGTATCGCCTGTGTCTCTGGGCTAGTAACTTTGGGCGCAACTGACTTATGGTCAACAATTATAGGTTCGCGAAGGTTTCATCGTCGACGAAGATGAAGAGATCGAGGAGCGCACCAAGCGCAGGTCGGAGAAGAAACGGCCACGTGCTCGCGAAGAAGAACACCTTGATGAGGAAGATCTGGAACTGATTGGCGAGCATGTCCCCGGTCTGAGCCGGGGCGCCACATCTGATGTACGAGACCTGAACTTTTCTATTGTCATTGGATTACCTCCTGTCACGAATTGGCGGTCATCCGCACCGAGCGGATGGCCTTTGACGACTATGGATACATTTACTAACGATGATTCGGCGCATATAGCAATCCAAATTCAAGCGCCTCAAGCGAGGTCGAGATCGCGACCACCGCGGACCGTCCCAGGGTATCGATGACATGTTCAACTCTGATGAGGAGGAGGAAGCGGCGCCGCAATACAGCCGACCCAGCCACCGCGGCGGTCGTAGGCACGATGAGATGGATGATTTCATTGAGGAAGACACATTCTCTGACGAGGAGGCACTACGTGAACGCGATGATCTTGAAGTTGCAGCACCCGTCCGAGCAACTGTGCCGGGTCTAGGAGCCACAGAGGCAGCGGGTCTGGATGAAAATGCCGTGGAAGATTTACGAGCCGCCTTCGGTGATGGCGAGGACTACCGGTTTGCTTTGGACATTGAAGAGCAGGAAGATGAAGACAAGCTTGACGAGGACCGCCATCTTGATCTGAAGGACATCTTCGAGCCGTCCCAGTTGGCGGAGAAGATGTTGACGGAGGACGACAACCAGATCCGCCTTCGGGATGAGCCTGAGCGCCACCAGATTGCCCGTGAACCGTATCGCCACGTAACATTGACAGATGATCAATTCCGCGAGGAAGCCATGTGGATTTCCCAACTCATGTTGCTCAAGAAGCGCATCGACCCGGAGTTGCACGAGCCATTCCAGCGGTCAGTGGCCAAGATGCTCGAATTCTTAATCACGGATGACTATGAAGTTCCTTTCATCTTTCAACATCGCAAGGACTACATGATCCACGCAGTCAAGGAGCCAGTCAACGGGGCCAATCCGGACGACGAGTCTGCACAGTACAATATTCGCGCCGAGAAACTCTTGAATATGACCGATCTGTGGGATATTTTCGAATATGACCTCAAGTTCCGTGCGCTGGTTGACAAGCGCAACACCATTCAAAAGTCTTACGACAGTCTACAAAGTCTCTTCGGCATCAATGACGCCATTGTGGAGGACCTATTGGTTGCAGCAACAACCATGGAGGAGCTTCAGGATGTACAGGACTACATTCATTTCCAATATGCTTCTCAACTTCGTGATCTTTCCACAGTCAATGGTGAAACCAACGGAGAAACACAGCGACGCAAGGCCACCAGCAAAACCTTCTTCGAACGCGTGCGGAATGGAAAGGCATATAGTCTTGTCCGCGCTTTCGGTCTCACTGCGGATGCATTTGCCCAGAATGCGTCCAAGGAAGGCCGCCGACAATATACCGAAGACTCCAGTGAGCGACCCGAGGAGCTGGCTGATCAGTTTGTGGACACCGACTTCTCCAACTCCGACCAGGTCCTCAAGGCTGCCAAGTCTATGTTTGCTGAGGAACTCGTGTTGAGCCCCAAGATGCGCAAGGTGATCCGACAAGCATATTACATGAATGGTGTTGTCGACTGCTTCCGCACTGAAAAGGGTTTGCGCCGAATCGATGAGCAACACCCATACTATGAATTCAAGTACTTGCGGAACCAGCAACTCAGCGACATCGCTCGTCGCCCTGAGATGTTCCTACGAATGCTCAAGGCTGAAGAGGAGAACCTGGTGGAAGTGAAGGTTCGCTTTGAGAATTTCGACCAGTTCAAGCAACGCATGTATGCCGATATTGAGTCTGATAATTACTCGGAAGTTGCAGACGCGTGGAACCGGCTCCGTCGCGACGTGGTGGATCTAGCACTTGGCAAACTGGAGCGGTTGATCAATCGCAGCGTGAAGGAGAACATTCGACAGGAGTGCGAGAACCATGTAGCCAAGGAGTGCCGCGAGGCTTTCTCGCAGCGATTGGACCAGGCTCCTTACAAGCCCAAGGGAATGGTCCTGGGCACAGTACCACGGGCTCTCACACTGTCCATTGGAACTGGCGTTATTGGCCGAGACCCGATTCACTGGGCCTACATTGAGGAGGATGGTCGTGTTCTTGAAAATGGAAAGTTTATGGATCTTTCTGTGGGAGACCAGTCCCGCGGCATTAAAGATGGCGCGGATGTACCTGCTCTCTTGGATTTGATTGATCGCCGCAAGCCCGACGTTCTCGGTGTTTCCGGTATGACGCCGGAAACTCGGCGGCTCTACAAGACTTTGACCGACTTCGTTGACTTGAAGGACGTTCGTGGAGCCCCATACGCTGATGATCGCGACGAGGAGGTAAGCGATCGTCTTGAGACCGTCATTGTCAACGATGAGGTTGCTCGTTTGTACCACAACAGTCCTCGCGCCCAGAATGACAACCCCGGTTTCGGACCTTTGACCCATTACTGCGTGGCGCTGGGTCGGTATCTGCAGAGCCCTCTCAAGGAGTATGCTGCCTTGGGCCGCGACATTGTTTCTATCCAATTCAAGCCTGGTCAGCAGCTGGTATCTCAGGAGCTGCTGATCAAGCAGCTCGAGACTGCCTTGGTAGATATGGTCAACTTGGTCGGTGTGGATCTGAATGAGGCCGTCAATGACCCCCTGACCGCGAATCTCGTGCCATACGTCTGTGGTCTTGGCGAGCGAAAGGCAGCCCACCTGCTGAAGATTGTGAACATGAACGGCGGCGTTGTAAACAACCGTCAGGAACTGTTGGGCTTCAACGTACAGTACCCGGCCATGTCCCCTCAAGTATGGAGCAACTGCGCCAGTTTCCTCTTCCTTGATTTCGAGAGCGTTGACCCGGATGCGGATCCGCTGGACAACACCCGTGTGCATCCTGAAGACTACGATATCGCTCGCAAAATGGCAGCTGATGCTCTCGAGCTAGACGAGGAGGATATCAAGGCTGAGACCGATGAGAACGGTGCCGGTGCCATCGTGCGCAAGCTGTTCCGTGACGACCAGCAAGACCGTGTCAACGATTTGATCTTGGAAGAGTATGCCGAGCAGCTGGAGAAGAACCTCAACCAGCGCAAGCGCGCCACCCTGGAGACGATCCGTGCGGAATTGCAACAGCCTTACGAGGAGCTCCGTAAGCAGTTTGTGTTCCTTGGCACCGATGAAGTCTTCACCATGTTGACCGGCGAGACACCCGAGTCTCTCAGGGCCGGCATGGTGGTCCCCATTGCGCTCAAGCGGGTGTTTGAGGACCATATCGATGCAAAGCTGGACTGCGGAATCGATGCGCTGGTCGCAGAGACCGAACTCGGATTGCCCTACGACATTCCCGTGCGGAACGTCTTCTCGCCACACCAGACGGTACCCGCCAAAATCATATTCCTGAACCGCAAGGGCTTCACCTGCAATGTTTCTCTACGTGAGGACCAGGTCAGCAATCCCATTCGCAATGTCCCCGACCATGGCTTCGGCGACTGGGACGAGGTGCAGGAGCGCAAGGACCGAGAGTCCCTGCAAGAGAAGGAGCAGCAGGGCGGACAGGCAATGCGTGTGATCAAGCACCCACTCTTCAAGCCATTCAACTCCACCCAGGCGGAGGAGTATTTGGGTTCTCGCAGCCGTGGTGATGTGGTCATCCGTCCTTCGTCCCGAGGCCATGACCACCTTGCTGTTACCTGGAAGGTGGCACAGGGTGTGTATCAGCATATCGATGTTCTCGAGCTGGACAAGGAGAATGAGTTCTCCGTTGGTCGTGTGTTGCGCATCGGCGGCAAGTACAGCTACAGTGATCTCGATGACCTCATTGTCAACCATGTCAAGGCGATGGCCAAGAAGGTGGACGAGATGGTGCTGAACGAGAAGTATAAGGAGGGCAGCAAGGCTGAGACTGGTGAGTTTTCTTTTTTTTCCCCTTCAACTGCTTCAAGTCTGCCCATATTAATCATTTCCAGACCAATGGCTCGAGACTTATACCAAGGCCAACCCTCGTCGCTCGGCGTATGCTTTCTGCATCAATCCCAAATACCCCGGCTACTTCTTCCTTTGTTTCAAGGCGGGTGAGCAGTCGCGTCTCCAGAACTGGCCCGTCAAGGTGATTCCTCAGGGCTACGAGTTGCAGAAGAACCCGTACCCGGACATGCAGGCCCTGTGCAATGGGTTCAAGTTGATGTTCAGCAACATGCAACGCAACCGGAGGTAAGCGAGGAACCAGACCGCCTGTACAGTGTACTATTTCAATTTCAATTTTTTTTTCAATGGTTCCTTTGTCTGTTCGGGGTTGGATTTCTAAAAGGAAAAAGCGCTTTGAGGAAAGAAACAAAACACCAGATGGGCATATTTGCATTATTTTTTTCGATCAATCACTTGATCATTTGAATGTCTCCCTTTGCCTCTTCCCACTTCATCATTTTCCCCTTTTTTTTTCTCTCTCTTTTGCCTTTAATCTGATACACCTTCTGGTCGTTTGGGGGGGGAGCACTGGGCATTTCTGTAACCATTAGGCAGCTTGACCAAATAACAGCATTTTCGCATGGGGGTATTTGCCGAGTTTATATACAGAGAGTAGACATATAACTGAGAAGTGGGATTAGCATGAAGTATAGCGAATGTGTTTTTCTATATAGTCACCTCCAGTCAACAACAGTCGTTCGTGGTAGGACAAGAGACTACTAGGAACTAGCGCGGGGCCTCCCATGGAACTCTGCCGGGGAAGCATAAGCACGACGATCCTCGCGTTCAAAAGACCAAGACAAGGAGTACATGTGAACGCTCGGCCTCGGGACTGGCCCATTTGAACCGTTCCGCCCAGCCCCGAAGAGAACAACATGTTGACTTCGATGGTGATGTATTCATGTTCTTCGTCCCGTCGTTTCTGATGTGAATATTTTGTCGTCTGTTTGTATTCAGTCGTTAGTATAGGCCCTTGTTTAGCATTCTTATTTCGGAGTACTGTCCTGTCCCTGTCCTGTCCCTGTCCTGCCTTTGTCCGCCTCAGCATTGCTCCACTGCCCCTCTCAGCCCCAACTCCACCGGATTGCGACGGCTGTTCCTCGCGGAGCTCACAACTGTTACATTCCCCTCTCTTCAGTCTGCGCAATCATGGCGGCAATGGAGGAGCTGGAGATCCATAGCAAGGTAAGGAGCAATCGCAACCAGCTCTTGAATCTCAGCGCAAGCTAATCAACTCTACCATCTCGCCAGTCGTACTTCGTACGATGGATCAACGTCGGCGCCAACCACACCATCTCCTGGAGTATTCAGCCGCACAAGAAGTCGGTGAACTTTGGAATCTTCAAGCACCCCGGCCAGTCCAGTCTGAGCTCCCATCTGCCCGCCTCCGACTCCCACAGCACCGATTCGACCGAGAACCTACCCGCCACGGCCGCCAACGCGGGCACCTCCCGGAACCAACAGTCCACCGTCATCGAGAAGCTCACGGCTATTGGTCTCAAGTCGATCAAGTGGATTGGCAAGTGTGAGGCAGATCGCATCTCTCAGGGCACCTACGATGTGCCAGCCAGTGAGGCGGGCAATTACGCGCTGGTTTTCGACAATACCTTCTCCAAACAAATCTCCAAGACGGTCACTCTCGTGCTCCTGACCTACCCAACTGGTCTACACCCCCATGGATCCGCGCCGCCGTCCATCGCACGCTCCCACGCGGGCGGCTCCTCCGATTCCCTGCCCCAGCCCCGAACGCGCCGGCGCGGAAACAGCAAATCCACCCTGAGCGCGCAGGTGTCGGACTCGTCGGTGCACACGGGATTGCTGCAGAAGCGTCGGCGGAAGAGACACCAGGGCTGGGCGCGTCGTTTCTTCTCGCTGGACTTTACCTCGTCGACGCTGTCGTATTACCATGACCCGAACTCGTCCACGCTGCGCGGTGCTATTCCACTCTCGTTGGCGGCGGTGGCTACCAACGAAAAGTCGCGCGAGATTTCGATCGATTCAGGCACAGAGATTTGGCATCTCCGCGCAAGTAACGATCAAGACTTTCTGTCTTGGAGGCGCGCGCTGGAAAGAGCTTCGTCAAAGGACTCGCCGAACCAGAATGAACTCCATGTTGTAGGAAGGCCACCGCAGCTTCGCCTGACGACGCCGGGACACCCTTCGCCAGAGGAAGAGGCTGAGTGGGCGCATGTTGAGAAGCTGGTCAGCAAGGTCTCCGGTTCGCGAGATGCGGTGCGCCGTCTAGCTAGGGATACCGACCCCAAGTATCTGGTGTCTCCGGCCCCGTCGCCCATCGAACCGCCGGGTGGTCGTTCCCCGAGTCCCGGTCCTGCTGCCCATGATGCGCCAAGCGCAGATCCCAAGCGGTCATTCTGGAAGCGCAAGACCAGTGGGAGCTCGCAAACTAACTCCAAACGGCCGCCCGGTCCTGAACAGACCAACTCCAGCTCGTCCCAGTTGGTTGTGCCAAAGCCAAACGGAAATGGTAGACCTGCAAGCATTGCCAGTCATGCTGATGGCATGGATGAGATTCATGATAACCTGATGGCTGTGCTGCGTGATCTTGACCATGCGGTCTCGGAGTTCTCGACGCTGATCGCTGAGAGTAAACACCGCCGACACCCGCCGCGGTCTGCCATCGTTCCTCGGAAGAGTATGGAGTCAGATATCTCGCAAGAATTCTTTGATGCAACGGATGGAGGCGCGGCGTCTCCGCTGTTGACTATCCAAGATAGCGACAACGAAGATGCTGCGGATGCTGCCGAGAACGTTGAAGATGATGCACCTTCAGACAGCGAAGATGAGACTGAGGCTACAACTCCGCACGACACCAGCAGTGCCTCTCCCTTGTTCCCAGCCCGTCCGAAATCCCTCGCGCCATTACCTCTTGACAAGATTCGTCGACGTCAGAACATCACAGCGCCAACGGTTCTTCCTCCCAGTTTGATCGGGTTCCTACGCAAAAACGTCGGCAAGGACTTGTCTACGATATCCATGCCCGTCTCTGCCAACGAGCCTCTGTCCTTACTCCAGCGTGCTGCAGAGATCATGGAATACTCTTCACTCCTCGACCAAGCAGCCCAAGCCTCTGACCCCGTCGAACGTCTCATGTACGTAACCGCATTTGCCCTCTCCTCGCTATCCAGCAACCGTGTCCGCGAACGCTCCATCCGCAAACCATTCAACCCCATGCTCGGCGAGACCTACGAGCTCATCCGTGAAGACCAAGGCTTCCGCTTCATCGCAGAGAAGGTCTCCCACCGACCTGTCCAACTCGCCTACCAAGCCGACAGTCGCGAATGGAGCCTAGCACAATCGCCCATGCCCAGCCAGAAATTCTGGGGCAAGTCCGCTGAAATCACGACCGAGGGCCGCGTGCGGATCACCCTACACGCCACCGGCGAGCGCTTCAGCTGGACACCCGCAACCTCCTTCCTACGCAACATCATCGCCGGCGAGAAATACGTCGAGCCTGTCGGTGAATTGGCCGTTTCCAACGAGTCCACCGGCCACCGCTCCATCTCCACCTTCAAGTCCGGCGGTATGTTCTCCGGTCGCAGCGAAGAAGTTACCACCCGCGCCATCGACTCGTACAATCAACCCATCTCCCTGGGCCTAGCGGGTACATGGCCCGCCTCTCTCAGTCTCACCCGCGACGGCAGTCCCTCCGGCAAACCTATCTGGACCGCCGGCCCCCTCGTCCCCAGCGCCCCCAAGCACTACGGCCTAACAGCCTTTGCCGTAGCCCTGAATGAAATCACATCTATCGAAGAAGGTCGTCTACCCGTGACAGATTCCCGACTGAGACCTGACCAGCGCGCGCTGGAGGAGGGTGACCTCGATCGCGCGGAGGAAGTCAAAGTCCAGCTTGAGGAGGGTCAGCGTGCGCGTAGGCGCGAGATGGAAGCCGCGGGTGAGAATTGGACGCCGAGGTGGTTTACGCGGGTGAGTGAGGATTCGGATGGGGAGGTTGTGTGGCGGTTGAAGGGTGGGAAGGATGGGTATTGGGATGAGAGGGCGAAGGGGGGTTGGACGGGTGTTGTGCCTGTTTTTGAGGATTAAGATGGGAGGTTGGATATGTGTGTGTGTGTGTTTCTCTTGCGTTCCATTTTTCGTTTTCATTTTCTTTATTCCCCCTCCCATTTGGATCGGATGGGTTTGTTTTTCGTTGAGGGGGAGAGGAGGACTTGTACAGAAGCTTGGTTTCTGGGTGTCTTCTTTGGAAAGTGGCCTTCTATTGAGGGAAGGTGGAGGTTAGAAGTGTGTTTGGCGCTAGCTGGACTTGTTCTAGAGTATAGTGATGGTTACATAGAATATATCTCTCCACTTGATCAGTCTTTTAAGGTTCTACCAGGGCGGTCCCTTTGGTTTACTATGATAGACTTGTTATCTTTGGAACAGCCCAGCTCAAATGGCTCATTCCAGTATCCTACTCATGGTCTCTCATCTTTCGAGGGAAGCAGTCATTACCTTAGCAGTGACGAGACTTTCAAGATAGCACATAAACTTCTTTTCCATGCTTTCTCGCCATGCGTATGCTATCACTACTCTCATTCAACTTTCATTCAATAAATCACCCCTACTAAACTCCAGCTACAGACTACATAAATAAATCAAGCCATTCCCTACCTACTTTCACTTCCAAGCTTATTTTTATCCCACTCTCACAAAATAGCTCGATCATAACGATATATTGCAATATATCACACAAAACGCACCAAAAAACAAAACCAAGCTCCTTGCAAGATTCGAACTTGCGTTTTGGGAAGACTTCAAGGAGAAAAAGGGAAATATTCAATTTTCAAAATCCCACGTGATAACCAACTACACGAAAGGAGCGACTTGGACGTTGTCGGTGGTGGAATAGCTTCATCTGTTATGGTGGTCTGCAGAACTAGAGTAACGTGACGTGATATGTCTATTTTAGGCGTTGCTGGAATTGAAATTTTTATTTGGTAGAAGAAGGTGAGACAAATGGAAGCAAGAGTTACAGTACTTAGTCCTAAAGGCCCATAAGTGGGACTAGTAACTGGTGTCTTATTTATTATGTTGTGTGGTACTACTAATCCAAAAGTGAAAAAAAGACCCAAAAAAAAAAGGAATGAAATCAGCTCCATCCAGGGTTCGAACCTGGGACTTGAGAAGATCTGATGCTACCCGATGATCGGGTGTAATCAAAATCTCACGTGCTAGACCACTACACTAATAGAGCGCTGATTGGGTGACATGAGGATCCGTTGAACTATAGCCGCCTTCGTCGCTGGTTTTGGTGTACAGTAGGATAGTAGGCTAAGTGTAAGTCTGGTGGTGGAACTTTACTTATACCCTACTAAGGAGGATGGGGGTTATTACCAGGGGTTTACTACTGTTTTCGGGTGGGTCGTTAAAAGTATTAGTTTTTCTTTATGATCAGGGATGGATTCAGGATGCCATGAGAGGTGAATCAGATGCTTCTCGGTCAATATATATCTGGGCGTGTCGAATCGTGACACGACGTCAACAGACGTAGACGTACTCCAGCTTCTTTTCCAAAACGCAACGGTTTCCGCAAAGAAAAGCCAAATGATAAGATTCATTGCTTATTTTCAACTGAATTTCACAATTCGAACACAGGAGGGAATGTTGATTTCCCAATAATGATCATTGCATCGTATACTGCCATCTCCATAAACAGAGCTCCGAATCTCAGCATCACTGTAACCAAAAGCAAACATAATCACTTGAATCGAGCTCCACAAGTCTTCGCAGACAGGGGAGGCCACTGTATGTAACACATGTATGGGATTTCCCTGTGCAGAGTAGAGATAGACATGCCGTAAACCAGTATCAAAAGAGCCAGAACGAACACACTCTTCATCCCCCACGCAGAACACATCTAGACCCGACCTTTACTCCATATCCGCATCGTCACTATCAGAATGTGCAGCCCAGCGCTTCGAGTTGCGCATCCTTGCTGCCTTCCTGGCCGTCTGACGATCATCCGACCCGCCTGCCTGGGCCAGACGCATCATGACCGGCAGATTATCCAGCACAGCTCGATTACCCTGGAAGTAATGCTCGGCAAAGCCACCTTGTAGGATCCGGCGCAGGGACTGCAGTCGCACCCACTTCCACCATCGGTCAATGCTCATGATGCCATGGCGGCCGATCTTGACCGTTAACGTGCTGCCGTAGCGTCGGTTGGTATCCTGGTCGATGGCCATGTTGTACCGCGGCCCGCGACGAGGGTTCTCGACCGTGGTCAGAATCGAGGCAAAGTTACCGTGGAGCGACTTCTTCTCTCGCTTGCTGATGCGCTTTGAGTGCACGGTCGCTAGGCTGGCGAGCTGGCGCTCCAACTCGGGTGTGTTGTGGTATGCATTGTACCGTTTAATCAGCTTGGGTCCGCTGGTGGGATCGTCATGAACCTGTTCATCGGTCTCGTCCTCTTCTTCACTATCATCATCATCGTCATCCTCTTGAGGCGTGTAGCTTTTCTCATAGAGGAGGGCAATGTTCTCGCCCGCGGCGATCTGAACACCCGAGTCGCTACTGTTGAGCTGGTCGATGAATATCTGGACCGCGTCCTCACTTTCACTTTCAAAGTCATCGACCTCCGAGAGAAGGAAGCCCCAGACATGCAGGGCGGCGGTGACGCTGGTTGGGTCGTCGGCAGCGTCGATGGACTGACCGTCCGAAGCAATGATGTCCAGAAGGAAGGTCATCTGCTCGAGAATACCCTCCTCACCTGCGCCGCCGAAATTCGTGCATGCACCGAGACAATATATCGCAGCCGCCTTGACCGCATTAGAAGTCGAGTCGCGGATGAAGCGGGTAAGCAGAGGCTCGGCATTCTCATAGATCTTATCGTCACACGAGGTAATCACCAGCAACTCAATAGCACGAAGGGCCAAGGTCGTCTCGCGGGTGCTAGACTCGCTGCGAATGCTCCTTGCAAATGCACCCAGCAAATCGGTGATGTGCGGGCGAGTCTCTTCCTCTGCATAGTGATATTTGGTCAAGCGGCAGAATGCAGCGAGTGCCTCTTCACGGCCCTGCACGCTGCTTCTCTTGCGATCAAGAATCTCCGCCATACGGTCGGCCAGCTCCTGCGGCCAGTCGTCATTTTCAGTCTCCGGATTCTCGTCGTCTAGAGAGCCGATACTATAGTTTGGGAGTGGTCAGTGCCAGGTCGATCAGAAAAAATGCGACATCGGTGACATCATCCCGCCACGGGTGGGACCCATGAGGGATGGACTTGGAATGCACAGAAAAGGGAAAGCGAGGCATAAATGAAGCTCATTGGAGATGAAATGGGCATAATTAACACTCACCTTAGAGCAGTATCATCAGAGAGGAAGCCCGCGTCCTCATCGTCGGAGGCCTGGCGACTCGCATTTCGCGAGGACTGGCGAGAGTTCTGCTTGGAGCTTGCGCGGGAGTTGGTGCGGGAAGCCTCCCGAGAAGCAGCCTTCCGCGAGACGGTCTTGCCGCTCTCGAAAATTTGGCGACGAAGATCAGGCATGGTGAAAGAGAGAGATGAGAGGGAGTGACCGGTGAGTTGTGAGAAGTGGAGAGAGAGATAGAGAAAAGACCGAGGGCTTGAGCCTCGAGCTCGAGAGTAGGGAAAAAGAGAAAAGGTCAGAGAGGATGAAATCAGGTGGCGAATTTATCCTATTGGAATGGAGCTATGGCGAAGCGAAATCTGGCGATGGAGAGCGTAAGATAGCACATCGTCTTGCAGGAGAAACATATGGTGGTCTCGAGGGATGAGAGAGGGTGTGAAGGGAAGGAAAGGAAAGGGCGAAAGAAAGAGGAAAGATCCAAGGCCCAAGGCAGAGCAGATCAGCCTGTCTGGAGAGAGAGAGAGCGACTCTGCCAATAATGGACGGGATGATTAATGGATGAGAGAGTTGACCAGAGGTACATTACATGACTATACTCGATACGTACAAACTGGAAGTACCTTGACTTGATCATTAGACTCGGCAGAAACCGCGGTTCACCAGTTGTCGAGCTGACCGCCAGTGCGGGGGATCCCAAGCCCAAAACTATAAAAAGTCCGTTCCAAGGAATCACATTACCAGATGCTACTCATGAGTATCGTATGATCTGCATGGAAGATGGCGAGCATTATCTGATCGGAGCTTTTACATCTAACCACGTTTTGTAGATTACTAGTATACAATTGAAAACTTTTTCTTTTTTGAGGGGTATCACCAACTCCGCCGTATTCATACAATCGATCAGAAAATCATAGAATCAATCAAGTCCTAACCAGGTCCTATTTGACCTGCTGAACGACCAGCTCCAAGATGCGCCGTGACTTGGCACCCTCCAAGTATTCCCGCCCTTCATGCCTCGTCTCCTCATCCTCATCTTCATCATCGCCCACCTCCAGATCCACCTGCAGACTAGCCTCGTAGGCACCCATTACGGTCTCCTCATCCACGCGAATGCCGCCTTGTACCAGGACCTGGATGCACTGTGCCAACCGTGCGATTTCCCGACGGGTCTGCGGCGGGATCTCATCGTTCTGGCTGGAGTAGATCGAGGTGGAAACCATCTCTTCCATGCGCGTGATAGAAACGTGATCTGTAGTGGACGAGGCCGCACTTGCACCATCGGCATGCTTCGAAATCCAAATGTACCCATTCACTCCAAGAATAACGTCCACCTCACCACCGCCATTATGTGTGCTAACCGTCCATACCTGTCGTCGTGATCGCACAACACCACCCATTCCGCTACCAGCTCCAGGCCGCAAAGACCCAGCACCCACGCCGCCCTTCGTGGTAGAGCTAGATGCCCCACTACCACCAGTGCCAGTCACGGCGAGGAACACGCCATTCCGCAGCTTACCGTACTTCAGCGAGCGGGTGTGAAGCGAGGCTGAGCCATCTTGGTGCACGCTCTGCACTTCTGCGACAACCAGGTCGCCCTCGCTGAAGAAGGTCCGAATCTGCAGCTCGTCGGAGCTTGTTCGCCGACGGAGAATACCACCGGGCAAGTTGATGGCAGAGAGTGGGAGCTGGGCGAGGAGCGGGGCGGCAACGTCAACCTTCCACCGCTTGGACTGGACTTCGACAATGCGGCCCACGACGAGATCACCGATCTCGGGTGTGTAGCGGGCGCGGAGGGGGTGGACGGAAAGGAGCTTATTGGTTTTGTGGACTGTACCGGCGACAGTGGCGATAATTGAGGTTGAGAGGGGGGTCATGTATGTGCCGTGACCTCTGCGAATGGGTTAGCTCTGTTGTAGAGGATCTCTTTCAAGATCGACAAGGCCAAGGTCCGGCTCGGAGGGGCTGATGGGAAGCTTCAAAGCTGTCAAAGCCTCTGCGTGGGGGTTAAGAACACTAACCTCATCCATTGCGGATCGTCTGTGACCACCTCACCGGGCGTGACGACGCCTGTCGACACGGTCTGATTTCCTATGCGGGCCCGCTTCGGTGCCCGCACGCCGCTCATTTCAACATCTTCGTCTGAGTCGACGGACATGGAGTCATCGGATTCGTCATGGCGAGGGAGGATGTCCTCTACCACCGGAGGGAGAATTATGATTCCCATTGTGTCGGGCTGTGTGTGGATTGGAGGGAAAATGTGTCTCTGAGAGGATTTGAAGGTGCTGGATAAGGTCCAAGACTTTTGTATTCACGTGACCGTCCCCACTATGAGCCCCAAGTATATACTAAACTTGGAACTGCAACTTTTGATAAGTGTATGGTCTATATATCGAATTTGAAATTAGATTAACTGTTTGAATGAAGCAGCTACAAGCAGTATACTGAGATTGAGCAATTTTTCGAAAGAATTGATGGACCTAGTTGTTGGTGCTGAACAAGGCAGATATGGTTGCGAACATCGACAGGCAATTCCGCCGACGGTCAGTCCATCCTTTGACTATCTCTGTAACAGTGTACTTCATTTTTTGGTTGTACCTTCCGCTAAGGGGTGATTAAATTTGGGACTTGAGAATCGTGTTTCTTGAAGCGTATCTGTTGAATTTCATATCGTAGACCCAGCTCGGTGATAGGACTCAATGCAAATGCCATATTAATACATCAGAATAAAAAATTGAAATACAGCGGACACAGATATCCACGAAGCTTATACCCTCTCTCATGCCTTCTTTGCACTGCGATTGGCAGAAGCCGCAGGCTCATCCTTCTTCTTCTTTGAACGGCTATTGCCTCCCTTGGGCCTATATCCAGCATCCTCGTCACGCTTGCGCTTGTTTTTCGGCGTAGGCTCCTGTTCCATCCCATCCTCATCGAGAGTCTCCTCTTCCTTGCGCTGTGCAGGCGCCCGCTTCGAGGAGCGCGCGTTGGACGGGCGTGACGTAGACTTCTCCGATGCGACCTCGTGATCCTGCAGGGCCTGTGGTTGATTGCGTCGCAGCCAGTTGTAGACCGATGCGGGATTTCGCAGTACAGCTTCTCGCTCTCGCTCGGCGAATGTGGGTGGGTCGGGGATACGCGCGAGTTGCGCTATAGCTGTCTCGTCCCCCAGCTTGGCGTCCAGTGCTAGGTAGTACTCGGTTTCACGCTCGGGAGTGAGATATCCGAGTGTGCGTCTGACACCGTTGGATCCTTGCTCTTGGTCTGGAGCACTGGCGGCGGTGTGCGGAATTTGGATCAATTTACTGTACTGCATTGCTGGAGCAAACTCCTTGTTCCGCTTGACGCTCTCTTCCACCTGTCGATAAGCGCTCGTCGAGAGGTTGCCGTTTGCTAATTCAGATTTGGCTTCCTTCAATGCGGTTCTGGCGAGGGCCGCGTCACTAATCAGGGGCGCAATCTCTTGTTCGGCAGGTGGAAGGAAAGGGGCGTCATCGGGCATAGTCAAGTCGTATCGTACAGACGGGGACACATGGAGACTGTCATTGAACTCGAGGAGGATTTCAAGCAATTGACTGCAGCTGAATTAGCACCCGGTTCTTGTGATCCCAATATATGGACCCGAGGGGCAGCATACTCGTTCTGTTCTTGGATGCGCTTGGAGAGATCTTCGATGCGGAGCTCTTCGCGAATCAGAGCCTCGCTCTCCAACTCTTGCTTGGTAAACTTCATTTTCAACTTGGCATATTTTTTCCTAGAGGCCACGATTTAGCCAGATATTTCATACATCGACACTGTCAAGACGTCGTACTTGAAAGAGTGCACCGACTGCTTTGCAGGGGTAGCTTCCGGGGCATCGGGTAGAGCCTCCGAGACGGGCTTGGAGTCGGTAACTTCTTCTGCCATGGTGAAATTAGATCCTAGATGGCAAGATAGCAGCTGTTGAGAGGGATTGAGATTGCTTGGGCTTTGATGGAAAGGAAATGGTCGGGGCAAGTTGCAAGACGCGCGCCAAGCACGGATGTCAGGCTTGCGCGATTAGTATCTCCGGGCCGCCGTAAAAAATTGATTAGCGCCGACCCGAAGATCTTTGGACAGTCTACAGTCCACATTTTTTCAAACGGTTCACAAACCTTGAAGATTGCCCTCTCAAATCTTCCTGGTGAAAAATTTGCCTAAGATTCATCATGACTGAAGTCGCCGACCCCAGCCAGAAGAAGCGCAAGCTTCAAGACGGCCCCGAACTCGAGATCGATATTTCTGCGCCGGAGCCGCCATCGAAAAAAGCCCTACGAAAGGCGAAGAAAGTCAAGAAGACCGACGGAGAGGCTGACGACACCGGAAAGCCTCAGACTGAGAAGGTCGAATCTAAAGACGCTGCCGATGCGCAGGCAAAGCGCTCTCAGTATGGAGTCTGGATCGGCAATTTGTCCTTCAACACCACCAAGGACGACCTGCGCCAATTCTTCATCGACAATTGCTCCTTCTCCAATGATACGATTACACGAGTACACATGCCCAATGGTGCTGAGAAGTTCGGGCGTCCCCAGAACAAGGGCTTTGCCTACGTTGACTTTTCCACCGAGAAGGCTCTGGAGGAAGCAATTGGTCTGAGCGAGCAACTACTGACAGGCCGCCGCGTGCTGATCAAGAATGCGAATAGCTTTGAAGGTCGGCCCGAGAAGACTGCGGATCAGGGTAACGCTGCTACCTCGGCCAAGCCTGGCAATCCTCCATCCAAGCGTATCTTCGTAGGCAACCTGAGCTTCGACGTTACGAAGGAATCCCTCGAGGAACACTTTGCGAAATGTGGAACGGTGGCCAATGTGCATATGGCGACCTTCCAGGACACAGGAAAATGCAAGGGGTATGCTTGGGTGGAGTTTGAAGAAATTGCGGCCTCGGAAGCAGCGGTGAGAGGCTTCGTGATGGAGAAGGAGGAGGAGGAAGAGGAAGAAGAGTCCAGCGACAGCTCCGACTCTGACGAAGAAAGCAAGAAGCCCAAGAAGAAGGCGAAGAAGAAGGCCAAGAAGCCCTACCAGCGTCGAATCTGGGTGAATCAGCTCTTGGGTCGCCGAATGAGAATGGAGTTTGCGGAGGATGCGTCAACACGATACAAGAAGCGCTTTGGCAAGGATGGCGAAGGAAAGAAGAATGGTCAACCTGCAATTACTGAGGAGGGTGCTGAGCCGTCTGAGGAGCAGCCCCGAGTTCGTAAGCAAAGGCGGCCAGACATTGATGAGTCTCGGTACTCCAAGGAGACTGTGCAACGTCTTAGTGGTGCCATTGTTGAAGCCCAAGGCAAGAAGGTCACTTTTGACTAAATGTGTGACTCGTCTTTTTGGCAGTCTTTTCTGGACCACCACAGAAAGTGAGGTTGGTTCTTTGGGAATGTCTCTATTATGTATTTTTGCTGGATCATTGCAACTCTACTGCGGGCGTCTTGAGATGGGTTTGTTAGAGAGACTCTTTACAGCAACGATCTGCCATGCGGTGTACAGTTCTGTTGACGTGGCATGGATGTTTATAAAAGTCCCATCACGGCTACTCGCTGGGCTCACAGATACCCCTCGGTGGAAAAAAGAATTTGTGTTTTGTCGTGGATGATTTGGAGTTATTTGTTCTCGGATGCGTCTTCAGTGTTATCAATCAAGGGTGTCGCATGCTCTAGTAAATTCACGATCCACAATGCATACCCTTTCAGGATCGGATACATCAACCGACATGAACCATATGGTATGTTCTGGAAATAGTTTGAGAAAGGAAAAGACATACTCGGGCTCACTCTGAGATAGTTATGTCGAAACAAAGCAGCTTTGTTATCCCTGCAAAGTAAGTTGAAACATACAGTACTCCGTAGATCTAGACTGGTCGGGCAGAACACTCCTCACCGCCCTGGGCTAGCCCGATTGGGGGTTACGTCTCTTTGCGATGTCATGCCCTTTCGTGGAATATCTGCTTCGCATCTCGTCCGGCCTGCATCTCCTTCTCTCATCCCCCTTGCGCTTTTCTTTCTCTTCACTCCATCACCCTAGTGAGGTATCTTTTGAACCATAACCTTCAATTTCTTCCCTCTGATCCCGTCATTTCATCGATCATCCTTGCTGTGACGCCACTACACTTCGCCGCACTTCTGTCTTGCCCACCCCTTCCTGGTTGGCTGGCCCTAACGCCAAACCCAGCACCAGTGAGGTTGATATCTGTCTCCTTCAAGGCATCCTTATAATATCCAGACCATGGCTCCCGCTCGACGCCATATCGGGGCAAGCCGTAGGAAGAGACGTGACGATGACGGCGAGGACGAGGCCTCACAGGTTGGAGAGCTGGACGATGATTCCTTGAGCGAGGGCTCGGTCGACAGCCACCAGGAAGATGAAGATGCCGACGGGGAAGTTAGCGAAAGTGACGAAGCAGCTTCGACCACGCTGGACACGGACAAGCTCAACGGGAAGACCAACGGCCGGGCCCCCAGTCAGACCGAACGAGACAGCTCTGCATGCCCCAGAAAACCAGGACTCAAGATGACCGTCTCCGATACAGAAGCGATGTTGAACGGAATGAAGGTGTCTGACGATAGCGAGGAGATCAGTTTTGACCAGATGGGGGAACGGCGAGACCTACAGACGGGCCGGACACCGTCTGCTCCGCCCACCGAACCGAAGCGGGAGACCTTGGCTGCAAGGAAACGCCGGGAGCATGAGAAATACGTCAAGGAGCGAGAGCAGAATCCGGCCTTTGTGCCCACTCGAGGAAGTTTCTTCTTGCATGATAAGCGGACGTCAGAGGCGGGACCCAATAACCACCGTCCCTTCAACAAAGGAAAGTCGAGACCTGTCGGTCTCATTGTGGATGGGAATTCTCGCAAGTACGGGAGCACTAGCTTTACAAATGACCTTTGTGGATCTTTTGCTGATATATATATTCTCTAGGAACTCTACCTCCAAGCCCGACGCAAGCGAAGGGCAGTGGACACACGACCTCCATGATACAGTTGCTGGCGAGAATCCAGCGCCCAAGCAGGTGCCCACCACCGCTGGATCGTTCCCATCAGTTCAGAATGTCCCGACCGCCCCTCGATCTGAACCTCCGAATCGTTCGTTCTCCAGCACTACCTTGATCGGCAATGTACCCGTCGTTGTCTTCCTCCCGGGAATGGCACAGGCCAAGTCGTTCCCCGCGGTGCCCAAAAAGCAGCATACCCGTCTTCCTCAACACCGCCCTCCCTTGCGCCGCGACAAACCGGTGCGAATTTCTCTTCCTGGTCAACCTCCTCGCTACATTTTCCCGTCTACTGAGCGTTCCTTCATCTTTATTCCCCGTGCATTGCGACCGAATCAGCAGGGCTACCGAGGCCGGGGTCGAGGTGGTGGTTTCTACCCTGGCCGACGACCCAGCTATTATAACACCTACACGCCCAGCGTGCTCAGTGTCAGCCGACGATCATCTCTCGGAATGTCCGTCTCCCAAGATGGCTACCCGTCACCGGCAGGCTCGGTGTACTCGCGGCCAGCCATGGTTGTTCCCGATGCTAGCAAGCCCGTTGTTCGTCTGCCTCCTCCTCCACGCCCTCCCGTTAACATGCCGCCCACCGGTGCTGGACTGCCGCCAGGACCTATGCCGTCTATGCAATTCCCACACTTCGGCTATCGTGAAAGTCGCCCGGCCCCCATCCCCATGCATCAACCTCGCCCTCAAAAGGCTGTCTCCGTGGCTGATATCGAGAGCCCGGCCAGCTTCCCATTCAATCCACCTCAGCCCCAGCAGGAGCAACCATTCCACCATCAGGTTCCCGTTCCTGTCCCCGTCGCTGGGCCTGGTCAAGAGCAGATGACGCAGGGCCCTGGCCAGCCCTCAGGAACTCCGCTTTCGCAGATTCCCGAGCGGGCGATCCATGCTCAGCCTTTCCAGCCATACGGTTATCAACCACCGGGATATTACCCAGGCTACCCTCCTGGTGCTATGTATTACCCCGGATCTGGCCCTGACTATGCCCCATACAATGGACCGATGGGACCGGGGGTCTCAATGCCTAATTTCCCTCCGGGTCAGCAGCCGATGCCGTATGTTGTTCCCTCGTCCTCGGGAGAGCAGTCGTCGCAGCCCGGTACCGTTGCTCATGAATCGGGTGGCACGGTGTACTTTTACGATGCCAACCAGATGTACTCCGGTGCCAATTACGGGGGTCAAGGTCCAGGGCAGGGGTCTGGGGGAGTTGTGGGGATGGGAGGCATGATGACCCCTCCTGGTCCCACGTATTACTACCCACAACCGCCTGGGGCCGGGGGGAGGCATGTACTATGGACCACAGTGATTGGACTGATGTGCATTGGTCTCAGCTCCTCTGTTGGATGACATACGTCTTTTCTTAGCATGGTCCCCTTTTCTTGTTTTCCCCTTGTTCCTTTTTTTTTGGTCTCCTTCCATCCTTCTTTGCGCCCTCTAATTTCTTCTTCTTATTTTTGTTCTTCTTCTTTTACCGTGGTCTTTCTTTCTTTCTTTTTTTTGCCCGTCTTGGCGACGGTCGTTAGACTTGGATTATTCGGATGCATTTGAGCGTTCTCTCCCCCCTCATTTCTCATGTCCCCGCAAAACCCACCCCAGCTCGTCTTTCTCCCCCCCTCATCTGTCTTTGATCGCTTCGCATGATCTAGGCCCTGTTGCATGACCTCTCATTTCTTTCGCTCCCGATGACAGAGGGCTACGAAATACCAACAAAAAGTATTCTATACCTTGCCGCTCAGTCGTGTTCTTGTCCTTGGAATCGCACTAGTAAATGCTCATGTAGTCAGATAGTCATGTAGATGGGGGAATCTCAATGCTTTATATTCCATTCCGAGGTATACACTGCGTGACTGTTTACCCCAATAAACCTCCCAGGAATACATAAGTAGGATGGCCTATGCTGTATGTATTATTACAGTACAATCCATTCTTACAGTCATTACAAACGCCTTCTCGTGTACCGTACCGTCCGGGTAAAGGCGTGACCCCACCGGACGGGTCTTACATAATCCGTACACCGCCCACGGGCTGGCAGCTGACCCTCTTCCCCCCATCGTCAGCGCTCTCTGCCTGCTCGGCTCTGTCATTCTCCCTCGACTTGCTCTTCCTCACTTTCCCACTCTTCTATCGCTGACTCTTTCACTCTGCTTTCATATTCTCATCCCCCTTCCATCAGCCTCTCTTTCTAATCTCCTTTCCCCTTCAAACTTGTCCCTCTACACCGTAGTGAACCTCGCTCCCCCCCCGGAGCTCTTGGGATTCCTTATCTCCCTCTTAGTGCCGTGAACGGAGTACTTCCCACCTCCACATCCTCTTCCCCCATCAACTTGCATCATGGCTACTCAAGCCCTCCCATCACACCCAGGTCCAGACCATCAAATCTCAATCAAAGTTCTTTACAACGACAGCAACCGTCGCTTCAAGTTACCTCTGAAGGACCTCCAGGCTCAGGTGCTCCCCCAAAAGGTAAGCTATTTCTTGTCTCCACTCAAGCTCCGACCGGACCTCCAGTCCGCCCCCCGTTCCCTTATCTCAATGATCAGCTCGGTGATCGCCATGATCGATGACTCGACGGTGATGGAAACATCTCTTTGATGTCTGGTGATAAGTGATAAATGATGGCCTTAAAATTACCAACCTAAACGCCGATTGCGGTTGAATGTTGACTAACTGATCTCTTGGGTTTAGCTCCGCTTGCTTCTCGGCGTTCCGGCAAATGTCAACGTCATCTTCGAACGCTATTCCGACAGCGCCGGCAACTACATTCACCTAGACGAAGCCAACCCCTCCGTCTACAAACAACTCTACCGTGCTGCCAAAGCCAAGTCCAAGCTTCGCATCAGGGCCACCGTGGTCGATACCTCGGCGGCGGTACCTTCAGACTTCTCACTCCCGGCTCAGCCGATCACTCAAAGCCCTCCACGATACAGTTACCTTGAGACCGTCCTCAGCTCACCTATCCCCATGGCTCATCCCGAGAGCCTCCCAGCTACCTCTGAGCTGGCAAGCACCTCGCTCGAGGTCGACGCCTTCCCACCACAGCCGATCCAGACCTCCACTCAACCTCCTCACTACCGTGACTTCGAGGCTGAAGACAAGATTCGTTTCCCCGTCATCTCTCACAACTCGCCCAATGGGATGTTTTGTATCGACTGCAACAACTGTGGTCGATCCATTGCCAATGAGCACTATCACTGCAGTATCTGCGAGTACGGAGACTATGACCTGTGCCCACAGTGCATCGACGCGGGTGCCTCGTGCCGCAGCGACGGCCACTGGCTGATCAAGCGGATGGTGGTGAACGGTATTGTGACCAACAGCACCACTGAGACCATACCTCCCCGTCACCCTCAGACTCAGGCTGTGGCCAAGGAGACCTCCGAGCCCACTGCAAAGGTTGCTACCGTGCAGGACGAGGAGGAGATCAAGCCCCAGATTGCAGTGTGCCCAGCTTACGAGCCCCCCGCCACTGAACGAGTCCAGGAGATGGAGGCTTCCCTCATTCCTGGCTTCACCAGTCAGACTGATGTGGCTATTCAGGGCGATGAGCAGCCCATGTGCAATGGATGCTGCCGTGGTATGTTGTGCTCTATGCTTTTTTTTCATTCAGGACCAGCACTAATATGAAATACAGAGGTAGATGAGAGCAACCTTGTGCGTTGCACTGAGTGCGAGGATTATGACCTCTGCCTTCGCTGCCTGCTGCGCAACAAGCACGGTCACCATCCCGCCCACACCTTCTCCCTTGGCTCGGACCGCAACTTCTGCTTGAAGAACCTCATCATGTCTCGTTGCCTTCCCGGCCGGCAGTTCAAACACGCCGCCATCTGTGATGGATGTGAGAAGGTAAGATGCTCTCAACTTTGGCACACATCTCGATCTCCTCTCCGACCACATGCTAACCACTTCTAGCACATCGTCGGTACCCGCCACAAGTGCCTGTCCTGCCCTGACTGGGACTACTGCCCCAGCTGCATCAAGATGGCTCACCAGAACCATCCTGGTCACCGCTTCGCTCCTATCTACGATGCTATTGGTGAGCAGCCTCGTGACTCCGAGGTTCACTTTGGCATCTTCTGCGATGGCCTACTGTGCAAGGACAAGCCTGCTCAGAGCTACATCACTGGGGTTCGATACAAGTGCGCCGTCTGTGACGACGTTGACTTCTGTGCGAGCTGCGAGGCTCACCCTAACCACGGGCATAACCGCACCCACCCCTTGATCAAGTTTAAGACTCCCGTCCGCACCGTCACGGTCAGCACTATCAACGAGGATGAATCTGTTCCTGGCCGAGTTTCCCTGGGTGACCAGCCTCGCGAGACTGTTGACTCGGCTGCTCTGCATGAGGATGTCGAGGAAAAGAAGCCCGTTGTCGTGGAGCAGGCTCCCGTAGAGGTGGAGGCCACCAAGCACGAGCCCGCTTGGCCCGCTCCTTACGCCCCGGTCCCCACGGTTGAGGCACCAGAGGCTGCCCAAGAGCAAGACTCGGCCAACTACAAGGCTTACTTCGTTCGCGATGCGATCGCTGATGGTACCAAGCTGCCTCCCAACACCGTTTTCCGCCAGACTTGGACTCTCTTCAACCCCGGCCCCTTTGCCTGGCCAGCTGGCAGTGATGTCCGCTTCGTCGGCGGAGACACCATGTTCAACGTCGACTCTAGCCACCCATCTAGCGTCGAGTCCATCCGCTGTGCGATGGAGAGTAACAAGCTTACCGCTCCTCTGGGACCCGGACAGAGCGCCGATTTCAGCGTGACCCTGCGCACTCCTCGCCGTGAGGGCACTGCTATCTCATACTGGCGCCTGAAACTTCCCAATGGTATCCCCATTGGCCACCGATTGTGGTGCGATGTTCAGGTACAGGGAATTGTGTCTCCTACTCCATCGACCGTGGAGCCGGTGAAGATGATCTTTGAGGAGCTGCCCGAGACCGAGTCTTCTACTGTCACCCCCGACACTGCCGGCAGTGGCATGATCTTCCCCAAGCTGGAGAAGGAGTCTCCCGAGTCTAGCCTCCACGAGGCTGTGGCCGAGACCCGCCCGGCTCCGACTGTGTCGACCGTTTCCGAGGCTGATGTCCTGGAAGATGTGGAGAGCCTCACCCTGGACGAAGCCTCTACCGATGCTGGCTTCTTGACCGATGAAGAATACGATGTCCTGGATGCTAGCGATCAGGAGTTCTTGGAGGCGAAGCAGTCTATTCACTAGACAAATTGCTTGCCTACATTTACACGACAACAGGCTTTGCCTGACTTTCATGACACGATAGGAATTGGGAATTTGCACGCTGGAAGGTTTCGGAACTGGTCTTTTTTTTCTTGTTACTTTTTCCAATCTGCTCTAACCTAAACACAGCTGGGCCACTTCTGCCATGGCCAGCCTTTGATAATTTGATGTTTAATTTCCTTGATCTTTTGAATTTGATCCTTTGACAATCTCACTCTTTTTTTTTTCTTTGGTCGTCGGTCCCTCTCACCCTCCAGCCATTCTTATGCAAGGGGCTCTCCACCTTGGACAAGTTCACTCTCCTGGACGCTGTTCCAGCTCCAGCTGCAAGCGTCCCCCAGAAAAGATCATCGCCGCTGCATTTCGCTTTGCTCCAGATAGTCAAATGCATTTTCTTGCTCATTCATACGTACCTTGACTTGTAACTGGCCACGCTCCGTATATACCAAAATCAAAACCCAAACCCATCCACTTCTTCTGTTGGGGTTCTCGGACCCGCTCCGACTCCACATCCCCGCGCAGAGCTCGCGATGAAGATGTGTAACACAACATGCTGGGAAAAAAGACCGAGGCATCTTTCTCCCGATTCGGTTCGACTCCTCACCAGAGCACAGAGGGGAAGAGTGGAACTAATCTCCTTCGACCTTGATTTGCTACTTCCCCCTCTCGCACTTTCCTTCGTTCTAATATTTACTGTGCTAACCGTCCTACCCAGTCCTGGAAGCTTCGATTCTCTCGTTTCCAGTCCAGCCCCGGCAACCCCGACGCGGCAATGGGATTCTCGAGTTCGGCCTTTTTAGGCCTGATTGCCATCCTGGTGGCTACCCTGGGCCCAGCAGTTGTGCATATGATCAAAGTCGGCGGTCCTTTTTTAACGCCAAAGTCAACTGTACTCGGTGTGGGCCAAGGGCCCATCATCATTGAGGATACCGTTCATTGCGAAGATGTGCACTATTACCGCCCAGCCAACCTGCTGTTCACGGCGTGCGAGGACGTGAAAGAGACCCGCTTCGACTGGTTCCCCGCTCTGGCTCATTTTGATGCTAAAGCTGCAGGTCGGGGATCTATTCATGTTGTCGACCCGAAGGTTCGTACAGCAATTCCCTCGTCATGATGCCGAGGTCCAGATCATACAGAAGCACTAGCAATATACTGACAAGCTCCCTTAATCAATATCAGACCTTCAAATCCACCCGTCTGACACTCGAAAACTTCAACGGCCCCTTCGTCACCCACGGCATAGACGTCATCCCAGACCCCGAACACCCAGCCGCAGTCTACATCTTCGCCGTCAACCACCTACCAAACCCAGAATCCACCCCAGACTCACCGTCCATTCCCACAGCACGCTCTCAAATCGAGCTCTTCCACCACGTCCTACATTCTACCTCAGCGCAGCACGTCCGCTCCATCCGACACCCGCTCATCCAAACCCCCAACGACATCTATGCAGACAGTCCGACCTCCTTCTACGTAACAAACGACCACTTCTACCGCGCCGGTCTCATGAGACTCGTCGAAGACGTCTGGCCGTCCGCAAAATGGACCAACATCATCCACATCCAGCTCCAGCAACTACACAACGTCGCCGATGAAACCGCACACCTGACTGCGTCTATCGCGCACAGTGGATTATGGAATAACAACGGTCTCGGCCATGCCCGCTCTGAGTCTGAGGTTGTTATTGCCAGCACGATGGGTGGGGAGTTGTGCCTTGCGACGCGGTTCGAGAATAACACTCTTTCTGTGCATGATACTATCGTCTTTGACACTGTCACTGATAACCCGAGTTACTATGTGGATCCGTACGCGAGTGACGGCGAGGATGCGAGTGGTTTCGTTGTCGCAGGTGTTTCGCAGGGATTTTATCTTCCGCAGACTGGGCGGGATCCGGACGCGTTGGAGGCGGTGCAGGTTTGGTATGCGAAGGAGAAGAGGAAGGAGGAGGTTGGAGCTAGTACGGGAGGTTGGGAGAAGAGGTTGTTGTTTGAGGATGATGGGAGGAGGATTCGGAGTGCTAGTGCGGCGGTTTTGGTTCCTGTTGAGCAGCGGGAGGGGGATGGGTCGGAGGGGAAGAAGGCTTGGTTGTTTGTGACGGGGTTCTTGTCAGAGAGTATGATTGCTGTGCTGGTTGATTTGTAGGAATATGGACAGTTGTATATATGGATGTCTCTTGAATGGCATGAGAAGTTACCCCGGAAAGAACCGTTTTGAGTGTTTGAAATGGACGAGTCTTGCTGTGAGTATACATGTCCATGTACCATAGACTCATGGAAGATCGGCTCAGATAATATAGCTGCTCTTTGATCCCCTTGAATCTTTACCCTCGATTGATGTAGTCTTTACAAGTCTCTTCGATTGTATACCTGTTCGGGGATCAGGTCTTCCGCTTTAGAGGTAACAGTTCCATCCAGACCCAGAAAAGCAGCAGATTCTTTACCACGTATGCAGACAACATGAAACGTAGAACTGCTTGAGAGAGTTCAGATCCTACCCTTGATGATGCTGTCGCCGTCGTCGGGGTTGGCGCTCTTCATGGACTCATGCGAAACGCCAGTCTCGACATGACGATCGGGGGCTTTCATATACACCTGACCGACTCCCATGAAACTTTTAAAATCTACAAGGAGACTAGAAATACCATTTCAAGAACAAAACGATTTGCATTTCTACAGGTATCCTTTCAAATCAAAACTCCAAACAGGACGAAGAACAGGGCGCGTCGCATCTCCAACACCAAACAACAAACTCGAACAGGACCCGATTGCAGCAACCCGACTCTTCTCCCGAACATGGACATGCAGACATGGGAAAGAAGACATGAGAAAAGGCAAAACAGAAACAGAAACAGAAACAGAAACAGAAACAGAAACAGAAACAGAAACAGAAACAGAAACAGAAACAGAAACAGAAACAGAAACAGAAACAGAAACAGAAACAGAAACAGAAACAGAAACAGAAACAGAAACAGAAACAGAAACAGAAACAGAAACAGAAACAGAAACAGAAACAGAAACAGAAACAGAAACAGAAGAAACAGGGAAAAGAAGTGAGTTCCTCTTGGCTTCATCCCCGGCCGACCGAAAGTCAGTGGGGACTACTAAGCCCCAGCACCGCGTCAAGGTGGGAACTCGTCGCTGGGGGAAATCGCGAAAGAATAAATGTCAAAGATCGAAAAATAAGTATGTCGAGAAAAATAAAAGCAAAGCAAAGTAACAAAGCAAAACAGAACGAAAAGAAGAAGTAAACCGAAGAAAGAAAAACGAAGAAGCAAAATAAAGCAGAAAGCAAGGGGAAAAAAAGACAAAAGGAAAGACAAAGGAAAATCCACCTGCTACGCACTTACCTGTGTCCATGGGACAAGGAAAGAAGCGTATGAGAGGAGAAAGAAGATCAAGAGAGAAGATCGAGAGAGAAGATCAAGAGAAGATCAAGAGAAGATCAAGAGAAGATCAAGAGAAGATCAAGAGAAGATCAAGAGAAGATCAAGAGAAGATCAAGAGAAGAAAGCAAAGGAGAACCCACCTGGCATACACTTACCTGTGTCCATGAAACAAGAGAAGAGAGCGGAAGAGAAAAGGGAGAAGAGACAAGGAAACCCACCTGCTACGCACCCACCTTCGTCTCCAAGAGACGCGAAAAAAAGGACAAAGAAGATAAGAATAAAAATAAACAGGACAGAATAGAACAGACAGGATGGATAAGAATAGAGAGTGTGTGGACAGAAATGGGTAAGAATAAGAAAGACAGAGGAGAAGAGTAAGAATAAGAGGGTGATGGAGAGAGCGTTGGGGGAGAAAAGGAAAGAAGAAAGATTTCGGAGGGAGGAAGGGGGTTTTTATGTCTACGCGCTAGTGAGAATGAGGATGCCGATGGTATTTCGACGTGACCTTGACGTGATTCAGGGCGATAGCAGGCTCTCAGGCGTGTATATAACAAGCCCTAACTGAGAAGGTGCGCGGATGCCGTTTTGGGTATACCGAATCCCATTCGGGATACAGTCGACGTCAGGCTGTGGATGGCCGGGCCAAGTTGCTACTTCTATGAAGAGGGAGATGCAGCTCTTGCTCTACCCAGAAAGGATTTTTATTCAAGAATGACTTTTCGAATGTCTTCACAAAGAGATTCAAGAGCATGCTTGAACTCTGATTTCTTCCGGCCGCGGACATGTATATCCGCGTCATGCTCAACCAGCAGCCGAAACTCAGCTGGCTTTTCGAGATTGACCGCAGTGAATAAAGCCCTAGTCTTATGCTATCATTGACTAATGCCCTCGTGAATTAACCAGGACAATGTCCGTGGAGGCGCACTGCGTACTTTGGGTCCTTTTAATGTGCCAAAGCTTTCACTGTCAGAGCAAGCTTAAAAATGCATTACACAGTCCGATGAAAACCATAGGCAATCAAGAATTAATATCAAATTTAATTACAGTAGCCAGCACCATTCCACATACTATGGTATAAGTCTATCCCGCTGCATTTATCCGGCCCAGTGCCTTTTATACGATTTCTTTCTCAGCAGGGATCGTGTACTCCTCACATTCTGCCATGGAGTAACTCAGATCCAGGATCAGAGGCCAAGATCAAACAAACCTCTCCGAGAATCCTCATCGTCATCACTAGCACCCTCATCAAGCCCCGACAACCTGTACACCACAGTTCCAATCCCAACAAGTATAGATGCTGTCCACGGTGCCCACTGACCCACCTGTCTGAATACCTCGGCCTGCGGTATCCCGTTCTCAAGGATCCGCTTCTCGATTATGGCAAAGGAAGCAATTCCCGAGCCAACAAGAATTATCCGAAATAAGTTAGACGGGAAGACACCTAAATCTATCTCGTTGAGGAACATAAATGCAACGACGCAAATGAGACCTCCCCCGGAAACCACAAACAGAGGCGTCGCAAATTCCCACCACTTCACCGGCCGTGCAATCGACAAACTCCGCGACACGAGACTCCCAGCCGATGTGATGTCCGTCACCTCTGCCGGCATCGGCGGCACCACGAGCTGAAGCTCATTTTGTTGGCGGAAGACATTGTTAGGAGAACCATGCCACATGTTTATCATTCCTCCAGCGTCCGCGTAACACGGGCTTGTGATACGGTACTCCGACGCAGACGAAACCACAACGGCGGGGACATTAAGCTGTGTGCTGAGATCATATGCAACGGCCGTCACGGTCGACATCCCCATAATCCACACGATAGGAATGGCCGCGGAGAACATCACTGTCTGCAGGCGCTCCTGAAAGGTCCCCGACACTCTGGAGGGGTCCAGCACAAATTCGCGCGGTCCCGTAGCGCGATTCCCGGCCATGAGAACTGCTGTGCCCTTAATGCCCTTCCGCAGGAGGAGCCACCAGATGCAGAGTATCCAGCAGCACGAGAAGAACTGGCAGGCGGGGAAGAAGTCCGCATCAAAGATAGTCTGCGGCGTCGCCTCGTGGCTGATAATAGTATACATCATAATCGCGGAGATAAAGCCCATGATGGTTACGTAGATCTGTGCGACGCCGCGTAGGACAGTCAGGGGAACCGCGACGATGGCGACGGCGACGTTAGTGATAAACAGGTAGCGTTGCCAGGAGGAGTAGAAGCCAGTGATGCCGTAGATACAGATAGGCATAGGACACTCGATGCTTAGAGGCTTGTCGGATAGGGGGAGTAGGGTAGACAGCACGTCAGACGCGATGTAGGACCAGCCGTCTCCCGGGGTTGTGTTGCCAGGCTGTACGGCGCTGGAGATGTTGAGTGCGGCATACCATTGTGAGTTGTCGCAGTTGAAGTTGAGAGTGGAGTTGCCGAAGCAATGCTTGCTCTCAATGTTGGTGATGTTTAATTGTTGGACGTAGCTGGTAGGTCAGGCCCTCAAACATTAGCGTACTGGGTCATGAATGACAGCGAAATCCCTGAAGAGCGTACCCTAGAGAAGTACAAAGCTGCGCGAAAAGTGGGGGTGCCGACATTGATTGAAACTAGACATATAATGAAGCCAGAGTAGGAACAGTGCAGCAGGATATCCACAGCTTAAGAGTACAAGAAACATTTCAAAGCGTGTATTATCGTCACGCCTGAACCCGGGTTAAGTGGGTTCTCAGCCTCAAACAAAGCCGAAAGCTTAAAACAAGGCTATAAGCCGCTCCACTCGCTGTGTGCCTTGGAATCAAGGCGAGGAGTATGGATGCATAGAACGGCCCCCCATTGGTTCCAGCAGCTCCCTGTTCCCTGCAACTTGAAGCGTGTGATTGCCTCGTGGACAGAAGAATATTCGATGACGAGTTTGGCAGGGACCAGCAGCGAATTGGAAGTTTGCATGAAGGGAGCAGCCTCATGCAGGGTAGAAGAAACCCCTGAGTTTTGACCTCGTTCCTCGTTTCAGGGAAATGAACGTCAGTTCAGCCTCCTAGTTAGCCGTGCGCAGACCCTCCATTTGTGGGAGAGTACGGAATACCCGTTGAGCATCACCAGTTTTACCAATCGAAAGAGGAATTACCGTGGGTTAGTCGCGTGGAAGACAGGGCCATTGATCGATCCAGTGGCTATGTGACGAAAATCATCACACAAGAAAGAAAGCTGTCTGGGCTCAGTTTAACTACATACGGTTAGTGTCGGAATTTCGGTGACTTGGACATCTTGACGACTTGGATGAGTATACCAGTGCGTAACTGGCAGAAGGAGCTGGAGAAAATTGATGCGAATTGGGCCCCTTTACGGCATACCGAGGTTTACGTATTGCAAGAAAAGACTTCGTGATCCGAGGAAAATGCCTGCTGACATCTTCTCTCAGTAACCACCACTCAATATCCTCATGAAACAATTGTACGTTGTTTATCCCATGAAGTTTAAGATCCCTGGTCATCCTACTTTGACTTTCGACGGAAACCTTCTAACAAGTGTCTTGGGGTACCTATATGCTAAGCCGAGCATTCAACCAATGTTCCATTAAAGTGGTGGATCCATTAGCCATCCCGAGCCTTCGGCTTGGGGCTCCCGTAGCCAGTCCTGGCCAAGAGGCAGATTGTAGTCTAGCCCCGGAATAGCGGTAAATTCACTGAGTTCATTCGGAAAAGATGAGAAGAATCCATCAAAGGAAGGGATGGAGTTTGGAGAGTGTGGGTCAAACGAGATGTCCTGGCCACTCGAGACATCGACATCACCTCCCTCCAGCAAATCACCTCGCCAGAGTTTTGTCCATTCTCTGAATTGGTCATAGCCTGTTGTAGACTCTGTCGACCCACTCTGCTCAGCGACTGAATGATTGTGCAACCGCTGCCTGGCCCGTTCAAGCGCTTCGATGACGGCTATTTCGGATTGGGCGGATTCCAACCCCGTGCAGATTTGCCGAATAAGTGCCATGCCTTGGTTCAAAGTTCTGGATATACTGCTTGATGGCCCGTTGATGCTGTGGGCGATCAATGCCAGTAAAGCAACACGACATCCATTGAACTCAGTGTAAGAGACACGTGCAAGACCGACAGTGTCTTGTAAGAGCTGGCATAGCTCAACTACTCTGAGCGCCGCATGGAGTGAGTCGTGGCGGAGAATGTTGACGATATCAGGGATTCCATGTGTCCTGGCACTGTCGACCGAGTCAAGCATTCCAGACGATACCTGAGATATGATGAAGGGACGGCCCATGTATATCAGAGTCGTCTTAAAATATATCTCAAGGTGGATGTTGCAACGAAAGAACGGCCCAGTAACTGTGAGATCACGGCAGTAAGTCTCAGTGGAAAGGCTATCCCACCATGAGATTAGTTCATCGCGCGTGGCAGCAAGTTGTCGAAGGAAATGCTTCTTCCTGGCTTTCGGGCAACGCCGAAGAGACTTCATCGCCTCGGAGGCTTTCGACAGGTGATCTGTCAAGACGATGGCAGCGATGAAGTTGGGTAGATTGGTCAATTGGTCGCTCGGTCGCAGGGCGGGCAAGTCGAAGGGCATTGGGGCATCGATCTCAGCAGGGGAAACGGACACAGGCTGGCCATGTAGAATACCGATTCGACTGTTCGAGAGTTTAGATACTGCACTTGACAGATGACCTGGAAATCCCATACCGTTCCAACGAGTATGCAGACCACCAAAGGCGATTTCGCACCTCGGCAATCTCCGGGGCTAAGGTTCCCTCTGGTAGCTTGCGGTGCATGCCATTCTGAATTGCCATCTTGATTGCTAGGCCATAGTATACGTATGCTAGACCTGCTGTGTCGATCGGCATGGTATACACACCCATCAGCAAGAATGCCTGAACAGTCTCCACACTTGCAACTGTAATAAGATCAGGGATAAGTCGACATGAAAACCGATAAAGTTCCACCCCAATTTGGTCATCAGATATACTTTCAGTAGCAGAGGTCGCGCCACTAGGTGTTGAATTGGACGCAAACTGCGTGCCAACCGCGAAAGTCATGAGAAGGGTACATATCCAGCCTGCATCGTTGATTGATGGTGGACGTGTATTGCTGTAATAGAAGTCCAATTTTTCACGGAAGGTAGCTTCATCAAAGTAAAAGTAGTTTGTTTGACTGAATTTCATGAAGGCATTGGTCAAAAACTCCGCGATACGTTTTGGCGGGAAATATGACTTGGCAAGAGCAATACAAGATCCAGATGAATGCAAGTCAGTGGCTCGAAAGAAACCCGTCGCGTGGGCAGAGGCCTATAGAGCCTTGTTAGTGAAGGAAATTGAAAATGCCACAGTACCCCGGTGTGCGCATTGTGGACATCTCATTGGCATACCCCATCTTGTGTCAATTTCCCAAGAGTTCGTAGTCGCCGCTCAAGCATTTTGGAAAAGTTCCAATGGGATAACTCTCCCGAATAATCTATAATTCAGGTTAATTGGGACAAGATGGATACCAGATATTGAACATACGCATTGTGCTAGTTGAGAGCATGTCGACGGAGTAATGATCTCGTAGGGCAGAATCGTTTGCATCATTATCCGATTGCTCCTGTCCCCGCCCCTGATCTAAAGCATCTGCAAGTTTCTGGAGTGCATTCGATTCAAATGAGACGTCGCCCAAGAAGTGTGTGATAATTCGCTTCATTTGAAGCTCCTTGGCATGCCGTTCTGAAAGCTCTCCATCCCTAGTACGAAGATAAGTCGCCCATTCACTCTGAGGTAGGAGAGAGACTTCTTAAGATAGACTCACTCCGAGGAATCATGTCGTAATCTCGATACTTGTCGGCTGTCTGCACTGTCGAAGCCGCACGATCTTTTGCGCTCTTTACAACGAGCACAGGGATTGCCGCCTCCGCCTTTCGAGTTATGTCAATTTGTGTGAAAAGACGAGGAAAGACCCAGGCTTGGCCATGAGAAGGGTGCAGAAGTACATTTTTCCTTATGCTGACGACAAGGCAAGCATCTGCACCACAGCCGATTAGCATCGAGAGGGGTTTGTTTCGCTTGGCTCGGAGAAAGTGTATGGCTTTGACTTACGCCTGCGCCGTCCTCTTTCGCTGCTCCTCAGGTACACGGGGTCTTCTTTGTCTGCCTTTGAGTATCTTGCCTACCTTGGTACCTCGCTCGGTCATTGTAAGGTAAGCGAACTCAAGCCCCGGTCGAACGCTTAAATGCACACAGATTGCAAGGAAGATGGTGGATGGAGATCAGTGTATATTTTGGCCTGAGGCATTATGACGTAAGCGGCCAGATAACAGATAAGCGATAAACGATAAGCATCAACTGTTCTCGTGCGATTGTAGCATCGTGCAAAAAGGTTAACAACACGGAAAGCGAAAGGTCGGAAGTGGCTGGCAATCGTACTATGCTTTCGTGGAAAGTTCTAGCAATAACGAGCCCATTTGCCTAGAGGATGTTCCTCGGGCTTCGTTGTAGGTTCGGCTGACCACGCCCCTTTGCACCCGGGTCTCAGTACCCGAGGGGTTCGATATAAGAGAGCACGTATTCCTCAACAGGATTCCATCTGCAAATCCATCTTTTCCACGATCACGAGACAATTCTTTCAAACAGACGTAACAATGTCGCAACTTTCCGACTTCCGTGTCCTGTCTTTCGACGTTTATGGCACTCTGGTCGACTGGGAAGGAGGCATACTCGCCGCATTTCAGCCCACTCTCAACAAGAGCCAAGCTCAGTTCACGCGCAAACATCTGCTCACGATCTACCACGAACTAGAGCGTGAGCAGCAGACCAAGACTCCTGATATGCCATACCATCAGTTGTTGACAACTATCCACCCCGAGTTCGCCAAGCGCCTGGGCCTGGAGATTCCCTCTCAGGAGGAAAGCAAGCAATTTGGAGAGTCAATCGGCAATTGGCCTGCCTTTCCGGACACGGTGGATGCTCTTAAGCGTCTCTCAAAGCATTACAAACTGGTGGTTTTATCGAATGTCGATCGTGAATCTTTCGCAAAGACCAATGCTGGCAGTCTCGAAGGCTTCCCCTTTGATCTGATCATCACGGCTCAAGACGTGGGCTCGTACAAGCCGGATCTTCGCAACTTTGAATATATGCTGAAGACCGTAAAATCGACTTTCGACATTGAGCCTTCTCAAGTCCTTCAAACTGCGCAGAGCCAGTTCCACGACCACCACCCCGCCAAGAAGATTGGAATTAAGTCTGCTTGGATTGAGCGACCAGGCGCCACAATGGGAAATTTGGCTGATAATGTCTATGACTGGCGTTTTGATACCATGGGAGATATGGTTAACGAAGTGGAGGCTGGGCAGTGATGCAAATTGTGAAGCAATATTTCGGACTACGTGGTGTTCAAGATTGACACACCTGTGTCAGTTGATTGTTAGCTGGGCGTTCACTCGTGTCATAAGTTAGTAACCGCCGTTACCTACTCGTTCAAGGTCCCTCAGCCAGATAGACAGCCTCATATTTAAATCTTTTCTCGTCAATTTTTTCGTCTAGCCAATATAAAAACTACACAATGTCTAGAAAGGGGAAGGTTCAAGATATACAAAAAGAGGTTTCAAAGAAATCAAGCATATTCGGTTGACGCATTTCTGGACTGGCATTCAGATTTGCCAAAGCTTCCCGAAAATAAGTATAGCGCAATGACCGGTGATAACCACTCGAAACCGAGTTTCATGATAGAAGTAACTTATAAAACCAACGAATCTTGTGTTTGGCAGAGTTCCTACGTTTGTGCGACATCTGAGTATAGAATATTTGGTCCAATGGCATTCCAAACTCTTACCGGGTACATGTACCCGAGACGTTTGGTCGAGCCTTCGAGAACATTTTGTGGAAAGCAAGAGGAAAAGTCCAAGTTGCAGAGTCTTCCAATTGTCTGGCTTTCTCGAATCAACACGTCTGATTCCCTCTCTCCAGAAGTAATTGGTCATTCGGGTGCGGCCACCCGGCAATCTATGAGCACTTAGAACTTAAGAGAAAAGAAGACAGAAAAGTTTGACCATGCCACAACAGGGTTGATAAAGACTCGACTCTGCGAGGTTGTGTGTCAATATCAAACTTCATACTCTCCGTTTCTCGAATATTGGCTCCCAGGCGACCAGCTCGCTCTGATAGTTGGCTCAAGCGTATATCAGAGCAACAAACCACAGCTTGGGAAACCTCTCTTCTCTACCTCAACATGGAGGAGCTCCTCTATCTTTTCATGTTCACGTTCTTCCTATCGTTCTCTATCTCGACGTTTCGTCTCTTTCTGAGCCCGCCGTGTCCTCTAACAGCATCTCGGTCCCTAGACCAGAAACGAGCAAGACAAAACAAGACCTGAATGCTATCATGAATTCCCACACAGTGCAGATGGTCATAGATTGTGGTTAAAGTATTACAAGCCACCTCAGTAAGTTATTGACCAGATATCTCTCTACTAGTGCGTTCTAATACGTTAAAAGCATCACCGATGTCGACGGCAACATAAACCTCGATAAATATGGGCGGATCACGTCAATCCCACTCGAGTCATTATATGTAATTTTGTGGTCTGTGAGACTCTAAGTATATATCTTCTCGCACGTTAGTGATACTCAGAAAAGGTTATCTTCACATAATCCAGTCTTGATATCATGTTTAGTCTGACATAAATTCTATAGGAAGGATAGACGGATCCAGTTACTCCAAATCTATACACAAGTAAATCGATAGTTTTTCAACTAAAATATTTCCACACCGTAGGTATGGGAACGATAGTACTCAATATGGGATAAGTAAGTCTACCTGTTTCCACAGATAACTAATAGCTATCAAGGCATCCCGAGATAAACAATTCAATCCCACAACCCATCCGGAACATAGAAACAATTGTCGCATCCTCATTTGGCATACAACTGAGGAAATCCAAGCACCTGCACACATGATCACCTACGTAAGTGGCCACCCTCAAGACCTTACCCAGACCTAAAACGACCTATCCCTCATTCTCCGTGAGAACCACCATCAGATCCCGATCTATCCAAAAACACAAACATGAACAGCACTATTCTAATTATTTACTGTACTAAACCAAAACACAACGAATACAGTATCCATACGGTATAGGCATTGCAGGAAAATAGAATTCCGCCCTATCCAAACCAGGAACCTCCAACCCAGTGCCCTGCGTCCCGAGTTCCGGTGCCTGCATTGACAAGGCCAAAATCTTGACTCATGCAGAGCCTGCCATATGTGGAGCTAGCCGTATTGCCGACTTCAGGATCATGCATACTGGAGAATGGGATCCAGTTCAAGGCTATTACGGCACATGCCCCCAGCCACAGTGTCACTTTAGGGAGGGGGATGGGCTCGAGGTGTGCTTCTCGAAGGGCCCGCTGGGTGGGGCGTGTGTGTAGGGGATCTGGATAAGTCGGCCCGTCTGGGGTGGGTTGCGTGAATTTTTTTTTCCCTTCTCTTCTTGCTTTTGACTTTGTGCTGGGTTGAGTTTGGGGGGCGGGGAGGGGACGAGAATGGATCGGGATGGGTTTGTTCCATTAGTGTCCACGACCAGTTTTCGACTGTATGGTCGGAGTATGTAGTTGTGAGAGTGGAGCTATACTTGATTTTTAGTGGCAACAGACAAAGGGGTCTTTCATGAATCATGATCGACGTATACAGTACTGATGATCATTTTTATGAAGACTTTTTGTATTTCGAGTTGGAATGGTGTGTGGAGTGGGAAATTCTTTGGAGACATAGTGATATAAAACAATTTTGCATGGTATTATGCATCATTGGCGTCCAGTCTGGTCTGTGAGATACTAAGGCCTCGGCACCTTCTTCGTGTAGAAGGAAAATTTTCAATACTCATAGTATACCGCAGTGGAGTACAATGACAAGGGAAAGATATACATCCTGAACGGGGACATACTACATACCAGATTACATCACTACCAGATCAATCTCGCTATTCAGTATACCAAGCTAGAATTCCTTTTCCAATCTTATTCCATGGCTGTAGATTATTCCCTCTAGTCCGATTCCTCATTCCGATCTAAACTCTCCGAGTCTCGCAGGGCGGGCTGCCGAAAAAAAAGATCCGCGGATCGGCTTGATGCCACGGAGATAACAGCGGACTCGGCTCGGCACAGCGGGATTCGCCCACTCTCGCTGGATGCCGAGGTAAGACGGACAAGTCCATATCCACATAATAAGGTGGCGAGGTTTCTACGGTCTAGATCTAAGGCATAAAGTTTGCACTGACTTCATGCAGTAGTAGTACTGTACATGCGTCAAGGTTATTCAAGGATGCAAAGAAAAAGTGACATCTTTCCAGAATGAGATATTCCGTGCGATGGTAACCATGTCAATGGAAACTAAAACTTTGTCTTTTGAGTTTTCCCATCATATGAGTCGGCATTCTCTCGGCCCAGACTCGGCATCCAACATCCTAGATACATCGGGAAATACTAACTTATCCACAGTTTTTAACACTAAGCCTTCACCTTACTCCTTCCACGCTTTATACACATTGGTACAACCGAACACCTGGCCCTTCTTCAGGACCACCATATTTCGCCACTCCGGCTCATTGATCGCATTGACATAGCGACTCGGCTCCACGCAGAATCCAGAGCCTTCAGTCTGTGCCGGTCGACCATCAATCGAGGGAACATCAATGAACTTGCCCGTGTAGAACTGGAAGGCTGGCTCGGTGCTGTGCACTTCCAGATGCACGCCGGTACTGCGGTGGTTGAACTGCGCGAGGCGGCGCAGGGGCAGGCTGCGCGTGTCCAAGGGGATCTTGGTCGGGTCGGTCTCCATAATAAAGACGTCGTCGATGTGGGGGCCTGTTGCGGCGAGGGTGAAGGGGGTTGTTACGTCGCGCGGGAACTTGGAGATACCTCCTGTTGGAATACCAGTGTTGTCGATGGGGAGATAGTCTGCTGTGGCGAGCTGGGCGGTTGTACCGGTGATGGTGGGACCGTCGCCGAGGTTGAAGTAGCTGGAGGTAAGTTAGCTTTGTGTTTACTAGAGCTGTAGGGATTTATGGGGTGAAAAGTTGGCCTAAAGCAAGATATCCATACCTGTGGTTTGTGATGTTGACAACTGTCTCCTCGACTTCGTCGCCGACAAATTCAACCTCGTATTCGGTTGTCAAAACAGTGGTCGCCTCGCCCTCCTTGCTGGCAGTGTACCACACGCGCACCTCGACAGTGCCGGGGTATCCCTCCTCGCCATGCGCGCAGAGGTACTTGAACAGCAGGGCATCGCGACCATGGCGCTGGACGGTGTGTGGACCATCGAAGACGCGCTTGCCCCAGCCCGTAGGGCCGCCGTGCAGGGCATTGGGTTCGTTGTTCTTAACCAGCTGAATCTGCACACCATTCAGGTCATTGATCACGCCGTTCTTGATCCGGTTGGCTACACGGCCAATGGTTGCACCGTAGTGTGCGGTGTTGTACTTGACATATTGGTCCTGCGTAGGGAAGCCGAGCACAATGTTGTGGCCACCGACGCGGAACTCTTGGATGATGGCGCCGAGTGGCAGGAAGGTGAATTCGGCCTGTTCTGGGGCAGACATGGTGCTGGTGTTTATGTACAGGACGGTGGGGAGTTCACAATAGAAAGGTTATCCAGGTCAATTTAGGGGTAGGGTGAATATGGAAATACTTATGTTGGAGGGGCTCCGGAGAAATTGGGGAATGGTTGGGCCTGGCATGACGTTGGAACCCCGCAATCAGCACGAAATCGCTGCGCGGGGGGTAAATGCAGGAGGCAGGAGCCACTTTTAGGCTAAAGAGGCAGTCCTCACTATGTATTACTATGTATATGAGAGCTTGGAATTCTTCCGTGAGGGGGGTTTCTGGTGTTCTCTTAGCCTGAGGTACGAGTCAGTACCAGGCACCAGTTGGAGATAACTTTTCAAGCTGCCCTGAAGCTGTACTCAAGCTGGTTAGCTTCGTGAATTTTGACGGGATCTACTTTTCTTAGCCTTGACACCTGATACATCAGGCCTGATTCCAAGGAAAAAGGGGTCAGGCATCATTTGCCATACTCAGGCATCAACTAAGTCTGCCTAAGGCGCCAAGGCACATTAAATTCATAAGCGGAAAAGAGCCAACTTTTCAGCCTCCGAGGACCCTCCTTTTCTCCTGGCCACATACACAAACTATCTATCAAACTATATCTTGGCATGTCAGCACTGGCCAGTCTCGCCGATCCCAGACTTCAACAGCAGTGGAGAATGGAGATGACCGATCCCGTGCACAATTCGCGGTACTGCGTACAATACGATAACTCTTAATTGCGTTGCGCTCGTCTCGTCCTGACCGGGTGGAGGCCACGCCAGCATCCGGCGTCGGAGAGAACGGGGTTCCGGACGCCGAATGGTCTACCCCGGACTTGGCTAGTTCCTGGCCAACGGCGATCGGGCATTTGGAATCAATACCTGCTTTGGCGTGGTCTGGTCTGGTCTTTATTCAGATGCCTAGCACAGCCAACCTTGTGACGAGGGCCGAATAAAGCTAAAGATGAGGGACTTGGGGGGCGGTGCTACCCCTGAATAGGAGCCAAGCCGTCTCAACTCGAAAGGAGGCTGGAGAGGTATACGTAGCATGGACTGACATCTGTGTTGTTATTGGGTCTATAAGGTATAGCCCCTAGGTACTACTGTAGTAACTGAGACGGGGGTGATACTATGTTTATTATGGGGATTATGTAGAAAGTGGACTGCAATACTGTAAATAGTTTCGATACTCCATACAACTTGCTCCATATACTAGAGGAGACACGAGTCACTGCCCGAAATGATCTGCAGAAGCAAACGCGCAGCCACAGGAAAACAGCAAAACTGGAAGGTCGTGTATCCACATAAAGTTTTCCTCGTGGCTCATCCACTCAACCCAATATTGTGCCTAATATTGAAATCGCAAGCGTTTGGCTGCCAGGGGGAGTGTTCAGCCGATTGCGAATCAGCATTGGTAATTGGATCAATAATCAAAGAGTACAGAGTACATACTGTAATAACAACACAGGATTCGAGTGTACTTTATGCACAGTATACTGCAACCAAGAGCTGTGTACTTTTCTTGTCACATTAACTGACTCGCTCCCTTCTTCCCTGATCAAACTACTATTGACTTTGCAAACCATAGTTCACAATAACCTCAACCTTTCGTCACTATGTTGTCAAATTCACCGCACTTGGTCGAACTTAGATCTGTAAATCCTCCGCGGAGCATTTGTCCTAATACGGTAAGTCGGCGTCTCGGCCACTTTCATCCGTCGAATGCACAACACGCGAGTGGGGACGCGACTTCGAAAAACTCTCCCATTCAGGCAACCAGCTCGCTCACGTAAGAGGAAATCCAGTAGAACACGAAGAACAAAAGAAAGGGGAAAGAAACACGACTGGGATGTATGTATGGAGCTGAGCCGTATGTAAACCCACTGTAAGCCTGTAAGGCCATAGATTATGATACTTTCCATACTTCTATACGATTGTGGGTTGGTCGCTCCATCTTCATTGAGGGACTCGGTCTCGGCATTGGTTTGTCGCCGTCTACGTACTCCACTCGGTCGGGATCCACTGGGCAATTGAAATATGCAATTCCGCTTACTCAAGCTGCGGAATTTTATGGAGCTTGAAAGTCCCGCATCCGCAGCTGGAGGGCCTTATCTTGAAAAGTTGGAACATACTGGAACACTGGTCACGATAAAGTACAATACTCAATATACGACATGATGTTTGTTAGAGGTATACGTCAACCAGCCCCAACAAGGGAAATGGATGGGCAAGCTAAGACTGGCCTGTAGACAAGGCTGTGAACATTATGTCAGCTAAGGCTGTGATAAAGTATGGAAGGATCCTGAATATATACGAAGAATACCGTAAGCAGTAGTGGCATGGGCCGATTAAGGCAGAGCTCACCGATCGAAGAATTAGAGGGGGAAAACTCAAATTGCATAATCCTCGTATAATAGGTGGGATGGACTTAAGAGGCGACGGTCCCGCGCGAGCTTATGTCCGAGCTGACGGACAGGCCAGCAGCACAGAGCTGGAGAGGCTCGGTCCAGCCTTGTCGGTTAGGGTAGTTATCTCCAGGTGTGTACGGTCGGGGTCTAGTAAGTCTTATGGAAGATGACTGAACAGTTATAGACAGAGAAGATAGAGCTTAGAAGAGAGGATCGGGGACATGTAAATCAGGCACATCTTACAGTAGTAGAGGGATTGTAATGTACGGAGTAAAGAATACCAAGAGATGAGCCACCGCCCTGATACGTGTACGAGCGTACAGAGTAAGGTAGTACGGTACTTTTAGATTTAGTGCCCCCCCCTCCCCCGGTCGGTGGCTTTGATGCGTAATCGGTAGTCGGTAATTTATAATCGATGATCGCGGATCCATAATCTCTTCCATAATCCACAATCCTTCATCCACGAAATTCTCGAAAGATGACAGATGACGAGGGATGAATCATTCTGGAAGCCGCATTAGTCAGGTGGAGCGATCTGGTCGGCACCCACCTCCGGCGTTGCAAGTGTATCGGATGTACCATATTTTTTTTCTTTCCAATGGAGGGACACATGATGTATGTACCCTGGATAATGGCAAGCTAGAGATCTAGGCCTAGATTTTTGGATCAGGGTCCTGGATCTTGGGAAAAGAGTGATATCATGCATTATTGCAGATGATGATTAGATGAGATTCTTGTAGGACTGCAAGTACAATGCCCTAGAATAGAATGACAAGGAGATTTCGTATAAAGGAGAGAAATCCAATGGATTCATCAGAATTTAAAACCAGACAAGAAATAGAAAAGAAAGAAGATTAAACGCCGCGATAACCCCGATTTAACCCAAAACTCCTGGTGAAAGGTAAACCAAAACCAAAGCCCAGAACCAGAAGAACCAAAAACCCTCCGAGCCCAACACTGTACAGGATGATTAGGATCGCAATTGCTCTCAAGTCCAATCCACCAAACAAAAAGAAAAAAGGAACAGCAGTGCCTGAGGGATAATAGCCCCATCCACGAACTGTAGTAGAAAACATGTATAGTATACATGCATCACGTCATACGGCGTTAGATTTTCTCGCTCCACTTAGATCGAAGTGATCTCCGTCGGATTCGGATTCAAAAACTCCTTGAAATCATCATAATCAGACGGCACACAGTTCATGGGCATCTGGCGATGAAACATCGGCGACGGGATCGGCTCCTCAAAGTTGAAATTGGCATAATCCGCCGAACTCATCAAATCCATCTCGTCAAACGGGTTGAAGCCGCCATTATTCCCTGGCCACTGCGGCGCGCCCTGGAGTGCCAGCGGATTCACAACGCCCTGCATGGAGAGTGCATATTGCGACTGCGGCGTGGGTGCGGTGCTCATCGTCTGCTCGACCTTGATCTGTTGCATGGGTGCGGCACGGCTGCTGGGACTGTAGGTTGGTGGTGTTGGGGGCAAGGCATTGGTTTGCTGCGAATGCGAAGAGAAGGCGTCTGAGGAGAAGCGGGATCGGGCAACGGGGCTGTGTGGGCTGTCGGTTGAGCCGTCGGTGGAATCCTGGCGGGCCATGCCGTTGCGCCAGAGTTCGTGCTGCATTACTTCGGGGTTCTCTTCAAAGCGTTCGCCCTTGGAGTGGTCTAGGGCGCCGAGGCGGGTGAGGAGGTCGTGAGTGAGTGGGTGGCCGTTGGGCTCGGGCTTGAGGCAGTCGCCTGGCCAGCCTTCGCCTTCGGCGCTGCGGCGGTATAGTTCTTGCAGGCCATGGACGAGCCAGGCTTGTTGTTGCTCGAGCATCTCAACGTATCTGGATGGGGGGTGGATGGGTTAGCGAGAAGGACTCTTAGTTTGTATGTTGTATGTAGTGCCATATGCTCACCCCTTGGGGTACACTTTATCATGGGCCTTCTTTCGCTCGCCGAAGACGCAGATGGCATTGTCTGCGCGGCAGCGCGAGCATGGGCTGCTTCCATCGCACTTGGGCCCGGTCAGTCCTGGCTGTTTTGTCGCCATGCTTTGTTTTTTTTTTGTATAGTTACATACCTTGGATTTCTTTAAGCGGCAGCGATCGCAAGCTTTGCATACGCGCTTGCGGACGCCATCTGAGTGCGAGTGATCGGACGATGGTGTTGATTGTCGGGCAGCCATGGTGTATGTGTATATGTGGTGGGTGGAAATCGACAAGAAGGGCGGCGGTGGGAAGTATATGAGGAATGGATGAGAAGTATGAAGTGGACGGAATAGAACAATTCAGAATAAGCTGAGAAAGTGTGCGCGTGGTAGTGGTGACTCTGGCTTTTTTTGTTCTTGTCCTATTCGTGCAGTCGAGCTATACTTCCAATTCCGGCCAAAAGGGCAGCGAATGATCGACGTCAACCAGTCAATGATCTAATGACGATGTCGAGGGACGGACCATCCAACCAGAATTGACTTTGGGGAACAGGGAGGTAGACAAGGCTTGAGATCAGAGTGAAGCAATAATCAGGGATTGTCTCTCGACCGCTGGTCATATACTAGTCATCTGCGTCGTAGTAGTAGGAGTACGTGGTGGTCGGTGGTAGCAAGTGGTGGCAGGTCAAGTCGGTGTTAAAGTCAGGCGTTTTGAAGGAGGGGAGGGCCCTTTTTTAGTCTTCTTTGGATTTGAATCGAGAATCCGAAAAGGAAATAAATTTGAAATGATTTATTCCAGATTTGTGAATTCTGAATTCTGAATTCTTTTTTTTTTTCCCTGGGATGGTCGCTCGAGGGATTTTAAGGTCGAAACGGGCCATACTGGGCTGGTACCAGAACCGTACGAGGATTACGGAGATTACCAGAGCACGACTTTCAGACCGTGCCAGCAGAATATTAATCAGAGGACACCAGCTTACTCCTCCGAATCATAACGCATAATCCACCTTAAGCCCTCATGAAAGAATCAATCGGATCGAATCAGAACATGTACATGCAGACTCCACTCGAGATACAATCACAAGGCCCGGTATTTTCCCTTTTTTGTTTTTCCCTCTCTTTTTCTTCCTTGCTCTCCTGATTATTCTATCCAAGTGGGTGGAGTCTGGAAGACTCGGCACTTCGCTCTAACCAGAGAGTTCGTTAGCTCGGAGGACGGAGCTTCCATCGGCCCTCGGAGACTTCTGAACGACCCTGACGTATATCCGGCAGGACTGTACTTCCGGCCACTCGAGCCCGGAACTACCAGAATGAGGTTTTTTTTTCCTTTCCCTTTATAGGGTACTTGCTCCATATCACTTCATAGGGTAGATTCCAAGACTAAAACTCACCATTACTTAAAGCAACTACAGTCATGCTTCCATAAGAACTTAGCAAAAACTGGGAACAATAATGTTATCTTGATTGTGCCACCGATGCAGGTATGATGTGGCTTGCTACTACTCTCTTTTTCGTATTCCCCATCCAGTACTCCGTACTTTAGACTCCATACTCATTGTTGATCTCCAGCATAACTCCGAACTAGTTATACGGAGCATACAGAGTATAAATCATAAATCATGTCACCTGCTCTACTATGAAGAGCTAGTAGCCCGTCCCTGGAGGTCTTGGCGCAGTGCATAATAATTCGTGTATAACCCGTGCATCACTCGGCAAGGCCCTGCCGACTGGGGCAACGAGCGCGAAAACTACGCATTATTGTTATTGAGGCAGTATTCTGTTTCTTTATACATTAATGCATGATATTCTTATGACATACTGTTTCCATGACTCACGTGCGGAGTTTTTTTCTTGACACACTAACTCCGTCGATACTCGAATAGCGTTCTCGGGCGCAGGATGTACAGACAGACATCAGCGGACGGACGAACAGAAACGAAGACAACAAAGATACATAGCTGAAATTAACTTTGCCAGGCATTGATAAACATCCACTGTACTCGGTCGGCGTCTCAGACAGGCCGATTAATCAGATGCTGACACAGTTCTTCCGTAATCCGTTGTCCTTCGTCCGTCTCCGTGGGCTTTCATGCAAGGCCACTTGTTTAACGGCCGTATCGCGTATGTCGTATCCGTATCACCGTATTCCCGGTGTTTTAAGAGCTGCCTGCTTGGCCATTGGGGATATTGGTCCTTATTGTCTCTATCCATGCTCTTTACCCCTAGTTAGTTATTAATTAGTTATCTGATCTTATGGATCTATAAGCCTTAAGGCCATGTTGATTAAAACAGAGACTTTCGTACGAAGTGTGTATCGTAATAACCACGCTACAGTATATATTACAACATGCTTATCCCCGGTCAGAAGCAAGCACTCACTACGACACAGCCTCGCACTCTCCACCTCGACAGCATCCTAACGTTATGAGCGGTCTATGACTTAAGAATGAAAGGCCAGACCTCCCAAAGCCTAAAAGTCTGTCCAACATGGACGGAGTTGTCCATCCACACGTCGATCATTTAATCCATCCAGCGACTCACGAATCACCACTACCCAACCTAATCCCTTCGACACGCCCAGTAGTTCATGGCCCCCCTCCCTCTTACAATAGCTTCTACCAACACAAAGTGGAAAATCTCGTATAACACCACCATTAACCACGAATTGATTAAACGCCCAGTGATTCATGACCGCCAACCGAGTCCAATGAACTTGGCGCATGCCCTGCGCCCACCGCAGTGGTGCAGTAATCGAATTTCCCACGCCGCAACCTTTCCCAAAGTCCATGACGTGACCACCTCAGGCCTCGGTCTCGGCTCGCACTCGTTTTCGGGTTTCTCGCTCACTACAGTAGTTACTGTCCGGACAATTAGTTTTGTATGGAGCTCGCTTGTACAAAGTACTATAGGTTACTGCAGTACTGCTTACAGGGCTTGCTGCTGAAAGGTTTCTAATCTTACTGCAGTACGATTTTATTTTACTGGGCGTGTGGCGCATGGAGAGGTCCCGCTAAATTTGAAAGCTTCGGATGGTTACGCCTACATGCCATCCTATTTCCTCTGTGCCACTTTTTGCTGCGAATCACGATGGACGGAGATTTAATTATCTGATTCCTCATCCTGATCCAGGCAACGGGTAAGATTTTGGGACTTTGGACGTGCGGGCAACGGGGAGGAGCCCGAGGAGAGGGTAGTGCGGAAAAGAAATGATTCTGATCCGCGGCAAGAATGCTTTTTAAGCTGCGCCGATCTGCCGAGTTGAAGATGGTAGAACTATAGGAGTAATTCGTAATATCTGGAGGAACAACAAACAAGTTCTCGCGCCACCAAGAGGGTCCTGCTTGTAGACCCTTTAGGGATGATGCTCCATAACTGGATATGATTTCCTCGGCAGCGACTCCGAAGCTGGGAGACATGCCGAGTTTGGAGCGACTAGATCCGATCGTGCATGTGCTTGAAGCCTTGTTGCAAGTTGAAGAACTTCTCATCAGGGCTTCTACGATGGGATTCAACGAGTCCTCGAGACTCATAGCTCTGGATGGAGCGTAGACTACGAACAATCTAGTGACTAACACTATCACAGAATCGTGTTTACTAGTCCTATACAATGTCTAGTATAGAATTCTTCGCACGCTGCGATTCGTAGAATACTCTTACTCTATTTCTCTCGCTTCCATTACTATCGTTCCCAAGGGACCCGATTCACAAACGATGACCTCATCGCACTCGTTGAATCCACCACATATTGCCTAAACAGGCAGAACTGCCCGAAAGGGCTGCCGTCAAATAACGCGCTGTGCAATTGATCTTAAAGAGTTATGAAGTTATGAGTAGTTCATGCACGATCCAGACCGTTCAGGCTTAAAGAAGCCTTCATTCTGTCTGATTATCTTGCTGCTTACTGGATAGTGTTTCCTTGGTGACTCCATTTCGGGTTCGCCAATGCTAATGCTAATGCCAATAATGCGAAGGGCAGTGTCATCCACTACGCCATGCGTCTGTGGAAAATACATCCTGTAATGTCTTCTTCTCGGGTGTTAATAGTTATACCTAAAATCTTGCCGCTTAACCGTGGACGGCAGCTCCCCCGGCCCAGGTCACGATCAGGGTTTGATACATTGTTGCTGAACTCGGCGTGTTATTCCGAGGCCATTGCTCTCCGCTCGAGAACCATGTTTTGTTTGTGTTGGATATAAGGTTGGAGCATATCTGCGTTCACGGGTCGAGATAGGTTGGGTAAGGGTTGAAAGAAGTAAAGTTCTTATTCATTTGTGACGTTAGAATTGCAATTGACAATCATATTGACAACGATATAGACAAGGGTATAGACACGGATTGAATGCGCTGAAAGATATCAGATGCCAGAATAAAGGGTATATCAAAAAGAGAGAGAGAGAGAGAGAGAGAGAGAGAGAGAGAGAGAGAGAAGTATACGACGTGTCTACGGCTCCCACTAGCGCTCAACATTCCCAGCAGCAGCATAGCCGTCTGAGGAAGCGGCCCCGTGGCTCAACCTCTTCTTCATCCTGGTCTGCCTCCTTCTCTTTTATCCCTGCCCGCGAACCCCGACGCCTGCAAACTCTGGTCGGACTCGCGGGCTCACTCGGTTTCCGGCCAATGCCTAGACTGAAGAACCGACTGGCTCGGGATCGAGTCTCGCGCGCACTGGCAACACTGGCATCGGTTGTCGTGGGGGGCAATGCCGTCGTATGCACCGAGTGGCGTGCGCGCGAAGATCGGCGTCGAGTCGGGGACGTGCTCTGCTGCTGCTGATGGACACGGCGTGCTTCAACAATGCGACGAACCAGCACTAAATCATCAATTAGCACTGATTAACGCTACTTTTGCAACTGACAAGATGTCACTGAAGAGAGGATACGCACGGGCAAACGTCTCCTCGATGTTCACCATCTCCCTCGCACTCGTCTCCATGAACCCACACCCATGCTTGCGCGCATACTCCAATCCCTCACGAGCCGTGATTGCACGCCCGTCCTTCAGGTCGCACTTATTACCAGCAACGATCTTCACCGGCGGCGGCAGCCCGATCTGCTCTCCAGCGTTCACACCCTTATTTCCCAGCTCCTTACGCAGCCGCTCGTTGTCCTCCACGCGCTGCTCAGCTTCCAAGTTGATCATGTCCATGAAGTAGTCGAGCGTCTGCAGGCTGGACGGGTTGGTGATATCGTAGACGAGTAGGAATGCGTCTGATTTGACCGTTGATGTGGTCCATAGTCCGCGGTATTCTTCTTGACCGGCGGTGTCGGTGATGGAAAGAAAGTATGGGAGTCCGTCGACGGTGCGGGTCACCGAGTATGAGTCCTCTGGAATGGAGTGTGTATTAGATATGGTGATACGATTGCAACTGCAATTGGGATTGCGGCTGAAACGGTTGTCATCGCAATCGCAATTGTGTCCAGGGAGGATCAAATACCGATAGTTGGGTCATATCTAAGACAGCGAAGGATGTCAGCAACCTGTTCTTTCCCAGCTTGGCTGCGTAGATGGAGATAAGGGGATTGTTACTCGTGAACCCATTGACTACGGACCAGCCGTAAGGTGATGGATGATTTGCCTAGCACCCCGATCCGATCAGATCTCGATCGCACTTTGTCCCACGACGCCGGCACCGAATCATATGCGTGTGACAATCCCGGCTAAGGGAAAAAAGGTTAGAGAAGGATGCAGGAACGTACCACAGCCGCCGTCGCCGCAGATGGTGATTGAGATCTTGTCTGCCATCGCGTGGCCGACCACGAGGATCCGCGGTCGGCTGGTAAGGCGGTCGGAGGAAGAATTATTGTATAGAAGTCACACGAAGGAGGGACACGGGTTGGACCGGGGAGTGTTGGGACAGAAAGAAGAAAAGTACGAAAGTACACAAAGGAGGGGAAGTGGTGGGCGATGACCAGGAGCAGAAGAGAAAGGGAGGAAAGCTGAGGTGGTTTCGAGATGAAAGAAAGAGAGAAGCTTTTTGGAGCGCGACTCCCGCGCGCAAGTCGCGTGTGGTCCCAACTTCAGTCAGGCGATTCTTCGGTCTTTAAACTACTCTCCTCCTTCGGCTACATTCTCTTCGTCTTGTGCTTATCCTTTTGGCCTTCTCGATTTGACTCTCTGTTTGTGAGATAAAGAAAGCCTTCCCCCCTTACTCCTCCATTGAGTTTGACAAGTTGACAGATTGACAGACAGAAGAAAGTACCAAGTATACTTTCAGACAGGTCTCCCCCAGTACCCACGAGACCTGTCAGTCTGGACTTGAACACGAATGCGAGCGAGTCCATGCGCCAATAGACCGTCCCTGAGCCACGGCCCAACCCTTCAGTTGGAGTCTTTATCGCATTAGGCATTTGTCATTTGCCCTTTTTGTGATGGATCGATTCCTGCCCGCGCGACTGGGCCATCCCGCAGCTTCCTCCTCTTCCCTCCCAAACACACAATCTCCTTGTTTGATGGTGGGGAGCAAAACAAGAAATGGAGGAACATGGAGATGCTACCAAGACTCGAGACGATATCAAAAAGCTAATCGAGCGAGTGGAGGTACGGCCTGACCTCATTGCCCATCCCCTTGAGGAATTCCCCCAGGAAATCGACTCCCCAGGCCCTCGGGTTGTCAAAGTTGATTGGCTCTGAGATCCGCAGCCGCGGGTCCACAATGACATCGGGTCTCTGTACTTTTGAGCAAGAGGAGACAGAAAACGGGGTGAGCCTGAGACCCATTTTCTTCCTTCTCAACACTCCCCAAGCAGCAGAGAAAAGAAGAGACTTGAGCAAATTCGACCTCACATCGCTTCTCATCTCCATACTTCGACTTGGACCCCGTTGAGAACTTTCCTCTGTGCCAAACCTTGATAGTGGAGTCCCCGTCGCCTGTGATTACTGGATTCCAACCCGCTGGTCCCTCTTTCCCGGGGCTCTGGAACTTACCTGGGCTTTGCATTCTGGGCCCCCCACGCAGGCCGAGGCCTGTTTTGTTGTCTTCGTCGTGTCATGGCCAACCCTAATAACTTCGACCTCGAATATTCGACAGCTACTCGCGATGATGACTTCCAGGACGCACGGGATGCGCACTTGCAATCGTCCCTCTCCACACACGACCCCTCCCTGATGGGCTACCCGAACAGCCATGTCGCCAGCTACCCGTTCGCCGGTATGTTACCACGAGACTTTGACCAGACGCTTCAGTCCTTCGATCAGACCCCAGGAGCCCAGGGAGACCTGGAGGGCCGCCTCTCCACTGTGATGCTGACGTACGACGCGCCCACCACGGGCGTGTCCATGGCCATGGGCCTTGACTCTGGCGGCGGCGCCTACGCCTACGACATCCCGACGACCTACCCCGCCACCACGATGAGCCTCGTCCCATCAATGGATGACTCGCAGCTTCAATCAGCCTACTCGTTTCATCAGTCCATATCCCAGGGAGGCCAATACTTGTCACAGCAGCAACAAGCTCCCACGCTCCAACCTTCAACACAAAGCGACCCGTATAACAGCCGTGCCACTTACACAACCTCGAATTCTACCGAGACATTTGAGGATTCGGACTTTTCACGGGCGAGTGATCGCTCGCAGCAGTTGAGTTTGCAGCGGCCGGTTCAAGAGTCCCAGCGGATCCCCTCGTACGGACAGGCGCAGCAGGCCGCCCCAGCTCCATACCGCTCGTCACAGCCGGTAGCAATCCAGCCAAAGAAGCCCATTGCCGCAGTCAAAGGTGAGTTACCATTTTGTAGTGTAGCCGTCTGTACGGCATGTGTGCCGATAGAACAAGAGCTGACGCTGCTCGACGCCTCAGATGACCTTTCACCGGGCCTGTCGACGCCCGATGCGGCTAGTACGGAGCATACGGGCATCTACTCGAGTAGTGGATTTGATATTCTAGGTGTTCTCGTGAGTGATATGCCTTTGTTCGTCCTACAATTGCTTGCATTCCAAGTCTAACGGTCCTCTAGAGCCGAGTGGCGATGAGGCCAAACCCTAAGATTAATATCGGCGCAGTCGATTTGTCTTGTGCTTTTGTGCTGTGTGATATCACGCGAGATGACCATCCAATCGTTTACGTTTCTGAAGCATTCGAACGGTTAACTGGCTATACTAAAAATGAGATTGTCGGCCGTAATTGCCGATTCCTACAGGGTCCTGATGGTAAAATTGCTCCCGGTGCGAAGAGAGCTTTCGTCGACGGACAGACTGTGCATCGTCTGCGATCAACGATCCATGATCGTAGCGAGATCCAGGCTAGTATTATCAACTACCGTAAGGGTGGCCAACCGTTCATGAACCTCATCACAATGATTCCCATTCAGTGGAATTCAGAAGATTATCGATTTTATGTTGGCTTCCAGGTCGATCTGGTTGAGAAGCCCGATGCTGTCAAATCAAGGAATCCTGGTATGTCGCTTCGTTTTATCCGTTCTTATGTCTCCTTTTCTGACCATACCCCTAGATGGTACATACAGCATCAATTATCAGCGCGACCAATTACCACAATACGTGGTCCCGCCCGCTGATGTGTACAGGTTGCAACCAGACCTTGCTACACATTTTGGTCACGACGAGGTCACGGCTATCTTAAATGCTGCGGGTGTTCCAGGGTCGGGCGTATCACGGCACTATTTGGATCGTATTTTGGTTGAGAACACCGACGATGTGATCCATGTGCTCTCATTTAATTGTGAATTCCTCTATGTATCACCCTCTTGCAAGCGGATCCTAGAGTACGACCCGGTCGAGCTGGTGGGCAAGACGTTATCGACCATCTGCCACCCCAGCGACATCGGACCGGTGATTCGTGATCTGCGAGCCAGCACAACGCCAGCCACCGTCAGCGTCGTGTACCGTATTCGACAGAAATACAAGGGTTACATATGGTTCGAGAGCCACGGTGCCTGGCACATTGACCCGACTCAGGGACGGAAGTATATGGTTATGACTGGTCGCCCTCGGCCCGTGTATTCATTGGACCAAGTCGTCCAGCTCGGGTCCAAGGCCGCCCTGGCTGAGAACGATATCTGGGCCAAGGTTTCCCTGTCTGGTGTGATTTTGTTCGTCACGTCTAAAGTGAAGCCTGTCCTGGGCCGCTCCGTAGACGATCTGATTGGGAAGAGCTTGCATGAGCTCATGGAGCCTGACAACGACCCAAACGCTATCACTGATGCCCTTGACGCAGCGGCCAACGGTCAAGGCCACGACGATGGCATTAACACACCCGGAGAACCACCTTCTTTCCCCCACCAGATGCGCCATAAAAAGGGTCACTCCCTCTCAGCCCACACAACTCTCTACTGCGGCGACACCCATAACGCCCGCCCTTCGTTCCTCGTCGCTCAAATCCGCTTCGCCAGGGCCTTCCCCCCTTCGTCAGTCGCCGCCTCCGCTGCAGAAGACGAAGAACTTGCAAACATTCCAGGCTCAGCCAATACAACAACCCTCGTCACCGCAAACCCTGATCCACCCAGTCAATACGGTGCTCTCGGCCAGCGCATGCCATTCCTCCCCAATCTCATTGGCCTCAACGGTCTACCCTCCGGCAACCGCAGCATCGCCCCCTCGGACGCTCCGGCTACCTTCTTCACCGAGCTCAACCCCACCCGCGGTTCGAACTGGCAGATTGAGCTGCGCGAGCTGGAGAAGCAAAACCGCGGGCTGGCGGACGAATTGCAGCGCCTCTTGGCGCGCCGTAAGAAGCGCAAGCGCAAGCAGACCGCTATCTCGGTCGAGAAGGCTTGTGCTATGTGTAGCACGAAGAATACCCCCGAGTGGCGTCGCGGCCCTAGTGGAAATCGCGATTTGTGTAATAGTTGCGGTCTCCGCTGGGCGAAGCAGGTCCGGAATAAGGCTCAAGCTGCGGCGTCCGGGAGTGGAATTGTCCCAACTACTGGTTCTGCTAGTGCGGGTACTACTGCTACGACACAGGGGTGAACTTACTGATGGTGCAAGTTTCGGCCTTGAAAATGGGAGGTGGCGTTGCCTGTTGGGCTTTATATTGACTAGCCCGTGTTACCAGTTACCCAGGTGCATATATTTCTGGCCTGATCCTTGATATGGCCCAGGTTGATTGATTTGCTTGAATTTCTGTTGCAACATGTGTTTGAGCGAGCGGGTCTGCTGGTTTTGATTATACCCTCTGTCTTGTCGTTGTTGGTGATGAAGGCAGTTCTTTGAAGCCGGAAAATCGAGGATGTTTGAGTTTGTTCACAATATTTCTCCCTTTTTTATCTTCTTTTTCTTATTCTTTTCCCTGTTCTCTCTTTCTCATTATCTTCTCTGATTTGAGGGCTGATCTGAGCTTGGATTTGTGCTCGAAATCGGCTCTGGTAATGCGGTTTTCTTTTCTGTTGCAAATACTTTTAACCAGAATGCGTATTATAATGAATCTTTATGGACATCCTTTTTGTGAGCAGGTGATGAATCAAGTTCAAGGAGAAGTAGAAGCATTGATCGGTATTCTATTCTATGTATAGTACAAAAACACCCCTCTTCTCTCGCGGGTGTTCAATTCTATGCGGTATTGTACAAACCAAGGCGCAACATCTTTGGCTGCCCTTGGCTTTCCTCCGCTGATATATCCGAAAGTATATCTGTGATCCATCACTGAATCCCAAAACTCCCTACTCCTTCACCTCCTTCAAACCCTTTCTCTCCTTCAACCACTTCTTCAGCCACTCGCGCTCCACAGCCTCGGCCTTGTCACCCTTCAGCATCGCCGCAACATCACCCCCGCCGCGCTCTTCAACCGCAATCCGAACCTCCCCCGCGCTCAGCGCATCTACCCCGGCATCAAGAATCATCCGATCATCGATATTGAGGTAATGCAAGTGCCTCAGCAGCCGAGGCCGATACACCGGTCCAGCAAGCACAGTTCCCAAGAACCGATCATGCTTTTTCACAAGCCCGAAGATCGCGCATGCCTGCAACACCTGTGGCGCACTCGCCTGCTGAGCGGAAGATATCGTCGATAACTCCACCAGCTGAGCCCGCTCTGCATCACTGCCAGTCATCGGTGCCGATTTTCCACTCGACGCCGCCAACGCCTGCTGCGCAAGAACCTTTCGCTTCGATCCCGCTTCACGCTCCTTAGCCACCTGCCCCGGTACACGACATGTAGCCGGGGTAATCGCATTACCAAAAATAGGCACAATCAGCGGCGTAAACTCGCCGCAGATGATCAGGATCAGCGTAAATGGAATCATCCGCTGTACATCACGGGCCGATCTCCGGATGAGCTGGAACCGCCCGCGGCCCAGCTTGAGCTCTGGTGTGGAGAGGGAGGACGCGGTGCGCAGGGCTTCATTGAATTTGGTGCTGCGTGGCGGCGAGACGGGGAGGTATGCGGGTAGACCGAGCTCGCGGCGCAGTGGGAGAGATGCGCGGTAATTGTGGTAGACGTTTTTGAGGCCGGTTTTGTAGAAGGTCAAGTAGGCGCGGCCAACGGCGACAAGGCGCTTTAACTTTTCGGCGGTTGGCGCGGAGGTAGGGAGCGTGTCCGGGATGTCGAGGATTGCGGGGAAGGTACTGATAGGGGCATTGATGTGGGCTTGGGAGAGGTCGTCTAGTGTTGGGGTTTGTGAGGCTGGTGTGATTGATTTGGTAGGTTGGACTCGGGCTCGGGGCCGTTGTTTAGCGGCATGTGAGGCCGCGGAAGTTGAGAATGGAGAGGCGTGGTGGCATGCTAATGCGACGGGGCGCAATGGCATGTATGCATGATGGGATGGCCTGAGAGGGATCCAAAGGGGGATTTGGCCCCGAGCTAGGGGTGCCATGGTCCGAAGCGAGGTGGTGAGGTGGATTGATGTGGAAGAAGGTCGAGTTGTTCGGTGTCTCGGCGTCGGAGGCGAGCGAGTCCTGAACACCTTATTTCTCAGGCAGCCAGGGACATGGCTGCAACGATGACAATTCCAATCGCCATTCTGTAACTAACTAGTTACAGTGTTTATTTGTGGACCCTCAAATGTTGCCAGTCATATTATTCTGACTACTAGACTTGTATCTCATGAGCAGTTCGAAGCTCGACATTCAATGACTGTGCCCTTTTTGGACGATATCTTACGTGAGAATAAGCTGAGGAACTTCGAATGCCTAACACGTGTTGGGTGTGTGATAATTAGGCAGAAATATTAGATATAGCATGCTGATAGTTAGAGTATCATATGGAACATCTGATTGTTTCTTTGAATTCCCATTCTATGATCCTTCGGGTGCAGGGCGCAAAGCGGAGATCATTTGCTGGTCAAGCGAATCAGCGAATGGCAGGCCTAATTGTATAGAGAAGTCCAGCCATCTCGCAGAAGATTCCCTAAAACGGCATAAACGCGGCATTTTATTTCAGATGTACGCCCTGAAATTGCAACCACCCTTCAGACTATTTAAAGCTGGCTCTGTCATGTAGACATCTCTTTTTTTTCTTAATTATCGTGTATCCCACCAGTTCAGCTTCCTTTTAGATCTTCAATATGACTTTTACCAACCGTGCAGCTTGGCTACCAGCCGAGAAGGCGAATCCTCTGGTAGTGGAATCCGCGCCAACGCCCGATCCGTCGGAGGATGAAGTAGTTATCAAGGTTGCATACGCGGCAGTCAATCCGGCCGATTGGATGGTATGGTGCCGATAATCCCTCGTTGCTATAGTCCTGACTGGCAGTCTGATACATTTTTGATTAAAGAGCCAGGATAGTGCCCTGCCACCACACATCAAATTCCCATTCATTCTTGGACTCGACGTTGCCGGAACAGTGGTGCAGCTTGGCTCCAATGTGACTCGATTCAAGGTGGGACAAAGAGTGATTGGGTATGTAAATCTGTATTCCGGATGATGTCCTAGCAATACGTAACTAACTGGTCTTGCTGATTTCTTAGTCACTGCGATGGCCTCGCTACTGCCAAGGCCTCCAATATGGGGTTTCAACTCTACTCAACCACCCGGGAGATCTTTGTCTCGGCGATTCCTGACTCCCTGCCGCTGGAAAATGCCGCAGTTCTCCCGGTGTCCATCTCAACTGCTGCTACTGCATTATTCGTTGAACTTAAACTTCCATTTCCATCACTGAATCCAAAGCAACTGGGTCGGAGAATTCTGGTGTGGGGAGGAAGCTCATCTGTTGGATGCAGTATGATCCAACTTGCAGTGGCTGCTGGTCTGGAGGTTGTCACCACAGCTAGTCCCGCCAATCATGATCTCATGAGATCACTCGGGGCGTCACAAGTATTTAATTATCACGATTCTGATGTCACTGATAAGCTCCTAGCAGTCCTCAAGGCCGGTGATCTTGTCATGGATGCTATCAGTACTGAAAATACACAGACGAAATGTGGAGAGATACTTGGAAGACTTGGAGGGGGTACACTTCCAGTGACGCAACCCCAAGCAGGCACATTCCCTGACAACGTGAATGTCGTTTTCGGTAAGATCTCTACAATCATTAGAGTGGCGTCTACTAACCAGCCTACAGTCATTTGTATTCATCTGGGGTTTACAGCTCTTGAAGTGGGGAACGCAGTCTGGCGAGAATACATTCCCAAGGCACTGGCTGCCGGGCAATTTCAAGCAAAGCCAGATCCCGTTGTCATTGAAGGTGGACTTGAGAAAGTACAAGAGGGTATTGACATTCTACGGAAAGGTATTTCGGCTAAGAAGATTGTGATGAATCTGTCCTAGTGTTGGGTGTTGGTTATTCGAGACTCTCTTTTAGCACTGCTAATGAATTATATTATTTCACATTGGGATTTGCTGTCGAGTTTTGAGTTTGGGAATTACGAGATAGCACTTTGTAGTCTGGCAATCGCGCAGGATCTTGATGGTTCATAGGCGATACAAAGGCACGTTTATCTTGTATTTTTATCACCGCTGTTGAATTTAAATGGCATGCCTGCTACATTGATCGCAATCACCACTTCTTTCTTCTATCATTCAGACTATCCATATGTCGTGGCCTCAGGCTCCAGTGCTGAACGCCGATTTAGGCCTTCCTTCTCTCTCTCTCTTTTCTTCATACGGGCCATAAGTACTTACATCTTCTATTTCTTCTTCTCATTAAGTATAATGTACTAACGGGACGACTTGATCCACGATCCTGTGAAGGGTGCCAATGGTGTTGCTCGTCAATGTTGGTAAGGTTTATGCTTAATCGGGATAAGCCTCGCGCGGTCGTCAGCCTTAAGGGTGAATGGCGTCCCAGCCACGCCCCAGTCTGCGGGGAATTTTCCACCCGGACATCACTTGTCGAGTGCAGAATTCGCTTGGCAATTGGTGAAGAAAGAAAGGAATTCACCATTGACAAAGTCATTATTTGGTTGTCGACACGATGTTCCAGAATTTACCCTGAATGATGGTTGAGAGCTCCGATCCCTTTGATAATCGGATCAAACGCAGTCACAAAGAGAACCGTCCTATTCTAACAACCTCTCATTCAACAAGATCTTCACAAATCCTTGATTATTGCTGGTTGACCAGTTTTTGCGGGGTGGTGCTTGGGTATTGGCAACAGCACGTGACGTGATCGGCATTCGTCAGTCTGCCAGTCGACTGGCGGAAATTCTGCCCTCTGACGGAGTCACGGAGTTATTAATTAGCCAGGGGCTGCTGCCGTGTTTAACTCCAAGGTGGCTCCGTCGTCGTTCGCGCTATAGGTGGATTCAGGAGCTTTCGGAGTGGGGGGAATAATATAATCCATCGGAGGTATGGCCCGGATCGGGGCTGGGCAAGGCTTGTTGAGACAGTCTGTTCGGACGACTTCCATTCTCTTGGAAAGAGGATATGAAGAGGGGGCCATTGGTGGGTATGGAAGGGGATGATTGCGAGCATATATGAAGGAGATTCTGCAGGCTCAAAGTCGACTTAAATCTGCACAGATTTCTTCTCTGCCTTTTGCTACTATATTCCTCGACCATATTTCATTATGAGGTTCATCGCTTTGGTGTCGTTTGCAGCCTCAGTGCTTGCAGCTAGTCGTACCACTGCTCCCTCTGGATCCATTGTCGTGGCCAAGTCGGGCGGTGATTACTCCACTGTATGCTACTATATGAAACAATAGGTAAAGACGCATGCTAATCAGTCAACAGATCAGCGAGGCCATTGCAGCCTTGAGTACTACCACTACCTCCACTCAGACTATCTTCATTGAGGAGGGCACCTACGAGGAACAGGTGTATATTCCCAAGCTCGCGGGCGAGCTGATCATCTACGGACAGACCGAGGAGTACGTCTTCCAATTTCTCCAAACCCACGATTATATAGTCTGACATTCTATGATTAGTGACACCTCCTATTCCTCCAACACTGTCACCATCACCTACAACCTTAGCTTGGCATCCGTTAGTGATGATGATGAGACCGGTAAGCACCACCTCGATGGTCGGTCAGCTCTATAGGATACAGTCACTAATGAATCACACAGCGACGCTGAGAAACTACGCCGCCAACTCCCGTGTCTACAACATCAACGTGAAGAACACCTATGGCGAAGGCCACCAGGCTCTCGCTCTCAGTGCCTACAACACCGAGCAGGGCTACTACGGCTGCCAATTCACCGGTTTCCAGGGTATGTCACCTCCACTCCCATCCATGGGTAGTTCCTGACTAGTCATACAGACACTGTCCTCGCCGAGACCGGCTACCAAGTCTACGGAAAGTGCTACATCGAAGGCGCCATTGACTTTATCTTCGGCCAGACCGGCAACGCTTGGTTTGACAGCTGTGACATCGGCGTCCTGACCTACTCCGAAGGCACCATCACCGCTCAGGGTCGCCCCGCAAGTTCCGACTCTGGATACTTCGTCATCAACGAGAGCACTGTCAGCGCCGCCTCTGGCGAGGACGTTACCGAGGGGACCTACTATCTCGGCCGGCCCTGGACCGAGTATGCGCGCGTGGTGTTCCAAAAGACCACTCTCAGCGATGTCATCAACTCTGCTGGTTGGATTGAGTGGTCGAGCAGCGAGCCTAACACTGAAGATGTTCTCCTTGGTGAGTATGATAACTCGGGCGATGGTGCTTCGGGTACTCGGGCTAGCTTTGCGGAGAAACTCTCTTCTGCGGTCTCTATTTCTAGTATCCTTGGTAGCAGCTACACTGATTGGGTTGACACTAGCTACCTCGCGTAAGCTGGGTCAAAGTGACTGACTATTACGTTGAGCGTCCGATCGTTTGATTGTGATGGCACGTTTGAGAATGCAGATTGAAAATAGCATTGTTATTTGTTTTGACCGCATCAATTCATTGGAGGAGTTTCGTAAGATTGACCTCTCTCCTGGAGGAATGCATTAGAAGTAAGAAATGTTGGTAAGCGTGCTGGACTTTATAATCTCATCTGAAAGGTCACCATTCTGTTCCCATGAGACTGTCTCAAGTTGGACTTTGGACATATATCATAAATTCTGCCATTTCGCCAGGTACACCAGGGCACCGATCCATTATTACTGTGAGTAGTATCATTGAAGAAAGCAATCCTATCATACAATCAAGACTCACTTAATGGTGTACTTCTATAGTTCTATAGTTCGATCCACGTGACTATCCCGAGTCTACCCGATTCCCCCCGCGCGGGGAGAAAGAACCATCTACCGCGTCTTCAGCATCCCGCAGATCTCCCCCACCTCCGATTACTACATTCCTCCCATCTTCCTCTGTACTATTCTCCTCCACACACTCACAATGGCTGCTTCTCACGGAGACTTGCGCCACCTGCTACCAGTCAATTACAAGCGCCAGATCACCGACTGGCTCGAAGAGGACTGCCCCAGCCTAGACTATGGCGGCTTCGTCGTCGGCGAGTCGGAGGGCGAAGCCCGATTGCTGGGTAAGAGCCAGGTGAGTCAGATTCTCTGCGAACGCCTTGTCGCAACACAGGCAGATTTCCATATTCATAATGTGATATATGCTAACATAATACACAGGGTATCATCGCTGGTGTTCCCTTCTTCGACGAGGTCTTCTCCCAGCTCGGCTGCTCGTACGTTTACCTCTCCGGACCACCCACCTCTCTCTCTTCAACCAAGAACCACAACTAACAAGCCCCCTACAGCATCGAATGGCACATCAAAGAAGGCACCCACCTTCCCGCAAATACAATAACCCACTGCGCCACCGTCCGCGGCCCCGTCCGCAAAATCCTCCTCGGCGAACGAGTAGCCCTAAACATCCTCGCCCGCTGCTCCGGCATCGCCTCCAAAGCAGCTTCCATGCTCTCCGCCCTCCGCGCCGCAGGTTACACCGGAATTCTCGCCGGAACCCGCAAGACCACACCTGGCTTCCGCGTCGTCGAGAAATACGGCATCCTGGTGGGCGGGGCGGACCCCCACCGCCATGATTTGAGTCATATGACCATGCTGAAGGATAATCATGTCTGGGCGTGTGCGAATAATGGGGCTGCTGCCGGGGGGAAGACGAATCCCGAGAGTATTGCGGCGGCGATTCCGAAGGCTGTGGCTGCTGCTAAGGCGGCAGGCGGGTTTGCGACGAAGGTGGAGGTTGAAGTTCGGAGTTTGGAGGAGGCGGATGCGGCTATTGGGGCTGGGGCGGATGTGGTTATGTTGGATAATTTTACGCCGGAAGGGGTTAGAGAGGCGGCGAAGACCTTGAAGGAGAGTTGGGCTGGGAAGGGGAGGTCGTTCTTGGTTGAGGTTAGTGGTGGGTTGACTGAGGAGAATGCTCCGGCGTATGCTTGCCCGGATGTGGATATTATATCGACCAGCTCGATTCATCAGGGAACCGGCATTGTGGACTTTTCTCTGAAGGTTTCCCTGAGGTAGGTAATAGAGAAGGGGGGGGGGGGGGGGGGGGGGGATCAGATAGGTGGTTGAAACGGATGTATCATATCATACTTTGGACGACATTACTTTTATACACCGGCATAGCTCTCAATGTCATAAAGTCAAATAAAAGTGTATTTGAATAAGATACAGCAGAATCGAAAGGGAAAAGATAGAAAATGTATCAAAGTAAACCGCTAAACGCCATCATGACCATCGTGACTTGGATCATCTCGTACAGTGGACGTAGTCAACACGCTCGTAAAAGGTGAAGTGAAGGGGGTATATAGTACACAGTACAAGAAAGCAAGAACCACCACCAGACTCAGTACAGCATCGCATCACACCTCGATATCCACCGTGATGCCTTCCCCTTCACTCGAACTGGGCCCTTCATCCGAAGTCGGCACTTGACTCCGGCTACTATTCATGATAGTCCCCGATGGACCTCGTCGTACACGCTCTCGCTGAAGTTGATCCCGCAGCCGCTGGTTCTCCGCATCGCGCTCTTCAAGACGCTTGCGGGCACCGCTGCGGTCGAGAAGTCGACCTTCTCGCTCAGCTTTGAGCCGTTTCTCCAGCTCGTGCAGTCGGTGAATCCATTTCTCATCGCTGCCTTCCCAGGCGCCGGCTCCACTGCGTGAGCGAGGCATCATAGCACCCGCATTGTTGGTTACCGTGCTACTCGATGAGGTGTGGGACGGCTGTGGAAGTCCAGTAGAGCTGCGCGTGAGACCTCGCTCAGAGCGCGGCTTCTCGCTGGTCCCGGGCGTAGAGTTTTGGCGAGTCAAGGAGCGCTCGGGATCTGCTGTAGACGCAAGCGAAGGCGATCGCGGACCAGAAGCCATCACCGCTGCAGCGGCTGTAGAAGCCGATCCATGCGTGCGGCTATTAGACTGGAGTAGATTGATCTCGGCCTTTAAGAGTCGGTTCTCACCACGGAGTTTGGCGACTTCGGACGTTGAGCTGGAATATCCACGTCCATTCCGCAGGTTCTTCACTGCCTCCTCAACACGCTCAAGTCGACGGACTCTTTGAGCAAAGGAGCTCTCCAGATTCTGGTACTGTTTGGTGAAATCATGCTCAATGCTCCTGATGCGAGTCTTGAAGCCTGAAATCACACTTTCAACAGTCTTGATGGCAAGTAGCAGATTTCTGCTAAAGCCAGGCCAGAACAGGATATTGCCAATGACTTCCTGGCTAGGCAGATTGCCATTGATAAGACTGTTCGAATGCGCCCAGTCGGGTCCACAAATCGACGAAAGTCTCTTCCAGATAGTGAGGAACAACGCATTGCGCTCGCTGAGCTGGTCTCGGAACTGCTGCTCAAGCGAGGTGAATCGCTTCCGGTCTGAGTTGCGAGCATTCTCCAGATCCGTAATCCGCGAGTTGCTCTGAGTGATCGTTCGCGATGCCTGCTGGTGGTTCTTGAGAGCTTGCTCAAAGGACTGCTTATCAGCCCGACGAGCCTGTCGCTCTCGCTCAAGGAGTTCGGAGAGTTTGCGAGACTCCAATCCATGACTCTCCAGAAGGGCATCGCGATTGCGAAGTATTGACTCCTTCTCGTCCAGCTGCTGACGAACACTCTCCAGCTCCAGCGCAGTCGACTCGAGTTCTTTTTGCAACTTCATGATGTTCGTAATCAGGCTAGACCGGCTGCCACTCAGATCCCCCAGGGTCTCCCGGAGATTGTTCTCAAGGTCCATGAGACGCTCGCGCCAGGTGGTAGTCTCAATCTCTTGAGTAGAAAGGCTCTTCTTCAGTCGTCGAACCTCTTCTTTAGCAGCCGACGCTTCTCGGTTCAGTTCATTCATGATTCGCTGTACCTCTTGTTTCTCCTTGCTTCCGACTACCTCACGCTGGTGCCGCTCATCCGCCAACCGCTGCTCCAACTCCCGAGTCTTCTCTTTCTCACTATGCAGGCTCATGTGGTACATCTTGAGCTCAGACTCCAGATCACCAATGCGGATTTTATCGCCATCTTGCTCCTCCCGAAGGAAGGCAATCTCGTTCTGGCTTGACTCGATCTGCACCGTCAGCCGCTGCACCTTCGTGTTGGCTTCGAAGAGGCTCTTCTCCAGAGACTCCATTTCACGGTTGGTTTCTTCCAACTCCTGCTGCACAGCCTTGTACCGCTCCAAGTTGTTCTGAGCGTCTTCCTCAAGTCGAATGATTCCCTCACTGGCGGAGCGCATCTCAGCCTGTAATACTCTCAGACTCTCATCCTGATTTCGTAGGTCTTCGCCCATGCGCTGACACTCGACGATCTTCTGATCAAGCTCCTCGGCAAGGGTGTCAAGCTCCTCTTGTGCTTCGGCACGCAGATCTTGGAAGGCAGCATCACGCTCATTCGCCATCTCAATAGCCTGATCTCGCTCGTTCTGCAGGTTGCCTATTTCTTCCTCCGCTTGGTCAACGTCAGCCTGATACGCTTTATCAAGCGCCTCTAGTTCTCGAATATAGCCATCCAATTGGTCACGCATTGCTTGGTTCTCCAGCTTGAGCGTCGACACCTGGTCACGCAGCTGGCCGTTTCGAGCCTCGAGCTCCTCGCGATCCATATTATCCCGGGATCCAGTTCCGTCACTGATCTCTGACCCGGTGCGCATCTGAGCACGAGACGCCGAGCGGTCGAAAATGCTATCTCCGGCGACGGATCGACTACCATCACGTCGTTGGCCGAGCTTGAGCTCCTCAATCTCCTGGTAAAGACGCTCTTTCTCGCGGTTGCGAGAGGTAAGCATTGAGGTTTGCGCACTGACTTCCTTCCTCAGCTCAGCATTCTCCTGCTTCAAGAGCTCGAGCTCGACCACAAGCGTGCTGCTGGAAGTGCTCATCAGAGCACCACGGTGGCCATCTCTATCGGATGCGGATGCATATGAGACAGTAGAACCGCCGCGCTCGCGCTGCCCCGGCTTCAAGGAGCTCGTAGTTGAGTAAAGTTCACTCTTAAGGCGAATCGACTCATCCCGTAGCCTGCGGTTCTCCTCCTCGGCTTGCTCCCGAGCAGCAGTCTCTGCCTCCAGCATGTCTTTCCACATATCCTAATAGACAACAAGTTAGCCCTTCCTGAAGCCAAAGATGGCATTAAAAAAAAGCTGGGAAAACCTACCCTCTCTTCTCGAGCCCCCGCCTCTGACCCTCCAGTTCGGTTCTCACTCAGAGACTTGACCATCTCAGCCAAGCGGCGCTTCTCGCTCTCGCGAGCAATATTCTCAGACCGCATGCGCTCAATCTCAAGCTCATAAGTCTCAACTCGCTCACGCAAATAAACAAGCTCCTCATCCTGAGCCGACTCGCGATCATCTTCGGATGCTTCAGGATCGTGGTTAACCATGGAATCCTTGTCAGATTGCTGATCCTTCAGCTGCTTTTCCAAGTCCCGAATCTTGCGCTTCAGACCCTGGTTGTCTTTCTGCAGTTTCAGCTTATCTGATTTGAGCTCTACATTCTCCGAGATCATCTCCTTGATGCCCTCCTCAGAACGCTTGTTCAAAGCCTCGTTGAGGAAATGAATGCGCATTTTCAGGTCAAAGTTCTCCTTGGACAGTCGGTCAATTGTGCTGCTCTGCTCCTTGAGAGTCATCGTGCGACCACTTCGTCCAAATGCAGGCGTCGAAGCTCCAGGGCGTTTCTCAGGGGATGGTCCAGTGTGACCAAAGTCGTCCCGGAATTTTTGAACAAAAGCTGTGGGAACTTGGATTCCCTTGACTCGCTCTGTGATGGCTGTATCAGTGGGAATATTCTCTCGGGGCTTGGCTTTTGGTGTCAATGGCGCCGAGGGGTCATCAAAACCCGTTGCCTGTCGTGATGACTGTGGTGAGCTTTCTTCTTCCAGGGTATGAAGGCCCCCATCGATCGGAGCGCCGACATTGCGTCTGTCTAGTAAGTTCTCCTCGCTATAGCCAGAGACTCCAGACGCCATGCTACCAAGGCTGGTAGTCCGGGTCATATGGGCGCGCTGACCGGCATTGAGACCGCCCCATTGTTCAGAGGCCGCGCCTCCCGATTGAAGGGCAAAGTCAGCGCCCAATGTTGCGTCGCTGTGGGTTGTCTCAGTGGTGTTGCTAGCAATAGAGGAATGTGAGAGCCGCTGGGCCGATTGACGACTGGTCAAATATTTGGGACGGCTACCACTTCTCCGGCTTCCAGCAATGCTACCGCTCTGATCGCTGAATATCCTGGACGGACCTGGGGAGAGACTGCGAGATGAATGTCGAAGCTTGGAGGGAGTGAGTTGCGACTCGCTTTCTGCGATAGAGAGCTGGGATCTGAAGGGTCGTTCATCTTGGGACAGCATGCTATTCTCAGCAGGGTTTTCGGATTGCTGATCACGCTGCAGACTCCGGAGCATAGCCGCAGCTGAAGGTGATGAAGTGAGTGAGTCAAGCATAGAGTCGTTCGCGGTGCCCTGTGTGTACCTCGTGCCGGTCACATTCTCCGTCTCCTCACCAGCGCCATCATGGTCTTGCTCGGTTTCCTGGTAGCTCTCGGAGGGCGGAATAAAGGAAAAGGTAGACGACTGGGTCATGTCGGGATCGTAGCTTCCAACACCGACCAGGTAGGTATCGTCTGCGCCGGGAGTTGGGCCACGCGCGGCGACGTCGATGGTCGAGGGTTCTGGCAAAAAGCTCGACTCCATATCCATCAGCTTGCGGCGCATCTCATGCTCCTCAATCAAAGTCTGGTTATTCACGCGCTCGCGCTCGCCAATTTCGCTCGACAAGAACAAACTGCTGTCACCGCGATCGGTCAAGGGAGGCAGAAGACTAATGTCCTCCTCGGGCTGCGATTGGGCTGCGGCGGCGGTCGGTGCATCGTGCTCGTTCGTCTTCTCATTCTGTACTTGCGCGGTGGTGCTGTCGTTCGCGTCTGTCGTTAGTGCGGCCGGTGTTGTGGTGGACGTTGCGGTAGAATCTTGCGCGCCGGTCGGGTTCTCTTGTGTTACTGCGCCGTCGATGCTCGTACTCGGGGGTCAGCGCCCCCGCGCGTCCTCGGCCATGAAGTAATCTGAAGCGCTAAAATCGGCATCCAGGGGCGAAAGTTGATCTCGCATGTGGTATGGTCCAGACTCATGGGAGGAGGAGGGGATGCGCACCGAGGGCGGGCCTGGGCTGACGATCGGAGGTGTTGTAGCTGGGGCCCTGGTCGACATGGTGACGGTGTGTCTAGGCGTGTTTTGGGTATCCACTTGCGGTGCGTTTTACCCACCGCAATTGGCAAATTAGCGCTCGCCTGGTGCAGATGTCCTTGACAGCTCTCATTGGAGTTGCAGGAGATTCAATAGACGGTGAGAATTAGAATTGATGTATCGAGGAGGTATTTGGGGTCATGGGCAGGAACCACGGGACTTGGGGAGAACCAACCAAGGAGCGTGTGTACCAACCAGGGTTGAACTGGCGGGAATATCGACACGGCCAGGCACGGGGTTGAAAGTGACATTGCCACTCACTCTGCAGCTGGAAAAACCAAATGCCACTCACATTAGGCAGAATAACCAACATCGACTACTTTCTATCGTGTATACTTGCTACGAAGAATTGCTATAACGACACCCCCCATTTCCAAACCTACTGTAGTTAAAATTATTATATAGTCGCAGGAGAATTCGTCGCTAGTAGCACAATCTGCAGCAAAATCAGCGGCAGAATTAGTAGCATAATTATATAGTACCTTAGTGGGAATGTAGACATAGGCACGGCGTAGGTAGTAGACAGCAACCATCGTCAAAGAGGGCTGATGAGTATTAGAAGATGGTAAAACAACACATTGCTACGTATTCAAGGTCTCTTAAGAGCCAAAAAAAGCCACTTATTCACACTGACATTGCAATAAAAACAAAAACAATCATGGTATCCGTAGCATCTTTCGTATCGTAGCTCCAAGCATTAAAACAAAATAACCAAGCCCACTCCGACAACAAAACAAGATACCAAGAACAAGGGAAGTGAAATGGCCATGGGAATCAGGGCAATGAGATATACAGTAAAGTGGAACAGGGAAGGTTAAGAACAGAATGAAGAAAAGGGGCCGTCAGTCGTTTTGGGGCAGTGTGTATGCCACAGTCCCCCGGCCTGGGGGGTATGTACAACGGTCTGCACTTGAAAGAGGGGATGTGTATCCATCTAGGAAAATGAAGAAGAGGAAAAGAAAAAAAAATAGATGAAGAGTGGGAATGAAAAAAGTGTGAGAAAAGAAATGACTGCAGGACAATTATGCAGTGGTGGTAGCAGTCGAAGGAGCGGTCTGTTGCTGCTCCTCCGTGTCCACATCCTCCCCAGTCGTAGGAGGATTATAATAATTATTCGTCGAAGCATAAATCTCCCCCTTCTTGGTGATTGCATTGCGGAGTGAATCAATGTATGTGCGGAACTTGACAATCTCGCGCAGCAAGTACGACGATTTCCGTTCCCAGTTGGCCATGGCCTTGGCAGAATTGGGATGCCGTGGTGAAAAGGCCAGATTCATGGCTGGTCGCAGCTCGTTGTGCCGCTGGAGGTCGTCCTCGACGTTCTGCACATACGCCTGCAGAGCCTTGAGCTGGTCTTCTTCCGACTGGTGTGAGGCGACCATGCTCTGCTGTGGCGGACTCCAGTCGCTAATGTGCACCCGGTCCGCAGGTAGCCTGGGTCGAACAACTCCCTGGTGATCCAGGGAACTGCGGATTGAGCTTTGGATGCTGGGACGCGGGGCGCCGGAGGTTGGGGGTGGTGAGCGGCTCTCAGCGTGGATCAAGGCACTGTTGATGACGGCGTCACTCCAACCATACTCTATGTTGCTGATACCGCCCACCAAAGGCTCTTTGGAGAGTCGTGCACTCCAATAGTTGGCTGTCGAAACGAATTCCCGCACAATCTCCGGCGTCCCGGCTTGGAAGAGGTGGACGGCGCCGGTTGGTAGACTGAGAGCCCATACGTGAGGACGAGACTTGGAGTAACCTGGTGGCGGAAGGGCACTGGCGATAGTCTGGCGAAGCATGAACTTCCAAATCTCCTCGGCGTTCTCAGTCCAGTTACCACCTCCAACCACAACACCGCCACGCTGCTTAGCCTTCTGCCGCATAGACTTGGACGCATTGTTGAAAGAGAAGAGCCGCATCCAGCCCTGCTGGATAACAGCGAAGCACTCATTCCAATTACGGTCCTTGGCGCGCTTGTCCACCGCATCCAAGTGGTGCTTGTGCTTGACACTACCTTCTTTGGCCCAGGGCGCGCCGGCCAAGGCTAACGTCTCATCTTCAAGTAAGGGGGCGGTTGGCTCCTCGAAACTGTAGATAGACGTGGCAGTATCTTCACGAATAATAGCCTGACTCAGGGCATTGGCGAACCCAATCGATTGCTGGTACTCACCACGAGGATACTCGGAGCCAAATGAATCCACCGAGGCCGACGTGAACTTGCCCAGCGAATATTTGCTCCAGGTACTCGAAGCAGCCGGACTCCAGACAGAAGACTGATCATCTAGGCTGGTCCGGCTGGATCCCATTATGGATGCAGGATAGAGTCGTCCTCCGCGTGAACGGGGCTTAGATGACCACCGCGCGGCACCATGGCGCGAATCTGCCGAACGGCCACGAGGGAAGATATCCGAGCCACTCTTGCTGATGGTGCTGGGACTTCGGCGAAGGGTACCCGATGACGGAATCAGGAAATTGGTTGAGGACATACGTTTTACCTCTCTCTCTGGCGGAGCACCGTGGAGAGGAAGTCTCTCCTTTTGGATGGAAGAGTAGAAATCTTTCAAAACCGTCTCCACCTGCTGCTCCCATGCTCGCACCGTTCCCGTAAAGGGAGTATTGACCAATGGACCAGTATCAACGTCAGCGACGTTACGGCCAGTATTGTCATCCAAGGAGCCGCGAGCTACATCCTGTGGGAAGGTTTGAGAGCGAGCAGAGTTGGGTGCTGAGTGAAAAGATTCGGCGGCTGGTACCGTCTTGGATTTGTGAGGCCGCAAAGTCTCGAATCCTTCAGGTGCAGCATCCATGGCCACACGGTGAATAGTGGGCATGGTATTGCGAACGAATTGGGATTTGGTCATCTTTTGCTCAATGTCCGCCAAGTGTAGATCGGTGTTCAAAAGCAGGAGGGAATAGCAAATGGTATGAACAACGTCTATCAATTCGTCAGAGGGGAAATGTCTTGAACCAGTTTATACCATATTATTGACACTTACCTGTAGCTTTGAAGCCATGACTCGGGTTACAGTCACACCATCTGCATGAAAATGCATCCAACACCCGATCGACTTGTTGGGTCTCGCCCTTGAGCACCAATCGCTGACAGAGACTTCGAAGGGCGACAAGAATGTTCATGTTCGACCAGTTGTAGAGTCGCATGTACGCTTCCCGAACCATCGCCCGGTCAGGCTCACCAAGCCAAGCAGCTGCCGGCACATTACCAACCACCTGATTCTGACTATCGAAGAGGTTCCGTGCTTGTTCGCGATCAGACGCAGTAGGCCCTTCCTCGACGGCATCGCCAGGCCCGTTGGTCGGGGCCTCTTTGTCATCGGCGTCAATGGCAGCGTTGAGTTCCTCCGATTCAATGACTGGCGTGTTCGATGCAGTCAGATACTGCGATGCCTCTGATGCAGCAGGCGACCCAGGAACATTGCCGTCCGAGGGCAAAGGCAGCTTGCTCACACCTGTCAGAGTATCACGAGAAGAATCGGTCGGTGGTGCCATTTTCGTAGACACCCTTATGGTGCGAGAGGAATCCTCTGCAACAGGTGACAGCGACTTAGAGGGGTTGACGTTAGAGTTCTTTTCCTGCAAGGGGGACTCTGCAGAGGAGATTGACTCCACATCACCTGCTTTTCGGGCAGAGTCATTGGTACTCCGGCTATCTGCTAATGGCAAACGAGACTCCTGGCCGCGAGAAGAGCTTGGAGGCTGGAGCTTCTGTTTCGGCTTGGAGCTACCACCAGGAGCCGAGACACTTTCCCTTGGCTTTTGCGCCTGCAGCGAGGCTGACTCGATAGACTGAGGCTCCTCTTTGCGGCTTTCTTTGCGGGATTCTTTGCGATCCGTATTGGCTGGTGCGCCAGCTTCGTCCAGATATTGATTCATAATCTGGCGCAAGCTGCTTACGGGACTTGATGCTGGCTTCACCGTATCCAGATTTGAAGGGGACAGCTCTTGAGGCACCTTGATCGGGGGTGGGACGGGTTCAGCTATAGACTTCTTACGCCGGCGGAAGAAGGATGACTTTGCTTCACCACTTGAGGAGGCCCTTTTCGGGCAGCAGGAGTAGGTGTGGCAGCTACTGCGCTCTTTGGAGGCTGCTGCTGGGACTGCTGTCCTTGTTGCTGTTCCCGTTTAAGATTGGCGGTCGTACTGATTGACTCCTTGGTTTCTTTCTCCGGGAAATATGAGTTGTCGTCCATATGAGAATTGGGAGACTCCGCCGGAGACGTAATCTTTGATGATCCACCAAACACACGACGGAAAAATCCTGGACGCTCTTTGATTGTGTTGGTGGTAGCGGCGGCAGAGGTGCTCAGATTTGCCGTGATTATGGTGTTCGTGATCGTGGCTGTCGGTTCAGGCTGAGGGAAAGCTAGTTTGTTATATGATATTGTTGGGCTAGGAGCAGGCGGGTCCAAAGATGCCGGAATGGTCGGCGGAAGATCAAGGTCTGTATCGCCCAGGAAATCGTTGTCTCGGGTTTTGAGGGCCCCGGTACCAATGTTCTCGGGGCGGTTCTTTCGGACCTGAGGTGCATTGGATGATTTCACGGTAGCATTGGGAGTCTTATAGTCGTAGAGTTTGCGTGGGCCAGCTGGTACACTAGGGGTTGGAGCCGCATCATCGTCATATAGGAACGAGTCCTGGCCTCGGCCATGGTCTGCATATGGAATGTAGGCTTTCTTGGGCCCACAGTCAAAACTCTCTGACCGGCGATCTCGGCCATCCGAGTCCGCACGACCTCTGGGCAAGGCATATGAATAATCTGCGTTAGAGGCGCTTCCCTTGCTTCCTTTCCGAACGTCATTTGCTCTCGGCAAAGTGCCTCCTCTGGAACCCATTGCATCTCGGCCACGGGTGCTGCTCGTTCTCCTCGGCGCAGTTTGATGATTTGAACTGCTGTTGCTTCGTCGACCTTTGGAGGTGATGGTCGCATAACGACTGCTACTACTGTCGTCATAACCAAAGTCCGCTTCGGAAGACATTGAGGAGGAGAATGTATGGCCGCGATAGCGACCCTGTAGTTCATTCTCGAAGGCGGAGTTGAAGAGTCGATAATCGTCCAGCACCGAAGATCCGGGTGCGTCAAATTGATCGAGGGAGAGGAGCATGTTGTCTACGATGGAGGTGCGGGCAGCATGTTTGGGCGACAAAGACAGGTCGTGAGGGTCCCGCTCGTCGCCCGAGTCGCTGGCACTGCGCGCATTCCCGCCCGGGAAGGCATCACGGATCGATGGACGGGTAGGGTAGCCACGCTTGGGCCGATATTTTGCGGTTTGAGAGGGAGGAGTGCGAGGTGGAGAATTGGAAGGGTATACGCCGCGTTGTTGGGACATTGTCGCGCTGGCGAGTGAAGTCAGTACCAGTTGGTCATTGGGGTGAGAGTCCATCAATTGTTGGTTCAGGGTTCAGGAGAGCGGATTTTGGGGCACACTTGGACACGGGGAAATGGCGGGAGAAAAAAGATTGTGAATGGCAGCCACGTACCAGTAATGCCCAAAGGCTTAAGCAGAGCGTAGCGTTTGTTGCCCGAATGGCCCAGCGAGTGGGATGTGCCGGTCAACGACCAAGAATGTCGTCGCACGTTCGGACGAATTGAAGCACGGAGGTGGTCTCAGTCGGTCATCGCATGTCCAGGGGCCAAGTCAGGGGGAGCAATTGCAGCGCGGCTGCGTACAGGGAGAGAAGTGCGAGGTACCGATTGAGAATTGGGCTGAAAGGCCGTGATGGTGGTGGTGACAAGACAAAAAAGCCCAAGAGGAGAGAAGATCAGAAGAACCCGGGGGCGGGACGAACTCCTGAACGGGGGGGGCTTTGACCTGCCGAAGTAGTGGACCGGTGGAACTCGACTACCGAACTTGCAATCTTGTTGTTCGAGGATAATTGTTCACAGAAAATAAACAGACTCCGTACTGAGTGTTGAGTGTTGGATGGAGGGTAAAAGAAAGTATGGTGTACGGAATCCAGTGCTGTCGGGTGGACTGAGAAATCGGGCCAACCTGAAGCAGATGCGAAACAGGGGCATTTATCTACGAAACCGTCGGGATGCGGACTCTTCATCTCTGGTCTGTACGGTATGTACGCATATGTACAAGTTTGATTTGAAGAGACGGTTAATTAATTCTTCAATGTACAGGGCACTTGTTCCGAATAGGCAAATGTCAGGGTCCTCTCTAGCTGGGATTACTGTACTTTGAATCTATTTCCTCGTCTATACTTTGTACTCCGATTCTTTTTCAGGGGCTTATGCGCTGGCGGGATCTTGGCTGTCAGGTACAGCACACTCCGGACTCCTCCATATTAATAAGTATACCAAGTAAGTAACTTACAGTAGATTGTACATTCTACTGTACATACATGAAAGTATATATTCCTTCGAAAAGACGGTGAAGGCCTCGAGTTGATCATACATGGCTCTTTGCCACCATTCGTCGGGCTTTCTTCTGACCTCTCTCCTCTTGTTCCTCGATGCTTATTGCGAGTCGATCCGAATGGAAAGACCCTTGGTGGATCCTCACGGTGGAGACCTCGTCTTGGTCTTTCTTCTTGTACTTGGTCAATGCGGGATTCCTGATCATCGTAGAAATGCCGGACCCGCGCCATGTCTCGTTTCTCATGCCCACGTAATTCTGGAACTTTTGAGTTTTTTGGTGTGCTGAATCTGCAATGCAGCGCTGATGCAGGTCAAGCGATGTGATGCATCGGTCGCGAGTCCACACGATCGGCAGTGGTCGCCTTAACTCTGTTTCTCCGCACAATCGATGGATCGATCGCAGATTCAACATCCAACTGGGCAGTATTGTATCTGGCTAATAGAGTGATTGAGTACATCTCGAGTTGTTTCCTTCCAAGAACACCTCCCCACACCCTTTTTGACAAAGGGGAACCAGCCGTGCCGCATATTATACTTTTCGGGGCTTCTATCCGACGGCTTACTCTGCATCTCGTATATCTCTGTATGCTCGATCTATGCCCGCTATGTTATCTATCTTCCTTTTTCTTGACTAAAAGTTTCTTCCAGTGAGCTGAAGAATTGAATCACGATGAGATCCATCGATCGAGCCATCGCGTGATTAAGGCGTCCACCATAGTAAACAATAGTATACCTTCGAACCTAGTATATTACATACTGATGTGTATTAGCCATATTAGACTAGACTGTAGGATGAGAAGGTGACAAGAAAGATGGATCATCACGAATCTTTTTCGCAGTCTATCAATATGGATTGCCATCAACATGTCAATCACCCCATCTACAGAGGCATTTAGACTTTCCCTTTCTGCCTCAGGTGTCTTGTACCTGGCCAGTACCCACGTGATCCCGCCGATGACATAACCGACCAACACGTCGACGAGTACCTGAACTCCGTACGCCGAAACCCTCCCCGTCAAGCTCCATGATCCCCGGCTCTTAATCAGTCTGACCAGTTCAGATCCCGGGCCGTGCAAAAAGAACCCACAAAAAAAGATGAACCCGCACATCTCTGTCCCCCGCCAACATGCCGGTCCCGCCAATTTCGGGTCTACGCCCAGCCGCGGATCCAACGTGCGCATGCCGCGCTTCTTCAAGAGGTAAGGCCCTATACAGCCTCGAGCTGGAGGTGGAGATGTCTCTGTCCCCGTGGGGATATAGGGGTATGTGTGACTGATGAACCTGCTATGTATAGACTCTTCAAGTTCCCCCAGATGGACTTTGAAATGGCCATTTGGGAAATGACCTCCTTGTTGATTGCGCCGAAGAAGGTCTTCAAGTCCATATACTATCATGTAAGATGATTCTCCCAAACTGCCCGGAGCTGGATATCTTGCCGCTGCTATTGTTCATAATGACCTATACTAACGACATTCTGCCACTGACAGAAACGTGAGTCGTGCCGCACTTCAATCCCAACTACTCAATTCCATTCCATCAACGCTGTCCCTCGTTTCGCTCCAATAACGCACCCTTCTCTTCCCATCCTAATACTAACACAAACTATCCAGAAACAAAAAACACATGGCACCGCCCCGACCCATCCTTCACCTACCTCCTCTCCTTCTTCCTCCTCGTCACAGCCCTCGCCTGGGGGCTAGCATACTACCCCTCCTTCGGCGGGATCATGCACCTCTCGTTCTCCTTCATCTTCGTCCACTTCATCGGCTCCTCCCTCCTAATCTCCACAATCGGCTACTTCTCCATCGGCCGACTCTTCGGCCCCAACGGCGCCGCCGCCTCTCTAACCGGTCTCCGCGGCTCTCGCGCCCGCCGCCGCGGCGCAGCACAGGGTCTCTTCGTGCAACCGGGTGAAAAGGACCAACTCGAATTCGGATACTGCTTCGACGTCTCGAATCGGGCCTTTTTCCCACTGTATTTGCATCTGTACGTAGTGCAGTTTTTGCTCTTGCCGTTGTTGACGCGCTCGCCGAGTAACTTCCTCGCGACTTTCTTGGGGAATTCGCTTTATTTGTCTGCCTTGGTTTATTACACGTACATTACCTTTTTGGGATATAATGCGCTGCCCTTTTTGCATAATACGGAGCTTTTGTTGGTGCCTATTTTGGTGTTTGCCGTTTTGTGGTTGGTCTCTTTGATTACTGGATGGGGGATTGTGATGGAGGGAAGGTTTGTGGAGGGTTTGTTTTGGGGGATTCCAGACAAGCAGGGCTAACCCCCAAGTTGATGCTGTGCTTTTTCGACTTGACTGGGGGTTTGCTTGGTACGTTCCTCGAGCTAACCCTGTGTATGAATCTTGTTTTTTTTTTCCATCTGTTCTCGTGGCTTGTTCTCTTGGCTATGCATTGGAAAAGAGTACGAGAGTATGCGTTTTGTCGTTTTGCGAGGGAATGGCGTTCTGTACATGATCTTGTTCTCTTTCTCCTCTTGTCTACAGGACTGGGCATAGTTCTTGTCTTGGCGTGTGATATAGACCAAAATATCGAAAATGCCTTTGAAAAGTTCAAAAAACATACTCCATCTCGGTTCGAAGGTTGTACTGCTATTCCTGAGAACTCAAGCTGAACTTCACATCATGGGAAGTCAATCCACATGGATCGCGGGTTGGATTTACCAGCCAGTGCCCTGATGCCTATCCAAACAGCTACATGTCCTTTCCTTGACTTTGATCGGATCCTTGCCTACAGAATAAATACCACAAATTATAGCCAGATACCAGCTTCATCGCTTTCACCAGATCTTTCCGCATATCCCGGGAATCTTAGACAGTCCGGGCAATTGTCTCCTCGATATAGCATTTAAAGCACCATAATGATATGATTCAGGAGGTCATGTACACTGATATACACCCCTAGGTATAAATCATTCCTCATGTAATTGGTAATCCATCAAGATCCCTACAACTCCAAATATCCCATCCTCACAAACACTCACATCCTCCTCCAGCTTCCTTCCCCTCAACCCATCCTCCACTTAAATCACTCCACTTCACTTCTTCCCCCCCCTTCTTCGCCTTCCCCAAAGCCGCAAGCCTCAACTTCTCCTCCCGCTCCTTCACACCCGCCGCCTTCTCCCTCGCAAGCTCCTCCTTCTCCTCCTTCTCCGCCAACTTCCTCAACCGCTCCGTCTCCCTCTGCTCCCGAATAATCGCCAACCGCGCCAAATCAGCCCGCGCCTCGTCCGTCTTCCCCTCCGCGTGAAGCTTCAGATACCGCTCCCGCGCCTGCTGCGCCTCGATGGCTTCGCGCTCGCGCCGCGAGAGCTGCGAGATATCCTTCACGGGCTTTTTGCGGGGCTGGCTGTCGACTTCGCTGGGTTTGGCTAGTTGGGAGCGTGATTTGGCGCTGTGGTTTGGGTTCGCGGGGAGGTCGGTTTCGGCTTCGGCTTCGGAGCCCGAGGAGGCGGAGTCTGTGTCGGAGGGGGGGCAGGTCGCCTGGTTGGGCGGGGGGCTTTGCCGCGTCTGGCGATGGCGGCTTGCTTTTTGGCTTTTGCTGCGGCGCGGCGGGCTTCGCGGTTTAGGTCGCTGGCTGTTGCGGGTTCTTGGGTGCTACTGCTGGGTCCGGCGGTGGGGGCTTCGGAGGAGGATTCTTCTGCTGAGCTTTCCTCGGAGGAGGATTCTTCTTCGCTGGAGGTGGGGATTTCATCGTCTTGTTCCTGTAAATGCGGAGGGTTGTGTTAGTTGTGCGAGGTTGGATGGAGATTGAGCTTCAGGTTGGTCTGGATCTTCATGGCTTGGGAGACGTACGCGCCAGAGCCCGACTGGGTTCCCGTCCTTGTCGGTGGGCTGGAGATCACGGCTGAACTTTTTGCCTCCTGTCATTCCTTGGTGAGCTTCTTGGGCCTTGAAGGGCTGTGATGCGCGCTTTGCACGCGACCATACCTCCTCGTGTAGGCTTGGAGAACTTTCCTCCACGACCGCGGGGTGCCATGTTGGAGTGTGCGGGTATGTAGTGTGTAGTGGATAGGTGAGAAAGGACGTAGTCTTGCGGTGTATATGCTATCACAGAGCAATTGGGTTATGGCAGTGTTGCTGTTGTCTCGAGTCAGAGCTGGTTTTGAGTCACAGTTGGGACTTGGGAGCATGCAGGGCATACACCGCAGAAATAGAGGGGCAAAGTCCCCCGGAAGAAAGAAATCCCTCCACTGTAAACCTCTTCTCTCCACCGATCATGTGCCCCTTCAGAGATTGGAAGGGTCCTGGTTGGTGTGCTAATCTTTGCTCTATTTTTGACTTTAAATTCTAGAAGGGGATTCGAAACGAGAGAAAATTGATAATACAGTACTCCGTACCTTTATTCAGATTATATCACAAGTCGGAGGACTGTAGTGCGAATCGCGGACCTTTTCATCTCCGTCTACGGACGTACGAGCATCATGCCGACCGTGCTATATCTGGTTCCTAGTATGGCCTATCGATAGATGTAGTGATCACAAATGACAAGATATCTAGTATAGTAACGTCTAATGTAAAGGGGAAAATCGGAATGAGAGATATTTGTCCAGACCAATGATCAATGGCCGATACTGGTGCCCGGAATGAATTGTCCCTCTATGGGCTGCAAGAGGACCTGGCGGGCTTTACCGAACACTTGCCGGAGAACTACATGCACGGACAACATTCCGGGGATTAGGCCCCGGGGGCAGGAGAAATGTACATGACCAGTACTTCAACATTCTAGATGACTATATCTAGTCTGTTGACTCAATTTGGTATTTTCCTTGCAAGCAGAGATTCGATGTCTGAGAAGCACCATGTCCAACCGAACCGTTATTTAGAAAATATAGCCCCCACACAGCCACACATGGGAATTTAGAGCCCAGAACCTTGTTTCCCATTTTGAAAGTTCAAGTTGATAACGGATTCGAGATCAATGAGAGCAATTACAATCCAGAAATGTTGAGCAGGGCAACAAAATGTTCAACGTGGGGCTCGTGCTGGATACGCCGTACCTGCCTAGTCACTTCGATCGATAAAAGCATAGAGAACGGACCTGAGAAATCTGCACATAAGCGTGTATTGTGTCATCTTCAGGAGTCCAACAGCTGTCAAATCACAGGCATGATACAACCCTTGCCCTGATCGACCCTTGTGGAGCCAGATCTGTGTACGGAGTAGTCACGCTGGAGTTGGAGTTTTTCATCTCACGTTCCACACAGAGTAGGAACTGCCAGCATGCTTTCTCCCACAGGGAAAGGAGCTCCAGCCTGTGGTAGATGGATTCGAGAAATGCTAGGGCACTTGAACAGTCCACGTCCTAAACGAACCATTCGTGCTCAATGGGCGTTATGAGTCAATGCTCCATTTTTCAAGCACGGTGGGTACATGAGATTGGGTGGAGAACCAGTTGCTCTGGGAGTGTCTGAAGCTCTCTCTGCCTTTTCGTGGACAGAAAAAAAAAATATCAAGCAAACACTTCTATCGTATGGAAGCTATTGAGGGCCACAATCGCTCATAACAATTCTTCAGCTGCTAAACATTATTCTACTGAGAGGGCTGCAAGGGAAGCAAGGCGCCTGGAATGAGTGAAATGTTAACAAACCTTTTCCCAGCCCAGCTCGGCAGTTCTCCCACTGACCTGCCTGTCAGGGTTAATGTATACTCTAGCTTCGAATGGCTTAGCGCCAAAAGGACGAATCGGCAATGTTCATGGCAACGCTTGGCTGAAATCAACGAGGTCGAATTTGGCGTCTAGATCGGCAAATCTGCGCCAGCGATGGCGTGCTTGACGAGCGGCCGCTAGTTCAAGAACATACAAAACCACCGGAATCGCCTCAACGAGTTTACGTCGGAACTACAACGGTTGTCGAGTTAAATGGTCCATTCATTGCTATCGACCATGTCTGTCCCTAATGAAAAATCCACAGAGACCGTCGAGGCGACAGAAACGCCCGCGGTCGTACAGTCCGAGTCTAAGAACTATGGGGGCGTCCAATCTTCTGTGGGGGAAGTCCGTCAGAAATGGTACCAGTGGTTTGCACCCACCGACACTCCGGCTGAGCGACGGTTGATCCTTAAGCTGGACGGGTTGATCATCGTGTTTGTGTTTCTGGCCAACTGGGCCAAGGTTCTGGATTCGTCGGCGACCAGCACGGCATATGTGAGTGGGATGAAGGAGGACCTCAAGTTATATGGAAATCAGTTGAATTATCTCAACACCATCTATATGGTCGGCTTCATCACCATGCAAATTCCCTTGACTCTCCTGGTAAGTCATGTCCAGTACTACAAAATGTGCAAACGAACGTATGAATTAACCAGTTCGTTGTACAGATGACCCGCTGCCCTGTGAATTATTTCCTGCCAGCTGCTGATCTCTTCTGGGGAGTCTTCACGCTGGCGCAATACAAAGCTTCAAATGTGACCCAGCTCTATGCTCTGCGTTTCTTCGTAGGAGCCCTCGGTGGCTTCTTCTTCCCCGCCGTCCAATGGTACTTGGGGAGCTGGTACAAGCGCTCCGAACTTTCTCGCCGAGGAGCTATCTTCTTCATCGCCAGTCAAGTTGGCAGCATGAGCTCTGGCTATATCCAAGCCGGAGCTTATGCGCGACTGGACGGACGATATGGCATCGAAGGATGGCGATGGCTCTACATTATTTGTTTTGCGTGCACTATTCCGATCGCTTTCCTCGGTCTATGCCTGTTGCCGAGTACGCCGGACAGGTGCAACTCGCGATTCTTGAGCGCGGATGAGATTCGATTGGCGCAGGAGCGAATGGCTTCTGAGAATCGGGAAGCTCGTCAGCCGTTCACTCTGCCTCGGATTCTGGAGATCTTGAAGAGTTGGAGGCTTTGGGTGTTGGTTTCGTTTGCGTTTTTCTTCTCGCAGGCTGATGGAGTTTCTTCGAATAGCGGCCTCCCGCTGTGGCTCAAGGCTGAGGGGTATTCAGTTGAAAGCATCAACGCTATTACTACGGTGTCGCCCGCTGTGACTATTGTAGCTTCGGTTGTGTGCGGTGTTCTTTCGGACGTCTATGACACAAAGGCGAGCTTGATTGCAGTTACTGCGTTGCTGAATATCTTTGCTTGCATCGTTCTGGCGATTTGGAACGTCCCTGTTGGCCTTAAATTCTTCGCGTTCTTCCTTTCTGGAACGGCGGATGGAATCGCGGCGATCATCTATGCCTGGGCGAATGAGATTTGTGCACATAGCGCTGAGGAGCGTGCGCTCGTCATCAGTGCGATGAATACTATCGGAAACACCTTTGGAGCATGGATTCCTCTCTTGTAAGTTCTTCGACTCATCCTCATTATGGCAGATTGCTAACCCTTCTCTCAATTCAGTGTCTGGAAGACCGTCGATGCACCGCGGTATCTCATCGGTTATAACTGGACAATTGCCCTTGATGTGTGCATGCTTGTTATGCTCGCCGTGCTGAGACATTTCTGGATTCGCGAGCAGAAACGGGCTCGGAGTTAGATGTTAGAACTGGGACAATGTGGCTGGGGAGTAAATGTTTATATCATGACTATTATACTAAACTCGATTCAATAATTTTTAGTTAAGCTTTTTCGTTTACCGAGACGGGCGCGAGATACTAAGAGCAGACGATAAGGTTAAAAGCAAGCCATAAACAAGTATGTGGATATTGGAGATGAGGTTCCCAAAGTATACCCGGGATGATGAAAACTATCAAACGTCGAGATTCAAACAGTGAGACTCAGTTGCCTTTCGGATTACAGAACCCCAGCTGTTTGCAGATTGTTGTGCATAGTCTCTTTGGCTCTCTGATCCTCTCCTGGCAGTGCATCTTCGGGCCTGTACATATAAGCGTAGGCGAATTGCAACACGAGAGAGCCAAGCGTGACGAAGCTGCCGCCAGTCAGCAGGATGCACATGAGCATGTATTGTTTCAGAGAATACTAACAATGCAATGAAGCTAAATGCTTCTGCGGCATATTTCCGGCTACACACCGTCTCCCCGTTCCACCGTGAGATGGTGCAGCTGACTCGGTTGAAATTCTGGGCGAGGAAGATGAACGCAGTGAGCCACCTAGAGGGGATGATATTTAACATGGGATTGCCTTGGTAGATTCAACAAAGGACTAACTCACAGGTAAGAGAGCGCCATGTCGGTAAAGTACAAAGGCAATACGTGCCATCTTCGGGTTCTGGTAATGCAGCTAGCCCCAGTGGACAAGGCGAACGCGACAGGAGTTAAGACAGCCTAGAAATAATCAGAAATGACCCATTTGAAGGATTTTTGTGATTCAGGAATACTTACGACGACAAGAGCAAATATCACTGTCAGCGTTTTGGTCCCTTGAACTGCCCAGGCCGTAATGCCCAGCACAATGAGGGCGCTCAAACACTGAATGAAGTGCGCGATAAGAGTCACTATTCCGAGAGGATGGCTGTGAAAACTTGACATTTTTCCGAGTCGAGATGTTTTATTCTTTATCTTTTCTTTCAGAAGATAGAGGAGTTGTAGTTGGGAAAATGCTCCTGAAGCAAGATGACATGTTTTGTCGGAACTTGACTCACGTAAAATGTATGATCTCACCACATCTGTCCAGGTCCACAGGTAGAATAATACCACGCCACAACCGAGCAAGCCGGCCAGAAGTCTGGTTCAGAAAAAAGTATTAATATGGTATTCTGTCTGCAATGCAAAATAAATAACTGTTGGGAAGAAAAGTTGCCATTCTCGCGACCAGCAGGTTGAGAAATCAGCTTTCTAGATATGAGACTTCATCGTCACCGAACCCAGAAAGAACCCAGCTCCGGGCATCCCCGGTCTTAATAACAGCTGGAACTCATAAGTAAAGCCTCAAAGGACTTGTATGATGCACTATCGAACTGACCTTTCTCCAAGGCCGTCCGATACCTAGCAGACGCCCAGTATATCGTATGCTATCAAAGCGATCCAGCGACGGAGCCGAGGAGCCTCCCTCACTACCCAAAAACATGAGTGATGATGTTCCTAGTGCTAACTCCGTCATGTGTCGACGCTTCAATCCCTCGGCGCGGTGAATTCCTTGCAACGGCATAGCACCCGTTAGCTCAAGTACATCTCAATATACCGTTCTGGGTTTCGGCGACACACAGTACATGACCATACTTTTCTACCATCGACCAAGACGGCGAACTACACGATTTCATTGTCAACGGCTTTGTACAGCTGGAGAGATGCTATCATTGATGCCAAGTCTTCGAGATGGATCCCCTTGATATTGAAATCGACCGGTATGAGATAATGGTGGCGGGCTTGCATTAAATTAATTTCCGCTGACAGCTATTTTTGAAACAGATTTTATCAAGTCCGCCCCTAATTTGACGACTCCCTCGCTTCAATTAAGGTTGCTGGAAGTCAGAAAGGTCATGGCAATAACTGGACGGGCAACTATGGGTCTAACCTGCGACCATGACAGGAAATGATCTGTTCGTCATGAAATATTAACTATCCTACCAGTGGAGCACAGAGGACATGGCGCCATATGGTTACCGTCAGACCCCATCAGCAGGGAGACCTCAGGTTAGGATCATCACCGTTTTAGCCCCCAACCTTCTCGATGTGGACAATTTCTTGGCAGATTGTTGTACAGAACACCCTATTGGGGTAAGATGAGCGCGTCGCCAAACGTGGGGGCTGAACACTCGCCTGGAAGAGACCCCCCCCTGGCCTCCAACATTTCTCCATGGAATTCTTCTCTATCCCACGGCATACCTCGAGGCAAGAATCACAACAATATGAGACAATTAACGCTGCTCTCGTCTTTGCTGCTGCTTTCCCCTGTCTGGGCTGCCACTTGCTATTGGCCGAGCGGGAAAGTCGCGGGCGATAATTGGCTGCAATGTCCAGGTAGCAAACACTGTTGTGCAGAGACCGAAGCTTGTCTTTCCAATGGTCTTTGTGTTGCTGGGAAGTATATGACCGTCTATCGCGGAGCGTGTACGGATGATTCGTGGCCTATTTCTGAATGCCCTCGCGTTTGCTATGAAGGTAAGCCAGTATGGTCTTTCAGTTTCAACATATCCTTGTTGGCCATTTCGTCGTTTGAATATGGGGACTGACGTCAATTTCCAATACTACAGAGGTCGCCGATGGATGGGCCAATCTTTATCCTTGTCCCAGCAACAATAATGAAGTGTTCACCTGTGGAACTGCTGGCTGGGCCGATCACGTCTGTGAACAACAACTGGGCAATTATACGTGGGTGAGCAGTAATGTCACGGTAGCCCAGTTGGGAGTCTCTAGTTCGTCGACGGCTTCTTCTTCCACCGCTACCGCCTCAGCATCTTCTTCGACAACTTCCTCTGGATCAGCAGACCCTACGAATCCTACCGCCAGTTGCTCGACACCCTCCGCGGGAAACAACGCCACCATGAAGACGGGACTCGGGCTTGGAGTCGGACTTGGTGTACCCTTGCTCCTGGCATTGGCCGGTCTGCTCTGGTTTTATGTACACACCCGACGTCAGATTCAGTCTTTGCAGCAGAAATTGAATGAGCAAGCTGCTCTACATCCGGGTCTACGAGGGAATTACGCACCTCCTCCCCAGGAGCTGGACACTGGAAAGGAAAATTGGCCGGAAATTCAGTCGAACGACCGCTCAGAATTGGGTTAGAATGTCTGTACATGTGTCAACTACCTAAATACGTGGGCATATCCTGGTGTATTATTTGGGATAGGTACTAGGAGATGGAATTGTGTTTTTTGAAGCGAAATGCCGTGATATATTTCCGGTGGGAGGGTCTCTAGATAGTAGTACTTTAATCCTGAGAAAATTATGACATTATGGTCAGTGCCAGCTTGGAAGTGCATTCCTCCCATTTTACTTTTATTGTGAAGACGAAAAGGATTACACCCCGTTTGGAGGCATCACAAAGAAGTTAATCTGTTCTGACTCTCTTATAAAACCTCTCAGGTTCGTTCCGGGAAAGGCTACCCTGATATAATCACCTGACTGGTGCTGTGGACTGCTCGGGGGCAGGACTCGGCGATAGCCCTATCCGGGCTAGTCTCGGCACAACAAAATTCCGTCGCTTCGGAGCTTGAAAAGGTTCAAATTTATTTTCACTCTTCCTCTTTCTTCCTCAGTGCAGCCCATCATCCTGCCCGGCTTGGAATGTTTTGGCCCAGGATGATTGCAGCTTGCCTTCTCTTAGAAGAACTGGCATTCGTCTGCTTCATTACATTCTTGCACTAATAGCTTTCAATTCGCAGCCTGAGAATTTTTGGTAAGTTTCTGACTCGGTTGACTTTTTTTCATCACACACCCAATCCCCCCAATATGATGATAAACATAACCAAATTCAAACTAGAGTCTTTGACCCTCAAGGGAATGAAACTTTTTGTTATTGCACGTCAGGCTGAAAACCTCTCGCTTTTCATGATTCATCACGTCGAGTTTTTTCGAGAGTGAACCGAGAGCTAACTTGCCCTCTGTTAGGACTAACTTGAGTACATCCTTGCAGCTTGTCAGGATGTCGACACACCATTGGTAAGTTTTCGTTATTTTTTTTTTGTCTTCTCCACATTCACTCTTTTATGATGATCGCACTTTATATATACGCTGGAAATTACCGTCCAAGGTCTTCGGATCACTGACGATAACTAATGGCTTGACTGATTCCTACCACTACTCTGCCTGTTTGCTCTGGACTAGTTGCTTCCTGGACCACATGCTGACCGTTGAAAAAGATTAGATACTATTGCTATGATCTCGCGAATGGTAAGCCGCGGCCCCTTCTTGACTTCACCATCATCCCCTCCCGTCACGAAGATGAAATGGCACTGGGCTCCGACGGTTGTTTGACAACGGCCGGTCATGACGGATACGCCCATTTTGCGGCAGGCCTAGAAAACCTCGCCCACTGAGACACACCCCGATGATACTTGTCGACTCATTCATGCTTCTCGCAACGAGTCGCTAATCATCTCCAGCAGTCACACGCTCCTACTAACTTACCAGTGATTGTAGAAACGCCACAGGTAAGCTCACCACTTCTTTTACTACACTTGCCCCCATCTTTTGTGATGATTCCCTAGATGACGAGTCTTATTCGAGTTATCGATGCAGACAACATTCTTTTTAATACCATTCATGCCTTTCTGAATTCATTTCTTCTGGAACCTTTGCATCATCAAAAATTGATAACATTCGCTAATCCTCTGGCGAACAGTAATATTTGATTGCCTCGCTATCATTGCCTTCGGCTGTATCTGACCGTAGGTGTATGTCACGCCTCTTGTCCTTTTTGTCCCTCTTACCCTCTCATTCTCTCCTGATGAAACGACACAAACAAAAGACAAGCATATGTCCAAGCTGGCTTCGCTGGCGAAGACGATACAAGTCATGACTGATCAGTCATTTTGAGCCTCGTTCGGTTCCACACCCTGTCCAGTCAGTCCTCGATGCTGATGGGTCTTGAAGAACAGGAATTTTCTCCAGCCCAGAATCGAATCAACCCAGCGGGTGCTGCTGGCAGGCCACTGCTGCTCTGGTGAGTGTCACTATCTTGCTTTTCTTTTCTTGCCTTTGTGTTTTTCCATTTCCCTCTCTCTTCTACATGATGATTTACTACATTTTTATCACGACGGTCAACATAAGGAATTTTAATTGATGACCACCGCCTGTGACAGGGCTTTGAATCTGATCCCCTTTGCATTCAAACCATGTTTTCTACCGGTCGCTTTCATTTGTTAGCATCACATACTAACATCGACCAGATGCAGGACCTCATACAGAACAGTCTTTCAGTCTTGGCTGCTTATCCGGCCTAGTCTTGACCCGATGCAGAAGCTCTCGAGTTGTCAGTTTAGTGTGCAGTAGTGTAGGAGCCAAAAGATTAAAAAAAAATGCAACAAGCTATTCCCGAAAAGAAATCTCTTTCTCTTTCGTCGCTCACCGTTTATTTCGTAACCCAAGTGGAGGCTTCCTGTGCCGTCCGAACAACCCAATCCCCGCTGACTGATTCCGCTCAACCCTGCAGGGTCAGCCTTCCTTGTTACAGAGGTGCGAGCCCCCAATCTTTGTGTTCGCAACGCTGGTTCGCTGATGCAAGGCCTGTGGATGCGGGGACGGACTGCAATGCTGACCTCTCAGCGGGGGGGATAAGCGCCGAACACGGGTCAGCGTGTGATGAGCACCTTCAAGCTGCATATTCCCTTCCCCGCTGGGTTGGTCCTTTGCCTCTTCGGCCGTGGTCTCTTGAATAGGTCTTTGGCTTGTTCCAAATATAGTTCTGCCTCCTCTTATGCTGTGGGTATCGTGCCCGCCATCTGGGTCTGCACTAATTGGCCCTTTGTCATAAGGATGATTTCCTTCTTGTCTCTGCTCTCCGCGCAACACGAGACGAGGGGTTGAGCTGAGTTCTATTCTGTGCTGCTGTCGCATCGACCGAGATTCCTTTGTGTTCGCTTTGGGTTCATGATCACATCTCTCGAGCCGACGAAGGAAGATCATGGCTTCGGTCCGAGCTTTGTCCTGACGAGTGCCTGGGGCCAGTATGAATAGGTACGATGCCGCGCTTGAGCCCCATGGTTTCTGATCTTGCTCTGTCAACTTGCAACTTCTGAGGTTCAAGAGACACTGACGGCAGTATCTCTCTAGCTGGTTGTCTCCGAATCATGCAGCCGACGAGCAGCCGCTGAACTCTCAGTACTCCGGCTGGCAGTCGACTGTCAACACCAGCAATCAACCATCGCCCAATCGTCGAGAGCATCCAATGCAGCCACCGCTGCTAACGACCGCGTTGAATGCCTCACAGTTCCATCAAGTGTCAACCCCGCTGTCCTCCACGTCGCTTTCCAGTCCATTCACCCAGGGCCAATCTCCCGCTGTCTCGTCGCCGTCCAACGGCAGATCGGCATCGTCTTCCTCCTCAATGGCGTCGAGGCAATACAGCATCCCTTATAATCCGCAAGACTGGGGCCCTGTGAGAGGGAATCATGGCCAGGCCACGTATTCCCAGCAAGCTACTGTCCATCATGCTGCGCCGCAGCAGCGACTCCATGCAGGTTGGTGGTTTTCGAGAAATGCAAAGAAGCATCTTCCCAAATTAACAAGATGACAGACGCGGCTATATCACCACCGCCTCCACCATATTCACCTCCACATAATCAGAATTCGATACCACGAGACTCGTACGGCCAAGCGAGCTCGGGTATCGCAACGGCTCCTATCGTAACCTCACCGCATCAGCAATACAGAACAAATGAATATGATAACTCCGCAGAGCATCATAGACGGTCTGCCCCTCGCCCTCGCCCTCGCCCCGTGTCTATGATCTACGGCAACGATGTAGCCTTGCACCGGCAGTCATTACCTCCTCCACCGCCTCCTCAAGGAAATCTAGGATCCAGATCCAATTCCCAGAATCGATTAAATACATATCCAGACTTTCCTTACAACTCTGCTTCTACAGGCTCGCAGTCCCGAGCATCACTGGCAATGTACGATCAACCTTTACCATCGCCGGCGTTGCAAAGCAATGGACCTGGGCCGTCTGCGGGGCAATTGGAGAGACCACCCGCATCCCGACGAGCTGCCTCTGCAGGTGCCATTGTGAGTAGTGCAAGCTCGTCAAGGCCCTCCAGTCTATCGCGAGGTTCGTCGCCAGCGAATGGTTGGGAACCTGGTATGCCTCTTCCACCACCTCCTCCCGGACCGCCGCCTGCAGGGAGGTCGGCGAGTGTGAGTGGTTCATCGGAGTCATCTGCAAGAATGACTCACGGTCCAAGTAGGACTCGTGTACGACCACCACCATTGATGGGTACTGATTTGGGTAGCATTCCACCAACGCCAGCTGATTGGGTAGATGAAGAGTATATCAACCACCCACCACACAGAGAGCGAGAGCCGCTGCACATTGACACCAACAGGGCGATGGAAGCACCAGATTTGGCAGATAATTTGGACTCAAGTGGCCAGTTGCAGCAGTCTCAGAAAACCCCCGGTAGTGGAGGTAGTGGTCTCTTCCGCAGCCCGGCTATTCGTGATCCCAGCGCAAAAGGCATTCGTGAAAGAAGAATCGAGCGTCGAAACAGGCAAAGTCAACATTTTGAGGATATGAGTGCGGTGTCATCTACCAGCGGGAATCCCTGGGCTGATGCATTAGAGCATATTGTGCCGTCCGATCTGGTTTTTCCCGAACCCAAGAACAGCCCAGAGCATACTCGCCAATCGTCTACTTCAAGGTTTACTCCTCGAAGTACAAAGAGTATTGGCTCAGACAGCCAACATCCGACTTCGCGGTCAAGAGCGTCCTCTGGTGGCCTCTTCTCCGACAGATCATCCTCTTACTCAACACCAAAGCCGGATCAGAGTCCCGCAGGGCCTTCAGCTGCATTTGCAAACACGCCACCGTTCTCACCCAATGGAGACTCATCATCTCGTTATTATAAAGAAGAATCTCAAGCGATACCACCAAAGGCTCTTCCAACACCACCCCTCAATTCTGCCAAAGGCCCTCAATCACAACCACGCTCTCGTGCTACGTCCCGGGGAACAGAGGACCGTCCGATTTCTCATATACTGCATATTCCTAATGATGGCATCCCTGGAATGAAGCCATTGTCGCCACGCCGATTACCCGCCCCGCAGACCGTCCAGCAGACTTCTCTAGAGTCCCTTATGAAGCAGGACACTGAGTTCACCCAAAGCTCCATACAAAGACACAAGAAATTCATCGAAGAAGAAGCCGCGGCAGTGAATGAGGCTGACGCTTTGAAAATTTTCAATGAGTATATAATCGCCGAGTCCCAAATACGCCGTCAGCGATATGCCAATGTGTTTGATACTGCCTCGACCCAAATTGAGGATGTACGACGCAAGCTCTTCGAAACACCCAAGAGTCAACCCGGGGCACCATCCAACAAGCCTGTGAAGCCGGCACCAACGCTGGAGATCCCTTCGAATAGACCTACTCGACCTGAGTCCGCTTGGTGGAATAACTACCAGCCATGTCTTTCACCGATTGCCAGTCTCGGCATGAGTAATGATGAGATGAGCTCTAGAGGCAGGGCACCCAGTCGTTGGTGGGAATCCAAGACCGGATCCAGCAGTGAAGGTGGTGAGAGAAGGATCCAGCGAACTAAACGAGAGTCTAAATACATGGGATTGCCCCGAGAGGCCATGCAGTGGGACCAGGAGCGGACACCTTCCAAACTCGACGATGCGGGTGCAAATTATACGGGGCAGCAGGTACCCTACGGTCCAGACGAGTATCCACCAGAGAAAGTTGGCTGGCACGAAGAAACCGCAGATCATCCCAGCAATAGGAAGAATGGAACCGCTCAGATGATGGCTAGTCAAAGGCTAGACATCTCGCGTCTAGTTACTCTGCCTCCACCGTACCCACGCCATTATCCTGCCGTGAACAACAGTCACCCAGACCTCGTGTCTTACCGGACCACTGTTCGATCAATCACAGACTTGTCAGAGATCAAGGCCACTCGCGAGCGTTACAAGGCTGACATGGAAAGGATCAGCCAAGAATATATGGACCAGGTCAAAGAAAGCCGCCGTCAGTTCAAGGCGAATATTCAGAGCCAGATTCAAGAAGGAAGCCTCAGTTTCGCAGAAGCTGCAGAAGCCGAAGCTGCAATGTTGGTCGATGAGAAAAAACATGAACGAGATCTGGCAAAGCGACAACTTGACAGTTACCAAGAAACCGTGCTGAATCCGATGAATGCTATTCTCGCAGACAGGATTAGCAGAGCAACAACCTGCATCGACGAATTGAGTAGTAGGCTGTTTGATGATGCCCAACACGAGACGCCAGACCAAACGCAAGAAGAAGGCGATGAGAAACCCGAGCTCCTGGAGAAGCTTACGCAACTCAAGTGGCTCTTTGAGGCACGAGAGCAACTCCACCGGGAAACATTCGACCTGGTCAGCGACCGCGACGAGAAATACAAATTCGTTGCTCTGTTACCCTATCAGCAAAGCAAAAACGAGGATAAGCTCCGAGAAACCAAAGTCTTCTTCTCGAAAGATGCTCTGGACCGACGCGTCCAGTACGAGACCTCAGCACTTACCCGTCTCGAATCCTTCCTAGACGTCATTGAGCAAAACGTCGTCCGAGGAGTCGAAGTACAGCTCTCCGCATTCTGGGACATTGCACCCTCCCTCCTCGCCCTGATACAACAGGTCCCCGAAAACCTTCGCGGTTTCCAAGTACAAATTCCCGCAAACGAATACGAAGAGAACCCGAGCTATCACGCACACCCGCTACAGTACCTGTATTCGCTGCTCTCGCACGCCGAGAAATCGAGCTACCAGTACATCGAGTCGCAGACTAATCTGCTCTGCCTGCTTCACGAGGTACGATCGGCAGTGATGCGCGCCAGTCGCAATCTCGCCGAGGCAGATATGATTTGGAAGGGCGAGCCTGAGGAGACTGTTCGTCAGGAGATGCAGGCGACCAGGGCTGATGAGGAGCTTACGCTCACGATGGATCTCAAGGAGAAGGTTGCAACTGTTGAAGGGCAGTGGGCTGAGGCATTGGGGAGTCAGGTCCAGGGGCTGCGGGAGCGTGTCAAGGGTGAGTTGTTGGCTGAAGATGGGTGGGAAGATTTGGAGCAATTGGAGCAGGAGTAGTACATATGTGTGAGGGATCTTTGGGAGGATTTTTTCTGTTTGTGATTGATTTTGATTTCTTGATGACTTGTGATATCCCCATTCGTTCGCTTTAGATCGGGCTTGCACAGTGTATATTCTCTCGATGTTGAGCCTTTTACATTGAATGACTTATGGTTGCTCGATTTACGAGATTCAAGTAAAGGCCTCCATCAATCCACGACAGAAACGAGTCCAGATATCAGTTAAAGACTCACTCTCGCCATCCTGAGTGCTTCCGGGCTATTGGCGTAGATAACGCCATTATCTATCTGCACAATAAGGCCAGCTCGTCACTTGAGGCCTCATCTACCAACAATCAGTTCTTAGGTAGCAAGAATACCAATTCTAGTCTCTTAGTTCTCTCATCTCCCATATACTATCATCGTAGAGATGATCAACCACAGAGTTAAGTATCCTGAGAAATACGGTACCCACTCCATCCACGATACCCACACAGTCACGTGAGCTCCCTTCTAGAGTCTTCCGTCCGGGTTCACTCAAATATCGAGTTTCCTCCCTCGTCCACTCCTTTCTCCCTCCCAACTAACTGCACCTTCTCTTTTTCCGCATTCGCCTGATATACCCATCCAATTCGTAAGTTTACTCCATACCACCTTTCCTGCACCTGTCCCCAATTGCGAGAGACCCTCTCCTTGGTCCTTCGATTACCCGATCCCTCGGTCCGAAGACACAATCCGCCCAAAATGATGAGATGCAGCTGGCACCAGTCAGAGGAATGATGGATACGTCTGTCATTCGCTTGCTGAATAGCTTTACGACCGGCAAATATACGCAGCCGGTCCTGATATTTGTGGCTCTTGCACGAACTCTTTTCGTGCAAATTTTTTCTCTTTTTTCACACATCTTGCCACCAACTTTACTTGGAGACCTCGCTAACCTGTCTCAATTCAAAAGATCTAGACTCGGTTGGAAAGGAAAAAACATACCAGTTCAAAAGAAATTCTCGGCCGTGCCTAGATTTCCAGAACAGAAGAAAAAAAATACCCTCGAGGAAAATTGAAGAAGGAAGATTTCCCATTCGACCCTCTCGCAATCTTCCCACACAAACCAGAACTTTTCATCTTTCCATAGTCCATCATCATGGTCCTCCACAACCCCAACAACTGGCACTGGGTGAACAAGGATGCCTCTGGCTGGGCCAAGGAGTACTTGCAGGAGAAAGTCAGCGCCATCAGTGCCGAGGATGCTGGCGTGTCCGCCCAAGTAGACAAGGTACTGTCCATGAATGGCGACGTAGACGTCAGCCAGCGCAAGGGCAAGGTCATCACCTTGTACGATGTCAAGCTGTCGCTAGAGTATTCAGGTTTGTAGTTCCACGAAAATCTCTTTTTCCGTGATGGCAGCTGAGACTGTTCAATAGGTAAGACCAAGGACGGCGAGGAGGTCTCCGGGTCCATCACCATCCCTGAGGTAGCCCACGATACCGAGGAAGATGAGTACGTCGTACGTTCCCTTAGAAGACATTTCCCCCGAATCTGGCAGTGCCCTGGAGCACAATGCCTGAATTGGAGCACTCCCCAACTAACACGGAGACCATTCCAGTTCGAGATTGAGATTTACTCCGATGCTTCCTCCAAGCAGCCCGTAAAGGACCTTGTTCGCTCCAAGATCCTCCCCCAGCTCCGCAAGACCCTGGCTACTCTTACGAATGCCCTCATCAACGAGCACGCCAAGGACCTTCAGCACGCTCCTGGCGTCAACCCCTCCTCTGGCTTTACTCCTGCTGCTCTCCACCCTCAGACCGGCAAAAAGGAGGCTGCTCCTACCACTACTCCTACCACATCCAGTACCGGCAAGGTCGCCGTTAACACCACCACTGTGACCGCATCGGACGAGTTCCGCACCACTGCCGAGGAGCTGTACAACACCTTCACCGACCCCCAGCGCATTGCCGCTTTCACTCGTGGTGCACCCCGCCAGTTCGAGGGTGCCCATCCCGGCGGCAAGTTCGCCATCTTCGATGGCAACGTCACCGGCGAGTTCGTCAAGCTCGACGCTCCCAAGCAGATCGTTCAGAAGTGGCGCCTCGCCCAGTGGCCCGAGGGTCACTTCAGTTCTCTCGAGATCAACCTGGACCAGAACGACGTCGACGGCGTCACCCAGCTGCGTGTCGAGTGGTCTGGCGTGCCCATCGGCCAGGAGGACGTCACCAAGCAGAATTGGGAGCTGTACTACGTGCGCAGCATCAAGCAGACTTTCGGGTATGTAGCAACCCTCTTTTCCCGTGCAGGCACTTTCACCAATGCGGGTCTTTTTCGTTCCAGATCCAATTCTTCACAGCCATGGCTTCGAACATCGTTACTGACCTTTGTGCTCGTTCTTCTCCTCGGTATAGGTTTGGCACTATTCTCTGATCGACTTCACGCCTTCTCATTAGCCGCCTGATACGATCTACAAAGAACATTCCACTTTGTATTCGCCAATTCTGCTTCTTCCACCTTGCAAACACAGCACAAAACCAAGAGAACATAGAGGATTTTGCCCTTACTCGATCTTCTTTTCCTGGAACTTGGAATAAGAATGAGGTAGGGGCTTTTGCGTGGGGGAATTTCCAGTCATAGACGAGTAGTTGGGCTGCCATTGGTTTCTTTCCATCGCGAGTACTTTTTTTGCTGGTCAATTTCTTCTATCTTCATGTTTCTCGGAGTTTTTGAGCCTGTGCTCGCTCGGCCTTTTTATGCTTCACCCTTGTCTGGCCTCGGACGGGGACTGCAATGATGCTACGATAGAGGAAAGTGATATGTTCATGATAATGAAGTTAAGAAAGAACGCATTGATATCATCCTCTGTGAATTGATGTAAACGTAAAATTACTGCCTCTGGCATCATACTTGATTATCCATCGCCCATCCGATATCCCCGTCTTTTTCTTCGGCCCTCCCCCCCCTCCCCCTTATGGCCACTTGTTGAGAAGCCAGGACGGTGAATACAACAGGTTTCAACAGGCGAACGAGGTGAAGAAAACGACCTCATCTAGCGCCGATTTCAACCTATCAACATACGTGCACGTGAACTTTTGCCCATCGTATACGAGGTCCTTCATGTCCCATGTCCCCTCCTTCCTTACCATCTCTGTCTTGCATACATTACACTCGGAGCCAAAGTACAGCGTCTTTTCTTTTACCTCCTGATAAAGTCATCCAAGTCCACATCGCAATCCACCCACGATGACTCTAACATCTCGTCGTGACCATACAAGCCATCAGGCCCAGCATCAAACGCATGGGAGACAATATCATACTTTATCCAATGACCCCCGATCCATAGCAACAAGTCCCGAGCTTCCATCAATGAACAATCACACTTGCATCGTCACAGCTGGTCAACGCCTTCCTGACTCTATCATGAACATCGAATTACCAGCTCAAGATGGCAACCCAATAACTCTGCAACTACTCCTAGACCAAAGTATCGACGGAATAATCGTCAGTGTCTTCTCAAAGCTATCCAAGGAAGTATTCCTATCAGAGTTTCAAGCCCTTGCCCCAGGCCTGGTTTATCCAGATATCCATCTTACCAGCATCGGCCTCTCCAATTATCCAGTGCCGATGAATGCATCTATCGTCGAGGAATGTCAGGAATATATGCCTGACGAGCACTATTATCTACTCGGTGACCCAAGGGGACGGCTTCTCGAGGCTATGGGCTTTGTTCGGTCTCCAGCTCGTTCGAAAACGTGGATCACGAGGATACGGCGTCAGGGACGGATAAAATGTGGCTTTTTTATTGTCCGAAAGGATAGAACGCTATATGCGAAGCAGACGGGCCCTTTGGCTAGTGTGTTGGAAGGAATTGAAATGGCGGGGAGGCGTCTCCATAGACAGTGGGTGTCAGATCTTAGGAGATTGGGGAAACCAATTCCACCATGGTAGGCGTGGAGAGATGAGCGTTGGAGTTACGGGTTTGTACACTCTTCAAATGGAATTCTCAATTCCATGTTACGTTCATAGAAGGAGAATAATCATACGTCCAATCATGATCTATATCATTCTTTGTACTTTTTGCTATCTCTAGCTTTTTTTTTTCAGACAGAAGCAACACACTTACAGAGTGCGCTCCTCCATCTCAATGCCATACTCCTCCTTCAGAGTCTTCAGGAGAGGAGCACAGATCTCCATGGTCATAGGGGCAAGAACACCCTTCTGGGAGATGGTACCATCAAGGACCTGCTTGACAGCCACGCCGCAGGGAACACCGACCAGCTTAGCCATGGCGGAGTAGCCGGCAGGGTTACCGTACTCGCACAGGGTAGAGGTGCGGGTCTCCTTGGAGCCGTCCTTGTGCTCGATGTCGAACTTGTGCTGGAGCATGACCATGTCGCGCTCGCCGGCCTCGTACTGCATCTTCTTCTCGAGGGTGGCGCAGAGGGTGTCGAGGGCGTTGCCGCGGGGGGTGATGGGCTCGTCGGAGAAGAGGCCAATCCAGCGCAGACCAGCCAGGAGGCGGTCGCGCTCCTCGTTGCTGGGGAAGGTGGTCTTGCTCTGGACAGCCGCGGTGAGGTCCTTCTCGGAGGAAGAGGCGGTACCCAGCACCTTGGCGGTGGCCTCCTTCCAGGGAACAGCGCTGTCGAAGACAGAGTTGGGCTCGTCCTTCAGGAAGCCGATGTCCACGAGGACCTTGATCATCTCGGGGAAGCCCTGGTAGCGGAGGGTACCGCGGATGACGGTCTGGGCCTCAGGGATATCGTAGCGCTCGCGGAAGGGAGTCGAGTCACGGTTAGGGTAGCCGACGAAGGCGAAGCCGGGGTAGATGAAGTAGGGCTTGGCGGTGGCCATCAAGTCGGGGCCGTCGATGCTGACGATCTTGCCATCCTGGTAGATCTTGGCGGCGTTGCGGAGGGCAAGCAGCACACCACGGCTGGACCACGAGAACTTGTAGCCCAGAGGGTTGTTGGAGGCCTCGGGGGCGGGGAGACCACCACAGAAGGAGATGAAGCCAGTGATCTTGCCGCCGGCGGCATGGACCTCGGAGATGGTCTTCACGGCGTCTAAAGAAGGATGAGTATTGAGCATTTCGAATCAATGAAGGCTGGATACTTACAAAGGTGGTCAATACCGGGGTCTATAAACATCGAAGTAATGTTAGCGCTTGAAAGACAAATGCATATTGGAGTAGACACGCTTACCTAGGCCAATCTCGTTCATGACGGTGATACCAGCCTTCTTGCACTCCTCGTTGAGCTCCTCCATAGCAGGCGAGACGTAGGAGGTGGTAACAACATCCTTCTTAGTGCGGATAGCCGACTTGATGACAGTAGCATGGAAAGTGTAGGGGATCAGAGAGACGACCAAGTCGACCTGCTCCATGGCCTTGTCGAGAGCGGCATCATCGCTAACATCGAGGGAGATGGCCTTGGTGTTCTTGAAGTCACCGGCGAGAGCCTTGGCACTCGCAAGGGTACGGCAAGCTGTTCATCACGCATTCAATCATTAGCAACATTGTTATATTCCCAATTGTGAGACGGATACGCGGAAGTGGCGCATAACCCTGGCCTTTAACGTAGCCCTAAAGGCTCTTGGTGGGTTATAGCGGGGTAATCCGACGGGAATCTGCGCGGGTGTTGGGGAATGCTATTCAGGGTCAATGGCACATACCGACGGTGACCTCGACATCGGCCTTGCTCAGAACCTCGACGGTGGGCTTGGTGACTATACGAAAGCAGAAGGTTAGTTTTTTTCTGTATAGTTTCTTGGAAGAAGCTGGGATTGCGGGGCAGCCACGCCCTGTGATGTTTTCAACAGTTCGAGAATACACATACCGAAACCCGAACCCAGCAGGAGGACCTTGGAACCAGCAATTGACTTGACCATTTTGAACTCAATTGTTTGTATGGACAATGGGGATAGAGTGGAAGAGTTCGAGACCATTTCCGTACAGACTGCCGTTGAGTCACCGCCGTCACGTGGCCGGTATCGGGGCGGGGGTTTATCTAAGCAGCCAGAAGGGGTCCCCGATTGTTATCGGGGCCAAGAGTATGGGGAAATATAGCAGTAAACAAGGATTGAGAGTGGTATAGTATTGATGCAGAGAGTAGGCATGTATGCACATCAGTAGAGAATGCTGCTAATGCTGCTGGTATATGTATAAAACAGAATGGTCGGTCGGAGTTGTCCAAAACTCCGCAAACTCCGCTGAATGCTGGGAGAAATGAAAACAAAGATATTAAGACAAAATACACAGAAGAATAAGAAGGTCTATATCGCCTTGACCTTGCTTTGTCGTAACGCCATGCCATCCATGTCCTCCTCGCTAGTCTCCGGGCTATCACCGGCAAAGTTGCCTTCAGCATTGGGGTTCTGGCGAGACTTGGAGATGCGTCGTTGCCATCCAATTAGAACGGGCAAGAAATGCCACAGATCGAACTCTGGCCACAGAACATCCAGGAAGACGATTTCTGTGTTTTCGTGGCACTGCCAAAGCATGAAATCGCTCAGCCGCTCGACACCAGAAGTCCGCACCAGCATATCCAAAGGTGGTGTGCCCTTGGTCAACATGTGATCGGTGAGGGTTTGGCGCGAAATGGTTTCAGGGGACATGTACACAGGACTGTCACCGTCCGATGTATTCACCGCAGCTGCGCCCTTGTGGTGCCCATCTTGGCCCCCAAGATGGAGGGTCGTAGATGACGAGAACGAAGAACCAGACTCGTATACTCGACTAGCATGATCGTTGCGCAAGACAGGGTCATCTTCGTGTGCGGAAGATTCTGCCGACGAGTACTCGGAGTCACTGTGGGTATCCTGGGGGTTTGACGACCCAAGCGTCTGGGCCCGAATATTGTGCACGATATGGGATTCGGAGAAGGGTGTGCGAGCAGGACGCAGAGGTGTGCTGTAATCTTCCACCGTATCGCGGATCGCACCCGTAATCTCGTCGCGGGAGGTATAGGGGAAGCAAATGTTCAATACGCGGTCACCGTTGCGGCTGGTCAGATCGACAGCCTTGTTGACTGCAGCGAGAACGTCCGGTTTGAGCAGGTCGAGGCGGCCGAGGACGCGGACTTTGGCACCATATCTATCCAGCAAGTCGCCGTGCTGGGCCATCTGGGACAGCTTCACCTTGGCCATGTCCATGAGCGCATCGACCTCAAATTTGGAGCGCTTGAAGTTCTCAATGCTGAACGCGTAGATTGTGACCACTTTGACACCGCTCTTATAACAGACTTCGAGAATCTAGTTGAACGGCCGTAAAGTCAGTAACAAGTCATAATCACCGGCTCCGCAAGCTCGGTTGCACGGAGCATTAACTCGCCGATGCGTCGACCAAGGAGAGAACAACATACCCTAGCCAGCGCCTCGAAGCCCAAATTATGACCCTCCACAGTCTCAATTCCATGTGACCTCGCAAACCGGCGATTCCCATCCATCACGAAAGCGACATGTTGCGGGATCGGGCCCTGGCGGAGCGCGCCCACCAGTAGCTCCTTAAGATTCGTGATGGCAAACTCGATCGGCGGCGAAGCAAGAAACCACGTGCGAAGGCGCGACAGGTGCATTGAGCCGGCCATGATGAGAGACAGAGGACGAGTCTCAAGCGAAGGAAATAGGAAAAGAAACGAATGTCGTGGGGTGGTGAGCCAAAAAAGAACGGCGCGAACGGAGGAGAGGTTGAGGCGGGACGGGGGTGTTCTTTTCGTGTTCGAGGCCGTTGGCAACGGGCGACGTGGTCTGACTTTCTGAGAAACTGCGAACCTACCTTCTAAATGGCAGCGCTGGAAATAGATATATAGAAAGGACAGAACAACCAATTATGCAATGCAGAGTATGTCATGAGGATGTCAAGAAGTAAGAAAAAAAAAAACTTAACGAGGCAATGCTAGGCTACACTGTTCCGCTTACGCAACAACTTGTTTCTTTAGTTCCCAACGTCCGCTCGGCAGTGGCGAGACTGCGGGCTTCGTATCCGCCAAGCGCAGCCAACAGTAACAGCATCAACAATTGGCTAGTGTATGAGTGACCCCGCCTTGCACAGACAAGATAAGCCCACAAGCAGTGCGGTCCGAGGTGGACATCTAATCTCGGTTTCACATTCAGGACTACTGCCGCTTGCCTCGGTGGATGCTGTGTATACCGAAGACCATCACGCGTCATAGATCGAGGTATACTACTAAAGTACCCCAGATGGCATTTCCAACAAAACACAGGGATATCTCGCATTGTGAGTTATATAAATGCAGAAAATGGCTACAAAAAAATCCTTTCAAGATGCCAAACACGGCCATCATAGCAGGTCATCAAAAGATCAAAGATCCTTCCGCAGCTCGTCCCCACTGGACGGTGTTCCTGTCCCTGAGCTGGCCATATCCCAGCTACCATCCTCACTTCGTCGTCGACGTCGCTCACCACGCTCTCGCATAGCATCCCGAATCCGCGAACTGACATCCTCCAGCGCATCTTTCTGGGTGGTCATGGGACTCAGCGGTTTCATGCCGTGCCGCGAGCCGGGTCGTGGCCCAGCAGAGCTGCTGCGGCTACGGTTCCGGCTGGGAGGTCGGGTAGAGAAGAAGCCAATGTTGGCCAGGTTGTGGAATGACTCGTTGCGTGGCAGGGGCTCCGCTGAAGTCCAGCTCTCGCCCGTCTCAGCCTGACGCGCGTGCTTCTGCTCATGCGCTTCGCGCGCTGCGGCAGATTCTTCGCTGACCTCGCGGAAGGGGTCCGTAACAATCCGAGCTGCGTCGAAGTCGGGGAAAAGTTCAGGACCCATGGTATTAATTGCATCCGTGACCTGCTGGGCAAGCATCGCACGTTTTTCACGCAACTTGACCAGTGTGTTGGCCGAAGACGGGTTCAGGGACAGAACCAGTGGTCGAAGAGACTTGATAATGTCCATGCCCACTTCGCCGATGCGGAGCGCGGCGAAAGTGATGGTTGGGAAACCCACCATGCCAATTATCACGATCAACCAAAGTGGCACCCATTCTGGCACATGACCCTGAATGCGATTCCGATACGTCCAGTAGGTGAACGTAGCCGTGTACGTTGCATAGACGGCAGGCGCAAATGCAAGGGCAATGAGCAGCTTCCATGTAGCCATCACATCGCGACCCTGTAACTTGACGGTCGATGCCGCCAATGCCTCCTTCGATTTCTTCATCGACAGATACTTGGTTGCAATGAAGACCGGAGTGAAGAGGAGCAGACCAGGTAGAGTTCCAATGGTGAGGAGAGCCAGCTTGCCCAGACGGTAAATCAGCATAGCAATAACCTGTATACTCGAGAACTTGGCATAGGCCACTTGGTGGTCCCGGATGCCAAGGATGCGAAGCTGCTTGTTGTAGCTGGAAATCGAATTGCGGAGATGCACGATGCGCGGATCATCCTTGAAGTGCGCATATCCTTTCACGAGACGGCGATTGAGCTCCACAACCATCGGAAGAGGAAGTTTCTTTCCTTTCGTGTTGTACAGACGGCGAGCAGCTTGGATGACCTGCAATTTGTTAGCACCGCAGTCTTCCCTAACATTAAACTGACATCGAAAGCCAATATGGTAAACCTACCATCAGAGTCTCATAATCAGGGCTAGTCACAGTGACCGCAACAAGACTTTGGTAAATGATATCCAGCAAGGCACCAACAGACTCACGCCGCTCGCCTTGCTTGAATTGCTGTACCAACTCTTTCGGAACTTCAATCGGGTTGCCAAATTCAATAACAGCACGAGATCGGAACTTGTGAGCATGGAAGTAGTTCATGCCACAAGGTACAATTTTCAAGCCACAGTCCGGGTTATCCGCTAAAGTACCCAGGGCCATCAGAGCCACACCAGCTATTTGTATGGTCAGCCATGATGTACCGCAAATTGGGAGTACTGCAATCAACATACCTTTGAGAGGAAGCAGAGATGGGCGGTCATGACTTCCGCCCTCAGGGAATATACCCACACAGCCACCAGCATTCAACCGCGCAAAAACAGCCTCGTAGACTGCAGTCTGGTCCACATGCGGCGCAACCTTGAACTTGGTACCCTTGAACCCGGAGTCCTGGTCCGCCGCATCACCGGTAAACTTGCCATCATCATCAATATCCTTCCGGCCCGTCAGCTGGAACAGAGCATCTCTGTGTTTAAAGGGCTTCTTGAGAACCAGCTCCTCGGGGCCCCGAATTTCCGCAATAGCCGTACTGTGTGATTGTCCATTGATCGTCGGCAGTGCGATTGTACCCTCCGCCTCAAAACCAGCACCCTCAAAATTGGTACCCACGCCGCGCAAGAGGGTGGGTTCGTTGACCGGGTCGGGAAGATACACGGTGCCCGTCCCCGGCTTCAGGTTATCCATAGCGCGCGCGACAGGCAATGTTCCAATACCCCTCGCCAGCAGTCCGATAAACTTGCGCCGGAACGACTTGTCCGCAATGAGCCATGAGATGCGACGGTGGGCCTCGCTGCGAATGACGCGCATCAGGACGAGCGAATCGACGAACTACGGCGGAGAGGGCCGGGTCAGCGCGGATATAGCGAGCATCACATAGAAGTCACGTACCTGGTTCGCATGAGGGGCGGCGACAATGATAATCGGTCCTCGACGAGGAATCTTCCATGAACCACGCGGGTGTACCTCGCGGAAGAAGAGGTCGATGAGAACGGAGAACGTCCACAGGACCAGGTCGTATAGCCACCCGATGAGGGGTGGGATATACGTCTGTTTCTTCGCCATGATGGCGGTGTTGAGCCCCGGAGAGTGATCAGAGAGGATCAGTGGGCGCGATCAGTGGAGTCAAAAGGTCGGGTTGCAGACTTCACATGAAGTGTTTGCGGCCCCGTTGAAGATTAGCCGCGAGAGCTTGGACCCGCCGTGAATTCCTCAGATAGCACCTCAAAGTGTGCTGAATTCTGTCCTTCTGTAGCTCCAACACGATGATCCCAGGCCTAGAAAAGGCTTGACAGGTCACGTCGAGTTCAAACCAAAAAAAAAAAAAAAAAAAAAAGGGTGGAAGGAGGGGGAGGTGGAATCCGGAAAGTTTGGGGGAACTGCTTTAGCGCGCTTTGAGTCGCTTGAATGGCAGACGCTTCTAGAACCCCAGATTTGAGATTTCCAAAGACCCTGCGTGATCGAGACTATTCTCTATTATTGTAACAGATCATAGTTAAGGGTTTATATGCCGACACTGCTTGTGCCGCGCTACTCTTACTAGTGTGGAAGGAAAATCTTGTATGGCCAAGCTCTTTGCATCGCGCGGGGAGCTCTCCCAACAACACTCTTCGCGTCAGTCTGGACCCTCGTAGTGGATGGATTATACTTTTCGAGTGAACACGGCCTGTGCTCTTTGTAGGGACGAAATCATGGATTCTCGCGGTTACCGCCGTATCGTGTAAGCTCATACATATCCTGGTTGACTCTGCTGTGAGCCCAACATGTTTTTCTGCACGTTCTTCCCAGCTCGAGGACTCTGTTGGGGGAGATCGCCGTTTTTAGTGTTTGGCCGACGCGAAGCGTGCATCAGTCTGCGGGGATCGCCTTCTGGTAGGGCGGAGATAACTTCGTCACCTCGGCGTCATCAAGTCAGACCGATCGGACTGGTAATGGGGATCACACTAAGTAATAGAGAGACTGAATGTCACATCTTCTTAACACGAACGAACCAAGTAAGTACTAGTACTAATTCATCGATAAAGATAAATTCCATCCCCTTATTATAAACTACTATCCCGCCGTTGACCCTCATCATACACCCGCAATTTCGGAACAACCCGAACATCCACACAGGCTATCGCAGCACGCAAAAGCCGAATTGTATACATCCTGCTGAAGAAGACCAGCTCATTCCACCGGCCAGACAGATGAGAGGCCAGGATGTTTTTTTTTTTTTTTTTTTTTTGGTTAAACTAGGGAACCACAGAGATTCCTAGACTCGTAGTAAGCCTAATTGGATCAAGCACCCCATCCGCCTACCTAAGCATCCAGGCGCCTCACACCAGCCACATTCTGCTCGACCGTCACCTCCTGTGTCATATTGATTCCACGCTCACTGATAACGCTTCGCGCACTGCTTCCTTCCTTGTGGGCTTGGAGGGTGATCTCTTCCCCGTCATAGGTGCCGGAAGGATCATCTGTGTGGTCGTAGCTAGAGCGAATTCGAACGAAGAGAATACGAAGGGCAGGAATAGAGGCGGCGAAAATCGTGAGACCTGTCTCAACAGAGGCCCAGATTGTGATAGAAGTGCAGAACCCTGTTGAAGTCGCCTTCTGTCAGAAAATAATTACCAAATTTTCGTAGGGGTCACTCTTACAGGTGAAATCCTGGACTTGGGCGACATTGACCAGTTTCGAGGTCTTGATGAAGGCGGCAATCGCGGCGCTGAGAAGTTATTAGTCGAAGTCTTTCTTCAAACAGCAACTGAGCCAACTTACGTGATACCCATACTCATAGCTAGTGCAATACCAACCTTCTCGCGCTTCTTCATTTCGAGGCCCCAAAGGACCACCCAGGGAAGAAGAGCAAGAATCACATCCATGCACCCGGAGTAAGCTGCAAAGGGCGTCAATCTCTATAGAAGCGGATTAAAGGAGAATACTTACCTCCAGCAACAAGAGCGATGGTTTCAAATACCTCTGTTGGCCAGCACTTGGCGGTAGCCAGAAGCTTAGCATCCCAGAGTGCTGCTGCCGGCTTGCATTGAGCCAGATAGCAGATGGCACAGAGCCACATGATGGCATTCATCGTGACGATGATGAACCATAGGAGTACCTTCATCCAAGTTTTGGTCACGATGCGCATGAGAGTAAATGCGAAAGAGGTCTTGCTGAAGACACAGCCGATGATGATAATCACGAAACTGATGTATAGGAGCTTCAGTGCGGGCGGTATAACTTCCGGGTCGTCAATGGCGAATATATGTCTACCAATTACTCCCATGTTGACAGACTTGGTGATAAGGGCCGTGTAGATCAGGAGCAAAGACTAGTCCCAAAGTCAACAGATGTAACCAGCAGGAGCTTCATTGTACAGATACAGACATACCCATGCGACACAGATAATGGCATCATCCACGCCAAAGCCTCTCTTACTCAGTCCAAGCTTGCACCAAAGCCGTAGCCCAACCATCAAGCCAGGAAGGATGACCAGAAGCCAGCAAACCGCCAAAATGGTCGGGCCTTGGTTCTGGGCATCCATAGCAGCAGATTCCATAGCCATGATATTTCACACAGGCTTGAGCCGTGTCCAGTGCACAAAAAGGGTGGAATGAGAACGAGAAATCGTTTGAGGATCACCAGTGAAAGTTCACGATGATCGTGGAGGCGCAAGTCTAATAAACATCAGCCAGACGCCCCCTTTGGAGATCAAGTTCATTGCGAGGTCCAGCCGACTATTGGAAAGAAGCAAAATGGAATTGACTGAGGATCATTTCGAGCAGGATCTGTCCCCCGGATGTGATATTCCGATCAGCAGGATATCCTTGTGCGGAACTACATCCTTGCATTGCGAAGATTACAGATGCCATCGCGGATTCGAATCCGACCACCGGGATTGAATGACAGCCATTGAACGATGTTGATCATCCGCAGTGACTTGAGCTATTGATGCCCCTAGATCTACTATTTGACCAGGGCAGTGTTTCGATCAAAGTTGCCACCGAGCCATGGCAAGAACACGAAGAAGTAGACTCGACAGATCGCGTGCAAAACTTGCATTTACCAAGACAAGCGTGAGGCGATGGCACTCTGCAAAGACGATCAAATGATTGATCAGTAGACATTCTGCCGGGAGAAGCAATTATCCTGGTTCGTAGTATCCCGTACCCCGGAGATTTGATGTACATGAGCAAGGAGCAGTCTTGATATGCCCGTAAAGGTGGTTGTCTGCAGCATTGAGCATTAGTGGGTATGGCCATCGCCTTTACCGCGCCGACTATTGGCTCCATTACTCAGTCAGGGCTTGTCCTATGTAGGTCTAGCGTTGTAGACCTGCGGGAATTGTCCACAAGGGCCTCGCACCTGCAAGAGTTTTCATATTACGGAAAATTCGGCTTGAGAGATTGTGTAAACTCGGCATCAGATTTCAAATTGTTGCGTTGGCTTGGCTGAATCCTTCTACCACACTGGTGGAGCGTTGTGGCCCCAACACTGGGGCCAGAGGGCTCGAGGCACGAGCTCCACCGGCCTGGCAGACTTTGCTTCCGATTGAACAATATCAATGTAAATCAGAACACAGAACGAGCTGAAGAACTCAATTCACAACCTGAAACAAAGCTTTGTCAATGCCAGGTTTGCTAGTTCATTTTTTTTGTACGTGTCCATTATCACTCTCACAGAGAGGGTGGAGCCGTGCGGCCCTCCCCGCCTCTCCACTTGTAGTCGAACTCAAAAACCCACCAGTGGCTTGGTCACTTCCAAGAGATGTGATCTATCGGGTTGCCTAGAACGGTAATTAACGGTGCGAGAGATACATACTTGCGAACAAAACATCATCGGAGAGGATTATCGAGGGAAGTGAGCCAATAATATTTTAGAATTCCTAGACTAGGAGACAGCTAATTGGATATTAATGTACGAGAAAAGCCTTGCAGCTCGCTACTGGACCGTGATATGTACGAGCGTATCGAAGAGTTCTGCACAGCAAGTAAGCTGACACTTGGCTGTTGGAATAGTTCTCCATCCACTAACATGCCTCGTCCGTCTACAAGCCCTGATAGGGCCCCGTTCCTTTCGAGATTCTTTCACAATCTACAAAAGTACTTCCCCTGTGGCTTCACAGACCACTCTTCCCCTCTCTTCTCGCGTTGCCATTGCCCCGTCCGTGCGAATGGCAACTGTAAGTATAGTTTGAGAACCCCCTCTTTTGTGGGGCATGAGAGGAGGGACTAGATCTCTTGAAGAAACTCTTTTCAGAGCTGGGTTGTTATTTATGTAGCAGGAGGAGAAGCTCCAGAAATTCCCATCTGGTCCCTGTATTATAGCTTTTATCAGACTTGAAATTGAGCAGACACTATGAGTTATTTGGTAGATATCGTCACGAATCTTGTCCTCTCGGTGGTGATTCTCTTTATCTCTCGCTTTCTCTGGAATTACCTCCGGTCCCCACTAAAGTCCTTCCCGGGTCCTGCTGCTACCAGCTTCACCAACATCTGGCGTTTGCAAGATGTCTTTCGAGGACGGTGCGATATCACACAGACTGCGCTGCATCGTAAACATGGGCCTGCTGTGCGAATGGGCCCGAACCTTCTCAGTCTCTCCGATCCGAACTTGATTAGCCAAGTGTATAACACAAAGAGTCCGTGGCTAAAGGTATGTCGGTCTTCGAATGAATTGATCAGAGATCCCCTTTCTAATCACCCTTTTATCTAGAGTGACATGTATAACGTCAATGACGTCGTTGTCTCCGGTGTCCGTCTGAGCAACCTCTTCTCCAGCCAGGATGAGAAGTGGCACTCAACTTTTACTCGTCCCGTCAAGACACTATACTCGATGAGTAGGGTTCAAGATGTGGAGGAAAATATGGATATTACGGTGAACCTATTCCTGGATAAGCTGCGCGAGCGGTTTGTCTCCACCGGAAAGAGTTGCGAGATGACTGATTGGATCAGCTTCTGTGAGTATACCTCCCTAACTTTTCGTAATATCAGCTGATGGGTATAGTTGCCTGGGATGCTATGAGCCAGGCTACTTTCTCTCAAGACCTTGGTATCCTCGAGGCTGGTAGAGACTACAAGGGTTTCCTGGGAAGATCCAACCAGACGCTCGATTACTTCGCCAGCGTATGATTCTCCGTTCTCTATAAAGAAGATAGAATTCTAACGTTTTTGATGCGCTCACTAGATTTGCCAAATCCCACTACTGGACATGATTCTTGATAAGAATCCAATCATGCGCGTTGGACCTCCGACGTTCGTTTGGGCTAATATCTTCAGCCTCGAGCAACTCCAGAAGCGATATAAAGAAGGGAATCCAGGGAACAAGCAAGACTTCCTCGGGAAATTCCTCGAGATCAAGGAAAAGAACCCGGAGCTAGTCAACGATAATACCATTATCCTCTGGTTACTTTCTAATGTCCTCGCGGGCAGCGACTCTACCGCCTTTACGATGTGTGCAGCGATCTACTACGTCCTCAAGAACCCGAACGTCCACACGAAACTCTGCGCTGAGCTCCGCGACGCCAACCTCACACTTCCCGCAAGATGGAAAGATATTCAAGGGCTCAAATATCTCGAGGCTGTCATGCATGAGACTCTGCGGATACACCCGGGCGTTGGTCTTATCCTCGAGCGCGTCGTTCCTAAGGGAGGCCTGTCGCTCCCTGATGGCCGGTTTGTACCCGAGGGAGTCGTGGTAGGAATGAACCCTTGGGTGATCAACAAAGACGAGGGGATTTTCGGTGCCAATACGGACGACTTCATTCCTGAGCGCTGGCTTCAGAACTCTGACGAGTCTGACGAGGTCTACCAAGCGCGCTTTTCCAAGATGAAGAGTACGGAATTCACTTTTGGTGCTGGATCACGCGCGTGTCTGGGAAGATATCTGTCGCAGCTGGAGAGCTTCAAGCTCATTGCTACCTTGTTCAGCACATTTGATGTGAGTCAAATTGAGAATTAACCAACACCTTACGTTTGCTGGGGAACTGGTTGGCTAATGAGATGTATAGATGGAACTCCCAAGTCAAGATCATGAGTGGAAGGTGATCAACTCGTGGTTTGTGAGACAGGAGGATCTACCTGTTCGTCTGTCAGAACGAAAGGATAGAGCTGTCACCGTCTAATGCGTTGAATTTTTCAAATGTGATGATTGGACGATTGGATGTGCTATCTGAATGGTAGACATGATGAATCGTAGGAAAAGCAGGAGGATATTCGGCGACCAACAGATCGATGGGAGGTTATTATTGTTATAAGATAGTGGATATATTGGACCCATGAGATACCTAACTGAGGAAAGTCTGGAAGCATCAGTGTTGTATACTATCGTGTAGTGTCACGTGAAGTTTCGCGGAATTTCGTGGGCGTTGATACACAGGGTTACGACAACAGTAATAATGTCAAGGATCCCAAAATACTCTACATAACGTTAAGGAAAGCCGCATGCTGTCGGATAATTTGGCCTATGTTCATCTGACTTGTTGCTGGTGGCCGTTATCATCCGCCATCCATGACTTGACCCTTGTCTTGTCCTCCTTCCCAACCATTTTCACATCGTCTTCTTACATTGAAACTATCCAGGGTCAAATTTACATCTGGATGTTTTGTATACCAAACACGCGATAGCAGCATGCTTTCCGCGACAATCTTAAAAGCACAGCCATTCCCAAACGCGGCTCGGGCTCTCAAATTCTTCACTCGACAGAAAGCGACTGGTGTTGTTGGCACAATCAAGCGACGAAACTATCAATTCAGAAGGATGGCTTCATCTGGTCGTTTAGCTAATCTCGATAAAGATACTCTATTAGCACGGCAGGCCGGATTAGCAAAGAGGACCATTCAAAATCCATCGCAACGCACACCCAATAAGGACACTCGCCGTAATAAGGCCGATCGCCTCGAGAAAGCCCTTAAGGAGGCTAGCTTCCAAATATAGGGCTTCGTTATTTATCGATGCACCTATCGCAGTAATTCTGACTAGGCCGAGTTCTTACCTCGTTATCGATCACGTATCACTGATTCGCTAGAGCATAAGAACGGGTTAGATCTTCTTGAGAGCCTTCAGACTACTGTCTTTAAGAATCGGGAACGATATGAAAACGCGAGTACAACAAGAAACCGGGAGGACTTCTAGCAGTAGGCTAGGTCGGCGATTCATAAAGAGCAAGGCGTATCGCCTGAAATACTCCGCTTTGCTAATATTGAAGCAGCTCGGTATCGGTTCTGTCTTTTTGTAGACGAGGAGTCGCTACAAAGTGTACTTCAAGCTCCTCCTAAGAACTATAGCGATGAACGATGGTTACGAGCCTATTGAAGAATGTACCGTAAAAGACGTTGGATGGATGAAGGTTTCTTTTTTCGATACAGGACTAAACGGATTCGTTAAACATGGGCGAGCATGGTACTTGGGAAACGGAATATGAGCGTCCTTCTGATATTTGCTATGGTATCTCGGGAGGATACATTCCCCGACGTGCCTTGTCTGATTTGAGGAAGAGAAAGGGATTAGAGGTCTCCTTGTGACTGCTGCTCGAACAGAAGCATTACGAAGTTTTGGATCAAGATAATGTCACTTCACTAGCCTCATAGAGAGCCCTGTTTAGGATGATATTGCTACGAGTGTCAGGATGAGGGATGTATATTGCTCGAGTTGGAAGCCTCAATCCTAGCTACGGAAGTTAAGACCGAACTATACCCACAATTTCAATGATATACCTTCGTTTCTGAGCGGGGGGAAAAGTATCATACTCACTATACCATGAGGGTGTCCACAGTTTAGTAGACTGGATATAGGTATGTCGGCGTTCCGGAGGATGACATAGAGAGATAGGAAAGCGTGTCCCTTATTAGATTGGAAGGTCTAAATAGCTAAAAGGAAACCCATTAAAAAGGGCGAGAACCCAGTTTTTGAGAGGAAAGGGTTTGTATAGCCCAGCTATTGTTATTTTTCCTCTCCGGTTCCTGATGACCATATCCAACTTCCCCGCCTGCCCCACAACTCTGATTTCCTCTCTCTTCTGAACTCCAACTCTGTCGAGGACTCCTGAAGGTCCAGACCCTGGCCTTAATCCTGGATATGACCCTAAACCTTCTCCTAGCTTGGCCCTGACACTCACGTTGATCCCCCAATTCTCACATCTTATCGGTCGGAAGGTTTTCCAGGCATCTCCCAAAATCTCACCTCTAATCCAACCCGCTTACAACCGCTTCCACATCACCATGTCTCTCAAGTATGTCCTCTCTGACCCAAGACTAATACGTCAGAGACCAAAGTCAAAGTACTAACTTGGCTCCACAGCTGGGTGATGCTCAACGATCAGGATGGCTTTGTTCGCCTTCCCAACGAGCGCCTGGTTTATTCCTCACCTCCCCGCACCAGCCTGGCGCTGACACCGCCCTCTGGCTACAAAGGCAAAGAGACCTTGTCTGTACAGAGCAGCGCAGGCTGTATTCATCTCACAAATCAAAGGGTATGTTCCGATATCAGCTCTCTTCGGGTTTCACGGGCGCCATGACTGATAGCTTCCTCCGGCTCTAGGTTGTCTACCTGCCCGCCCAGAGATCCGATGACTTCCAATCCTTTTCTTCCCCTTTACTCAACGTCCGCGACTCCCATGTTTCCGCTCCGTTCTTCGGCCCCAATGTCTGGACTGCGCTCGTACAGCCCGTCGCGGGAGGCGGTATCTCCCCGTCCTTACCCGCCGTCCAAATCAAGGTGACCTTCAAAGAAGGCGGGGCCTTCGACTTTCACACCAACTTTGAGCGAATAAGGGAGCGGTTGGAACAGGCCGTGGAGAATGTGAGCGATGGGGCACGTGGAATGCGCGGCGTGGACCTCTCTTCAGTGCACCTCGAGGAGTTGCCGGCGTACGAAGGTCATGGAAATACAGGACCACCACCTCCGGTCGCTAGCGGGGCTCCGACAGCGCCGCAGCACACTCGACAGGTATCAGAGGCAGGGCCTGAACCAGCGGAACCGCCACCTTGTTATGAAGAGGTGCAGTCGCAGAGCGTGGCCCAGGAGTTGGAAGAGAGGTTACGGCGGGCCAGTTAATGTATTGACCCGAGATGGACAGGAACTCAGCGTGGGAGATCATCATTCTGGTCTTTATTTCGTCCCATATGAACCCGGCTCTGCAGAGAGCCAACAAGATGCCAACAAGATGCCAACAAGATACCAATTTCATGTACATAATGATTCTCCCATTTGATAGTTACCCAAAGCGGGCAGTTCCCCATAGAAAGCGATCGGAACTGACATTAACGTGCGCTGGCGCAAGCCCAATCACCAAATTCGCTGGTCACTAAAGTGACCCTCACCACGGATAGGATACTTTAGGTAAACATATAGAAGAAATAATAGCAAATATAGAAACAACATCCCCCGATCAACACCGTTGAGGATGAGATCGCGAGGACGAGGAACCGACCAATCACGTGCGGCACAATTGTGCTCTCAGCGGCCGGGGCGTCCCGATTTTCCAGTCCGAGCTTGGAAAACCACATCCTCGACTTCACCACCCCTACCTTCAATTCCATACACCCCAACCCCACCACATTCTCCCACGACCCCCCGGTCATTGTCTTCAATTGACAGTCGCAATGGGTTTCGCCGACTTTTTCACTGACGTCGTTTCCTCCCTGGGCTTCACCGAGGCCCAGGCTGAGGCTCCCGCTGCCGACGTCGAGACTTCCACCCCCCAGGACGCCGAGCCCGCCGAGAAGACCGAGGAATCCACCGAAGAGACCACTGAGACCGAGTCTGCTGAGGAGACTCCCGAGGAGTCCTCCGAGCAGGCTCCTGAGGAGGAGGAGGCCGAGGAGGAGGAGGAGGAAGAAGAGGAGGAGGAGGAGGAGGAGCCTGAGGACATCAAGCCCAAGCTCGAGGAGGGTGAGTGATTTTGATCGTGCAGTGATTATGCCATTGCCATTGCCTATGGCAAGATCCACGTTGTCTCGATGTGTCACCGGGCGAGCGGATGCTTTGATTCTGGTCGCAGGTGACATTCGGGATGATCACCCACATCGCGGAAGGCTTCAATGGCATTGCAATTGCTTCAAACCATCTATAAATTTCAAAGATCATGCATCACTGACTCATTCCTGTGCAGAGTGCGCCAACTCCGCCCAGTGCGCTCCCTACAAGCACCACTTCGACGAGTGCGTCGAGCGTGTCACCCGCCAGCAGGAGGATGAGGACTACAAGGGTCCCAAGGAGGACTGCGTTGAGGAGTGTAAGTATCCTATCTGAGCTGGGATATACATGCGCCAGACCGTCATGTTATGCTATTCATGAACCAATTGCTGACACGGCACTCAGTCTTCCACCTCACCCACTGCGCTACTTCCTGCGCCGCCCCCAAGCTCTGGCGCGAGCTCAAGTAAACGGATCACTCAAAACCTTCTTTCGGCACTGTGTCTCTCCGTTCTCGTATCGATTCGACCGCGCACAGTCGGCTGACTCGAAACGAGCATACCAAGACTCAACTGAAAGAAATACGAATCCGTTTCCCTGATGATTGTCACCCACAATACCTGACAGTCTGCCGTTTATATCCTTGATTTGAAAACATGGGGATGGCGAGGAGTGTCCTGAATGCTTTCTCCGTCATTTCCTATGTGCATATGGTGTTTTCAAGGCAGGGAGGGAGGAAGCAAAGGAAAGGAAAGAATAATAGACCGCCTTCTCTCTGCCTTGCATGTACAGATAGCTGGTCTTCCGCCTGTTCGAACTGTGCTTGTGTTTTTATTTACTGTGTCTTAAGACGAATCTCATCTGTTGAAAACGGAAGGATTTGATGTGAATGCGTTTTCCCTGGCATTGCTTATATTACCTGGTAGCATGAGAGTAGATTCCAGTTCTGCCCACATATTCAGTTCAGAATGGGGCCGATGGGTGCTCGTCCCATTCATCTGAGGATGTCTGGGAAGATTATCCATATAGACAGCTCGGAGCAACTTAGACAACTGCTTGGGATGTGGTCGTCAAACCTCGTGCTTTTCTCGATATCGCAGCCCATACTATCTTCTGGGGATTTACATTCTCACTCGTCATCACAGCCGTCAGGCCAAGGGGCAAGTAAAGAAGCACTTCATACAGACATCAATTCAGTTACTATGTTCATAAGTCCAATGAATGGACCAACAACTGTCCACGCACAATTCAAAAACAAGAAAATGGGACGCCTCGCATGACAATAGGGGGTATAGATTAGAATCTGCAGGGCAAAATGTTCAAATGCCCAGATGATACCCAAGGAGAAGCGCTTTCAAAATCAGAGATCCTCTAATGGGAACAATATTCCCCAAAAGGAAAGGGAGAAAGTATCAACAGATATAGGTGCAAATTTAAACTATATCGCAGAAGAAAAATGTCTTACAATCATGATCATCCATACTCATGAGCCATAATCAACTCAGACCTTCTTGCAAGTCGAGTCTTCCAGCACACTACCCGAGTGAGTATGCTCCACCCCATCCGATACAGCACCAGTACCCTGGGCACTCACCTCAGACACATCCAGCTCAACACCACGATCAACATCCCACCTCCTCCGCTTGACAATCCTGCCAAACAACCCAATAGACACAGGCAACGGCGCGACCGCAGCGCACAGCACACACGAGAAAATCAACGCTCTCCGCATATTAGCCGGCGGACTCGCATCGTCCCCATCCTTCAGCGCATCCTGAATCAAAATAAAACAAGCCCCGAGTAACTGCCCACCTGTCCAGCAGATGGTACTCCCAATCTCCGGCGAAAACGGATACGTAATCTCAACCAAATACTCCAACACAATCGGCAACATCGCAAACGACGATGCCCCCATCAGCGCCATAACAACGTACATCGGCGCGATACCGGCCGAACTGGACGGCGCGAAAATCAGCCCGATATACGAGGCCACGATGATGGGGACGAGGACTCGGATCGAGCCGAGGTAGTGCTTCCAGCGGTCTGTGATGGGGGACATGATTGCGGCTGAGACGAGGCCGACGACGATGAGGACGGCGCCTGCGATGCCAGCGTCTGTCTCGGAGAAGCCGTACGGACTGAGGATTTGGTTTAGGAGGGAGGAGACGCTGTTGAAGAAGCCGACGTAGACGGCGAAGGGGGCGAGGATGAGCCAGAATTCGAGAGTGCCGAGGAGTTGGCGTGTTGCGGGGATGGGGGGGTGCGGGGGATGGTGGATGAGGCGCTTGGTGGTGTGGGTGGTTCGGCGGGGAGGAAGAAGGCTGGAATGGATGCGACGGTTGACTGTTGGTTGAATAAGGGGCAATTGTTAGTCTGAGAGCGCTTTCTCTATGGGTTTCATGCTTTTGTTTTTGGGATTGATAGTGGGGAATGTGGGGGAGGTATAACCACGTACTATGACGGAGATGTATAAGACCATATTGGGAATATCAGATGGCTTCGTCGCCCATTCGGAGTCCACTAATTGCCCGATTGCCGCGCCTAGCGGGTTCGCCAAACTAGCGAGTGCCGTGGCGCTGGTGCGTCCTTTATCGGAGAACCATAGGTCACTGTAGCGCGTGGGTGCGCACAAGCAGAATGGTTGCGCCAGGCCGATGATGATTTGGCCGAACATGGCAAGGCCGAAGATACCTCCGTTGGCCTTGGTGCCCGCATATCGCAGCCAATTGCCGACAAGTAGTAACCCCGCGGTAGTGACGATGGCTGGTTTGGGGCCGCCTTTGTTGAGGACCCAAATGACGAAACTGCAGCGAAAGAGAGAGGGTGTTAGAAGTACGGATGCAGCGGGGACAGAGTAGACCCCTCGCATCAGGTTGCAGCTCATGCGCAGATTCTTGTTGGTCCGTCGGGTGTATATACTTACGGACTGGCGGCGCAAAAGGCAAAGAGGTAACCCGTGCTCATCCAATTAATAGCGCTCTCAGAGACATTGAAGTATTCGGCGGCCGTGGTGGAGATGGAGGAGAAGGTTAACCACTGGTCAGTGTGAGTTAGCGATTGGTCCGATCATATTGTTCCGAGATCAGATCGGTGGGCTGTGATATGTTCGGAGCATTATGCATACATCCCAGCTCACGACGATATTGAGTAGGACCAGTTGGGCCAGTCCCCAGAACCGCCGTTTATACACTTTGTAGACTGGTCGCGTGGGGGCCACTTCCATGTCCTTGGCAGGCGACATGTTCGACGGCAACAGCAGATTCGGAAAAGATGGACAGACCAGAACACATCCTCTTGTGGGGGGCAAGTCAGAGAGAGTCACAAGAAGGAAGAGTCTGTCCAGCTCTTCGAAAGGGTTGAGAGAAAGTACGGAGACCGGAGTATGGGAAAAATAGGAGGGAGTTCGAGATAAGACAAAAGCAAAGAGAGAGAGAGAGAGGGATCTAATTAAAAGCAAAGCTAAACTACAAGACTAGCTTTTATGGTCGGACCCGTCCCAAACCTGCGGAGAGAGCAACGGGTTACTGGAGATTGTGCAGGTTGTAACTAAACCCAATGGATCATGGATCATGGATCGTGGAGCATGGATGTAACCAAGTTGATCCGAGGTTCTGCATGCGACTGACTTGACCCCGCAAAACGCATGTCAGTGGAGGTCACGGCAGCGGCCGAAAGGACTCGCGTGAGCCCTAAGAGAGAAGGAGTCCCTCCTATTTTGTGGTGCGAGGATTCGAATGTCGGACCATGTGCCCAGCGCCCAGTGCCCTCGCTTCCAGTGAACACCTCAACGCGGACTACAAATGGGCTCCGTGGTGGCGGTCTTGGTCCATCCTTCGGAGTGGTGGCGGTGGATTCAGTTCCTACAGTAGTTAGCTTAGTTAGCTGAGTCTGGAGTCGTCATGCGTAAGTGGACAGGAAGTGATACAGCCTACAGCACGGGAGACTACGCCTATCACTAGGTACGATGTCCTATGTACGGAGTACGGAGTTAGCCAAATAGGATCCATTCGCGGATCTGATATGACACCCGGGATGCCTCCTATCTGGAATGGTCCACAATTCATAGCGATCGAGATCTCCATATATCGATATTCATGTCTATCCTCTATACATAGATACACTGTTGTCTAGTTAATAGCTACTCTCCATGGTCTACTCTGTACACATCACAAAGACCACCACCAAATCAGGTGGCCGAGTCCGCAGCCTCCGCTGATCCTCCTTTTCGGACTCCCCACCTTCAATTTCTCGTCAGCCCCCGTCTTTTTTGGATCTTCTGTCCATGCTCTGAATCCCGTCCTTATTCTCCGATATCCTGTTCACATTCACTTATATTGTTCCCTCGGTCGGCTTCTCACAGGATGGCCCATTCTTGAAAGCATTTTTCGCTGAGCCTCCCAAGTCCAATCGGTCCCGCGCTGGCATTCCGCCCTGAACGCCCACCATGAACATCAGCCTCCGATCCAGTCAGTCCTCCTACGGAGACCCTCGCTATCTGTCTACCGCGACCGTCTCCGATGTCCACGGCCCGCCTGCCAAATCCCTGGTCGATGGCTACCGCGATGCCGTCCACCCTGAGGATGACCAGCCGCGGTACAATCCGGTAAGGGGAAACCCCAAAACACGCCCAAGGATTCAACGTCCGCGCCCGGAACCACGGATCTTGCTAACCAGTCGAATCTCATGTAAACAGCTCAACCCGAGTCATCCGCGAAGCTCAGCTCTTTTGAACACCAGAGACCCAGTCATGATGTACCTCCTGACCGAGACCGCCATCGGCGATAGTACCAACTATGAAGTGCTTTCCTTTGACGAGGTGGAACAACTCAAGAAAGAGCGCTCCCTCCTTTCAACTCGCATCGAGAGTACCAAGAGGAAACTCGCCATGGAAACCAAGATTCGTGATGCAGCCCAATCCCTCGGTCGCCTCTACAGCCCTCCAAGTCCCCGGAACAGCGGCGAGTACGGCGCCAACGGCACCGACAAGTCGCATCGGCGGAGCCGGAGTATATTTGGACGCAGTGGTGCCGCAGAAGCCCTGGATAAGAGTGACTCGGAACTGGCGATGAGCCAACGGAGATGCGAAGAGCTGGCGCAAGAACTGTGGAGGCTGGAACAAAAGTCCAACCAGATCTCTCAGCGCTTGCTTGAACATACCGCGGGTGTTTTGCAGATGACCCACAAGGGTTTGAAGAAGGCGCCGAAAAACGTGGATGGTTTGGATGGTCTTGACGATGGGTACGACTTTGATGACCGCAGCCTGTACCGGACGACGGAGCATCTGGACACTTATGGAATGAACGGGAGGATAGAGAGTGCGTCTATGGGTGCAGCGTTAGATTCCGAATCACAAAAGAGGCTGGAGGAGCTCAGCGAGCGCCTGTGTAATATGATAATTCAGGCCAACCCGGACGAATTCGTGGAACCACCACCGCACCCTGGTGGTCCTTCCTCCACTGTCGAAGCGCACATCGCATACCTCGAGAACGGCCTGCAATCGCTTCGCTCCTTTGGCTCGGCTAGAGCCTTACCAGTCGATGCAGGTGTTGCAACCCCCAAGACGGAAGGCGCTTGGAAAGCGCAGCTCACGGATATTAACAACCGAGTTCAAAGCATCGTTGAACGGTTTGGCTTGACCCGATCTCCAACTCTGCCTCCGCCTCCTGCGGCGTCCGATGGTGAAGGCCTGCAGGAACAGCTTTCTTATCTCCAGGCTGGCGTGGATGGCCTCGCCAGCCGAGTGGATGGATTGCTCGAGCAGAAGAGTATCCTTACCACCCAGATCCAGCAGCAGCGTGAACTTAACAGCAAGTCGGATGCGGAACGAGATGCCCATATTGCAGACTTGACCGAGCAGTTAGCCCAGGTGCGTCGGGACTACGAAGCTTCTGAACATGAGAGTCAGGCCCATCGGGCGGAATTGGACGCGGTCATGCATGAGCTGGAGGCTCTGCGCCACGATGGCTCCCCGAACGACGAGATCAAGGCTTCTCTGGCGCAGGCCAAGGGAGAAATTGCGCGCCTGCAGGGTGTCGTAGACTCGCTGCATGCCGAGGCTGATATGCGTGCTGAGGAGGTCAGGGAGGCACACGACCACACGGAGGAAGTGAGAGAAGCCAACGAGCGCGCCGGGCAGGAAGTTGCCCAGCTCGAGGCTGAAATTCACCAGATTCGTAGCGAATCGGATGCTCGCTTGAGAGAGGCGCTTGATCAACGTGAACAGGCTGACGCTTACATGAAAGAGGCGCTCGGTCAGCGCGATCAGGCCGAAGAGAATGCTACTCGCCTGGAGAAGGAGATGACCGAGCTAGAAGGCGAGGTCGTGCGCATCACCACTGAGCTCACCATGGTCAAGGCCGAACTCGACGGCGCCTACGGCACCCGTGCCCAGCGTGCCGCCGAGGTGGCTGCCAACCCCGAGATCCAGAAGGAGATTGATAGCCTGCACACACGCAACATTGAGTTGACCGAGGAGCTGGCCATGCTCAAGGGCCAGCAAGGCGGCGGTGACCTTCAGCAACGGGCTGATACCCTCGAGAAGGAGCTCCGGGAGACTCTCGATGACTATGAGGCCATGACCAAGGCCAGCATCGAGTTTGAGAAGGAGCGTGAGCAGTTTGAGAGTCTTATTGATTCGATGCGGGATCGCTGCGAGCAGTTAGAGCAGCAGCTCAACGAGGAGCGTATCAACTGGATGAACTTGAACAGTCCGGGCTCCGTGGGCCGTGATGGATCGTCCGAGACTACATCGACAATGGTGCTGAAGAATGAGTTCAAGAAGATGATGCGTGACACGCGCAATGAAAACATGAAGATCCTGAAGGTTAGTTCGATCGGCTCAACAATTTGTCTTTATCCTTTACTAATGCCATGGTTACAGAGGGAACAAGAAGAGCGCCGCAGAATCGAAGGATTACTCCGAGCCCTCAGAAAGGAGCACGCTCAAGTGACTGGCAAACCCATTGCCAGTCCTGTCGGTACCCCATTATGATGATGACACTAGTTTCTGTTTTCGGATTTTTTTTTTTGCATATCGATCAGGAATTGTATATATAGACTCTCTTTCGTTGTATAATAATTGCATGAGCGCTTCCCACGGCAAGTGCGATGATGTTGTTACCCTAAATACTTCTCAACCAAGCTCAATCTTCACGAATGACCTTTCTATACCAACACTCATTGCTTCAAACCTTTACAGTCTCTCCTTTGATTATGGCCAGGCACCGTGATCGGGCAGCAGGTGATGTTATCCGCCAGTTCCCCCAACCTCGACGCAGGTCATTGTTTGATTTGAAGCACCTCGCTCCCAGCGACGATATCACCACCGACTCGGAATCTATCTACAGCGACGAAAAAGGAATATTCAATGCCATCATGGTACCTACGCCCAGCCGGGATTCCCGCGGCTACGAGACTGTTTATCAGATGGGCCCTATTATGGAAGAAGGGCTCGCAGCCAATCTCGCCATGTTCATTCCAACGAGTAGCTCCAGCAGCAGCCCTCCTTGGACAGCACATCCTTATGACGGGAACAAAGAACGCAAGAAAGCAGATGCCGTGTGGTGGCGCCATCAGGCGCTTTCCGATCAGTCCTCGAACCGACTGCGACAACCTCCATCGAGCCCTTTAAATGGGACAACGTCAACAGCCGAAGCTAGTCAACATCATCGCAAAGCAATCTCCCTCGATACAGTCGATACCAACGAACGGACGTCCAATTGGCCAGGAAAGCCAGGACCAGCCGTTGTGCCTAACCAGCCGCGATATCCCCCGCCAGAAAGAATCCCTACACCCCCAGGAGTCCCCTCGTTCAACACGCCCGAGGCAGTATACACCTCATCTCAATTTCTCAATGGACATAGCGGCGGACGTTTCTATGCACACCGAAATACAGCCGGTGCTGAACAAGGCTCATCTTCTTACGGAGGCGCCTTCCGGAGACTTTTCGGTCTACCAGCCTCTGTCGATGCATGGACAAACATCCAGTCTGCTGTGGGAATTGGACGAGCCGATGATGGGACTATAGTCCATGGTCGATTTCCCTATCGGCAGAGCGGGCATAATGCCAATATGGCTCGACAGATACACGATCATCTGTTCCACCAGAACAGCCTACCAACCGCAGAAAATGGCGATGGAACCGAGAGGGGAGCTGTTGGCTCCAAGGATGGTGATGTCAATGCTCAGCGCAGACGATGGGCTAGAGCATACATTCCTCCTTCTATGGGAAGATTATGGCCGTTCCAAGATAGTCCTATATCGTCTACCCCCGTGTCACCAGTGACCCCTCAACCGGGAATATCAGATCGGGCGCATTCCTTCTTCGGGATCCCACGTACATCGGCTCGTTCAGATGTATCAAATAGTATACTATCTGCCAGCCGACAGAGCGCAGAGGCTACAGCAAACCACATTCCTTCCCACCACTCCCACCTCCAATCCGTCCAGTCCATCAACGACGACGACGACAACTCAAATCAAGACATAGACGCAGTCCCAGAAGGCATACATTCACCCTCCGACATCCTCTCTTGGCTACCAGTACAATTCTACCTCTGCTGTCTATTGCGAACCTGTCCCTTCCAAGACCGGCGCGACGATGTGGAAGCATTGCAAACTACCAACTCCCAGGATACATATCTGACTGCGCAGAGTCGGCCTTCGCATTCTACAACGCAGTCTGCCGAGTTGCGAGATGACATGGGTCGATTGGGGAGGATTGAGGTTCCGCGTTGGATTGTGGACGTTTGGGGGTGGGTTTTGCCTTATATTTCGTCTCGGGTGTTGGGTGTTTTTTGGTCTGGTCGGTGATGTGAACTTGTGTTTTGTGTCTTTCTTTTGTGGACTGCGAGCTGAGTGTGTTCGATCCTGCTGTCTTTGTGTTGGTTTGTAGTACGACTTGTTATCATTACTGGAATTGATGAATGCATTCGCCTCCTTTCAACAGTGCATCAATGATACGTAAAAATATGGCTTATCCCTGTCCCACTCAAAAAGTCTGACAATCAATGACCGAAATGAAACGAAATTCTTGAAAGCCCATAACATTCATCTCGCCTATGCCACAATGCTAAACTAACACCAAAACAGGAAGAAAGCCTCATTCGCCATGCAATGTCCATACAAGTAATAAACGCAGGGTAGGGCAAAGCAAACAGAACCAGCAACGGCAGAGGGAATATGGGGGGTGATGTGTATTTCCCCCGATGCAGAAAGAGGAACCACAGATAGGAAGGATGAAAAACAAGAGAATACGGTGATGCACGCGTACATGGGTGATAGACATGGAAGGACATGAAATATGGAAGGATTAGGAGGCCCATCGGGTGTAGGCTCGGTGAAATCATCAGTGCAGGCTGCTACATCGGGTCATGGGGAACGTGTAGTTGGGACGTGAGTTGTGGTCGGCGGATGGAATCGATCAGATGACCATATTAGATAGGTGTTTATTGATGGAATGTTGTTGGGGGGGGGGACGGAGCGGGAGTAGGAAGACAGAAGTATCAGAGGCCCTGGAAGAATTGGCATGCTTCCAGGATCTCCTCATCACCGCATGCAAAGTCCCAGCCGACGATACGGGGGTCCACGCTCGCGCAGACGATCTTGCGTGAGTCAAATTGGACTTTAAATACTCTTGATGTGGGAGGCGGAACCCGATTGCGATGAGGGTGGTGGAACTGCTGTGCAGCACCTAGTTGAGCTGGAATGGTTGTTGCTGCTGCCGCTACCACTGCGGCTGGAGGATGCATTGGAGGTGGTGCTGCAGCTACAGCAGGCTGTGTGGGTTGAGGAGGAAGATTGGCAGCAGTGCCAGCAGTCGTGGCGGGGGGAGCAGTTGATGGCCCGGCGACAGCATTACCATCATCTTGGGGTGCTGGAGAGATTGGAGAATTGTTGTCTGTAGCGGGCGGCGTTGGTGTATCTTCGACAGTGTCTTGATCGGTAGGCTGGTTGGTGTTCTGAGTTACCCGAGCTTGCTGGACTGTGGGTGCAGCTACAGCCGCTTGAGCCGCTTGCAGGTGTCGAACCTGTGCTTGTATAGCAGCTCGTGCTGCGTCGCTCAAATTCCCTCGAGCTGCATTAGCTGCGGCATCCGCTTGGCGCAGCCTGTGGCCGATCGACCATGCGCCGTCGCGGTCCTTGTGCCAGATCAAAATTGATTCATCGTAGGAGCCTGACACAATACGGCCCCAGGCACTGCCTCCGCCACCAGGAGGAATCTTGGCCCCAAGAGCTCGAATATCACGGGGGTCTCTAGATCCAGCGGTGTTCGAATGGTATCCAGCGCGACGCAACGCGCTGGTGCCAAGGTGCACAGGTGCACCTGCTTGCCGGGCTTTCCAGAAAGCAGTCTCGACCTCCATTGCCTCCATCCGCAGAGCTTCATCAGCACCGGGTGGATCGCCGAACCCTGCCTGCACTGTACGGACCAGGTTGTTGTGTCCACGCAAACAAGCCACCTCCGCCCCAGAGATATGATCATAGATGCGCACTGTATTATCGTTGCTACCACTAATGATGCGGCGACTGTCGAATTGAACACACGCAATGCCCTTCTCGTGGCCCATCAAAGTCTTCAAGCAGGTGCCGTTGCGAATATTCCAGACCTTGATCATGCGGTCCCCAGATGCGGTCACAATCTCGTCGCCATGAAGTTGCATTGCATTGACAGCAGCTCCATGGCCCTCAACGATCATAAGCAGAGAGTAGGCCTTCAAGGCCTTGATTTGTCCGTTGGCAATGCTGGCCTCGAGCATGTTGGGGGCAATGTCATTGAGGTCGATGATATATGATGGATAGCTGGCACCACCGCCTTTGCAAATCCGGGGATAGTCCTCATCGTTGGGCAATAGCTCGTGTCGATTCCACACCTTGACGGTTCTATCTTTCGAGCAAGTTACTAAGAACCGATGGTCGAACTTGAGATTCAGCACTGAATCAGCATGGGCATTAGTAATTTGATGGAGCTTCTGGCCCGTCGAGAACTTCCACAGAATCACACTTTTGTCGCTGCTGCCAGAAATAATGACATCTTCCTCGGGGCTCGGATCGAATTGCAGGCACAATACTGATTTAAGGTGTCCGAGAAGTGGGCGGTACCAGAGTCGCTTGGTCTCCAAATCCCAAACTCGTACCGTCCTGTCCCGGCTCCCACTGACCAGCCATTTCCCTTGGAACTGTATAGCATAGACACACTCTTGGTGCGCATCCTCCGGGTAGGACGGATGCGGCAGTTGGAAATTCGTAAACCGGCCGTGGTGCCAATTGGCTTCGAGACGTCGGCGCTGCTTGTAGAGATGCACCCAATTCACCCTAACAGGTCCATTCGGCGTTCGCGTGAGTAGTGACGACTTCAAAGGTGGCTGGAGGAATGAGATTGAGTTGTGAGCAAGACTTGGCGACGCAAGCCCTGCTTTCTCGAGGGATGTATGCGTTCCTCGATCGCTCGCATCAGCCATGTGGTGGTCGCCCTCGCTGTCTGGTCCAACCTTGCCAGTCGATGATCCCTGACCGTCCGCACCACGTGTGTCATACCACGAGGGTGGCACGCGCCTCTTGTGCTTTGGTTCACCCAGATCCGGTTCCGAATACCGAGGTCGAGAACGGCGGGTCTGAGGTGACATCGCTTCGGCATGCTCTTGCTCAAAGTTACGAATGGCGCGCGTATCAACTCGCCAGCCCTCATTAATGTACAGCACGCGCCACAGACCGGAGTCTAGGATTCGACTGCGCCATGAGCGAGACGCGAGCGACGCCGTCAAGAGTGTGCGGGGATCAAGATATGAGAATATTTGGAAGGTGAGCTCGGGTGGTAATTTCACAACGGGGTCCATGTGGAGAAGGGGATTCAGACGGTCGACGACGCCAGCGAGGGTGGCAGTTGAGAGAGAACGAAGCAAGCTGTAGGCGAATTCTGCAGTTGAGTACCATTGGGTGAGCACGCGGGCGCCAAAGGTAGAGGAGGAGGTTGGGAGGTTGGGAAAATTCAGGGAAGTCCCCAAAACAAAGTATGCAGGAGGAACCACTTACCAGCTCGGTCGGCCTCACTCTGGGCTAAAACCCATTCTGGAAGCGACATGACATTGTCGGATGGCAGATCCTTGTCTGACTGGCTCCGTGTGTCATCCGAGTAGCCCTCATCCAACTTGAAGGCCGGTGACAGAGACGGAGCGGTATATCCAGAGAAGGTGGTCACCTGCAGCCGCAAAGCCGGGCGGGATAGCGAGTCCGATCCAGTATCTTCCTCCATCAGTGCTGAAGATGGACAAGGTATCACAGCGATGCGCGCGCAGATACGGGGTTGGGGATGAGGAGTTGGGTAAATGGGGGTGGTTTTTGCAGGGTACCCGGTCCTCGCAAGATACTCAAAGCACTGGTCGCATTCACTGAAGACCTTTCTTTCAGAGTCAAGGTTGCAGAGAGGGATAATCCCTCTTGCGGTGCAGAGAGGTAGGACAGACGATCGGGGGTGTTCTCGCCGGACTGTAAGTCACGTCACGTTTGGCGGTTTGGCGGCGGCTGGATCCACCCCGAAGTTGATAGGTCGGGCGGGAGCAGTCAATAGTTTAGTCAACCGGTTAGCTCATCAGACGGACAGGACGTTACGCTTCGAAGGGTAAGAGGGAAGGAGGGGATGAGGAGATCATATGCAAGCTGATCAGATAGTCAACTCTGGGAGATTGATGGTCAGGTAAATGAACGAGAAGCACAACAAACAGAATCTGACAAGTCCAGTAAATCGAGGGTTCTGGAATGGCGCTGTATTGATCACGTGACAATCGACGGGACGGAGAGGTATGCGGCAGTCAACAATGACTAGATCAATAGGTCTCAGCATTTAAGATCATAGATGAATGCTTGTTTTGATACCCGTGTCTAGCTAACTTCTTTGGCTTGCAGGTTACCTATAGTGCTTTCAGGAGCTATGACCTTACAGCCTTTGTTATCGTGCTTATTCATTCTAATCCTGGTTGTTCCGGCAGACAATATATAAGTACCGGGCACTAGCCCTGGTTCATAGGATCATAGTAGATAGAGACATGGTTTTCAGGGATGAAAGAAGTAGACATGCTGATCTCCACTCATTCTAAGATGTACCTCAAGATTCAAAGAGAACCCACTAGTAATGGATTGAATCCATCAATCCTACAGAGGGTACGTATGAGTCCTGGGCATATCGGTAGGTTGTCGTTGATGGTAGCTAGCTTAGGGTAGAGTATTCCCTACTTCTTTCTCTTGATACAGTTCACCCCACCACAGTTTATCAGCTTTAGCACATCTTGGAATGAATCAATCTAATCATCTTCTATCATCTCATATCCGGAACCCAAACCCCTGAGCCTCATCGTAGACTCGACTCTAGAACCCGCGTCTCAGGTAGATGGAGACTCGTGCCCCTCCCCACATCCCACCGCCCGATGGAACACGCGCTAAACCTAAAGGAGTAACTGAACAGCCCTCGCCTTCGGCTCACCCTCTCCTTTCTTCCCTCCCCCCCCATTATCCATCCCTCCCTCTCTCTACCACCGCCTGTCCTTCTGTGTCCTCGTCCTCTATCATCCTTCCACGGGTGTTAGTTCCTCTCTCCCATTCTCGGAAGTTGATTCTTCCTGCGTTCCCCCCCCCCCCCCCCTTTCGCCTGTCGCCCTCCCAGTCCTAGTGACGGGCCCTATCCCATACCGACACCGATACCTAAGGGGGTTCAACCTGTTCATTCTTTCTGTGATTCGGCACGCCTGCCCGGCTGCAGCGTCTTCCCCTCGACCGATCACCTACTTCCCCATCGATTGGGTTTCGCTGACTGTCCGAGTCGGAGTGTGTTCCCCCGACCCTCCTGATTTCCTTCGTGAGATCCAGTAGTAGCGCGTTTTTGAGATCTTGCGCTCTGAATACATATTATCTTTCCGCCGTGCACTTCGCGACACAAACTCTCCCCCTCTTTTCCGGGCCATAAACATACACAGTGACTTCTTGCGATCGACGTGACTTCGAGAACTCTTAGGTTTTCGAGATCCGGCTTGACCTGCAAGCCCCCCGCCACGCGGCCCGCTTTTTATCCCCATCGATCGTGTCGCGGCAAACCTATGGTCGACTTCCCGTTGTCCGACACTTGTCGCTCCCCTCGAACATACATACATCCCGTCTGCTGTGCGGACTTGAACTGAGCCTGGCTGGTCTGACTCAAATTGACGATTAAGGCGATCCAACATGATCGACTCCGCCGCCATGAGCGGAATCCCGATCGCCGAGGACAACATCATCAATCGGCGTGGTGGAGAGTCCATCTACCAAAGCTGTGTGAATCTGAGGCGCCGGCTTTCGGAAGTTCCAACTTTCGAACCCTATCTTCAGGAGATGGCTGCGGAGGATGAATTGCGGGGTAACACGGATCCAGTCGCTTCGCTGTGGCAGTGCCTCCGAAATGGCTACCCGTTGTTGAGTATTTACAATGCATCTGGTCCAGATGAAGAGCTGGTAGTCGACCCTGCCAAGGTGCCGGAGGCGAAGCGCCCCAAGGCGGCCACATTCAAGTTTCTTCAGGCTTGTTTGCAGGACTTGGCCTTCCCCCAGCAGGACTGCTTCCTGATCACCGATCTTTATGGTGAAAGCACCACTGGATTCATCAAGGTGATCAAAATGGTGAATCGTGTGGTGGATATCCTTGAGATGCAAGGCCAACTGAAGCGACCGGAAGTGACAGATGCTCCCGTGGGTGCACAGGGTGCTGTGAAGCTGACCAAGCGGGAGCACATTCTCAAGGAACTGTTGGAGACCGAGCGTGACTATGTCCACCATTTGCAAAATCTTCAGGCATTGAAGAAGGAGTTGGAGGAGACAGGTGCTCTGACCGGTGATGCTAGTCATCAAATTTTCCTCAACCTGAACAATCTCCTTGATTTTGCCCAGCGATTCCTCATTCGGATGGAACAGCATTATGCGCTGCCAGAGGAGATGCAAAACTGGGGTCACCTCTTCTTTTCGCATGAGGAAGCCTTCAAGCAGTACGAGCCGTTCATCGCCAACCAGATGCGCTGCGATGAGGTTTGTATGCAGGAGTGGGATAAAATTCGGAGCTCGCCCCGTCAGCCGGATCTCCTTCAGATGGTCGCACAGCCAAAAACTCTGAATGGATTCTTCGTCAAGCCTTTCCAGCGATTAACCAGATATCCGCTCATGCTGTCGGTATGTAAACCCAGACAACCTTTCTACCTCTCCCAAATAGGGTTCTGACGCGTTTCTCTGTACAGGAATTACGCAAACAAACCGAAGACCCTCAAATACACGCCGATATCACCCACGCCATCGACTCTATCCAGAACACCTTGGACTCGGCAAGTGAGGCCATTAACAAGGAACATCTGGCTGCAGCAGTGATTGATCTATCCGAGCGTGTCGACGATTGGAAATCATTGAAGATGGAAGCTTTTGGGGACCTCCTTAGATTTGGCACTTTTGCAGTTGTCAAAGGCGACAGCGGCAAGGATTCTGAGCGAGAGGTATGCACTGCTGGATTTCTACGCTTCTGTCCCGTCCGAATATACCCGTGACTCTCATTTGAAATGACTTTTTGTTTCGATTGCACGAGCTGACTTTATTTGGTTTAGTATCATATCTACTTGTTCGAACGCATTCTTTTGTGCTGCAAAGACATCAATCCCAACAAGCAGAAAACCAAACTCATGATGAACAAAGACAAGCCTTCCCTCACGTCGAAGGGCAGGGCTCGTCTTCAATTGAAGGGTCGGATCTATATGGCAAATGTCACGGACATCGTCTGCCTTCAGAAGCCTGGTACGTCATCCCTTAGTTCTGGATAAGGCTTACTTGAATTGATTGTCTGACGAATTAATGACAGGTCTCTACCGTATCCAAATCTTCTGGAAAGGTGACCCCGGCGTTGTCGACAACTTCATCATTCGTTATGGGACTGAAGACACTATGCGGACCTGGTATAAGGATATCGACACTCAACGTACAATCCAATCAGAGCGCCGAACGCTTCGCAATACTGGCACTTCGGACAGCGAGTTTACTTACATGGAAGGCATGGCAAATATGCCTAACCCATACCAGCAAGAGTATGATGTTGAGGACATCCCTAAGGATGGCGCTTACCACTCTGAATTCCCCATGAGCCGAAATGCCTCCAGTACCAGCCTGAGAACCCGATCTGCAACCGGAGGCAGCACTGGCTCTGTCCCCCACTCCAACGGCCGACCACGCTTCGCTGGAGATCCAGCGCTTTCTGTCCATACCCAGTTCCCTGGCTCTGGCAGCATGTCTCCTGGCGACCGGACCATGAATTCGTATTTCTCGCCCACTGAAACCCCATCTACACGATCCAGCTCCCAATCTGGGTTCTCTTTCGGTCGCCAAAACACCAATTCAACGACGGCATCAAGTGTATGGAACGAGGAGTCCAATCGCTACACTGCCCCCGCCCTGTCTCGTGGGACCTCCAGAGATGGTAGTACGCCAACCGGGTATTTCCCTCCGCAAGCGAATGGACGGGGTGCTCAGCGCCCATCACTGCCCCCACTCTCGGGACCGCAGGCGCCGTCTTCAAATGGAACTGCTCAGCGGCTGCGTTCGGCTAGCAGTCCTGACATTCACCATCACAATGGTCCAGACTCTCGGCGGTATCTGGGAGTGCACACTATGCAGACAGTAGACAATGTTCCGGTGCCGCCAATTCCTGCACACATGGCCAACCTGAAGGCACCAGTCAACCGAAGCCAGAACAATTCTCCCACGAACAACCAGCTTCCTATTCGCACGAATCCTCACCACGTTCACCCGACGCACTTCTCTGAGCCAGAGTACAACGAGTCTCGTACGTCGGGGCAGGTCTCCGATGCGGCGACATCTCCCTTGAGCCAAGAGCCTGATGGAGATCCGTACATGCCAAGTCAACTCAAGGCGAAGGTGAACTTTGACGACAATTATGTCACACTGGTGATTGCCACCAATATCTTGTTCCGCTCGCTCACGGATCGCGTGGATGCCAAGCTGGCCCGATTCACCAATCGATCCATTGGCAACAAGACCGTTCGACTGCGTTATCGTGACGAGGATGGAGACTTTATCACCATCGACAATGACGAGGCTGTTCAGCTTGCCTTTATTGAATGGCGTGAGCAGCACCGAGACATGCTTGCGAAGGGCATGGTTGGCGAGATTGAACTGTACTGCCAGGTGGTTGACTAGATTGGAGTTGACTTCTTTTTTTTGTGATCCTATAGCACCTCA